TATCTAAATATAAATTAAAATACTTTAATTTTTATAATTTTGTTGCAAATGATGTTTTTTGTTGTTAACCTAAGCATATTCTAATACTTCAACTTTTAGTTAAATTTGCTTAGATAGAACTAATTAGATTTAATTGAGTTTAAGATAAAGGATTCATTATGTCTGATATTTTTACTTTATCAATTGTTCTAATGTTGAACCTTTTTTTTTATCTTAAACTGAAGGTGAATCTAGAATAACAACAGGTCATTTATTCAGGTGTTTACTCTCTACAATTAAGTGACTATTCTTTGCCCATTATTACTGGAGATATTTATATGTGGCCTTTTGAACCAGCTAATTGGAAATTATTTAGCCTTGTAAATAGAATTTTTGATAATACCAAGCATTTTTTTTGAAGAATGGGACAGTTGTTAATGAATGGTTTTCTTTATTAATAATTATCATAATAATGAATATTAATAAACCTCAATCATTTCTCTTTTCTCCTTAGTTAGATCTGGATTAAGACAAAAAAAATAGTTTATTGTGCCTTTTGGCTATGGACTATTTACTTCTAACAAAAAATTCATCAACATCTCAGATTGACTCCCAAATAAAAATTTAATTGTGTCCTATCTTGGCTACCTAAGTTGGTCAAACTTCGTAATAGGGATGGTTTAATCGCACAAGCCGTACAAAAGAAATCTCTATAAAATTGTGAGAAGATCCTTATGGGATTTCATAGTTATGGGCCTGGTACATGAGGGTTCTCTAGGAATTGATTTTCTCATATTCTCTACAGCATAGATCACATACCAAGGGTTATAAAGGGCCGCTTTTCTCCTATTTTTTACATACCAACTTTTATTCCCTTTATATCAGGGTTGATTAGTACATTTAGGTTACTAAAACTAAGGTTTTAACTTTGGCTTCACCGCATGTGTTTCCCTATCAGATTATCTCATCTCTTATTTTTCTTCCTGATTAAATTTGTCCTGATTTTGATTCATTAGATTTCCTTGTATCTTTTTGAATTTCTAATTCCTATTTTTTCCCAGATCTCAAATTAAACCTAAAGCAACAGATGACTTGTAATTTGACTCTTATTGGCTAGAGACCTCTTCAAAAGCAAAGAATACAATTAACTCTTATCCAACTTTGAACATGGTTAGCTTTGAATTCACAAATATCACCTAAGGCACTATAGAAAGGGTCAAATAATCAGATAGGTTAGCCTAAGAGATAGCAATAATAAGTTTACATTTTTATCAACCATTGTGGTGATATAATTATTTAAAAATAATGAACAGATCGTATATATTTATATAAGGGACTGATGATGAAGTTATGTATATGGACAAAAATCAAAATACTTCAAGGAAATAGAAGTTGAATTGATATATTTAATGGATGATCGACATTTTTTCTAATTTTAACTCTTGAAGAAAAAATGTTTAAATCTAAACATTTTTCTAAAGTAGGAAATTTTGATATAAGAATAATTATAAATTGAATGGGAATCCTATAATGAAAAACTTTGAGCTATTGTAAAAATACCTATCTCAGATGAATTTTAGCTGATTAATCTAAATATAATATTCATATCAAGAATCAAAATTAATTAAGTGTTAACAATTTATAAGTATTTATAACAGAAAGTAATAAAATTAGGAAAAAAATCTACAAAATCAAGAAAATAGATCAAGATTGGTTTGTTATTTTGTTAAAATTTTTATTACAAAATCCTCTTTGATAGTTAATATTGGGGCTGAATTGGATTTATAGATTCTTTTCTTATCCAATTTTAATTTTAACATTTTTTGGGCTACTTTAAATTCATTTATGTTCCATTTTAAAACTTTAGTAATTGAAATAATTTCCATAACTAATGCTAATAAGAGAATCTATATTATTAATCCAATAAAGAAACTAAGTACAATTCCAATGATGCATGCAATAATAAAATTCTCATTTTCGTATAATATAACTCCTAGGGTAATCCCTAATCCATATAAAAAAAGACTTAATGTTAAAAAGCCTAGCAAACAACATTTTTAATTTTTCGGAATTCTTAACAGCTATGAAAATTCGTATTTTTATTCAAATTAGACTTCACAATCAAAGGTCTTTTTGCATAACTCACAAAAGACCTAAAGTATGAGTCGAAACTTACTCTATTTGCTGCTATTTCATCAATTTTGTGATTTCGTAATAGCCATGTTTTTAAACAATCCTCATGAACATACTGAATAGAACCTTTGCATTCACATGGCTTAATAAATGCATTCATTTGACCATCCTCTAAACATATTCTACAAATCAGTTTATCAGTATTAATCTAATAAAAAATTATAACTTACTTCAGCATGCTGTAGATGTAATTTTCCTTTTTATGCTTAATTGTTCAAATACAATTTGACTTTTTTCACAGTCTAAGGATTAAGATTGACATGAATACTCTTGTTTTAAGTATCCTAGAAAAAGAACTATAATTACTTTAACAACAATAGTTTGCATTAACATTTTTTGAGACTCAATTCTTGGAACAAAAAGTATCTAGCCAGTTTAAAATCCCAATTCAATTAAATCTTATTCCAAAGTATTATGTTATTATCCATTGTTTTCGCTCTAATCTAGAGATTATTACTTAACAAAGACTCGATTTTTATGGCAAAATTACATATATTATTTTATATCATAATATAAGTGGATAAGTATTCCTTTTAAAATCAGACTCTTTTAAAAAACATATCAATAAATTCTAAATATTCAATTTCTCCATCTTGATCTCTATCAACTTCACTAATTAATAAGGAGCAATATTCTTTAGTGATGTACTTATAATTCTCTAGCTTAGATAAAATTTCCCATAAGTTTTCATTGGAAATTTTACCTTTGTTATTCAAATCAAACATTTTAAAGGTTTTATATATTCTTTCTTCATCTACAAATACCCTTTTTTCTAATATCTAATTCATAAAATCTAATATAACATTTAATTAGGCTATACCTAAATAATTAATGGTTCCATCTTCAGTCTAAACATATTTAAGTAACTTAAGAATTTCTTCATGTTCTTGATGTTTTTCAAGGGATTTTTAAATTAAATCAATTTTGATAAATCCGCTACCTGTATTATCTAATTAATCAAAGATTATTCTAAGATTGTCTGCGAATCCTTATTTGACTTAATCAGCAACATACCCCCTCATAATCTAAGTTAAAAATTTGTTACTTTTTAGAGAAAATTATTTTAAGTAAGCAATTTAAATTTGGAAAAGTTTATGTTCAAAGTTTCTTCCTCTTCAGAAAATTATTAACTCATCCATTAATGTTTTTAGATCTAAAATATTTAGTATCTTTTTTCTTGTGGTTATAATATTTTTTCAATTAGATCAGAGACTATTCCTTTTGTTTTTAATTGAATTTTATTATCTTGAATATTCTTATAAATTTCATTCTCATCTTTTCCATCAAAAGGCAATTCACCTGTAAGCAGTACATGCAAGATGACTCCAGATGCCCATATTTCACTCTTCTCTGTCAATTTTCCAATAAATATTTCTGGAGCAGCAAAGTATAACTTAATAATAATAGTTGATTTAAATACTTTTCCTTGTCGAGAGGTTTCAATAATTTGATTATTAGATTTCTTGATATAATCATCAACGTATATGAGTTAGAATCCAAGATCGATTAATTTTATATCAAGATTATTTATATCTTTATTAATGAAATGGAATGATTCAGGCTAACAAATAAACGAATTAAATACTCTCAAATCCCTTTAACAAATTGCAGACCTATGTGCAATATTGAGAGAATTTATGATTTATTAAAATAGGTACCTTGCCTCGCTTTATTTAAGATAATATCTCAATAAAATCTTTTCAAATAATGATCCTCCATCACAATATCTAAGATATCTATAGTTTTTACTCTAAAACAAAATAAAGGTTTTTATCATCCTCAAATAATTCAATCAGCCTTGTAATATTTTCATGATTCTAAATTCATTCAAATTTTACTAAATATCGCATTTAGTTAATTTCCTATTTGAATCTAGATTGATTGACAACTTTAGTTTTTGGCACAACTCTAACAGTTCGAATTTAACCATCCTTTTTTTTCTCTTTGTATTTAATCACCATGCCATATTTTGAAGGACCTAAAGACTTAGATATCATATTTCTACACTTACTTTCCTTCCATCTATTTCATAACGATCCTTCAATTTGTTTTATTTACTCCATGCAAACCATAAATTAGATAAATTTAACATAAATAATATTTTCACATTAGGACTAAAAATATATTGCAAACAAAAAATAGTAGAAATGAAAGCAAAAACAGTTAAAATTCTATTATATTGCCTTCGCCGATGCATTTTCCAACCCAAGGACAATGATGATCATAACCTCTAACACAAATATCACATTCAAAACAATGATAAGTTCCTAATTCTTTTTTGAGTTTGCATGGTTAACACGATTCTTGATTATATAAAATTGATACTCTCAGTTCTTGTAACTTCTGTTAATGTAAAATTGACTCCAGGATTTTTGAGAAAAACTCTTAGAAAACTTACTTCCAATATTAAGCTACTGAGTATAGATGCTAAACTAGCCCAGATACCGGATTTGAGGTATATTGTAGTACTAATAAAATACGTTCCCAATATTATAGAAATTATCACGCATAGACTCAAAGGCCCTAGAGATATCAAAATGTAATACAGTGAGGACCTATCGTTATTTATGGTTGACCATCAGAAAATTTAAACATAAAGTTGTTTCCATAATGTGGTTTAAATGGTTGGTCATTTTCTATTTCAAGGATACCATTTGTTTCTTCCTTTTGTATCTAACATGATTCCTCTTGAAAGAATGCTTCTTATTATTTCATCCTTTTTGTTGGTTTTACAATAATTATAAATAAATAATATTCAAATCATTGCTGGATTTATCTAATTAAGAAATAATTAGGTCTGATCTATGCATTACTAGGCCTATTCCGTTAATTCCTCATTCATCATTCCTAATTCTGCTACTTAATCAATCAATTTTTGATTGTTTTCTTCCAATCTTTAAAATGTATTTGGCAACATGCTCTTTGATTCAATTAATAATTCATTCTATGTTAAAATGGGATTTTTACTTGTTTCTTTAATTTTAATGCGTTCTCTTCATTATCTTCGATCCCTTAGATAGCATTTTCAAATTATTGAATTTCATTTTTGTATGCTAAGTATTCTTTTTAAATTCTTTTGGATGCTGCCATCAATACTTTAATCTTTTTCTCTAAAGGTACTTCAGCCATTTTAATTATATAAATTATTTATGTATTCCTTTTTGTTAAATAGAGCAGCTTCTGAAATCATTATAAATTTTCTTTTATAAATTTTATAATCAATTCTGTTAAATTATTATTTCCCTTATTTGTATTATATATAAAATTTCATTTAATATGAAACGAAAGTACAACAAACTCTTTAAAACTGAGGTAGAATCAGATGCATTTGGAGATCTTGAGACATTTCAAGACTTTGAATCAAAATTAAAAACTTTTATTGATAATACTTCAAAATTCACTAAAGGGAAATAGAAAGTGTAAATGAAAGAATCAATTTCATAAACCGATTTAGACTTTTAATCTATTTTGTTAGATAAAATTATAAGAAAATCAATGACCAAAAAAGACCTCAAAACAAAATATATAGATGTTTGTTCAGAATTTGGGATTGATTATTACCAATTGCTAAAGCTTGAAACTCTAGAATAAAAATAAAATTATGCCATCCAATGTGCTACCAAGTCAATATCAAAAAGTTTAGAGACTTTGTTAGCCAAGTATAAACAGGAAAAGAACGAACCTTCTGTTCAGAGTAGCAGTAAACAACTGGATCTGTATGGATGGATGAAGGTCAAATCTCAATATAAAAAACTCAAAAAAATCTTGCAATATGCTCTAGTAGAGCTTGTTTAATAAAATTCTAATCAGGATAAAGTAATTATTTATAATTAAGTAAGATTAAAATGTTTTTTGCATACATAAATCATTTTATATAAAAACGACACAAAACAACAGAAAGTCTAAATTTCAGTACTGCTCACACTTCAAGAATTCGTACATAGCAAAATTTCGAAGAGAAATTATATTTAGATCCTCCTCAATTTCAATTTTCCAAGCCAGATCTATTTTTTGAGTGGAACTAGGCAATTGAATAAGGCTATTTCTTAAATGACAATAATATTCATAGAGTTGGATATGAATTAATGAAGAAACAAAATAGCAAGGGGGTTAATTATTAAAAGAGAGAAAAATTATTAGATTAATGTTAGGAAGGGAATTATTTGACTGCTGAAGAATTAAAGTATTTAGCATCAACTTCCTTTCTAATAAATAAATGTTTAGACAAATAATTTATTCAGAGAGCAATTAATTTTTTGGATTCTCAAGTAAATAGTATCTTTGAAGTTTAGGTCATTCATTAAATTGAAATGAATATAGCAGAACAAATATTATAGACATTTTACTATTTGAAGAAAAACCTTACTTAATATAGAAAGGATTGGTTAGAAAAAGTTAATATTGAGAAACGAAGGAATATTAGTAAAAACTAAAAATAGATATTATAGAAATCAATTCGGAGCTCAATTAAAAGAAAAATTAATTGCTTTCAAATTCGAACCAAATAAGAAATATAAAGAAGAAAATTATCAATTAATTAAGAGATGTTGCAAAGAAAAAGCAGCTATAGAGCGAAGCAGAAAGAAAAAAAGAGAAATATCTAAGAATATAACGAAGAATGGGCAATCCATTAGCGAATATATATGTCCAAAAGTTCAAAGAAATTGTGCTTTAGGTGATAAGTAAAATTAGAGAAGTATTTAATTTGATTACAATAGAAAAAAGTGTCAGATAAAGAAAGATAAAAGGAATTTTTGGAAAGGAATGAAGCTAAACCGCCTCCAAAAGCCATTTACACCATTGGAAACGAAATTTATGATGTAACTAAATCAAAGAGAGCATTTCATCCACCTTCTAAAATAATGACAACTTTATCAGAAGATAAATATAAGGTGTAAAAACCAGATATTTAGAAACAAGAAGTAAGGAGATATAAATTAGGAATACGAAATTATACAGTTACATAAGATCAATTTAAGAATTACTATGCTGGTGGACCTTAATTACCAAGAAAATTTCAATCTCCAGAATTATAGCATTTAATTAAACATGATGATTCAGATAATAATTTTCCAAGAAAAAATAATTGGATAACTTCAGAAGCAGAAGTTTAAGCTGCAAATAAGATCAAATTTGCAATTAAAAGGTATATCCAGAAGAAAGCCTTAAATAAGTTAATTGTAAAAAGTGAAGTTAAAAAAAACAGAGATATCGAAATTAAAATTAGAAAATGCATGTAAGCAAAAAAGTTCTTTGAAGAACTTCACAAAGAATTAGACAAAAGATAAAGCGAAAGGCTTAAAGATATTTCAAGTCATTAACCGCCAAAACTACCAATTGATAAAATTGAAAAGGTTCCATCTTCTGGTGCTTTGAGCATAGGTGTAAAAAGTAGTGGTCAAATTTCCTAAACATAAAGGACATCTAAGAGATTGTAATCTCATAGATTAAGTCTTTATAAATATATACCACCACAAGAAAAAGTAGATGAAAACTCATTGGTAATTGTAGATTTGTTATTAAGTTAAGGATACAGCTAGAAGGGCAGAACTAGAAATTAAGGAGATTGCCAGAAAAAAGAAGCTGATGAAATTCTCTAAACAAAAGGAAATGAGCGAGGCAAAATTGAAAAACAGAAAATTGATTGTTGCTGCTAAAATGAAGAATCTATAGGTCGCTATGACTTCAGGATTTTAATACAATCAAAGAGATACATAATTATGTGATAGATTTGGAAATACTCCTCTTTATTATTGTGCAAAAAATGGAGATGAATAGTTTTGCAGATTTTTACTCAATTTGGGTGCAAATGTCAATTAACAATGCGAGAATCTCAATACTCCATTGCATATGGCTTTTTAATCAGAAAGCAAATAAATTATTATTGATTTTATAAATAAAGGAGGTAATCTCAATATGGTCAATGCAGATAAATGTACTCCATTAGCATTTGGTTCAGAGGAATTATTGAAATCTTTGAATCTATGCAATCTTGTTGCAACTGTAAGAAATTAACTATTTTTAGACTAAACATTAAAATTTAGAATCTGATAATAATAATGTATTCTCAAGGAAAGAAGCAAAATGGATGGACTAATAATTTGAGGATGCATTAATATACGATAAATACAAATATAAAACAATAATTTGATTATATATAATGAGTTATAAAGATCGATTTTAATATTTTAAATATTCAACATTAATATTACAATGAAGAAATATGCTAACCTAGGAAAGGTCTTATATATGAATATAGTTCTAACATTTCATTTATCTTAATGCTTGGCTTTGGCCAGTCTTTTGCCTTAAATTGTCGATTAGAACAACTATTCATACTTAGGTGGTCTAGGATTGATATGTATATATACAGTAAATCTAATTTTCAACCTGGTTGGTATGATTATAATATAACACTGTTAGCCCCACTTTATTTAACTAAAATGAAATACCGATATGGATTTACTTTTTAAGCAGGATTAGTATTGCCTTGTTTTATTCCTGCTTATATTATATCAAGGTGTGATGGAAATGATGTTTAAGATTTAATTTGCAACCCAATAATGTTGATTCCTCTAACTTTGGTCGGATGTGTCTTCTTAGGAGCAGGGTTGGGTGGATATTTTGTTCTCTAAAATACATATGTTAGTCACTGTTCTACAGACAAAAATAAAGAGTTGTTTTTTGGTGTAACTTACATGTTACTTGGAAGTTCATATTTGTTGAATGGGGTGACTTCTGATTAATTATTATCATACATAGGTCGAGAGAATTACTTTTTGTATAGTGGATTGTTTGAGTGCATATTATCTCTATTGTTTATTTTTGTTTAATAACCCGATAAGGGTAACCAAAATTAAATTTCTGAGGCCAATTAATGTCTTATCCAGAATGATTCTGTTGATAAACCTGAAGAACAGGTAGCCAACATTAACAAGAAGTTTGCCAAAATAGGATTCAAAGCATAAATCAAATAGATTATCTAAAAATTTTAATTGAAGGAAATGAAATTTTTATTTTCTTTATTTATTTCTACAGGTGTAGTTATAGGTTTTGAATTTGGGATCTTTCATAAGTTTATTTCAGCCTCTCTACCTGGCGAAAATGAGATAACAGTAAATGTTAGAACAGCCAGAATCTTTCTATTTGTTGGAGTAGCTTAAATATTGAGTGGGATTTGTAATGGGTTATCTAGATACTTCTTTGGAATTATTTAAAATTCCATCTTTTATGGAAATGTGTTCTAATGCTTGAATATAATTGCTATTATTAGTGCATTTTAAAAAAATTATAATATCAATATAATTTTAGGCTTTTTGATGTATGAATTTTATTGGCATTTTTTAGAGGATTTACAGATAATTCAGGATAATTCAATTCCGCTGTCATCATCTCAGATATTTGGAATGAAGATATGGCAATTTTTGGTTTATATTTATTTTGCCAAAATTTTGGAGTAATGTTTACCAATCTTGTTGCTATATTTCTTGATGGGTAATCCTTAGTTTATTATTTGTTATTGTTAATTGCTCTACAATGTACTACCAGTTTTTCATAACAATAATTTAAAAGATCATTAGAAAAAGAATGATTACATAATAAGAAATATTTATATTTTTCATTATTCTTCTGCTTCATCCTCAATTACGTAGTCTGGTGGAAGGATAACTCTGATAAAATCTTCCATTCCTAATTTTCCATCCTTGTCTAAATCATGTAATCGAAATAAATCTTCAACTTCTTTACCCGTAAATCCATAAGTAAAAGTCTTTTTCAGATCTTCCAAAGATATATCTAAATTTAGTATAATGATCTATTTTACATCCTTTGTTATCTTGATCAATCAAATCATAAATCTGTTTAATTCTGATCATACTGCTCTTTGGTAATACTCTCTTTCTTTTCATTTGTTTTGTATCATTGTTTTTAAGAACTTCCAACTCGATGCTTTCCTTAGAACTCTTAGAGAAAACCTCGTTATATTATTTAATCCAATTATTAATAATTTCCAATTACACTTTTGTTAATGAAGGGTAAAGTTTCAGCATCAATTAGTCAAAAGTGACAAATCCCTTTTATTTCGAATCTAAATAATTGTACAGACTAGCTGTGACCCTTTTCATGTGAGGTTTATTTTAAAAAGCTTTTGTAAAATCCTTAACACCAATAACCTTATTATTATCGGACAGCGAGTCAAAATAATTCTTTACTCGAAAGATCTCATTCCTTGTTAATGTGCACCCTTTAGTTATAATAATGTTTTTCATTATCCTACCTTAGCTTTTTACTCTCTTACCTAATTAAATAGGATTTTAAGCTGGATGATGCATACTTTAAGATGGTTTTTCTGTTGATAAATCATATTTCTTTTAGTGTTAATCCAATGCTTTTTCTAAGATATTTAATTCTTCCAATTCTTCTTCCATATTCAATTATTTTTAGGCTTAAATTTTAGGTAAAGACTAATTTCTTTATTATTAGATAGAATATATTTATTGTTATTATTAACTTTTTGTATTTGCCATATAACTAAATTTATTCCTTTTACCAACCTAATCATTTAGGCTTTTCATATAGTATTCATTCTTATTAGATTTAGTTATCATTTCTAACATGTTCTCAGCCTCTTGTTCAGTATAGGCACGAAAAGAACGAAATGCTTCAAAGGGCTCTTGTACCTTCTGCTTAGGTTCATACATTTGAAATAATTGTAAACCTGTAGGATTATTATCAAGCCACTCTATTATCCTAGGGTTAAGTAATGTATTACTCGCTGAGCTCTAATGAATTGTCTACTTAGATATCACTTTTGAGAAACATTAATTTTGCGAACTTCTCCAATTAGATATAGGATGGCAATTCAGCTTCTGTTAACTTGCAGTATCCCAATATAATCGATTTAAATATAATCAGTAACTCATTGAGGCTTATGTTTCCACTACAATCTAGATCGAAAACGATATACAAGACTAGCAATTATGTTGAGCTTAATAATTACAATGAACTTTGTGGATATATTGGGTGTAGGCAGTAATTGTCAAAATACATATGAATTCATAAATGGAGAGAACTTTGTTTCCGATGCAAAATTAATCGAAGATAAAGCTTGCATTTGATCTGCTAAAAGGTACAATCTTACAGAAAATGTTTTTATCAATAAACGGAGAAGTTGATCTTCTCTAAAATTATTCATAAACCTATCTGATTTCCATTAATGACCCTATTATACTAATTTCCATTACAATGCAATAATTGTTTAAGGTTTGGATTGACATCTTTTGTAATGTCAAATTTCAATTCCATCCTCCTAAGATGCATAGGAAGATTGCTTATTGTACCAGTCTCGTCAGCATTAGGATTTGATGAAACACTTCCCATTAATATAATAATAACAATATAATTAAAACTGACTAGATATATCTATTCTTTTTTAATGCTTTCGTAGCGATAATCATAAAGTTGTTCTAATTTTAATGGTTGTTTGGAGATTCGACATTTGATATTAGAATCGAAAGTAAAATATTATGATATTAATTTTCGTTAAAAATAAATATGCTATATGTTTAGGAAAGCAGTGGTTACAGGAAATCTGTACGAAATAGTTTATCTTCCAGTCGAAATCAATCAAAGAAGAAAAAAACTAGTTAATAATGTGAAGATATTTTACTTAATATCAATTCTATGATGAATAGATTAGATTACTTGCAGTAGGCAATTGAAAATAGAAATCAAGAGACTAGAGCTTAGATAAAGAAATACATACCTCAAAACTATTAAAATAAGGGAGTGCAAAATTTAAATAATTACTTCTAAGAAACTTAATTTACAGAAGATAAAGAAAATAATTTAGAAAAGCTGAATTGTTATCATTTGATGAAGAAATTTGAAACACAAAAAAATCATCATTAACCTAGATCTGAGTTTTCTCGAAGAAGATCATTTGCTAATTGAGAATCTTTAGTTAGACTTAAATTATCAGCTTAATTTAATTTTAAATTATTAATTACAAATAATAGTTGTTTCGTTTAACAATAAATATTCCAATTTGAATCTTATGACTATAACAAAAAAGAAATGATGGTGGTATTATATGATAATGTTCCATAAATTGACTAACTCAATCTCTCTTTTAGTTTCCTCCTCTGGTTCTATTTCCTTATGGTCTTCTTTAACCTCTGTTATCTCTATTGTCTCTATTGTCTCTGTTATCTCTATTGTCTCTGTTGTCTCTATTATCTCTGTTTTCTCTGTTATCTCTATTGTCTCTGTTATCTCTGTTATCTCTATTGTCTCTGTTGTCTCTTCTGTTTGTATTTGGTCTGGCGTCCTTTCTCACATATTCAATATCAGAGTATTTCTTGCCGTTTTAGTTGACAACAACTAAATCATCCTGATATGTAAATTACATAATTTACTTTTTCAGGAGTTATGCGTCCAAATTAATCAAGTGAGAGTCTGTGTCTTTCTTAAATGACTTCAGACAATCCGTTTCTCCATGCATAACATTTACCTTTCTCAAGAATATTGGCATATTCTCCAACAACTCTGAATCTGATGACTCCTGTATCATCTCCAGCCAAACCTTCAGAAACAATCAAAAGTGAACCATCATATCTTTTAATTTATTCTTTCTTGATATCTTCAATCTAGGATATAGATATTTGATTCTTACTTTGACGAAGGTATTATATCCATGAATTCCTGGTTTGACATCGCTGAGTTTGTCAACTAGTAGGTTAAACTAATACAAATACATTTTGGTTTGGTCAATTGACGAGTTTAAGGTGGTCTATTTTAGGAAGCCATTGAATAAATATATTAAAAGATTTAAATACCTTGATTAATATTTAATTTTTTTTTGAGATTTATATTGTAAAAACATATGGTGCACACAATTCAAAACAAAATAATTATTAATTAGACAAAGAAATCTTAATAACTTCTTCTCATTCATCTGAGAAACCCCAACTCCATAATTTGAAAAGTTGAACTCTTTATTTTTTTAGAAATCTCATGATCTTTTTCTTCCCTGTTTGGTGCATAGTATAATTTACTAAATGACATATAGGTCCTGAGTTTAGAAAAGCCCAATTATTTCTTATTGTTTCTCTCTAGTTTTATATCAAAAAATAACTAAATATAATTACTAATATTTTGTTCTAAATCTTCGAATAAAGTGATAATAACTGTATTAAACTTAGCCTTGCCATTATACTTCTATACTAGTGTCTTGTTTCTTTTCAAATTCTCTAGACTTAATATTTTGTCGATGACTTTCCCTAAAATAGTATAATATGAGATTTATTAGATTAATGCTATAATCTAAAACCTTACTTTTGGTGTTTTACTCCAACTACCAATTGTAATATATTTCAAAGTTTTATAATAATATGTATATATGTCACAACTTAATCAATTTTATTAATCATTTAATCTTTATTAATTAATTTGATGATGAATTATATTTCCACCATCCTAATAATATGCTTATCAATACAACTAACATATTCCACTCATACACTCAACTTAGTCTAAGATGAACAAGCCTTATGCTTGGATGGATCAAGAGGAGTATTAATATTTTATAATTAAAGTCATTTTATTTCGATAGAGGAAGTGGAAGTGGAGCTAAGTCATGGATTATTTACTTCCAAGGAGGAGGTTGGATTGGTGGAAGCAATTTGGAAGCTACAAAGAATAGTGCTTTATCTAGATCAAAAACAGATATAGGGTCATCAAAAAATAAGGCCCAATAAGTCAATATAGGTGGAATCTTCTCAAGGGATTCTAAAGTAAATCCTGTTTTGTACAACTGGAATTCCATTTACATCAATTATTGTGATGGAACAGGTAATTTTTTAATGTAAATCTCTTAGGACATTAAGGATATGCCAAAGATCCAATCGTTGTTAGTGGAACCAATATTTATTTTAGAGGTAATTCAATTACAAGATCTATAATAAATTAATTTTTGGATGAATTGAAATAAGCTGACAAAGTTATTGTATCTGGATGTTCAGCAGGTGGATTAGCTTCTTTTACTTGGGTATAAACCATTAGAGATTTATTACCACCAAGTGTAACCGTATTAAAGTATTTTACTTTATGTATGTAGTGTTCCAGATTCTGGAGTGTTCTAGGATTTGACAACCTATGATGGTTCCATTTCTTATAAAAATACATATCATACTAACTTTATGCAATTGTCCAATAAAGAAATCTCTCCACCAAATACTCAATGTGTCTAATCAAATCCTAATGAATAATGGAAATGCTTATTTGCCCAATATTTAATTGAGTACATTGATACTCCAATTTTCTTTGTTCAATCCCCATATGATTCATGGTGTATCCCAAATATTTTGAAGTTATCATGTGCAAATGATGGAACCTTATAAAACTGCAATCAAAGTTAAGTCAACTTTATAGAAAGTCATGCCATAAGTATGGAAGTGATGATGAAATCAAGATTTTCAACTCATTTTAATACTGGAGGTTTCGGTCCTGCCTGTTTATAACATTGGTACATATTGTGTTAATTGTTTTAGTTTCCTAGAAGGTTCAAACTACTATGGAACTAAGTTCTAAGTCCCTACTGGATCAGGAAATACTATTGCAAAGACTTTGTCTGCCTGGGTTTTAGATTAATCAGTTTCTTCTAATTATTTAGATAATGTGTCATGGCCTGATAATGTTGGATGCAATAATTTACCAACAGAGATGTGAGTTTAAATTCATATAAACGATTTAATTATTATTATTTGTTTCATATAAATTATAATTTTTCATTTTATTTTCTTAATTCATATATTTGCAATCTTGCAAGCTTAGTGTTCTTTTAATCTTGTAAAGTAATAATTGATTTATGATTGATTAAGTTATTTTCTTATTTTTGGTTTCTTTAATTTAGATTCAACTGCTATTGGTTTTTTAGTTGGTTCATCTTTGTAGCCATTATGTGTTGAACCTATACTAAGAGTTCACTAATTTTTGATTAGCATGCTTAGCAAATCCAGCTCTTTTAACAAGATATATGATATGAATGGCCACAATTAAATGTCACTACATTTTCTACCTCTATAAATAACTGTTTTTATAACCTCCAATCTAATCAATTCTCATGTGTCCTAATAATTAGCATTATTAACATATTATTTCAACTCTCTTGCCTTAATTTCTATTTTTATGGAGTAAATCCTTTATTAGGGTATTTGTTTTATTAATTTCTAAATTGCCAAGCCTTAAAATATGCTAATAACAATGAAAATCCAAGAAAACAGCTCTGAAACAATAGAATTGAAATCCTAAATTTAATTTTGAGTAATTATTGATCAATTCATCAATAAATAACTCAACATCCGTGGAATATAACAATTTAATAAGAATCTCAGGAGTATTGCTTCTAAAATGATTGATGATTGTTAATATTTCAATTTTTGAATTGTCTAATTTATATGCTTAATACAACATTTATTACCAATCGATAATTTGATTGAATACCTAAAAATACAAAATATCAAGATTGTTATGCAATCTATTGTTATCCAAGAGTGTTTTCATGTTGTTTAATAGTTATTGCAAAGTAGCGATTAATTGACTAAGACTATTAATTACTAAATATGGTTTCTTCCTCTTTGATATTTATACAGGCAGTCTCACAACTTCTCTTAGATACCGTTTCAATAGGTCATCCATAAATTCTAAATAAATCTAAATGCTTTCGTCTACTTTGTTCATCTTCTCTAATAAGATAGCAGTCCCCTCATAAATATTATAGGCTTTTGTTAAATAAATAGAGTCGAAGATTGGATATTTACCAGATCTTAAAAAGTTAGGTACCTGCTCTGGTTTGTGTTTGCACAACAATTCTACATGCTTTACTAAGATTTGAGACTCAGATATATTATGCCAAATAAAATTGATATAATCTAATTGGAACTAAGGATCATCTATAGTGTCTATAACTTCATTGTATTTTTATTAATGGTGCAATTGTATTTATGTTTCAGAATGCAATAAGGAATTTAAAGTAATCTAAGTGATAATAATAAATTTCAATACATCTAATAGTTATTTTTAAATTTCTTTTTATTAGTTATCTTGTTATAATTTATTCCAATACCATAATTCCAATTCTAAATCATTATCTACTTCATCTTCTTCCTCTTGACATTAATTGCATTGATTAGAACTCGCTTCAGATTTACTATGACACTCAATTTTCGAGTCTTCTTCCTCCTCTTCTTCTTAGCTTTCTTCAGAATTTTCTTCTTCTTCCTCATTTTCATTGTCGTCTTCTTCATCCTCCTCATATTCTTCTTCTTATGAATTCTGGGCCTCATGTTCTGAATTACTTGAATCTTCATCGGAATTCTCGCTTTCACTCTTATCTTTTTATGGTTTATTAATAAAAGCATTCATAATTGAATTTTAAGGTGGAGGTTTGTCATCCATTACAAATGATACAAATTTAGAAAATAAGCTACTCATTATGATTAATTAATTTATATTTATTAAGCTAAGATGAGTCTTATGACAAAAAGAATATTAAAAGAACTTGAATAGCTTAGAAATGATCCACCATCATCCTTTGTGGCTCAATGCATAAATAACAACCTTTATGAATGGCATTTTACAATAAGGGGTCCTGAGGATTCTGATTATTAGGAAGGAATTTATCATGGAAAAATAGAGCTTCCGGTTGATTATCCAATTAAACCTCCAAACATATATTTTTTGACTCCAAATGGTAGATTTGAAGTGAAAACCAAAATTTGTTTAAGTATAACAAAGTTTCATCCCGAAAATTGGAATCCCAGTTGGACAAGTAAAACTATTATACATTTTCTTTAGTTAGAACAATGATAGAAGGAATTATATAACATTTTCATGTGTCAGACTTTGCAGTGGGCTCAATAAAATATACATCAACTTAAATAAAAAGTTTAGCTTAAGCAAGTCATACATGGGAATGTGATCTATGTGGGCCCATTTCTAAATAAATTGCTCCTAAAATCAAACAAGAATAGAAAGAGGAATAGCCATAACCATAACCCAAAAAGGAGGAATAGCCATAATCCAAAAAGGATGAATAAATTTAAGATAGGAATGAAGATAAAAAGCCTGAAATTACAAATATATTCAATCTCAAAAATTCAGAATAGGACTAATAGAAATCTCCATAAGCAAAAGAATAGATCCAACAATAATAAACTTAGATGTCTAAATAAGTAGAATAAAAATAAAAGAGAGAAGGCGAGAGAAAAAGAGAGATGTAGATGAATGATTGTTCTGATGATGATGAATAAGAGATTCCTATGACTAAAAGTCAAAAAATGGATTTGGAAAAACTTCTTTGGAAAGCTATGAATCCAGACTTTTTATAAACTCAATTTTCGTTGAGAACCTAGAATTAGTAATTTGGTCATTGTTATCCATAATAACTTCAGTATTTCGATTAAAGTAATTTTATATCGTATAATAAACAGTTTATAAAATGATGGAAGAAGAGGAAAAAGCCTAAAAGTCTTTGGTGCTTAATAAGCAAAGAGAATAGGATGTTAATAAGAGAGAAGCTGCAGAGGAAGTTGAGAAGCCATAAGTAGTAAAAATAAATAATTACTAATCCTAAATTAAGTTGATAAATCTAATTCTATGGGTTTTAATATTCGGAATTGTGTTTGTAAATTTCGGAGAACAAATTGAATAGAAGTTTCAAGAATGGTTGTTAATTGCATGAAATTTATTATTATTTAATATAATATTGAATGTAGATCAGGAAATCATTTGTCTAAATACTGATTTAGTAATAGGTTGATCCTTGACATTAGTGTATTGGATCATAATCTTCATGTCTTAATCAGTCAATCCGAATTTGTATTTCTAGTTGGCTGCTTTTAATCCTTCGAAAGTGATCTTTCCTTTGCCTTATTCTAAGACTTCATAGATGCAGTCGAAGTTTTCAGGTTCAGACAATTCGAAGTTGAATTGCTATGAAAACTCGTCTTGATCCAATTTCTAATTTTTCCTCCTTTGTAATTTTTTTAATAACAAGGAGCATTGTTCTCCGCAGGCAGCTTCAACAACTGGGATAAAGTCTTCCACAATTAGTTTCTCCTCAAAAGCATCGACAAATTCTTAGTATAATTACTACACTTCTGGTGTTTATGAATAATCGAACTCTTTTTGTTAAAACATTGCTTATAATAATTAAATATTTAGATATCATGAATAAATATTCACCTGATGGCCTAGTAAATTTATAATAAATCGTATTAGAAATGCCTTTTAGGTGCAGTGTTAGTAAAAGCAGGATAAGCACTATTAATGACATGGGGAAAATCTAATGTTTATTATTATTCATATTTCAAAATGAATGATCCTGACTTGTCAGTTGCTTACAATACATTGCCGATTGCATTAATGGGTATACCATTGGCAGCAGCATCAGTCTATTCATTAAAAATCGCCGATAAAATAGGCTATGAGAAACTAATAAGAATCACGGCATCATTATAATTTTTGTCGTTCCTCTTAGCGTTACACGCTAACTCTTATTTGGAATTCATAATTTTTTATTTGGGTTTTATTGGTTTAGGATATGCATTATTAGCATTTCCATTGTTGAAATGCTTGTGGAGTCACTTTTCGGAGGAGGAAGGAATGGTCACAGGTATTTTATTTGGAGTATTTGGATTTGCGACATTTTTCTATCTACTGTTGGTTACATATATAGTGAATCCCAATAATGAATAAGCCACTTTATCAGTAATGGATTATTTATTACATAGATGTAAGTAGGTTCATAGTAGTATCTGTATTTCTCTGAGCATGTTGCAGTTAACACACGTTAAGCGATTAAGTATGCTGGATTCATAGCAGGTACTTTAAGTGTCTGTGGCAGTCTATTGATAAACCAAAGAAAATTGGAAGTGGCAGAAGAGTAGGAATTATAGATTTTGACCAGTGAAATCTAGAACATTAAAATAGCTTCAAATGATCCTCTTTTGTAAGTGGTCAGAACTCCCTAATTCAAAATAATTCTGGGATCTTACTTTACTGTTTTCTTTTTTGAAGTAACTTTGGGATTAAACTATAAAACATATGTTCTACAAAAGGTAGATATATATTTATAGTTTAAGAGATAAATAATGATCAATTGATTACATGGGTTGACACACTTGGAATCATTCTTGGATCAATTGCTAATTTCGTCTTTGGGAAGATGGCTGATTCGATTACATTCACTGTCTTGCTCCATAAATTATTGATAATGATGAGTATAATAGCTGTGATGATTCCGATTTCTTTGAATATTTCAAAAGATTTATTCATTATTGGTAATGTTCCCATGTAAACATAGATTATCTATTATTATCCATTGTATCTAAAGGAATTATAGTAATCTTGGGTCCAGGATTGCTCTAGATTTTTGGTAAGAAAACTGGTGCAGATATACTCCCAATAGTCAATTTTAGTGGATTGTTAGGCTTCATCATATCAGCTCTCTCAATATTGCTAATAGTCCCAGTGTTGAGATTTGATGGCACATTCATTTTCCAAGGTTTGTTGATCGGATTAGCTGCCTATAGTACTAAAAAGCTCAATTAATGAATGATTATAATAATATCCATTTATTACAACTAAAATTTAAAATAAATAAAATAATCATGAGTAATTATGTGATCAGTGCAGCAGATCAACTAATCATTCAATCAGGTAGAATCAACTATCCAACTCCTAGGAACACCATTTAATTGTGAAATTGTACATCCAGGTTAATCTTGTGAAATGAACATTTTATCTAAGTATTATTGGAAATAACTTAATAAAGTCTTCCCAGAATTATGAGATCCAATTCTAAAGTGTACTTGCCAGTTCATCTGATCCCATTTCTACTTTACAAAAGAAAATAATTCATGAAGAAGTATCAATAATATCCTTAACCAAATAGTCCTTTATCCACATTGGGCAGAGCACTTGTTTCATATTTTAAGAGCATATGTTTCCTCTCCTTTATGGTTCAAATCCTCCGTTACAATTGGTGCAAACAAAAAAATCTCCTTAAAAAGGTTGATCCATTTGTTCCATTGTCTGGTGGTTTCATAAGTTCATTTGCTCTTCTTCTTGAGTCTAATACTAGGTATTTTTGGAATCTAAATGTAGAGCAATGGAAATTTGCTTAAGTATTGTTCCGAGATTTTGCGAAACCATCATAAACCTATTAAAGAGCAGGGGGAAGATGATGGACATTCCTCGAGGAGATGTTATTGTTTTCTCATTTGTTATTGCCATCATCCATTACTATTATTAACATGATGTAAGATTGCTTATTTAACAATAGCCAAAATCTTTAAAAAACACATATTACAAGGTGTTTGAAAAAATATGGGGAATAAATTGAATCTATAATTTGTATTTATTGGAATAACCATTATTTATTTGTTTTAATTATTGATTCAGACAGCTTGGACATTTGTGCTTAAAAAGAGGGCGATTTAATATTTGTAAAAATTGTCAATCACTAATAAAATTTGATTATAATATTTTTAATAATTTCATATCATATTACATTGCTAAGTATTCAATGCTTTCATAATTGATTTCTATAGAATATATATGTATAAATATTTATTCATCAATTTAAGATTCTTTATTTTGTTTTTTGAATGTACTTAATTACTTTAAGGTCTTAATATTTTTCACATTTCTTGGGTTTTTTTAGTTTGTCATGTTGCAATTTCATCATTGCTATTTTTTCCTGTATTTTTTTATGTTACTGTTTGTCATTAAACACTTAATCCGCAGATGCTCCGTTTTATTGATTATGAGAATTGGATGATTCAATGTTCAACCCGACTATGAATTCATCCAAAAATTGTCTGCTTTCTACTATTATGTTATTTGGTTCAGGATTTATTTGCACCTTCAATTTGAGTTGCTGTTTCAATTTGCACGTTGTATCTCCCACATAATTGCTACACAAGAATTTTGAGCATTCAATTCTATCAGCCTGTATAAGACATCTCAACTGCATAATGTTATATTTCATGTAAATGACATCTTCATCATCAACAAAACAATCTGGACAATAAATTACCCAATCTTTGATGAATTAAAAGAATATAAAGATCTCTTTATAGCATTTGGTGCAAATCAACACATCCTTGGAGGATATAAATAATTTAAACTGACTTGGATTGCTTTTAGATAATTAACGTTCAAGTTCTTGATCGATAAAATATGTCAAATACTCCCTTAAAATTGGTAACTTCTCATGGATGAAGATATCCAAGAATAAATTTCTGATTGCTATAACACTCCAGAGTTTGAAATTATCATTTCTAATCTATCTCAAGAATATTTGTTGCATTGAAAAATCATCCAACATTAAAAAATTGAATGACGTATGTATTGAATTTCCTATATTTTTAGCTTAAAAGAAGCAACCAGCCCCAATAATCATAATATCCCCTTACTTTTAGATTACTTACTTAACAGGTATTTTGTTTTCGAGGAAAAACGTAATATTGACATACCATCTTCCCTCCTTCTTATATAAATCAGGCATTATATTTAACAACTAATCCACATAGTACGCATCGATAATGGTCCATAAACAATCTCCTGGTCCGTGATTTATGTTGATTTAACTCAAACCTTAAAAATCCTATTATCCTCCAATCCAACAATTGGCAGATCTCATATATATTTCTGGTACGTTTGCTCCTTTGCAGTTCTATCTCAAATACTTCAATCCGTTGTTTATTAAAAAGAATTTTGGAAAGAAATCAAATAGTCTTTGTATTTCATCCTTCCAGTTCTCCATGTCTACATTTACTGCTTAATAGACTCTGTCCTTTCTATAGTTAGTATTATTTAAAAAAAATGATGTCGGATCCTCAACATAATCTTTGTATTACTTTATTGACATTGTAAAAGCCTAATAAAAATCGCTTTCCTTTGCCTCGATAGTGTCTGTGAATGGGTTTTGAGCTCTTATATCTATTTTGTGGTTTTTATGATGTTTGGCCATATCTGAGAATGTGAATAGACCTTTATTGAGTTTATCTACTACATCTTACGGCATCGACCATAAAGTTGCTTATTCTTTGAGCCACTTCTCTGGTGATTCCGTGAAACAATCGAGGGCTCTGTCAAATTCAACATAGGCACATCTTTACAAATACTACCCATCAACATTAGTTGTATTCAATTCAAAATTTAATAAGTATTTACAAAACAAATCCAGAAACTCTTGCTTATCTTAGCATTGAAATACATTGTACTATTGCGAGTAATACTATATATGGTGTGTTATGATACTTTAATAAACCCGCCTTTTTGCTAAATATTTTCGTATAATTCTATTAATTCTTAGGATTACAATAACTCTAATTCTTTGCTTGTGGGTTTGAAATTCCTCTTCACATAGTCAACGTACATCTCTATTAATGAAATAATTATTAAAGCTCATCTATTTGGTATCATCCATTTTTCATTCTAATATTTAGGAAAAATAATATCAAGTATCAATATAAATTTGATTCTTTGTTTTTCATGCAATAAAATAGCGCCGATTAGGAGAAGGCTCTCCCGAATGACATGAGCACCTCACACCAAATTATGCGTGAATCTCACTGATATACATTAGAGCAAGATTAATTAGTAAAAATAATTATATACATCTATATTTGAATATATATTTAATAGAACCTGATTCTCATTTCTTCTTTGGCTATTGGGTATTATTACTGGGTTTTTTGATGGCTATAGATTGTTAAGGAACTTATGCTTAAGAAGGCATCTTCTCATTAACTATATCAGCATTTTTGGCGACATTGAAATCAGCAAGTGCTACAGTGATAATACTAAATACCATCAGAAATGGCTGTTTTACCAGCTGATAGTATACCTTTGGGTAATCTTTTATCAGGACAAGCTCCTTTTAACTTCATAACACTTTCACTCTCTTCTCTAAGTGTTTTTTGAAGCTTCATCATGGTTGCCACGAATTTCAACTTGTTTTTCAACTTCTCAGTACCTAATTAAGTAGCAAAATGTCATTTACTTTTTCCAGTCGAACCGCCTGATTATTGTTTATTAAATTGCTTATTCTGACCTGTCATCTATTTGAATTGCTCTATATCCTCTTAATTAACATCATCGTCATCGTCGCCCTGATCTCCTGCCTAGATGAGATTGTATAACATTTCAGTTATCTTCTCAGCCACGAAAGGTATTGACCAAGTGAATATGTCCATGAAATTCGGTAGTAAATATGGGTGTGGAGTATACTAGAATTATTAAATATTTAGAGTATTGTTCTATTGGTTTCGCAATCAATTGTTACTTCGAATTTAATAACTGCGCCTCTGTTATTATAAACGTCACAATAATTGGGGGCACTGAAGATGGTGATCACAACAGGGAAATCTTATCCTCCATTCCATCGATGCATCTTGTACCCATCAAGTTGTGCCTATATACATTCTATAGAACTCAATTACTTCATGGGCCCTGATGATACTTATGAGACTGTTTCTTTACAAGAACTTCATACTGGCATCGTTCCCAAAGAACCAACTACATCCACGAACCTCGTTGCTTTTCCATTGTCCATCCAGGTTTCCTTGATCATGATCCACTGGATCACTCCATAGTAGATCGCAAAAGAGACCACTTCGAGGTGGTTCGTGGTATCTATCCAACTTTTTGATGTCTTCTATCTAAAAATAAGTAAAACAATTACTGATTTTAAATCAGGGGAGATCCCACCATGAATTGCAATAAACTTTGAATTTATTATGCATGCCAAGGGAAATAGATCAAAAGAATCCATCAACATCTCATAGGTTTCCTAATCATATTTGTAAAGACCTATCATTGCATTAGTATGTACATTCATCTTTAAAATTAAAAAATGCTGTCAGTTATCTGCATTCGTGATTGCCCCTTAAAAAATAAATAGTATTGGGATAATTAATTTTTATCGCATAAAGTAAAATGACTACTTCAATTGAATAGGAGCCTCTATCTACGAAATCCCCCAGAAAGAGATATCTGATAATATTAAGTTATGTTACTTGGTCGTTTCTGGGTTACCACCGACTTTGGGTTCCAATAATTTAAGTAAGTCATAATATTATCTATTTAGATTTAGGAATGTACCCATGGATATCGCCAACAACAGTAAGTGGATCTTGCAAATAGAGAACATTTCCCTCATTTTCTAACAATCAAAATGTCACTTTACTCAATAATTTATTGCAATCAGCTACCAATTTAAATAATTCCTCTTTTGCGACTCTTCCTTCCCTTTGAAGATGATCTTTCAATAATTTCCAATCAGGTTTGTCTAAATATTTTAATTTTGTGACATACTCTTCAATTTATCTGGAAACATCAGGTTTTTTGAGAGTGGGCGATGAGGAGGAGGCTTAAGAGTCTTCACCTATCTATCATTAGTAGGGTCTTTGAGAATATCCATTGATATATATATATATAATATTTATTATTATTAATACTTATTCTTCCTCAGATGCTCAACTTTTACAATTCTGATCTCAATTTAGTCACTCTTGATGACAAAGAGCAATCCAAGAACTTGTTTCCTGAATACATTTGTAACCCTCCCAAAATGGATGGATCGACTTTGTATTGAACTGAAAATTGCATATTCGGACTTGATTCTTTCAAAGCCTAAACCACTTGTGTTCTAAAATTACATAACCTTACATTTTTACCTTTGCTCTTCGGATAAGTTTTCAGCAGAAATAATTGTGATATTTTCTTCCTTATTAAAGATTCTATAATATTCGATATATTTATCGGCTGTCTTGGTTAAATAAGAAATTCTTTGGCTATCAATCATGGAGTTCAACAAATTCTGAGTGACCTCATGAAATCCTTCCTATTTTATTATGACTAGCTTCATATACTTTTGTGAGAGCTTGAATCACATTTCTTTATTGATTTCTCTTGTAGGCTGAATTCACCAAAAAGCCTGCAAATACTGGACTCTTGTCAGCCAATTCCTTGAAGTATTTCATGTCCTACAACACCAAATGAAGTGCCTCTCTTTATGATGCTATTGAGAATAACACTCCTGCATATTTCCCCTACACGGTATCTTCAAAAGAGGGAGGCTTGTGTCCTAAAATCACTCTCCATTGTTCATACCTGGAACTGATTTGATTTCAGCCTCAGCCTTGGTGGGGGCAGCTGAATATCTGAAACAAGCTCTTTGAATAATTTTAAACATTATTTAATTAATGATTTTATCAACTAGGATTCTTTGGTGCTTTTCATCGGAAAAGAAGATCCTCAGATTCATCAAAACATGTAGCAGTCCCAAAGAAATCTACTAGACCTATCACAAAAATTAAGAACATTTTACACCTTTGCTCTTTCTTGAAGCTTTGAAACACATGAACACAAATCCAGTCAGAAAGAGATTCGACCTCAATGACGACGCTGCCTTCTATGATGAACTAACAGAAGTATTCAAGTAGGTGCCTATGCAGGAAAAATGGAGATTCTGTAAAATTTATAATCTTATTATTAGATAGATGTGCAAGTTGCCAAAATCGGAAGAAACAAATAATTAATCAAATAATACGGCAGTGACTTGACTTGCATCAGAGTCAAGTAAATAGCCATCCTACTGTGGGGTTATCATAAAAATGGTATCAAGAAGCCCAGACTCGTGATCCATTTGATTGACCAATTACAATAGAATTTAGATTCCCTCATCCCAGTCTCAGAGAAACCTGAGGAATTATCATCTCCGAAAGAATAGACGAAATCAGAAAATCAAGAGGATCACGACATCAATTAATCTGATGAAGATGAAGACTTCTTAGAATAACAATTGGAGGAGGATTTGCAATCTGAAAAAGGAGTGCTTAGGGACTACAGATTCAAATTCAAAGACTTGGTTCTCATTATATGGGCTATTCAAGATATCAGGTTAGATGCTAGTGCATTATTGATATACACATTTAAATTAGCCATAAATAATTTTAATAAAAAAGAGTTAATCACTAATAGATCATTAATCCTACTTTTGTAAGCAACTCTCAACATCAAAGAGAATAAATAAATCAATGCTGTACTTATTTCAATTCACAATAGTATCAAAAACTTGTCATCCAAAATCTTGCTGAATAAGACCTCTCTAATGAAGGTATACTGCAGCTACTATTGCTCTTAAGAACCTTAGGCTAATTGAAATTAAGTCCAGAATTCGCTCAGAAATTAGCCTATATTATGCTCAAAAACCAAGAGAAATCCAATCAGCCTTTTTCTTCAAAGTTTGCTTCCATTATGATTTGGAATTTGAATAAGTATGTCCTATTTGATTTATTCAAAGACTCGGCATTACGGATACCGACATTTACAACAAACTGGGACTACATTTAACCAAAAGCAATGAGTTCAAAGCTATGGATATCAGTTAAGCCATTTTGATTTATTCCCTCCAATAAACAAAATCTCCTTAATATTAATAATATTAATTCATTTTGAGATCATTAATAAGCAAGGCAAATATGATTAAATTAGACCCAAGAAGTCAAAGCATTATTAAGGAATCTTTAGAGTAATATTAACCTCATTTGATGAAGTTATTAAAAAAATGAGTTCAGATGTTTATATATATTTCAAATATATTCAATACATCCTATAAATATATATTATACTAGAATGCAAGTTTAATTTAATGAAAGTCCATAACTACTTAAAATAACATTCCTTAATTTATAAAGGTTAATTTAAATGATTTTTGTTAATTGATTGTATTAAGTTCTTAAATTTATAATAATATTAAAACAGCAAATATAATATTTAAGAACACTTTTAACATTATAATTCTAACTCATGAATAATATTAAATGATAGATACTCAGAATTTATGATTGAATAAATAACAATTAATAATTGTTCTATATAATAACAAATTTAAAATCATTAATAAGAAAGAATTTTAAATTCAACATCTTCTTTTCAGTTATCTATGTTTTATTTTCATTTCATCTATCAATTTCATTACTCCTTAATTATTTTAAGAATATTCATTATGAAAAGTGTTGGCATTCCTTGTCTTTTTTTATCTGTTTTATATAAGATTAAATGGATTTGATATCTTATCTAATTTTAGGTTGTCCAAACTATTTTTTGGGGAAATCTATTAAGAAATGCTAGGCAGAGTATTCTTTTTCTTCATCTTTTTATCCTAACATTATACCAGATATTATACAATTATAGACAAGGGAGTTAAATACATGACAGGTTATTTTTTATTCGTTATTTTTCTCAACATCTTCTCCATATAGAGTGAAACTTATCGTTTCTTTGTACTAGAATTTTAACTATTTATAATTGTGCTGAAATGTTCATTATTGAATGATAGTTTCTCCTTTATTGAATCTACTTCAAAACAATCTGTTGCATTCCGTCTAAATTTTATACTTTATTTCTTAACCTTATTATGTTCTCAGTTGCATTGGGAGACTTAGGAGACCTGTGAGAATGTGCTGATTAAATTACCATCGTCCCTCGTTTAACATTTGTTTGAGGATTTCGCAGAAATTATTACAGATATCTCTGTCTTTTGTGTTTTCGAATTTACTCCGATTTATAAAAAACCAAAAACTAGGCTGCATATCCAGCTATTCTAAAGCGCTTGAAAACTCTTTTCCTTCTTGTATAACTTAGAAAAAAAATAGAATTTTGACATACGCTGACTCAAATGAAGAAATTTAACTCCAAATTTTAATCTAGAACTAGCTCATCTTTCCACATTACCCACAATTACAACTTGTATTACATTTCTTTGTCTCATTTTGACTTTGATTCTTTATCAGAAATCTTTCAAGATCATTATATCTGGCAGTTTTCAACCTATTCTTAGTTTCTTTGGAAATACTTTTTGTGTACTTCAATTGAAAAGCTTATCTGGGTGAAATTAATCTAATTCCATGAACAATCTAATACCTCGAAGTACTTAAAACTAGCTTTTATTATGGCTATTATTTCATTTTTAAAACCAATATAATAATAAATCAATTAAAATAAATAAAATTAGACATCATCTGATGTTCTAAGTTGAAATTAATTTAGAATGAAGCATAACTTATTGAGTTATTTCAGCCTTTCTAGATTTATGAGGTGTAAGTGTTACTCATATAACATTAATTTAAATTTAAATTACAACTTAATACGCAGTGGATAAGAATATAAATAAAAAGTTAGTATGGGCTAAAGAATATTTTTTATATGAATCAATTAGATATTAAAATATCATTTTGCTTCTTCTGTTATTAAAATGGAGCCAGTTCCTTTTAATTAAGAAAAGTTTCATACCTTTACTAATAGATCTATTTCTTCTCGAAGCTAATCAAATGTGGTTTAAGTTTCAACTCTTTGCTTGCAAAAGTCTTCATTCAGTTATCTAATTCACATAGAAGCGTACTTTAAATGTTATCTGAGTCTTTTGTTTTCATCATTGACTTATTTGTATTTTGTGGTTAGCTTTTGGTGTTTAAGTTTGTCAGTCTCTGATAACGCTTGAGGGTCATTCATGATTTTCTCCAGTTCACAATTAAGTGCCTATAAAGATTCTTTACATTTTTAATATGATGCTTAAAGTGAACGATTATCTTCCATTAACTTTTCTAAGTCTTGCAAATTAAAAGCTTAAGATGATCCAATTAATCTTACAATTTTAGATTAATCTAACACAAAACTCCTTGCCTATTTTTGATGGAATTTCAAATAATTCATAAGTATGAGATGATATGCACAAAGTTTATTTTAAGAGTTTATCCTTAATGCTTTATTAAATATCATACAATCTGATTTTCATGTCTAACCTAAAAGGCTGGTAACATAATAGAAACGTAAATTCCTTCCGGCATTAATATTATAGTTATGTTAATTATTAAAATTATATGTAATTTTGAGATTAGATGAATAGATGCTCTAAAACAATATAATTAATAACATTCAAGTCTTATATCTACAAGATTTCTATGTGTTTTCCAACTCCGTCGTCAATTTCCCTTTTGCTTGAAGCAGTTTGCCAATCAAAAACTTGATTTCGTTATTTATATGTACACTTTTCGATGGCTACTGATTCTCTTTATTCTCTTAATACCAATTATATTTACATATTTGAAAGAATTAGAGTCATTCTAAGTAGATTCATCCTAATTTATGTATCTCGCCTTAATTTATTAGATGTGATTAATATGATTATCATTCATTCTCAAAGTAGTTTAAGGTTGTTGCTAATATAAACTATATTTAAGATTGTTTAATTGACCTTAAGTAAAAGACGGAACCTTAAAATGCGAAAATGAAGTGTTATGAGTTTTTTACTAAGTAGATATCGAAGTATTTTAATTTTAATAACTTTAATCTGTCTATCCTAACATTTTACTTAAGTTTGTAGTCGAACTAATACTATGAGCTTTAGTCCCTTATTGTGAATATGATCTTCGTTGATCAACGTCATTATTAAATCTTGTAGTCTGTTGATTAGATAACTTAAATCTAATGTATTCATCTCCAGCTTCTGCTTCTTCCTTCATAATGCTTGCATCTTAAAGATATGAGTTAAGATTTAAATTATTCAAAGGGAGAGAGTTGGTTGATTATGATTTTGCTTTTTTGCTCATCATTAGGTTAAAATCTTCAATGGGCATAGGAAGAGTGTCATGATTATTAGCCTTAACCTTTTCAAATGATTGATTGTTTTTTTGAGGCTGAAGTGATTATTTTTAAATGGATGTTATTGAATTCTTTGGTTGTTAGAACACCTACTTAAAATCAGGTTATGAGATATGGAAACTTTTACACTAAACTGGACTGTCTTGAGAAACTACAGAATTCCTAATTTTCATCATATCTACACTCTTTTTCTTGGAAGTGCTATCGTAATTGTTAGTGTTTCTAGAATATATATTAAATACAAAATTACATTCTCTGATCATCAATTTATTTATTGAGCATTTTTTTTTCATATTGAAATTGAACTTATTGTTCATGCATCTCTTATTTTAAAGCTGCGATTTGTTCATCGTACTTCTATTGTAATTGTTGAACTTCTTGATTAGATTCAATATGAGTTTAATATTTTTTAATTGTGTTTTGACTTCTTATCAATCTTTATTGTAATTAGTCTTTTTCTTTTTCGTATAATTGTGCTAATTATTGATATCGTTAATCATAATCTGATTGTTTTTCTTGCATATCCTTAAAAAAATTATCCTTGATTTTTTGAATTTCTTATTCGCATTATAATTTGAATACTTGCTCTTTTGATTTAAAATTTTCCTCTATTTTTTACATCTAATCCTTGAATTTCGTAATTTCTTAGTTTAAATACTATTTCTCTGATTCCAAACTCTAAATCTTGTGATCATATGTAATTTATTATTTCTGCTACTAAAGTTCAAGATCCTTAATTTAAATTTCTTTTTCGTTCAATTACTCATTCAGACATCTAAGCTAAAACTTATGATTTTATCATACTTTTTCTTCCAGTTTCGTTATGCTTTCTTAATGCTTTTTGTTATTGGCCATCTAGACTTCAATAGATTTTTGAAATTCTGTATAACTTTTTTGCTTTATAAAATAGATTTTGAATGATACTTATGATTTTCCTGAAATATCTATTGCCTAAGTTATGGTATCATTCAGTTTCTTTTAATTCATTTCTCTTGTTTTATAATCCTCCAATTGCATTTCCAACAATTGTATTTTTTATTCATACAAAGCCTTGTCCTTCTTCCATTCATTCTCTCTCAAAGCATACTAAGACATAGGTACAATTCTAATACGTTTTTCTTTAACTAAATATATTCCTCTTATTCATTATTTTCCATTCAAATTTAACGATTAATTAGAAATTATTAATATAGGGAAAAAGCAATAAAAAACAGAAGAATAAAATGATTGTATCATAATTTTGATGCATAGCTAAATATAAAATACACTCTTAGTAGTATTGAATATAATTATTATTTTTAAATCAAAAAAAGATGATTGATCTTGACCAAATCAAATTAGAATTAATCAGAGATTTTAAGCTAATCCAATTAATTACTTTAGTTTCATAAAATAATAAATTTGAACTTTATGGTGAAGCATCCTAATTTTTGAGTTAACTGAGAGGAAACATAGCATTTGTTGTTATATGCGGTAAATACAGGACAGGGAAAAGTATTTTTTGAACAAACTAATTGATGTCCAGAACGATGGAGTAATCACTTTAAGTGCTAATAGATCCAGTTTTAAGTGAGTCCAACCACGAATTCTTGCACTCAAGGTATCTGGTTATACAGTAACCCTATAATTAATGAGCAAAACAATCTACAAGTTTACTTTTAGACACAGAAGGTAGTGAATAAGGAGTGAAATCACAAATTCATGATGGCAAAATTTTGCTCTGCCGATGCTAATGTGCAGAACTTTTATATTTAATTCTAAAAGGTATCTTTTGAAGATTATTATATGTATTGATTATTTTATTTAAAATGTATTTGGTTGGATTTTCACAGAAATTATTAATATTTTTAATAACATTTGATGGATTACTCAAACTAAAAACATCCATAAAATTATTCATAAATGGAAGACTTAAAAACATTAGATTTGGAAGAGAGTGTTTCTGAGACTATTGTAATTGAAATATCTTATATAGATGAGAGACTTGAGAATGATAGCATATAAATTGAAATATGTATTAATTCCCAAAGAATAGGAGGACAATGGAAAAGAATTACGAAATTGTAAATTCTATTTATCTATTTTATAGGGGATTTATGGGGACCATTGATTTTTTGTTTGACTTTGGCTATGTAAATTAATATTCTATAGAAGGACTCTGAGTTTCAAGGCTGATTCCACAACTTCTAGTTCAAAATCTGATGTTTTTGCAATCATTTTTGTTCTTATTTGGGTTGGTGCTTTTGTTGTTACTCTAAATGCTTAGTTACTAGGAGGAAAAGTGTAATCAATCTCTTTTTATGCTTAGATCATTTTTCCAATCTGTTTGTCTTTTGGGTTATTGTGTATTTCCAATCAATATTGAAGCAATAATTATTGCATTTGTTGGATCCTACTTACCATTTGTTGTGAAATTAATCCCAGTGATCATTTGTTTTGCTTGGTCTGCCTATTGTAAAATTTGAATTAAATAAAAATAGCATCTGTTGGTTTTATGGCATCATTGGTACCACCACATAAGAAGAAGTTGGCAGTTTACCCTGTATTTTTATTTTATTTGTTTTTGTCCTGGTTTTCTTTGATAGTATGATTTTATTATATATATAAACATATTATGAATCAAATTCTTCTAATTAATAATCCCATATCCCATTATGCATTTAGTCTTCTTTTATCCAAAGTCTCAAACACTCCAACTCCATTAGGCATTCCATTCATAAATACGCAGGTTACTTTTTCTCCATTACTAAGTTCCAATTAACCGAATCCGCTGAATTCCCCTTCTTTGAAATCACCCATATAATGAATCCACTATTAATCCAATTTTGTAAAGTCCTTGTAATCAAATAAACTATTGAAATACTTTGGTTTTGGATTGGTAGCTTTGCCATAACCATCATATTCTCCAAACTTGAAAGAACCTTCGTATACCAATTTCCCATTTTAATATAAGGTTCCTTTTCCATGATATTTATCGTTTTTCCAACAGCCATCATAAGAGAACTCATTTGATACGTATTGACCTAAGCCATCCCTCAATCCATTCAAAACTTCTCCATAATAGGAGCCACCATCATTACAATTCATTTTTCTTTTGTTTCTATTTTCCACTATTAAGTTATTCTTTGTAGTAATTTCCTTGATGTCTTCCATTTATGGTTTAGATTATGGTTCTCCAATAGGAGACACTCTAAATGAGTTTACATGAGAATAACTCACATTCTTTGAATTTGCCCTTGATTTTGAAATTTTGGTCTCAATTCTTTACTAAACTTCAAAATTGTAAATGATATTGATAGGCTGGATTGGTTGCAATTCACTAATTTTAGCTTCCAATCTGATCCAATCTGGTCTTATTTCTTAATTAGTAGTCAACATGAATTGTAAATATTAAACCAGTTTGTAAGAATAATTAGTGTCGACTTCTTTGATCAATTAATTTAATCTGTATTCATCAAACACATTTTAATAGATCTCATAAACAGTTTCGTATTTATGAGGTCCTAAACACAACTATAAAATACACAATCCTAATTAAAACACGTCAGATTTCCATGTGGGCAAGACTGATTAATCATTCAATAGAAATGAGTTGTATAATTCATTGCTTAATAAGATTTTACTTTGTTGATTCTGAAACTTCTTCTAAAGTACATTTGTTTCTTGGATCTTGTAAATAAGTTTGTATAACTATGAATTATCAATCAGATGAGTTAACACAATGTGATCCAGAGTTACGTTGCCATGAACTATGCCTTTGAGATGTAAGGAATATAATGCTTCAACCATGTTTTACAGAATCAGCCAAATCTCATGTTCTTAGTAATGCTTATGCTTTATTGTACTTTCACAATCGGAATGAATGTAATCCAATAAGGTACACACTCTAAAAGTGCCAAAACACAAGCAAACATACTTTTTAGTATGAATCAAATGTATATTTACTAAATTGGCATGGGTTAATTGTTGCTTTTACAATTGCAACAATTTCTCTTATTATTCGTATACTGAATATTTATCAAATACGAACACTCGTAGACTCAATTTATATGAGGGATTCAATTTATGAGTGAGAGCATAATGTTAAAGATTAAGAGGATCATTTTACAATTCGGAATCAACGTCAAAATATTTGTACAATAAAGGCATTTGTGTTTCGTTTAAAGACTAATGAGATGGCATAGTCTTCAATATTTAGAGGCATGATTCATCATATTTCATTTTCAAATAATTTGAATCGTATTAGGTTTTCAATTGCTGTTGTTATTGTAAATACTATTATTGTTATTGGAGCAATAATTGCTGCTATTCCAATTGTTACTATTGAAGTAGTTATGCTTATTACTCTAATTATGGATCTTGTTGTTGCTAATCAGGTACAATTGTTTAAAATTATTAATTGTAATTGTCAATGAGTTACTATTATTAGAGCAGGAATTGGTTTTGTTGAGGTTGCTGGATGGTTGTAAAGAAAGATTATGATTGATGTATGGGTAAAGTGTTGACTGACAATCCTAACAGCTCTTCTTGTTATTTTTGAGACCAGGTTTTTATCAAAAATTGTTGTTCTGGGGATAATCTGTTGAAATCAAGTGGTGGAGTATTTGAATTACGACTCGTTTCTAGTGGCTGGAGTCTTTATGATTATGCCATGCTTTGTTTGGATGAATCATTTAATGTTTAATTGAATTATCCCAAATACATATAATTATTAATATGGGAAATTGTTAAACTCATTGTTATCAAAAGAGTGCTAGTTAAGTCAATAGTGTTGATTGCACTAAATTAATCATTCATGTTAAAACGTGGCAAAAAGAGGCCTTCTCATTATTCGATTATGAGAATGCTGCCAATGTGTAAGAACAAACATTTTAGGTAAATATATACAATAATAACGGCAGATTAATTCAGAAGGTTATTTGGTAGGTCGAAACTAAGTGGAATGGACTGAAAATGAATCTATCATCAAGGATTAACTTTGCAAGATAAAGAAAAAAAATGAAAATTACTATTTAGTAAATTCCTTCGTTATGAATGAGGATTAGAAATCAGTGATTTAAGAAAATGAAGAATGTCATACTATTGGTAATAAGTAACAACTCTATATATATTTTTCAGAACTGTGTCTGGCAAAATAGGTAACAAAATTTGGAAGGTCATTCATGAAAATGGAATTCCCCTAAAGGAAGGAGATGTAATCAAATTAGGAAGAGTCAAATTCACTATCCGATCTATTGTTTTGGATGTTTAACATGTTCAATCCATTTTGGAGTTCGAATCACAATAATCCAATGTCTCTGATTAATAGATGTGTAGGATCTGTTGTTCCTCTTAGTAAACTGCTAAGAATCCTCTTTTGAATCCTTGTAAATGTAGTGGGTCTATCAAGTACATACATTTGGAATGTTTAAAGACTTGGTTGAGAATGAAATTAGAAAATCGACAAAGCGAAAATTGTACTGTTTATTTGTGGAAGAACTTGGAATGTGAGTTGTGCAAATTCAATTTTCCACCCAAGTTCAAAAGTGATGATGCATACTATGATTTGATTGAATTAAGTAAGCCAAATGACTACCCTTATTTAATGATGGAATTCACCAATAAATAAGTATTATTTAGACTCAATTATGAAGGGCTAATAAATTGAATGGAATAACAGTTCGGGCGTCTACATTGTTAAATTCTCGAACTCCAGAGACCTTCGACTTGGAAGATCCAATGATACCGATGTTAGGGTTAATGATATATCGGTTAGCAGGAATCATGCTCGACTTTTTGTTTCTGATAACTAAGTTTACCTTTTCGATAATCATTCTAAATTTGGCACACTACAATAAATAAGAGAAGAAAAACTATAAATTTAAAGAGGCCTGGAAGTTTAAATTGGAAGAAGCCTAATTTCATTTTAATGAAGTTTCATTTATTTATTAAAATCTTTTATAATTTTTGTATTACAGTGTTTCATTGCTATTTAAATTGCCAATAAAATTATTCCTATTTTAGCCGACGGAAACAGCTAACAAACCACAATAAACCGAAAAAAATTAAATCTGCCCCTAAAATTTTTAGCTTTGATTCACTGGGATTCAAACAAATTCATTAATATAAATAAAGTGCGATGTTTTTATAGAATTCCAATTACAAAATACTCTCCACCCTAGGTGCAGGTTCTGGGCATCAAGTCTTGAAAGTCAAACATAATTAGACGTCTCAAATTTTAGCCTTAAAAATGGAAAAAAATCCTAACTTAGGTTAGTTAGAAGGGGAAATAAAAAAACTAAAGGAACTTGCCGGGACCTTTGGCATTCCATAGTTGATCGATTATGGAAAGACTTCGGATTAGAAGTATATAAATTCATAATTTCATAGGAGTTATTTAATCACTCCACTTTTAAAAAGAAATCTCCATGAAATCACCAAAGACCACCTACTTTCTCTACATCATATATTAGCCATTGGATTATCTCTTATCAATATCTTACAGTAAATTCATAAAAAAGACATTCTACATCTAGACATAAAACCAGAAAATATCATGATATCATAACCTTTCATCAATGTTCCGATTGATCAAATTTTAAAACCTGGTTTCATGTATCTTATAGATTTCGGCCTATCTTAAAAAATAGGGCTGAGACCTTTTTCAAACAAAGTCTTTGTTGGATCTTTAAGATATGCCAGCAGATAGGCCCATAAAGGAAATCCACTTGGGTACAAGGATGATTTAGAAAGTCTTCTTTATGTTTTGGTGTATCTAAGAAATTGTAATTATAATGTACTATTTTTAGAGAACTTACCTTGGCAATCACTAAAATAACAACAAACCCAATAAATGGAAATTAAAAAAATTGGTGAAATGAAAGATGCCATTTTTAATACACTAGTTCTGTCCTAAAAATTTCCTCCATAATTTTTATAATTCAAATCATACATTGAAACCCTGACTCAAAAGACTATGCCAGATTACGATTACATAAAAAACCTTTTCAAATAGATGCTTTCTATAGGAGATCAATCTACATCTGCTAAATTAAGTAATTCAGTCACTCTAAGCTAATCAATCAAGGGGACAAAATAACATAAGAATAATGATTAGATAATGATGCTTTTAGCAAATATACCAAATAATGATTCTATTGACATTCCTGAAGATCAAGTAGACACTGAGACTTCGATTGTATACATCTCAGACTTAATAAGTTCGTACCCAACTTTCTCCATTAAATCAATAACTGATATCAAGTATTGAGAAATTGTTTAATTTATCTTTGATTCATATCTATATCTATATTGTAATTTATTCGTTTATTATAATAGAAATTAAATAAATCATAATTTCATTTTTAAGGTTTGAATACGGAACAGAAAATCTTTCTCTTACCTTGAAACATGTTGTAGGATTTTTCAATTAAATTTTTAGCATCTTCTATTCTTTTTTTAGAACCTAAATCTAATTTTGCAGCAAAAAATTTGTCGACTTACTTTCCATTTTATTTTTCTCTAAGCTTAATTTCAATTTAGTCATCTTGAATTTGTTCATTACTAAATATTTTTTAATTCAACCATTATTTAATAGTATCTTTAGTTTCATTATTAGGAAATCCTTCAACTATTAAAAATTCTTTTTCCCAAACTTCTGGTTTTTTTTATTATTATTGTTGTTATTATTATTATTATTATTATTACTATTATTATTAATGTTATTATTATTACTATTAATGTTATTATTATTATTAATTTTATTATTATTACTATTATTATTATTCAACTTATTATACTTATTCAACTTATTATGGTTTACTTAATAATGGATCTTCTTTCTAAACACCAATCACTTCATCATCAGAATCATTGATATCTAAAGCATCAATATCAAGTGAGATAGTTTGTCCATTGATTTCAATGTTGTGTTATTGAATAATTTGCTCAGCACTCTTTTTATTAAAGGCGATTATGGTTCCTGTTCCAGTTTTGTAATTTGTACCGTGTTTAAAGTCAAATTATACTGATTTCACATTCTATGCTCCCATCAATTAAATGATATCCTTGTCTTTTGTATTCCATTTATTATGACTGAATCTAATCTTAATTTCTTCCTGATCTCCATAATGTTTCAATCTCTTGATTAGCTTATCCATATGAGCTTTATTATGGTACTCTCTACAATAAATCTTATCATTAACCTTTCAAAATCATCGTCATTATCATCCTCACTATCAGTCCCACCGTCATATTAATTTAATAAATCATCGATGTCATCTTGAGCATCTATAATAGATCAGATAAGATTAATACATTTGTATTTGATTGAATCCCAAAACTTCAAGCTATTTTAATTAGGTCTAGTTGGTTCACCATTTGAATTGTAGTAATTGCCATATTCATCAAACCAACCCCTGTATTAGTCATAATAGAAATCTATATAATCTCCAGCCTCATAAACAGTAAAACCAGAATGATCTTTGAATTCTTCGTACTCCAAGAAACGATCGGGGTCAGCCCTTTTGCGTGCCATTAATTAATTTATATTACACAATAAATTATTTAATATTTAATCCAATAATGCCTCGAACATAACTTCTCCAAATCCCTAACCTCCTCAATTTAAATAGTTTCAATCGCTTCTCTCCAATCTAAAACACAATTCACTTCAAAATTTAAAGATTTTGATTTTTTTCAAAAACCCAAGATACCAAAAATAAAATATCTAGAAATGCCTACTATTCGATCTAATATTCTTCCATCTATTAATCTATTTTTTCATTCTAAAATGATGATCAAAATTGTTTTTTCAAAATTTTTATAATTATTGTTAAGTGCTTTTATTTTACATGGAAAAGTGATTTCAAAACTTAAAAACGACTAAATATATAAGTATTTAATTATAGATCCAATTTGTAACTATAATCAAGGATTATTTATAATTTTAAGTCTATAGTATGCATATTAATATAATATTCCTCTTGCTTATAGTCGGTTCCAAATCCAGTTTATAACGAATATTTATATATTTTTGATCAACTGTCTCCATTTTGTTTATTCTTCCTTATCTTTTTAATCAACCCCTGATAAAATATTGAAAAACAAATATACTTTCTAAGAGTGATTATGGAATGAAAAATTGAATAATAATTAAATAGTTTTTAGTTATTAACTTAAAAGATTATGAATTACGACATTATTACAAGTTCATATTTTAAAATTAATTTTATATATTTTAATGGGAAATTTGTTCGAAAAATTGAAGAATTTATTCTCTACTCAGAAGTTGGAAGTTTGTATGGTTGGATTAGAGAATGTTGGAAAAACTACGATGTTGAATTAACTTTCTTTGGGGGATCCTTCATTTACAGTGCCAACAGTGGGTCTCAATGTCAGAACTGTGAAGAAAGGTGGGGTGACTATGAAAGTAGGGGTATATATAGAAAATAGATCTGGGATATTGGTGGCTAAGTGCAATATAGGCCAGAATGGGGAAATTATGCTTAAGGTTGTGATGCACTTATATTCCTCGTTGATACAAGCAATGTAAAGATGAGTATTATAATAGTAAGCAACTTTGGGTACATCAAAAAAGGAATTGCATAATTTATTAGATAACAAATCATTGCGAAATATTCCAATATTGATCATAGGAAATAAGATTGATGTGAATCCTCATCTAAATGAAAAATAATTGATAGAAGGTAACAAATTATTGATGTAGGCTTAAACTTGGATTACATAACATCGAATGGATGGGCAGTGGCAATGTGCAGTGCATTGACAGGAAATAATATTACTCAAGTGGTGGATTGGTTGATTACTAAATCAAAAAAGCAATGAGACTATATATAGTATTTGTAATTCATTCCGAAATATATATTACAATTAAAGTCAAAGGGTCTCATTTTCTGTAAAATAAGGTGGAGTCAAATTTACTTAAAATTTGATTGGGCTAATTTTACCAGCATAATTAATATTTATTTTTGTGTGGATTCATTGATAATTATGATTCATAAAAATTAAAGTTTTAATGCTAAAATGATTATTGCAAATTAAGTTTTTTAGTATTTATTATGAAAAAAAATATTACTAGTAATGAAATGAGACTGAAAAGTGCTGTATAATTCAAATTTCAGGAATTCATGAACTCAAAACCAGCTCCTAGCATAACTACTAGATTGCAAACTGGCACAACAACATCTAGGAATATTGAAGATTTCGCCAAACCATTATTTTCAGAACCCAAATTTCTAGGAGTTTTGAGAAGAGTTAGTTCATAAGTCAGTCTTGATAAACCTGTAGAGGATGTTTATTAATCTTAGAACCAGTCTCTTAAGGCTGTTAGTTCAGAAAGAACGTAAAAAGTGTGACTATTACAAAAGTACAATGAGGGCCTCATAAAAAATTATAGTAACGTCTGAAAATATGCAAACCTAAGAAATCAAGAGGCGTATGAAATTTGATCCTTCGATAAGACAGCAAGTCAGCATACTGAAGATTAAAATTTTGAAAAATGTTCCTTTAAAAAAATTCCTTCTGTACTTAGTAGGTAAAGAAAAGATTTTATTTGAACTCTTAAGATTAAAACAAATGCCATAAGCTATTGATATAATGTAGAGTATTATAGAGATGGCAATTGGAACAAAAAGTGTTGTTATTTTTATTGAGATTTTACTGTTCATTGCAGAGACTCTTGAAAATTCGAATCAAATTGATTTGGCAATTCACTTTTATAACCAAGTAAGAATTGGAAGTACATATGGAAAATAAACACTTGATATTTATAAAATGAGATCACTGGTTGGGTTAGCAAGTTGTTGCATGGAATTTCAATGTTATGAGTGCGGAGTTAAGTTTTTAAAGAAGTGTTTATAATATGCTTGGATAAATAATAATTAGGAATATGAGAATATCGTATATTAAAAGTTAGGAATGCTCTATTTCTATTTAGGTAACATTGAGAAAGTATAACAATTTATAATTTCTAGGCTACTTTCTATCATGAAAGATCCATAAACTATGATTATGAATTGGAAACATCTCCATTGAGATAACTAAGCTGTGATACTCTTAAGAATTATCTGAATAAGAATTTTCCAAAAAACTGTGCAGAGAATATGAATACACTCTTTTTAAGTAAACTCAGTCTCAAATTCCACGTTGATATTGCTTAATTATCAGAAGATCTTATAAAAGGATCTGAAATGACTCCTTCACCAAGGATATTTCTATCTTCCCAAGATTGCTCAAGAAGAATGTCTATATCAACAGAGTCTAGAGAATTAGCTAACTTGAAAATAAATGGACAAAAACTAATTACCTAAATTTTAACCTAATAAGAATTTGATTTCGAAGTTTATACACCTAAGCATTCATGTATATATTTAACGTTATAATAGTCAGAAATGAAAGTTCCTGTTTTAATTTCCTAAAAAACAAAAAAGTACATCCTTAAGATGTGTTTCATGATTTAAAATACAACAATAATCCATTTTTATTGAATGGCATAGGTGTTGAACCAAATAAAAATGAACTCAATTTTGCAGAATATTTAAGCAAATATAAATTGTCTCTTCAAAAAAAAGTAGATCTTAGATTATAATAAAAATTTGATATCAACATTGATCAAAAATTGTAATATGCTGTAAGTAGCAATTATAAGGCTTTTGAAAGGAAAAATAAAATACTGGTATATATTTCATTCTATGTAAGCTAACTCACAAAAACTCAGAAAACTCAAAAAAAAATAAATAGCTAGATGAAACTAAAAAATTTAATAGCATTACAACATTATACTAGTAATTAATTAACAAATTGCTTAGCGTGTAATGAATAAAGTAATACTGCTTATATATTAATTATTTCAAACTCCTAAAATAGAAAAGACTTAATCTCCATCTTCTTATATTTTATTCTCCTTAACTATTCTTAATAAGAATGCTCAATGCTCTTATTTTAATTTTTCCACATTTTTCTTAATTCAATATCCTAAATTTTACAATAGAATAATTTAACATAATTTATTTCTATATAATTTCTGATTATTGGTATTGAAATATCAATGCTTTAGATTCTAATTATGTTTTTGAAAAATATACTAAAAAGTTAAATTTATTGTAGAACTCTGTGTGGAAGCTTAATTTCATACATTAAGAAAGATGTTGGTCTAGAGGGGTTAAGAGAATAATTTTATTTTATATTATAATATAACATATTAATTATACATGTAATATGAGAATAGAGAAATATATGAGAATGCTATTAATTCATTCAATGAGGCAGATATCAAAGAGTTTCAGTTAAAATATTTCAAGACTTCCAACAATTTAGAGCTTCATTCATTATCATACTTAGAAATTTAGAATTCATATTATGCAGACAATAATCTAATGGCATCAGAATTCTATAACTCCCCACAGTTGATAAACGCTTTCAACATTGCATAATACAAAATGAATAATTTAAAATTACTTTTTGAATAAAGAGACACTAATTTATTCGGAGTGTGGCTTTGGAAATAAGGAGAACAATTATTAATTTATGTTGATGATTTAATTCCATGTAAAGCGAGCGGCGATAATTATGAGATGGCAACAGTAACTTCAAAATATAGATGGCCAATTATTTTGGAAAAAGCAATTGGAAAATTATTAGGATTTGAGTATGAGTCCTTTAATTTGATATCAAATGATTCAACTGAATTTTATCTCTAAGTAACATTCAAATTAAATACGCCTAGATGATTACTGGATCAGAAACATATGAATAGGAATTCTAAACTATTGAAGAATTATAGAAAAAGATTAAAGCTAATTAGGAAATTTATTATGTCAAGTACAAGTAAGATTCAAAAACCATAGCAGCCGTAATTTCATTCAACAAAAATAATTAATAAGAAAATGTAAATCTTATTCAATTAATTGCTCCAAATGAAGAGTCTGTGTTTAAGAAGGGTAATTTATTTAGATATGAATTAAGGGAAATAAAAACACGAGTCATCCTGTTATTTAACTTGGGAAGAATTTAAATAGAATTTTGAATCTATTTATGTTGTACCTTGGAAGGATGATTATAAATATAGAGTGAATACAATAACTTTAAAGAACCCAATTGAACGAAAATCTGATTTTATTGAACATACTTATTGCTATAAATTTAAAATAAGTGAACCTGCTAATTATTAGTTGACTTTATGGTAGAATGATATTCTAATTGATACTGGTAAGATAGAGGTAAAAGATTAAAAATTAAAGAATCAATTAGGTTTAATTAGAATGCTCGTGTTTTAAGAATTGGATTAGAAGTAATATAAATTTGTTGATGGTAATACTGATTTTTAAAATTGTATATCAATTAATTCAACACTTGAGAAGGGAGAATATTGTGTTGTATGTCAAGGCTATTTTAATTATTTTTCAAATTATACTGAAAAACAAAAAGAAGAATAATTTAAGCTAAATCTGTCAATGACTGGACTAAACCTTAATTTCAACATAAATCCAGATAATTTGGATGAATAAAAATAAATTAAATTAATTACAAGTTTGATAAAAGCGAAATCTCAATAAGGAAAGAAAAGATCTTTTGATTCGATTGGATAACCTTATATAAAAGTAACTACTAACAAAAATTATGGTTTCTTGTATTTCTATTATGAGAACAGAGGAACAATGGATATTAAGGAAGAAATAGAGTTTAAAGAGATGGGATACTTGGTCAAATATTAATCATTATAAAAATAAAATACAGATTTAGTGGTTGTCAAGCATAACAATTTCGAAATTCTATTGTATACTCTTAACCCAAAAATTATCTTTTCATAAGATCGAGCAAAATTTTAATTATAATATAAACACAAAATAATAAATGATTTCTAATAGTCTGCAGTGATTAATCAAAATGCATAAAATTAATAAGTAGAATGGATAAATACTATAATTAAACATAAGAACACTCAGATTATTTCTTGTGACAATGTTGTTGCTTATATAAACTAGCATCATTAAGGTATATTAAGAATTATAATAAGGGGTGATCATTTTGTATCAGAATATATCTGAAAAACAAATTAAAGTATCTACAATATTTGGTTAACTTGAGAACCTAACTCTTGCGTAAAAAGAGAACTTTATTGTGGATGAAATGAAAATATCGTTTTCAGCTTAACCATTATCTAATATAGTAATGCTATTTGATATTACAGAAGGTATAAATTATTGTTTTTAGATGAAATTAATTTGTTCTTAAGATTTATGATGGGTATTTTCTATTTATCATTATTTTAATAATTAAAAAAAATCTGAATTCTCTTCATTTTTTAAATTAATCTATCATTTGGGTGGTTGAAACAACTTTGAAAAGATCGCCTACTCTTTCATCAAGATCAACTTTCACGATATAAATAATTTTCTAGAAATCTTATTAAATCTAATACATCTCTGCATAAATAGCATTCAGTTTTCTATTTCCAAATATCAATTGCACATTAATAGCAAATGCCCCCATGTCCACAATTCATAAACACTGCATTAGGTCCTCTCTCATAACAAATGATGCATATATTACTATTCTAACTAAGATCGGGTTTATCGTTTTGAATAGATTCGTCCCTATCAACCTTATATATTATATTTATTTACGCTTATTAATTAAGAATTACTTTTTTTTTTATCTCCCTAAGATTTTACGATATTAGCAAATTCTTAATTAATTGTACATGATTATTTTTCGACTATCTTAAAATCTATCTCTTGAAGCATTTACGAACCCACACCTTGACTCGAGAAAGCTCTTTTGTGTCCTTTTGATAATTTCTTCAGAACAGGAGATCCATAATTGGAATCCTGAACATTACTATGTTGTCTTTTTGGGATACTGAAATAAGCTTTCGAGATCTTCTACATTACTTGAGGAACTCTTGTTCTTGATGAAAGAGTGTTTAAGATCTATAATGTTTAGTTGTTCCCTTAAGTTTGTGCAGATTATTGTTATTGATTAGTTAATGGCTCGTCATCTTGGAGAGTACTAAAAATGTATTCCTTAATTTCTTTATGGAAATAAATAGAATAGAGCATTATGATTACGAGTTCAGCCAAAATGAAATATTGAAGAATTATGAATTTGCCTGTGTAATTTAGACTCTTGGTTAAGAAATCTAGATAACCAAAGGATAGGAGACCTATGCATATTGAGACATAAATTATCAATTGAGTTAGCCAGATATAGAAGATGACTACATATGCAAATATGGATACTTTTTGATTTTTAATAGCTTGATTTGTCAAATAAATATTGAACAATCTTATTGAAAGTTACTATTGCGCAGGCAATACCGATGCCTATAGAACAGAATAGACCTAACCATAAGTTCCAGAGTACAGCACTCCAGTCCCAATTTATTAGCTTATCCAATTTTAAACTCACGAATATCGAACAAATCAAAATATATAATCTAAGAATTGCTAATGCTTTTTTCAATGTTTTCAATGATTCCAAAATGTCTCTGTTAGCATACTGTGAATAACTATCGATTATTATTGCAATAAGCAGAAATGCATTTGAGTATATGTATAAATGGTATTCCTGTTACTCTATTACTAAGAATGATGTTATAAATAAGCAGTCTAATAGTGTAATAATCAAATAAATGAATACTCCTTTCATCTTCCTGGATATGAAATAATAATTACCATCGAACATGTTGGTGTTTGCATTAAAAGCACTGATAAAGAAAATTCAGCAGCTCAATAACAAGGTAGGCTAGTAATACGATAAATATGATGATTTTGCTGAACTAAAATTAAACTTAAAGGCTAAGAGTTAGTAATATGAATGTTGTAAATAAAAATTTAATTATTAGTGAGTTGTACAAATGCTTTGATCTCATACCATTTCTTAAACTTATGAAAAATAAAGTTACTTAATTTCTGATGACGAGAGGGCAACATTCGTTTCATTTTACGTCTGCATAGTAGTAATGTATGTATTTATTTTTATAAATCAAAATATGTTCATAAATTGATTGATTATATTTAACTGAATTTAGATTGTAATAGATACTAAAATTAAGTTGTTATAACTATAGCTTAAAAGAAAAGGGCTAATTCTTTGATTACTAATCAATTTCAGTAGATTAATTTAAGTAAATAAAAATTATTATTTAAGGTGATGTAAAATTAGTTGCACAATATTTGTATCAATTTTTATTAATAATCAATTTTCATTTAATTTTATCTATTTCGATAAACTAGTAGGGGTAATATTATGAAAAACCTCAAAACTAGAATATAATAACAGAATAAACTATCTAAAATATATAAATAGATTTTGAAACGTTTTTGGTGGATTGGTAAAATCTTACATCGCATCAAGTAAAATTGATGAAAAATATTATAAATCTTCATTATTATTACTATAAGGTGTGGAACCATTTAAAATGAATATACAATATTTATCTTTTAATTTAACACTGAGACTTTCTTTTTTGATCTAATTAATATTGTAAAATAAATTATTATATTTCTATGATATAAATAGGTACAAATCAGGAGGGGGAGTTCGTTTTTGATTCAAAAGAATAAGATTACGTTTTACTGGATCTAAATAGCTTACAGGAATAATTAGAGTAGGGGAGGAAAAATGAAATCTTTGACTTGTTGCAATAAGTTATGAAATCTAATGAATATTAATCTTCGAGTGAGAAAGTGAAAAGCTAAATTGAATGGGCATTGTAGACTGTAAATGAGCATCCTTCGGAATAGTATTTTATTCTAAGAGCAATTTAGTTACGAGTTGGAGTAATAACTAGAAAATTAGAGATATCCTGAAGTGCATTCTGCTAATAAGATCATCGATATGAATATTGGAAAAGTAAAGGCAAGGGTTCAATTTATGTCATAATAAGAGAGGAGAAATCTTATGAAAGTATATTTAGTTAGAGTATTGAGACAAAAAGCTTGGAAAGAAGCATTCAATAAATATATACTTGCAAATAAAATAAGTTTTATAAGGAGCAATTACAATAAAAATACAAATTGATGTAGAACGAGATCATTGATAGGAGGAGGAATGAAATCTAGTAGTAAAGGCAAAAGCATTTCCAGATTATGCAAAGTACGAAGGGGAAATTGGGATAGATGTAAATTTATTTAATATTAAGGTTACAAATAAAGGTCGATGAGAACAAGCAATTAAAAGAATCCATTCAATTGGGGTTGTATCAGACAATGACTGAGTTGAGATCGGATAATGTCAAAGCTTATAGGAGAGTGAAAGTGATGGAACAGGGACAATAAGAGAAACTGTAATTATTCTGGCAAACCAAATAAGTAATGGCCAAAACGAATTATAAAAGAAAAGTAGAAGATGCTTATTTAATAAATATGCAAGCTTAGGATAGACTATTGCAATTGGAATAATAGGAAATGGAATTAATGCATAGATTGAGATAGACAGAATAATAATATTAGATGAGTTCCATCAGATTGGAGAAGATGAAATCGAAATCATATAAGGACTTGGGAATGATGTGGAGCTGATTGACTTTTTCCTTTTATTTATTTATTTTAAAAGTGAATTCGGTATATTTAGATGGAAATTAAAAAATTTAAAATAAAGATTTTTAATAAATGGGTGTAAGAGTGACTTATAGAAGAAGAACAAGCTACAATACAAGATCAAATAAGATCAGAAAAGTAAAGACCCCAGGTATAAAGTGAATTAATTGAAGGTGGCAATGTTGTTGTTTAATATCCAAATAAGAAGACAACTGCATCTACATGTGCAGATTCTAATTTGAATGTTGTTTTAAATGGATTAAAGAGAATCAGACCCACAAAACTAAAGCAACTCGCAAGAAGATAGAGAACAGTTTCAAGACCATATGGTGGAGTATTGAGTGCCGGAGCTCTTAAAAATAGAATCATCAGAGCATTTTTAGTAGAGGAAGTCAAAATCGTTAAGTAAATTAAGAAATGATACATTTATACAACAATGAAAAAATAATAACAATCAATGTTCTGAATGCAAAGGTTCGACCTATTGATCAATAATCTAATCACATTCGGATTGATCATCGATTAAACTTTCTCCATTATAGTCTTAAATACTTCCATAAATCATAGACATTTGAGAGAGAAAAGAAGTGCAACTCTTAATCATTTTGCTGTAACAATTTCTTTGGAGTAGCACTCTAATTCACTTGCACTTTTTTTCGCATTCTATTCTATTCTTTTCCCAATAAGTGGATTTAGAATGTTATATACGCATCTCTAAAATACTACCTACTCCTTTTTTTAAAAATAAAACCTACGATAAATTCCTTCTTCAAATCTAAACCATTAGTATTCATATTATTTGATGATTTATTTTTTCATTCCAATCAATTGCAATAAACAGTACTATTTGATTTATAATGTTGAAACCAATTATTGTGAAAGCAGAGCAGCTTAATTATCTAATATAGTTTATAAATTATTTATTCATAACATTTTTATTGAACTCATTAAATTAATTTTATAGCATATATATATATATAGCTATAGAATCTGTTCTTTAATTATGATTTCAGTATATACTGTATTATCAACATATAATATTGAGACTTTCAATTTTATCATTTGAAAATTCGCATTTCTATTATTGAGAATCACTTAAAAGAACGAAATTTACTAATATACAAATTTTGTCATCAATTTATTAGATGATTAGTATAATAGATTTGAATATCAACTGATATTATGACTTACTAATGTATATCAGAACACTTCTCTCTCAATTAAATTATATTAGAATGTAATTTGTTTACAAGGATAATAATAATTTAATGATTATATTTATTATTTTGATAATTTAAGAATGGGGTGTAGATGAAATAATCATCAAATTTATTACATCTTATCATTTAATTAAGTTGAAATAATGTTTTAACAAAGGAACCCCACTTGATATTTTAACTCGGGACTAAAGACATTTATGTGTAATGTGATATTTTGTCTAATTATTAATCAATTTATGACGAATATTTAATAATATATCTCTGCAGGATTGACAGAAAATAAATTGATTTAGATTTATTTCCCAAAAATTAAGAATCAGGGGAAAATGAGTAATTCTCTTAAAAACTCTATTGAAATTTAGTAACTTATGTTTTAATCTGAAACAGTAAGAAAAAATGATATTATTGTGAACGATATAAGTATTAAAATATAATTAATATAATTTATGAACAACAATAAACTGAATCTCTTGGAGGTTTTAAGAAAGAAACGAATAGAACAACAAAGCGAGTAAATTCCAAAAACTCCCCCTTTATTGAAACAAAAATCTAAGGAGGAAATTCGAAAATATTTGGTCTAGAATCCCAAAACTAATCTTATAAGTCTATTCAAAAAGAAGAGGGAAGATGACAATACGCCTTGTACTCGTTAAAATTTACTTAAATTTTATGACAGTCAAGGGAGAAGTTCGATTCTCTCTCCTATTTGTGCTGCCAACCATGTCCCATAAAAAAGTGTATCAGATGAGAGTACCAATGCTCTATAGGTATAGTGACTTTTATATCAATCATAGATTACGATACCTAAGAGAATGTCACTCGTATCTCCAAGATTATAGCATTTAAATTCGCAGACATCAATACTAGAATCTCCAAACGAAATCGAAAGTTTTATAGTGGGTGGGTCTAATGCGTCTAAATTAGACTTAGATGAACATTATTTGAGAATTGAGAATGTTGACAATCCACGAATCATGCGATCATAATCGTAATGTTAGGATGAAGCTTAGATGGCAATAATCCCAAACACTTTGAGTGTTCCCATGGGTAAGGGACCAAGGAGATTGCAATCGTTTTCAGTAGGTGATCCATTTAGGAATGTAATAAATGCAGCAGAGCAGAGGAGATCTGTAAGATTAATGAGAGGATTGAGTGGAATCCATTAACCGAAGGAAACATAGATCTTGGAGAGATCTAGGGATGAGGCAGGAAGGAAGAAAATGAATAACTTTGTAATTTTACATGAGTTGGGAAGAGGTGCCTTTGGAAAAGTGCGTTTAGTTTATAATGAAATAGATTAATAATATTATGCAATGAAGATAGCGGACAAAAACAAATTGAAACGGAAGTTATTAACAAAGGAGACCTCAGCATATTCATTATTAGAATAGGAAGTGGCAATATTAAAGAAAGTTGATCATTAGAATGTAGTTAGATTAGTGGAGGTAATAGATGATCCTGAGGAGAGGAAGCTATACCTGATAATGGAACATGTGAAGAAGGGATCGATCAATTCAAAACAGTATTGGAAGTCTGAAGGTGTGAATATTGATTGGGATGAAGGAGAAAAACCACCTAAAATCAAATGTGAAAAGATCAGGAAGTATTTGAGACATTTCCTACTTGGACTAGATTATTGTATTAATACACAATTATCTATTAAGTACACAACTTTGCTCGGATTGTACATAGAGATATTAAACCAGATAATTTGTTGATTGATGAGTTTGATAACTTAAAGATTGCAGATTTTGGTGTTGCATAAATGTATGATAGTTCATCTGCTGATTTGATCTAAGGTGATGTTGGAACCAAAGCCTTCTTGCCTCCAGAAGCATTCAAGACTTCTTAGGTTAAGGGGAAACCAGCAGATATCTGGGCTGCTGGTATCACATTCTTTATTCTTACTTAAGGAGAACATCCTTTCCCTGCTAAAAATGTCTAATAACTTAAAGAAGCTGTCTCCAATAATGAGATTAGATTCTCCAAAGGTACTGATCCAGATTTGGCAGATTTCTTAAATTGTTGTCTTAAGAAAGACTCAAGATAGAGACACACACTTGAGTAACTTATGGTATATTGTGAAGTCTAATTAGGATCATCCATTTATTACAATGAATGGAGAAGAACCATTAATTGAATAAGAGTTTTCAGATGAGAATTTCTTCATCTCTGAAAATGAAATAAGTAAGGCACTCTCCAAAGTTACTATAAGAGCTACTGTGAGAGTCTTTGCAAAACTTAAACAGAAACTTAATCAGTCTAGATAGAGAATAAAGAGACAGTAATGAATATAAACACACGCACTCATTTTTATATTTTTTATATAATCATTAATTAATACCTTAATATCTCATAATCATTTAGAATGTCTCAATTTGTTTTATAATTTTATAACTTTCTATTACATTATTTAATTGAATATAATTGTATTACAAAAGGATGATCATATTTTTAAACAATAATTCTTCAAAGAATATAAAACTCACCTTTTTAATCAAATTAATTTCTTTATTATTTATAAAAATATAAGATAAACCAAGATAAGATGGATTATCAATTGGAATAATAGATTTTGTTAATATCATTCTTTTTGGATAATCTAAAAATTTGAACTTATAAAATATGAATTAATTATGGTTGTTTAATTTGATTGGCATATTTCAAAAATGAGAGTAAATAAGTTTTATTTTGACTATTATTTAATTTATTTATGAAAGTCTTATAGGCACTTAAATCAACAAAATTCCCATTTGCTTCATTCACAAACAGGGATGTCAAATCAGAGTTTCAAATGTTGAAACCTCATTTCGAAACACTTATTCCTGATCTCTATTTGCAAAAGAGACTCAAGTTACCGGCAGATAAAATTATGAGATAAAGAAGAATGATGAATTATCACATTGAGTTCGATAAGGAGGGCAATATGACGAGGTTCCATGAAGAATATCGTCTAGACAATTATGATGAAACCAAATGTCTCCAATATGCAAATGTCTACGAAGAACTGACCAAAGAGATGAAGCAAGATCAGATCTATAAAGACTTCCTTTACAATACTCTTCAAATTACTTGGCAATTAAAATAATTCAAAAAAGCTTAAATCTCTGTCCATGCAGTCAGAACCGTAATGATATTCTGTATATTTACATTAGATATCGTATCCTGATTAACCTGCTCAATCCACTCCAGAAGGACCAAATAGAGATGGAAATGACTTAGAAATCATCGGAGTAGTTAATAAGATTAACTGCCAAGGAGCCGATAGCCAAATCTATAGTCCTGATAAAACTAAGTTACTATTTGAAATGAGTCTCGAACCCGGAGAAGGATACATTATAGACGATAAATCACTCTGGAATTATGCCACTTCCCATAAACCAGTCGATCAAAGCTAAGTAGGAATTCGAGATATATTGGGGTTTGTACTTAAAATTGATGAATGAATATACACAACCACAATTATATATAATATAATAAAAGCATTTTAATTTATATTAATTTTAATTCTGCTTATTTATAAGCAAATTATTATATCCTGCTAATTATAAATTCAATCAAATTAATCAAGCTAAACTTCATAGACTTTCGGCTCCTTTTCAACTGTTGATATGATCTCAGAATCAGAATCAAATGATGTAATCTTTATGGTTATCGTACTGACTTGAGAGAATTTTCGATTCTAATTTGATGCAGTTCGAGGCAAAGGATCCATAGACATCTATTTTTTTTCCTTTTTTGCAGTCTTGGTCTTACCTATAGGTTCTGTTGGTTTTTTGGCTGGCGTGACATATTATTGAGCTTGTTTCTTGTAATTTTGCAATATTTTGTGGAGTGTAGATTACTTCTCATTTTACATAACTTTTGTTAGAATTTTCTGTTTTATTGATTAGAAAGAACTCCTTTACCTAGGTAGAGCTTATATAAAGTATGATTATGTTGTAGGTATTCCATTCAAAATGCTGGCCATCTGAAAAAATTATAAATAGAAATTTTAATGTATTTAAATTTAAAGACAAGATTCTTTTTATTATTTGAGATGATTTAAATTTATTAATTGATTATGATTTCATGAAATTCAACTAAATAAATCAAATTAAAGTTTATTTCAAATAGAATAAAGAAGGAAATCTGAAAATTTTGATATATCTTAACTAATTAAAAGTAATAGTATATTTTGATAGCTAAAATTTGGGAACATAAAAAAATTTGTTCATGATTAATTCTTGACAACTTTTTGTTAGCCATCCATTTGAATGAAATGATCATCTTTGATAAACGGATAATTCTGTGTAAACTTATTTTCAAGCTACTTAAAAATTTATTTTTATTCATCATGATTTATTGGCTCAAAAATTGTATCGCTCAAGCTGAAAGCATGTGCTTCTACTAACAATTAATTTCTAAATTCTTCTACATTAAAGTCCCTCTCCACGAATATAATTGACATTGTGCTATTCAGATAAATTTTAAGGGCTTCTTTCAAATTTTTTTTGTCTTCTTCCTAGTTTTCACTTTGCTAAAAGTCAGTTATCACTAAGGTAATTTTCTCTTTGTATTTTTTAAAGTACTTATAAAGATCCAATATTTTTTTCTTCATTAGATCTGTTCTTTCAAAATTAACTAAAAAGAAAAAATGAGCAATATGATTTTTCTGCATGTATTACTAAAATATTGGAATGCTGATTTCCCTTTATTCAATGTTTTCAAAATCTAATGAAGGTGTATACACTAAATCAATATCCTGTCTTATTTAACATTCTTAAAACCCTTATTCTAGCTATTTTGAATTTTTCAAAACGCTAAGAATTCTTTTAAATAACTTTGTTTTTCCAACTCCTGGTGGACCAACAAGTATATATTTGAGTGTTTAGAAACTTTGTTTGCTGGCTAATTTTTTTTTTTACTCCTATTAATTACTATAGATTCTTTAGCCAGCATAAAAAACACAACCAGCAAATATGAAGGCTGTAGAAAATACTTTAAATGAATAGCCATAAATCATCGTGTAGGTTAATTTTTTAATGAATTTACTTAGGGCCTCTGTTTTATAAAATTGAATAATTCTATTAAGTTTATATATTTACAATAGTGTGTATAACAAAGTATTTAATAAATTTTAAATATTATTGTTCATGAGGAGGAGGAAATGAAAAGAATGATGGCATAAATATGAATAACAATAATTCAGTGAAAAATCATTTTTTAGGTTTTCTGAGTTTAGCATCTTATCTTTATTACATTTCTAGATCGTCTTTCTCCTTTTATGCTTCCTATACCTTATTGCGTTTAAGTTATCTTAAGTCTATAATGATATTAAACAGAGTACCAGGTCTGAATGATGCATCACTTAAAAGAAATGGATTAGGTTTAAAGACTTTGCATTCATATGGGCGTATGTAATTGACATCCCAATATCTGACTTCTCCAAATTCAATGTATCCCATGTAGGTTCCATAGACTTTGCAGACCTTCTTGCCCTTTTTTTTGATTTCTCCAGAGAGGTAATCAGATGCCTTCCATCTGACACTATCCAATTCAACCGAAGCTGAAATATCATTTTTTTTATCCAAGAAGGTAATCTTGCCCTTGCACTCTACTTTCATGGGTCCCCAGAAACTTCCACTGTATTCTTCTCCTGCAAAATTGTATTCAATTAATTCTCCATCAGCAAATTGCAAAAAGCGTTTCCCCTTGTTTTTCAAGGAGAGGGAGTTGACTCCTGCTTTGGCTTCATAATTATAATAACCATAAAATTTATAACTATTTTTGGGACCAATTGTTAGAAAATAACTAACTGGAGGATGGTGTGAGATCTATTCTACATAGGCAGTGGTGCCATCTTGATAGAACCCAGAAATGGTTTCACCCAAGATGGGATTCAGGGGTTTGAGAAAGGAGCAATTCAAATAGAAATTACCTAAGGTGGCACAAATAATTAGCTTCATCTAATAATAGGGTTGATACTTTACTCTTTCGATAGGATCTTTTTCCAGGACTGCTCTGTTAATGTAAAGTGGGAAGAGACAACTAGACATCAAGACCTTTTCAAGGGCTGACTTGGGAATCATGGCCTTGATAGGGAATGACACAGTTGTTAAATTTAAATTACCAGACAAAATTTGTTTACCAATTTATTTGATCAACTCTTTGCCTATAGCTCTGAGAGTTCTAATTAGCTTTTTGTTTTTGCACACCTTGCCTCCATCTTTGTGTGCTAAGGTGGATCTGGATTCCTCCTTGGATTAGAGTGGTTTGAAATTAGAGACAGCCTTCAAAATTAGTTCTTCAGTATTGTCTGTATTATAATCGTGTATTTCCCTGGCCCATTTATAGATGGCTGCATTCTTGGCTTCCTCCTCTGATATTTCTCGATCGTCGTCTTCTTCATCCTCCTCCTATATTACTTCAGGCTGATCAGGGATTTCTTCAAGTTGTGATTTGTCGTTTTGGTTATTTTTTACTTCAGCTTGTATTTGAGGATAACTGACAATCACACTCAAGTCTTCCTAAAAGTCGATTTTAATTTCCTCCTGCTCTTACGACTCTCTTTTCATATTTTACTATTTTTCAAGAAGACTCATAACAAAAAGAGTAAAGGGAGTTTTGCCAACGACGAATGAGGGACATATTGAGGCTGAGACGTTTTCGTCTTGCACTTAATATCCGACTGAATTTTTCTTTGGTCTTTCTTCTATTTCTAATTCTACTTCTTGCTATTGATTGGTTCTACAGGATCTAATGTTTAAGTTTATAACTAATCAGATTACCTGTCTCCTTACTGATTCTCAGGTGCCAACTGTTCCGATATCTCTATTGGTTTTTTGTTTTCATCCTTCTTTTTAGATGATGAGCAGCAAAACATTATTTTTTATATAATTATATTTTTTTCGCATTATTGCTTTAATCTTACAAATTTCAGTTTGATGTGATTTGATTATTTGATTAGGAAGATATCTTAAATTGATCAACAAGGATGAATTATCTAATTCTTTTTAATCAGTAATAATTTTGAATTATTGAGTGCTCTCAAAAATTCAGGTAAACAATAAAATTGTTTCAGAATAATTAGAACGCTTAAGAATCATTTTTCTAAATTATTCTTATGTAATCATTCCCAAAATATTAATCTTTAATTCTTGTTTATAAAGTTAATATGTAAAAAATTTAATTTAATTGTACTATTTGTTTGAATCATTTAAGCGATCCCACCTGCCTGTCTTGCGGACACACTTTTTGTGAAAAATGTATCAATCATCATTTGAAACTCAATCATTCTTGTCCCTTGTGTAGAAAACCCACATTATCAGAATGGCCTGTCAATGAAATGCTCAAGGAAGTACTATTGATACTTTTTGAACAAGGACCTGAAGGTAAATTGTACCTCCCTATCCAACATTTAGTTCTCCAAACAGAATTCCCACAAATAGTATTATGCTTGGATTGTGGCCTTACTCCTATTAATCCTGTAGTGTTACCTTGTCAACACCTCTTCTGTCTGTAATGTTATCAAAATGACTTGGTCTAACAGTACTGTCCTGTCTGTCTTCAACAATGCATGATTACGTAGCCCAACATAAATCTTCTTTTCAATCAATTTTTGCAATGGTACTGCGAAACAGATGAAAAATTCGTCCTCCAAGATTAACAAGTGCAATCCATGCCCATTTTTCTATTCGATAAACAAATATGCTATAAAAGGAATTTCTCTCTCAGAATCGTCGAAGATAGATATAAATAGTTAATAAAATTGGCCTCGCATGGATCAGGCAAATTTCCAGTGGTTCCCTTTACTGACCGATTGCCCGTTTATGCAGACATGGTTGAAATAGTTAGCATAACAGATCAAATAGAGATTATTGGTTGTGATAGATTACTTATTGACGCGATCTATTGCTACATAAACGATGAGAAAATACCCTTCACTCCCAACACCTTCAAAGCTCTGCCTAATCAACTGTGGCTCTGCAATTACTCCCTTGTCAAAGATAATCAAGACAAGTCTCAGGTCTCGAACAAAATCAAACAGTTTATTCAAGTAACTTTTGCAGAACTGACAGAAGAGATGAAATCGCTATTTGAAAAACCATATCATTTAATGGGAATTTTTGGAACCAAACTTCATTAAGTAAACTCAAGTCTTATTATGATCCAACTATTAAAGATTACCAATCAGTAATTCTAAAAACTATATTATTCTAATGACGAATAATTAAGAAATTAATTTATTTGGAATTTCATCAATCAAATTTAATAAAAAATTATTCAAATTATTGGTCACCACCAAACACAAAATGCCAAATTGAAACAATTAAACATGGATGAAGAAATATAATTGCCTAATTTGTAATTTCATAACATTTACGAAGAAGAAGAAGAAGACTTTTCGCAAGATCTTAATGATTCATTCTCAAATATGACAATTACTCAACAAATCATTCTCAACTTGTTTCATCTTCACAAAGTACCATTTTTTTAATGATTTTTATTTCTTATGTTGTATATCATATACTCTAAATTTTGTTCATATCTTACCATAAAATAACAATCTATTCAAAAATAGTTAGATAATTAACAATACAATTATATCTCATTAATATCCGTATCTATTATTTAGCAAATCATAGAAATGAGGTTAAGGGATACATTTTTTTACTTAATAAAATTCATTCTTCAAGAGGTTAGATTTTATAGTCTTGCTACTTTTGGCCTTTCTCAAGTTTTCATATGAAAACTAAAAATAAATTAATCTTCTAATTCTAATTATTTTAATTTATCTCATAAAGCTGTTTATTCATTGTTTTTCTCTGAAGGTTGCAAAACCCTCTTTAATACATTCTTCTATGATAGATAGTTTTGAAGCTCAAGTTCTATTTAAATCAAATAATATTTATTGTAATATGACAAGCATTATCTGCCCTTTCAAAATCTTTCTTTATTATCCATTATTTTATAACTATTGGTTGCTTCTCTTATAATAGTATTATTATATCAATGAAGATCTATCATACTAATTCTAATACATTATTTTTTCATTAAGATATTTTAATTTTTTGGAAAATAAAATAAAATTATCAAATAGATAATAATAATGTAGTAATTCATCATTTTTTAGAATTATATTCCGAATAAATTTATATTCATATAAAAATAGCAAATAAAAATTATATTAGCATTTTAATTAGAAATTTTTTTATATAATTAAAAAAAAGAAATCAATGGCTACAACCAAGGTAAAAAAATCAAAAAAAGTTGAAGAGGTTGAATAGGTTTAAGATGAGGATGTGATAAAGTCTACTCATTAGGGACCTAAAATTGATTCCTCAAATTGGCCATTGTTATTGAAGAATTATGAAAGGATGAACATATTGACCTCACATTATACACCAATCCCAAGTGGATCAGTAAGGATAAATTATTAATATAATAGACTCCATTAAAGAGACCATTAATTGAACATTTGAAATACGGTGTGATAAATCTTGACAAGCCATCAAATCCATCATCACACGAAGTTGTATCATGGATCAAAAGAATATTAAAAGTTGATAAGACAGGTCACTCAGGGACTCTTGATCCAAAGGTTACAGGAGCATTGATAGTGTGTCTGAATAGAGCAACAAGACTAGTGAAGGCATAGTAATCAGCTGGTAAGGAGTACGTCGGAATAATAAGGTAATTGAAGTTGAATAATATAATAGATTACATGATGCAATATCATCAGCAGCTAAGTTGGAGAAGGCTATTTAAGATTTGACAGGAGCTGTATTTTAAAAGCCACCTGCCATTTCAGCAGTGAAAAGAGAATTAAGAGTTAGAACAATTTATGAGAGTAAATTGTTTGAGTATGACCCTGAAAAGAGATTGGGAATCTTTTGGATGAGTTGTGAAGCAGGAACATACGTGAGAACCCTATGTGTTCATTTGGGTTTATTATTGGGAGTAGGAGGTCACATGGAAGAATTGAGAAGAGTGAGATCAGGTATATTGGATGAGAATAAATATATGGTGACAATGCATGATGTATTGGATGCCCAATATCGATATGAAAAATTTAAGGATGAATCCTATTTAAGACATGTAATCATCCCATTGGAAGTTCTATTGACAAATTACAAGAGAGTTGTAGTCAAGGATTCAACAGTTAATGCTATTTGTTATGGAGCAAAACTAATGGTGCCAGGAGTTCTTAGATTTGATGATAAGATCGATATTGGTGATGAAATTGTGTTGATCACAACCAAAGGAGAAGCCATTGCTGTTGCTATTGCGTAATTTATTCAGTTTTATGTATTAGTTAAATGACAACAGGCGAGATTGCATCATGTGACCATGGAGTCGTTTGCAAATCCAAGAGAGTTATCATGGACAGAGAGACCTATCCAAGAAAGTATAATTTTATTTTATCCTTTTTAGATGGGGTACTGGACCAAGAGCTCTTAGAAAGAAGGCTTTGATTAAAGAGGGGTTACTTGATCCACATGGAAAACCAAATGCCAATACTCCTTAGGATTGGTAGCAATTCTATGTTTCTGAAGAAAACAATAACATTTTGAAGGAGCAAGAATAACCAGCGGAGGTGTAAAAGAAGGAGGAAGTAGAGGTACCTGAGGTTGTTGAGAAGCCTAAGAAAAAGAAAAAGTAGGTTGAATAAGAGGAGGAAGAAGAGGTACCTGAGGTTGTTGAGAAGCCCAAGAAGAAGAAAAAGTAGGTTGTATAAGAGGAGGAAGAATGATTTAATATGTTTAAGATTAACAATATAAAAAAGTATAATAAATGATGAAACTAACTATTACTGAATAGAATTTAATCGATTTGTAGACAATTAAGCTCATTGTTATGAATGGGATGTCATAAAACTCTGTTATGCCAAATCTATAATGCTTTCGAACTTTTGAAATTCATCTTCGGGTATGACTCCGATAATCTAGTTTTCAAGATGTTGTTTGGAACTAAATTGAGATTGGGTTATATTACAATTATTGTAAATCTTCTAAATATGATTTATAGGGGGGGAGTTCTGTTTTGGCTCTGTTGAGGAACATTATCAACTAATCGACAATGGGTTTGAAGATTTATGTTTTTGGGTTGTCCTTGTTTTCGAGGATGATGTCTTGCATTAAATAGAATCTTTGCATGATGTCGACGACCAATTGAATTCTGTTGCCTTGTTTGATTTGGGGAGGGCCTTTGTTTATTCTGTCGATTCCGAATTTGCAATCTTCTAGTCCATATTCCTGATGAGTAGAATGAAGATATAAACCTTGATGAATGAGTTGAGATCGTATTTGTCGATTTTGGAGGTGAAGTTCTTGTATCTTTCGATCAACTTTGTGATTTCCTGGGAGTGTTTTTCTGGGGTTATTTTGTCATCAGCCAATTATGCACACTTTTCTACCATATCAATTAATCTGATGGTGATGAATATTTCCTTTTATAATTCAAATTTTTACTAAGGATATAAGGTAGATCTACTTACTTTATCGTCGATTGTTAACTTCTACACTTGTCGAGTCTGTAGTTAATTCATTTTAAAAAATTATTAATATATAAAATACAAAATATATATTAACTTAACTTTAACAAAATGCAGTATCTAATCTCCTTATAAAAAAACCTACAAACTGAGAATGTTTTTTTAAGTGCAACTTTGAATTTTCGAGATCAGAATGTTGAGATGAGCTACAAGAACTTTTAAAAGAAGTTTAATGAAGGGACATTGATCTTAATGGAATCCTTCAAATTGTTTTTGGAATTCGCCATCACAATTTCAGCCCTCATTTCGGATGACCAATCAATTTACTCGTCGATTCTGTTCTTATTTCCCATTTCAAGTCTATTACAAATTTGGATAATTCGAAAGAACTAAAAGTGCAATGATTACTGGAAAATTGGACACATACTAGCGCTGTTCCTGTTTTTAGCAGCCAACAAACAACCCTATTTGATGCGAGGATCAGTCTCCTTGTATTGCATCTATATGACTTAGAGTTTAAATGACAAGAAATATGTCATATTTTACTTATCAATTATGTAAGTTACATTCTAATATTTTGACTAATTTTTTGACTGGGTTGTTTTGCCCTTCCAGTGGGCATTCACTCTGATCATCACTCTGAGCATTTATGCTCGACAAAGAAGAGAACTAGTGTATTACTATCACAAATTCAAGTCCAACACTGATTTATCCTATCAGGAGGTTGTGTTGAACCATAGTCTGCAGTAGAATCTCTTCATAGTTAGATTGTCTCAAGATTAATCAAAAGTACATCTTAATTTTAATATTCATTTAGCGATCAGTAGATTATTTCGAAGTGCTTTTTGCCAATCAAGCCTGTAAAAAGGAGTTCGCCTAAATAGACAATATCTTCCATCGAACCACACTCATCAACATCATCAATTGCAACGAATCGAATCTCTCCTATTACAATTTGAAGGTCAATTTCAGCTACGAACAAATTTGCAATAACTACAAGGGATCTACTGGTGAATAGATCAACATGGTAGACAAACCCATATACTTGAATCAAATTCTCTATTAATACATAGTAAATTATCAGAACAAGGAGTTGTAAGAGAGTCTACCTTTGAAATTGACTGGATTACAGAATAACCAAACCTTTGACATCTTGGTGTCCCCCTGCATTTGGAAACATGAGAGATGCTTTATCATATCCTTGATTGATTTGACTGATCGCATGAAGATTTCTCAATTGGAGAAGTTGGATCAATACAAAGACAGTGTTCTGGCCACTGTTAGTCATGATCTTAAGAATCCCATCTGTGTAATTCAATAAATGATCACTCTCGTATAGGAAGGCTTGTATGATTTGCAGGACTGTGAGAATGTGGCCATCTAACAAAAGGTCCAATCTTGTTGCAATTACTTGTAAATGTGCTAGACCAATGTGCAAACTCTTTAATCATTTGTCAATGATCTATAGGACTTTGCATAAATTAAATAGCAAAAGTTGAAATTGGTGGTCAGCTAATTTGAAATTTCTAATCTTGTTTAGGAGATCAAGAATGTTTTTTAAATTTAAATTTAAAAGAAAAATCTTGAATTGGAAATCCAAGTCAATTTAAAACCAAATCAAACCTATTACAATGATCCATTAAGAATCAAATAAGTGTTATTCAATCTGATTTCCAATGCAATCAAGTTCACTTCCAAGGGAAAGATTACTGTAAAGTTCTCAGATGACATCAAAGAAATCTTGAAGTTTTGCAAAGCCATCAAAGAACAAATCGATTCCAACAAAAGTATTGTGGATGTGGGGATACTGTTCAAAAACAAATCAAGCATTTTCATTTGCACAGTTACTGATAATGGAAGTGGAATGAGTTTGGAAATCCAACGAGGCCTCTTTAGAAATTTTGCCACCTATGATAACGATAGTAACATAAACAAGTAGAGTATTGAGTGTAATTAAATAGAAATGGTGTTGGATTAGGTCTTATCATTTGTAAGCAACTTTGCGGCTATATTGGTCCATTACAGTACATGTATTTAAGATCCCAAACAGGAGTTGGTTCAACTTTTTAATTTGCCATTTATAAAAATTATGATAAACAACATCGCTATGATTATTCAGGTGATTAATCTAGCATCGATTCTATCGATTATGATATTTCAGTACAATCCCCCTATAAAAATATATTCAGTACTCGTCACATAACTCCTCTATGCAGAAAACAACGAATCAAAGAATTGCTGCAAGTATTGATTGTTGACGATGAAACATTCAATTGCATATTGCTGAAACTACAATTAACTAAATTTGGCATTCATAATTCGGATGTGGCCTATAATGGGAGAGAAGCCATCGAAATGTCGTAGAAAAAAATATACGACATTGTATTTTTAGATGTCAACATGCCTGGCTTGAATGGATTCCAGTGCATCCAGGATATTAAAAATACCAATAGCGAAATTAAGATTTACATGCTCACAGCATTTAACGATCTCTAAACTCACTAGATGAGTTTAGCTGCAGGAGCGGATAAACTTTTATCCAAACCACTTTCTTAAAAATAGCTTGAACTATTGTTGAATTGATTACATCATTTGTTATGTATTTAAATTATGATACATGCTCTTACATCTGAGACTAAGATTCATTGTTTTTCATCAATAAAATTGTTTTTGGAATTATTCATAAATATTATATTTTCAAAGCATTTCTGTATATCTTTATACATTATACAGATGATTCATATTTTAGTTACAAAACTATATCTCACAGACAATTTCATATATTTAAATCAGTATTCTTTTTATATATTAAATTGATAAAAACAATTAAGTTTTATATTTGCTATTAAGAAATATTAGTGCGTGAGGGAGCACTAACATGGTATCAGGCTTAGGCTTAAATTGACTAATAAATTATTCAGTCGAACAGGTATTAAAATTTAAACAAAAAAAGTTGTCGGATTCATTAATTAATGTATAATTTTCCATGGTTGGATGGTGGTTTAGATGCGATTTCGTTTCAAAAAATACTTAAAAAATAAACAAATTGATAGTTAATTTTATATTGTCTTATATATATTATGTAAATTATGAGAATTGTATTAGGAGTTAATTAAATACGTGTAGGGCAATTAAAAAAAATATCTATATTTTTAAAAAAAATTTGCATGGACCCAACACCATAGCCAGAAGTCTAAAAGGAGGAGAAAAAACCAAACTAGACCAGAGGAGAGAACAGAAAGAGAGAGCCCAAACAAAAGTAACAACAAGTTCAATATGTCGTCAAGGGTGAGGAAGGTAAGGAATTTAGTTTGATGCATTTTAGGTGCTGCAACTGAACCAAAGAATGATACACAAGAAAAGAAGGGAGATTAGGGAGAGAAACAATAATAGAAGAAGAAACCAAGAGAAGAGAGAAAACGTCCTGAATTCGACTGGGACAAGACCAAGATCACTCTTGAAAGTAAAGTACCTGAATTGCCTGCTCATCCTCCTTAAAAGCCAAACAAAGAGGATCATTACAAATAATTGGACAAGATCGACGAAGACATCAGAAAACAATGGAATCATTTCGTAAGAGTTTATTGTTAACATCCTAGAATGATTTTGTTAAGAATGTTAAGGAACAATAAAATTTGGCTAGACAAGGCAATCAAGAGAAGTACTAAAACGAAGTCAAACCATTAGGATAAGTGATTAAGGACAAGATTAAATTAGTCAATGAGAAATCCTCAGAATTGAAGAAGATGAAGGGTGAGAATGATGAAATCAAAGATCAAATCAACAAACTCTTTAATTAATCCTAAGAATACAGATAAAAGATGAAGAGTTTAGATGATCCAGACAGAATTATCGATGAATTGGCTAGATTGAAGGAATCACTCCAATAAGATAAATTGAGTGCAAATGAAGAAAAGAGAATTGTACAATAAATAGGTGCTTTGGAAAGATCACTTCCATACATCGAACCATTGTAAAAGTTGGAGAAGGAATAGAAAGTTCTTAGAACTAAATCAGCAGCTATTGGAAAGGCTATGAATGCTCTTTATTAAAGCATTCAAGAGTTGAATGGAGAAATTAACTAATACAAGGCTGATTATGATGAATTGAAGGACAGTACAAAGGGCTCAGTTGTGACAAAAGAAAATCCTCTTATTGACAAGGAAAAACAAATCATTGAAACCAAAGTTTAGGAATTGAAAGACAGAAAGGACAAATTAAAGAAGGACTACAACAATGCTTGGGATAAATATGAAGATTATGAGGATTTGTAAAAATATAGAGAGTGGTTCTTAAATCAAATCAACAGAATCAAGAGAGATTCAGAGAGAAAGAAGAAGGAAGAAGAAAGAAAGAAAAGAGAAGAAGCCAGAGCAAAAAGAGAAGCTGACAGAGAAGCAGAAGAGTAAGCTGAAGCTGAAGCCAAGGCTAAAGAATTAGAAAATGTCAATCCATTCTAATATTAAGTTGGTATCTATAATTTCTAAACCTTTTAATAGATCTTTGCGATACATTGATCACCTATTTGAATAAACTTAAACCCACTGCTGCCTAATAATAAGCCCAATAATAAAAATAAATAGATATTGAATAAGTTTTAAAGAGTGACGATTGGAAGAAAGAGAAATGCACTGCCATCAAAAAGGAAGCTGAAGATAATCTCTATAACTTTAGTCAATTGAAATCCAAAAAGAAGAACAAGGTATATATTCTATATTTAAATTTAGCAACCACAATAATAAAAGGAAGAGAAAAAGGATGAAAAACCAAGCATCTTGTAACATGATTTGTAAACTCTCTAATTCTTCGATACAGTTAAAGTGGCAACTCCATTCTACATCACTGAGCTTGACAATGTTGTCAAGAGCATCTAAGAGCGTAAGGAGTATTATTTGAACCGGGAAAACTGGGGCAAAAAAGATGAATCAGAGACACATACAGAAGTATTCAATTATTTAAGTATCTTTTAGGAATCAAAAGCAAAGAAATAATAGAAGGCCTAAAACTAAGATGAGTTCCCAGCCTTATAATGAAGTGCGTATATATATATTACATAAATGGTACAAATCTAAATTGAATCTCTTTTTTCTAAACCAATATAACCAGAAGCATAATTCATAGTTCACTCCCTATCTAAGTTTCACCTAAATCAATTGTAGTTATCAGAAGTAGCAATTTGGTTTGATCTAATAGCTTTATTTAACCCTTTCTAAAAATTCATTGAGGATCTTTATTAACTCAAGATTCTTAAATTCAATATTTAATTTATTTTTCTATTTCTTAGACAATTTATCCTTTAAGAAATATGGATGCATTATATACTTGTTCTAAAATAAGAGATAATTTTTATACTCTCTTATCCTTCTTTAAAATGATAATAATTTTATTTTTTAATTCTTATCATGATTATTCTATATATATTTATTTATTCATATTTTTCTTTCATCTCTCAAATAAACGTCTCAAATCTTCCTTATTTAATTATGAGATCAGATTTCTTATCTGAATTGCCTGCTGCTATTTTATTTCTGAGTTTATTTTTTTCTTTGAAAAAATATCTACCTTTCTCAATTTAAATCTCAGCCTTCAAACTCAATAGTTCATTTAATCATTATTTATACTTTCTAAAACAGTATTATTTAAAGGATAATGTATTTAGAATCTTCAAATTATTTTGAAATGATGAATTTAAGAAGCTTAAGATTTAAATTTCCCAGCATTTTACACTTTAAAAATATTTCTATTTAGTAAAACAGGCCTGTAATTGTTCTTAAGGGTATTATTTGAGTCTAGAGAGCTGTTAATAATTTATATTTATAAATTATAAAATATCTAGATCTTGTAAATAATAAATATATTGACAATATAAACCATCCAAAAATTTTTTTCTTCATTAATAATTTTAATGAGTAAATCACTAAATCCCAACCATCAAAAAAAAAGCGTAATAATTAAAAGTAAGGAATAATTTGAAAAGAAGTTTATCGCAGCATCTGAAGTTATTTATAATTCTCTCAAATCTTTCTGTGAATAACAGAAAAAATATGGAGAGAATCATAGTAATTACGTTTTGGGCATTTAAACAATTAGTGAAGACAAGAATACCAAAACTTTAACAGTTACCTATGCTTGTGATATATCTGCTACCCCTTTATCAACAATTAAATACTCTTCACCAAAACATAAAATTTAGATATTCAAACATTTGTACTTAATTTATGGGTTTTTGAACAAATAAAAAATTCTCCATAGAAACCTTAAACCAAATAATATAATTTTCTATAATCAATAATTATTACTTACTGATTTTGGTTATATGCTAGGTGATTGGTAGATTGATAAAATTAATTTTTTAGATGAAAATGATGGTGTTCGTAACGATAATATGTATCCATATCTATCTCCAGAAGTTGCTAATATGATTGTCAGCACAAAAAGTTATGGTCATAAAATGGATGCTCTTAAAAAAAGATATTAAAAATCTGTGAAACAGCAGGATTAATTTGCAATCGCAATTATGATGTTAGAGGTCTTTATTACTTTTAATGACAAAAAATTAACTACTGCTAATTAAAGATTAAAGCAGATTAATGAGATGACATTATCAGATGAGTTTTCAAATGAAGTTGAAAAATTCATAAAAGAAACTATTATAAGTATATTATATTATAAAGATTTTGATGAAACTGAATTCGATAAGAAATTATAAATGATTATTGAAATTGAATAATAGACTGAAAATTACAAAATCAATAAATAGGAATTAATGACATAAGAATATGATGATTTAGTAAAATAAGTCTTAGAAAATAAAGATACTTAATTTAATTTAAAACTTCTATATCACTTTAGTAAAACAGACCTAAACTGCCTGTTAATTAATATTTAAAAAAAATATGAAGAAAATAAAGAACTAATAGAAGAGATGAAAAGATTATTACATCTCTATTAAAAAATTAAAAATTTAAGTCTAAATACAACCGAAGAACAATTTACAAATGAAGATTTATTCATTTCATTAGTTTATTTGGATGAAAAAATAGAAAGTTACTAAAATTCATAAAATCAAGAACCCTATCAGATTATGTCTGAAAACGAATAAAAATATCGTCATTTAAAATAATCCTTAAAGAAAGAATATATTAGATTGAATAATTTAAACAAAAATGAATTTAAATTTAATAACATCTTTGGCAAAGATATTGAAATTATGCAACTAAATTCATTTAAAGCGAACGAAGATCAATAAATAAAAGATGCTGAAATGAATCACCAATCTCACAATGATGTAATATAGAATGATAATGATAATGTAAATAATTAACAGAATGAGTAATAGCCTAATGAAAGTGATTAACAGAATTTGTAATAACCTAATGAAAGTAATTAAAAGAATTTTTAATAACCTAATGAAAGTGATTAACAGAATTTTTAATAACCTAATGAAAATGAATAAAATTAGTAACTACAAAATGAAAATAATTAATTGAATGTTTAATAACATATTGATGGGTAATAATCTAATTCTTATGCACATGTTGATATTGATTTGTAATAACCAAATTAAATACTAACTCTTATTTACACAATAAATGAATAAACTAGTCAATAAAAACTCTTAGAAGCAATTAAAAGCAATTTCAATAATACCACTCTGCAAATTTATTTCGAAATTAACAAATGTTTTTGCTAAAAGATAATTCAAGGCTATGTTTATAAATATAAAAATGATCCTAATGTCATTTGTCTTGGTGAAATAAAAGGTAATGATTTTGAAGGAGAAGTAATGTAATTGGAAGTAAAAAAAGTTAACAACAATAAAACGATATTCCACTATATTAATGTTAAAATAACACTAAATAATTGGAATATTGAAGACAAAGAATAAAAGTCATCGATTTTTTAATACTTAGAAGTTAATTCTTAAGCAAGGTTCAAAAAATTTAAAGAATATTAAGGTTAAATTCTAAACGGGAAAAAAAGTGGAAAAGGTTTTGAAAAAAATTTTATTGAAAATATGATTTATTTTGGAGAATGGGACGATGGGTATATAGTAAATGGAACTAAGTAAATAATAAATACTGGTTAGTTATTATAAAATGATCCCTATAAATGGAAAGGAAATTTCGAACTAAATTAATTACATGGTGATAAAATACTAACATATTTATTAAATTATAATAATAAAGAAGTTTGGTTAGAAGGAAGATATCAAAATGGTCTTAAAAAAGGAGTTCATACCTGTTACATGAAAAAGAAAAATGATTAGAATCAAAATTAGAAATAAAATTAGAATCAAAATTAGAATTAAAATTAGAATTAAAATTAGAATCAAAATTAGAATCAAAATTAGAATCAAAATTAGAATTAAAATTAGAATCAAAATTAGAATTAAAATTAGAATCAAAATTAGAATCAAAATGGTGTTAAAATTTACAGCGCAATATATTTTGTAATTTCAAACCAAGAACACGAATTTAAGTTGACTTGCAATTGATTTTTAAATATTATTATTTGTCATCATCAAATAATTATATATTTATATAGTATCATTTGATTTTTGTCATTCTTATTTGATAATAATACATTTATTGATCAAAATTTGATATAGAGATTTAGGATTGATATTTTATTATTAGATATCTAAGAGGTTGAGAAAGATTTATCCCTTAAGTTAAATATTACATTAAATTGTTTGGAGACGCAAAGCAATGAAGTAACCAAATAGAAAAAATAAGATAATTTGAATTTGAATGATCATCTGAGAGAAATCAATAAATATCAACTTTAATCTACTATTTTAATAAAAATATTGAGAATTTTTATATTCACAATGTCTTTTCAAGATCATCTTGTAATTTTACTCATATACTATTAAATTTTAATCTTCTGTGCTAATTAATAGTTTAAAAAGACCATTCTACTTTTGAAATTGTAAAATAATATTAGTAAATATCTAAACTAACCAAAACATATCTAGTCAAACATGCATCTGCTAATTTCTAATTGGAATTAAAACAATCAAAGAAATGTTACTTTCAAACAACCTTAGTCATGAAGTTAGATTTTTTAAAAGGAAATTAATAAATAAACCATAAACCTTATGAGAATTTAATAATACTAAGCTCCTTTTCATAGCCATTGTCAATATCTAAAGATGAATTTTAACTATATAATGTTTCTATTATACTTAAAATAATTTAAATAAAAGAAAGTAGCACTGAAGTATAAGAATACTTTGAATTAGCAAAAGATAGATGGCAAACATTAATTTTAAGTAGTATTACAATAGTTTAATAAGGAAAAGGTTATGAAATAAAGTCATTCAGGAATGTTGTTTGATGTTTACAATTCTTTTAGCCAACTGAATTTTGAATTTGACTATATTTGCGATTTGTTGATTTTTGATATCCAAGAGCTTGAATTTATTTGGGCATTGTGTTGTTAGGTTAGTTTCCTCGGGTTAATTCATTTTAAATAAAATAAATTAAATAAACAATCAAAAAGTTACTAATGTTACTCTTGTCATTGAGCTTATTCTTAGTTCTTTGAGACCTCATAAAATTATTAATATGTTACAATTTAAGAATGATTTTCATTTTGAAATTCAATATTAAGATTGGATGACTAAATATTGAGATGATTTTCTAGAGTTTACTTTTCTTGTTTTGGATCTTCCTTCTCAGTAGATTCTTTGTACTGATTTTAAGTTATGATGTTGATTCTAATTTTAGGATATTTCTTGATTGGATTGGCTTTTGAAATTTGAACAATTTGGACGTCTTGAATTTGATAGGTTAAAGTATAAAGAACGCTTTCAATGGTAATAATATCATCTGGTTTGACATATAATTCTTCTACGATTCCTGGTTGCTTATTGAAGATCTCAATTATTTTATTTTAAGCACTAATTTTCATAGCATACTAAAAGGGCCCCAAGGATTCTTTTTCTTCTGAAAATCAGTTAAGAAGTTTACTAATGCATACTTCTAAAATTTTGGCAACGATGCAACGAAGTGGTGTATCCAACAGACTTTTGAGTGTCACGTCTTAGGCCTTTTTATTTGATGCAAAGGCAATCTATTCTATCATACTATTGATGTTTGAGATAATAATAATTATAATAATTTTAATGATTTATATGTTTAGTTGTAACTCATAATAAAATCTTTAAGTGAGATTCAGGATTAAATGAGGATGGAAAATTGATACAAAACTGATTAAGAAACTTATTTTAACAAAAGAGCTCAACTCAGTAAATAAATAAATGATGTATTATAATGTCAAGTATTTAAAACAGAAAAGCCATCAACTAGATTATAGGATATTTTATCAAAGGTCTTCTTAATTTCTTCATGTATTTTAGACAGGATATTGTTATTTTCTTTGGTCAATTCGAACATTTCTGCCTTCTGATCCATGATCATCTCGTCTTCAAATAAGGCATACTGTTTATATTTGAATAACAAATCAATAGGCAGATCATCCTATTGAAGATTAAAGATGGCGATTTAATTTAAGCATTATACATGATTGAGTAATTTTACTAGTTCTCGATTCTGAGACAACAGGTCCACTTTCATTTTCGATAATATTCTAACATAAAATTCTTCCAAAGATTTGATTTCATCCTGAATCTTCACTATATGCAAAATGAATAGAAATACCTTGGAGAATTAGGTAATTTTTGAATTCTTGTCAGCCAGTTCAGTTTCCAAGAGTTTGATTTGCTTTTTGTAATCCTACTTATCTTGGTTGCATTGCTTATCAATTTTTAATTAGAGCTGCTAGTTATAAGTAGTCAACTATTAAATAGTCAATTTTAATTTCTTAATGACTAAATCCTTTTATTGAATTTGATCCTGCTGTAATTGGATTTGCTTTTTGAAAATCAAATTTTCTTGCTAAGTCTTGTAGCATAAAGTACCTACAAGGAAACATTCAGATTTTGCATATCTAAGACTTTGAGTTCCTGCATCTATTGTTCTTGAACGTAATGCATTTTATTCTAGAAATCACTAACAGGAGAAGAAAAACTTCCAATCTTGGAGGAGACCTTTTAGAATTCTTCTTTGAATGATGTGCAAGGTTATGTAGTTTGTTTCCCGTCGACGGTTCTGTAAGTCTAACTTTTGTTATCCGACTATAAAGTGATAATACGTTAGTTAGCTTTAGGAGTTCTAAACCACTAATCGTTTAACTCTTTGTTAGCACTCTTTGTGGATGAACATTTGGAATCATATTGAATTTCTGTTTGCTTCATTTTAATAAGTTGTTAATAATTTAATTTCTGAATTCAAATGTAACATAGCCCTCAATAATAATAATATAAAAATAGATTAGTCCTTCCCTAAAATTAGATACCACCCCAAAACTAATCCTTCATCTTACAATATCTTCACTAACCTCTAAAATGAGAGGAATTCATCTATCAAAAGAGAATTTAATGTTGAATATATTTCTTACTAAAATTAAATGATTGAAGGAGATTATTTGTTTCATTTCTTGTTATCACTAAGATTACAGACTATTGAGAAGTACTATACAAAACAGTATATAATACAACCTTAAAACACTTTAAAATTAAATACATTTTAATAAGAACCTGTTTAATCTAATCTAATCTATAATATTAAACAATCTAATAAATAAAAATAATAAATTGCAATCTCCAAAATATCATATTCCACTCAAATGATCAAAAGAATTTAGAACCAAAAAACAGAGAGATGAACAACCAAAGAATGATTTTATAAATGTGTTTCCATTTTATTAATATCCGTTAAAAATATTAATAATGAATTCAAGTTAGAGACAACCAAGAAGTCGTATCTTTGATGTTGATTCGCAAAGGCCATCTGATAGATCTAATACTCCTACAAGAGCATTATCACCACATCAACCTTCCCAACATGTTTAACCGTAATAATAATAACAATAACCAATTCCAACCTTTCAACCTCAAAAGCTAAAACACATTCTGTATAATGCATAGCAAAGTACTCCAATAGTGAGTTGCCATTATCATCCAGATCAATTCATTTAAAACTTTTGCAAAAACCCGTATTATTTTGAATAATCAAATTAGTGATTGTTTATTACCCCTTTGCCCTATGTGCGTTACCATCCATTAAGATGATCATATAGGATAAGAGTATGCACCTCATTTTGATTTGCTTGGCTATTGTCTTGGAGAACAATATAATAAGATAGTTGACATTTGCAATCTATTAGGAGAAGACATAGAGGAAGTAGTCGAATTAAAGAATCTTGTTAAGAATCATAGAGAAGTTTAGAAAAAGAAATTCTTGGAAGCAAAAGAACAATTCTATAAGGCTATTGATACGTTTATGTAAAATCTGGAGAACAATCTAAATTCACAATCCATCAAACAGACCGATTAATTACTCAATGAAATCAATTAATTTCATAGATTGGCCTATGATAGATGGTTCAATATGCAAGGGAGATTGCAGAAACTCAATTCTGAGAAGTGTCTAAAAACGCTCATCAAATCCTACAGACAAAGCAGACCAGAAGATGTCTATTAACGTTAACATGAAATGACTCTATAATTTGTAGATTCTGTTAAGAATGATTTAGATCAAGTAGAAATTCGACCACATTAATTATAAGTCATTCTTGATTAATTGCAATCCTATATATTCATCACAAGAGATTAAGTCAAATAACCTAAACAAGCTTCACCAATCAAACCACAACAATAATAACCAATTATTAGAAGAGTAGTACATGAGAGACCAAGCAGTCAGTAGCATCACCATAATTCCAACTCTCCAATTCCTACTAGAGTTCTCCAAGGATTCCCGATTCTCTAAAAGTTTAATCCAGTTACTGCAATAGAAACTATGAATATGCCTCAGTTACCACCAATTCCAACAGGATTTCCTTAAGTCTTGCCATTTCCAAATCAACAATTTAACTTTTAGCCATAATCTATGATGTTACCTAACTCATAATTTATTCCACAACCCCTTCTTAATATGCAGTTACCTTTCTAAACCCAACATCCATATCAAAATCCCCCATAGTTACTTAAGCAAACATAATTACCACAACCACTATAGCAATATGTCTAGCCACTTTAGTCCACAGTAGCAACTCAATAATAGAATCAGCCACTTGCTTAAATTAATATTAATCAATAGGAAAAACCTGGTGAGGTAATTGATTTGAAGACTAACAAAAATCCTCTAAGAATGGCTGAATAATTTCATAATAAATTGTTTAATTCTGGAGAATGATTCAACTATAGTTATATTTAAATATACGATACTCATTTTCGAAATTATATTTCAAATAATATGTTCATGATTTTATTAATAACATTAAATAAAATGTTTTAATTAAGATATATAATATAATAAATTGCTAATTTCGTAATCCTTAATTATCAATAAAATGCACAAGTTGAAGTTATAATTCCTGAATTAAGACGTTGAAGATAATTACATCCAAGAACACTAATTTCCAAAAAGAAGGTTTTATTTAAAAGTTAGTACCATTGCATTTCAAATTTTATTATTTTTCAAGTTGGTCATTTCACTTATTGAACATAACAATTCAACTGTTTACCCTTTGCTTATTTCATGGGGAATTACAATGCCCTTTTTTTTAATTCCAGTCAAAACTGACTTTTAAATAAGAATGAGTATAAGCCTCCTCAATATTATTTATATTGGCTATCTTCTATTTTTTGATCCACAAGAAGAGGCAGAAATAATGTATTTTAAGGGTTCTACTCAAATGGCTGCAAATGTTGTAAATATTTTTGTGCTTGAATTTATTGATTCATCAATCTTAAGTGTTGTTTTGTTAATAATGAGAGTTACCCATCTCATTTATTATAGTACAAAACTTGATTTACCTACTATTTTGTTTGCCATAGGTATTCATGTTCTTTTAATCGTAATGATTTACGTTTATCAGAAAGCATTGAGATCTTAGTACCTTTTAACAAAAACAGATCAAAGATGGGAAAACATACTGAAATAAATTATTCATGTTCAAAAATACATACTTTTAAATTTTGACAAAGAAAAAGTTAAATTCATAAACGTAGCTTCTACATTCTCTAAAAATATTTAATCTTAAGAAGAGGTGATAAGTTTTATTCGTAACTCTAAATTTAAAAACTAAACTTTTGAATAGTATCTTTATTTCAAAGTGAACAATTTTGAATTAAATTGTATAGACAGTCTAAACAATGCTATCATGGTTGATTATGAAAGACAATTATTAAAACTTAATTTCTCAATATTTTTTGGGAACTAACCTACTATATTAATCTAGAAAGATATTCACTTTTATGAATCAACTTTGAAAAATAATTAAAAAAAAACATCTAGATTGTATCTAAATATAATCATATCTCTCATAAGGATTATTAAAGAAAATAAAAAGTATAACGAAGTTAAATTTCAAGTAATAGCAAAAAAACTATTTTTAAAAAATCTAATCTCAAAAATTGAAAATTACAATTTTTCATCCTAATTAATCAACTTCAAGAAAATTTTACATGAGGCTCTCGTCCTCAGCAATAAAAAATATTAAATCTAATTGTTGTGTTAAGACTTTCAAATTTACACCATTCCTAAGATATTCCAATTATTTTTATTTTTGATCATTGATTGTTCGCATAATGAAATCATTCACATCAAAGATTTGAGGAGGGAAAACGAATAGATTACTATCAGATTTGGTGGGTCTTTATACATGAAAAGGATGAAAGCATATTTAGATCAACTAGAATATTATTTACTCTTGATCTTTGAAAATGTCAAATGTGATGATGTTTGTAATATTTTATATTATAAATAGATGTGACAGTTAAATTAAAATAAGAAATCTTTGTTCCATTTAGGAAATTAACCTCAATTCGCACATCCTGATACATACTGCTTCCATGATGTGTTTTCTAATTTAATATGACTTAATAGAATATTAATTAAATATTATCTATCTTAATGTTGTCATCTAAGCATACTTCCAACCTCAAACAATAGTATTTCAAAAATACTTAACACTAATTGAGCAATTTTAATGAATTAGCTTCTTTATGAATATAAATAATTTAAATATTATGGAAGACAGTCTAATAGTTTGAATATCTTTTAATGATTCACAATTTAAATTTAGCTTAAGATCGCAAAATTTTATGATAAAAAAAAAATTTAATTATAAATATTAAAAGGTATTTAATGGCTACAACTAGAAATTAAAAGCGCACAAAGACATACACTTATGTGAGAAATATAGATGAAAATCAAAGGAGTTTAAGAACTTAATCAAAACTGGATATTTTGGAGAGTGATTATTATGATTCACCAAACAAATTGGCGGAAGAAGAACTCTCTGATGCATCTGCGAATAGAAAGAAGAGCAAGATGTTGAGAATTGCTAAGAAGAAATAGAATAATACACTAAGAAAAAATGTCAACTTAAAGAAGATGCTAAAAAATACACCACTAGATTCTGAGTTCCTCAATTTCCAGAATATAACTCCGAAAGCGAAGCCGTAGTAGACTAAATAGTGTAGTATATGCCGATCGTAGGCCAAATATACATGTCCGAGATGTCTAGAAAGGTATTGCAGTTTAGATTGTCATTAAACTCATAAGGAAATACAATGTTAGCGCATGGATTATTGATTTAATAATTATTATATAAAGGACTTAATCTAATATATAAAAAATGTTAAGCCAACATAATTTGCAAAGCAGTAGAAAGAATATTGGAAATATTTCAAGTTAATAATTGTAAAAGTTCTAGGAAAATGGACTATATTAATTTATTTTGAGCAAAAACAGGGCGAAGGAGAAGATGGTAAAAAAATAAAAATAAATCACTCCTTTAAGGCAGATTCGTCCTTCGACTGCTTTTGTAGATTCCAAGGGAAAACAGAAGTTCTAGATGAATTTTGGATTGTAATTGGAGAGTTTCAGCACTTTATAACCTAAACATTAAATTTTTGAGGAACATCAGAAAAATAACTCCCAGCACTAAGCATCAACCACCCCTCATCAGAAGCTTTATGTAAATGATCAGAAGATATTGAGGGCAATGTCAGCATTGAGGAAGATCAAAAATTAAAGGGCTTTTCGCCCTTGCCCATTCACTTTAGGATTTAATATAGAGTAATGCTCCATAAAACCAAAGACAATAAAATAACGATCAATTAGTCAATTATAGTAAATAAAAAGTTTAAATCGAACGGAGATCATGAAATATAAACGACATGAATCTCCATAAACAGTTCAAAAACCAAGCATGCAAAGTTAGTTCACAAAATGGGAGTAGTATGATGATAGCAATTTATTTGATCTAAATTTCTTGAACAATAATCTCTTCAAATACGAACTTTGATGACATATTTTTACACTATTTTTGAAATTTAAATCTGTGTTTAATTAGTGTGCTTGTTTATATCGATTTGAAATTTTTTAATAAATAAAAATCTTTTTTTCTCTTTCATAATGGGTGCATATAAATATTTACAAGAGCTTTGGAAAAAGAAATAATCTGATGTCCTCAGCTTCATCATGAGAATCAGAACATGGGAATACAGATAATTGCCCGTCATTCATAGAGCAACAAGACCCAGCAGACCAGATAAAGCCAGAAGATTAGGTTACAAGGCCAAATAAGGTTAGATTTTAAAATGATCTTTTAAAGGTTACGTGATTTACAGAGTCAGAGTCAGAAGAGGTGGAAGAAAATTGTTGATCAGAAAGGGTCTTGTTAAGGGTAAACCCAAGAGTCAAGGAGTTAATCAATTGAAGCCCACCAGAAATCTCAGATCAGTTGCTGAAGAGAGAGTTGGCAGAAAAATTGGAGCATTGAGAGTTTTGAATTCATATTGGGTGGCTCAAGACGGAACATATAAATATTATGAGGTCATCACAGTTGATCCATTCCATCCAGCCATCAGAGGAGATTCAAGAATCAATTGGATCACCAAGCCTGTTCACAAGCACAGAGAATTAAGAGGTATAGTCTGCAAATTCTATTATTTTAGGCTTAACATCTGCTGGCAGAAAGAGCAGAGGTCTCAGAGTAAAGGGTCACAGAAACAACCAAACAAGACCATCAAGAAGAGCCAATTACGCTAGAAGAAACAGAATTTCCCTCAGAAGGTACAGATGATGATATATTTTGCATATACTCAAGTACAATTAAAAACAACAAAAACATCCCCCAAATTTATTTTATCATTTTTGAAAATATTAGAAAATAATTTATTTATGAACCAAATTTTCTATCCTCTGACTTAAGTCAATAGAACCTCAGCCAGACAAATTAATAAAGTGATTTACTATGGCAATCCCTAACCAGAAATAAACCTAAAATCTAACGATTTAAAATAATCCATTTTTGATTGGTATCAATCACTCTAATTTCAAGGTTGAGACAACTAAATTAGGAACAATTGGACGATGTGCTCTCCTTTACATCCTACTTTAGAGTTTATTCATATCTTAAAATGTTCAAGATAGATCAAAATGGGGTGCATGAATATTAGGAATTATTATGTAGTCCTTTTGAAGTTAATGTTGCTGAGGAACTAAGTAGATATTATTCTATTTAAAATTGTAAGCGTTTAAATAAGATTGATTTAAATGCACATAAGGTATTTCATAAATCTCAATAAATTAAAGTACATCCTAGATCACATCTATGTGTCTGATTATGAATGGTTATTTGATACCATTACATTAAGAGGGGATGTTGAACAAATTATAAATTCATTTGAAGAAATATCAAATGGCACCATATTTACAAATTGGGGAGAGTTAGAATCTTATGAAGATGAAGGATATTATGAAATCAACCTCAAAAAACAGAAAGTCTATTAGACATTGTCTGAATTACTTGTCGAAGAATTTCAAATTGCTATTCTATTAAAGTACTCAATTAAGTTTATTTATAGATATCGCCAATCTTGTGGAGGTGATAATTACACATATAACAAAAATTTGTTAAATTTGAATCATGTTAGATTTAATTATCTATCTCTGAACTTAAATTAGTCCTTTCTTGAATTTAAATAATTGTTTGCTTAGCAACCAAACTAGAAGTAATCAATTTCTGAACTTATATTAATTTAATCTTGGACAGACTTTATCAAATCAAATCCCCTGTAACTCTAAACTCTTTGCTCAGAAGTTTAATACTATTTTAATCAACCTAAAGAGTTGTTTTCAGTACCTCTCAAGTAAGTTCTAAATGAATATGTTCTATTTTGTAAATTTTTGATTTCCAGATAATTACTCAAAGAATTTCCATTGACCTCAGCTTCTGAGATCAAAAGAGTCAAACCAAAGTAGGACAAGCAAACATATCAGAAATTGTAGCAACTTAGCATTTTATTCAACAACCCTTAGAAATCTTAAATATTACCTGAAAATGAACAAAGATTATTTAGCACAAATGATGAGGAAATAGAAAATATATTTTATGAATTCACTACGTCTTTTATGAAGAAACTCATGGAAGAAACATTTATAGAACTAGAAAACCAGAAGAAATTTAAAAAATAAAAATAGAAAAAGGCAAAAAGTCAAAAAAAACAATATATGAGTGAATGTACATCAAATTGCACTGAGTATTAATAGTTATAATAACAGTAAGAAATTCAATTTGATGAAGAATGGATCAATGATACTTAATCAAAGAATCAAAAGAAAAAACAAAGAAGAAAAGAGTAATTATCTATTTTTATCTTAGAAATCAAGAAAAGAAGAAGCTAAAAAAACTACCTGAAATATAGTAAGTAGAATCAAGTGAAAGTGTTTAAAATTAGTAATTTGAACCCTCAATAAAAATAGAAAACTAAAAACAAGAAGAAATATAAGAATAAGTTTAAGAGACATTTCTTTGCACTACTACTTCTACTCATGATGATGATGGGGAATTTATTGAAGTGACCAAAAAGAAATTTAATGGGAAAAAAAAGAAATAAAATAGTAAAAAAGTTAAAGAGTAAAAAGAGGTACAAGTTGAAAAATAAGTAATCTTAATTAAGAAGTCCAATTCTTCATAACAAAATTATTTATCTGACGATTACAAAATGGGAAATTCTACACCTACGAAAGCTCTTTCTCAAAAAAAAGAATAAGAAAATACTCCTCAGAAACCAGGCTTGGTAAAAAGCTTAAGTAAAGAATAAAAAACATATAAATATGATTTGGATAAAGATACACTTAACCATATATGCTCAAACATTTTGGAACATAAACTATCAAGGGATATTTAATCAATATATTAAAAAGAATAGGATAATCTATTCAAATTTAGAGCAGCAAGGGAAGTTGCCATTTTAAGGGTATAACATATTATTAAAGCCCATTTCTTCTAATTTTAAGTTGAGCCTGTAATTTTCGGTTCTTCAAGAACAGGGTTGGCCCTGCACGATAGCGATGTTGATATGGTAGTTTTTGGGTTACCAGTGTTTACAAAACCATAACTGTTTGAGCCTATGAGAAAACTATTGGAAGTTTTCTCCTAAATGAAGTGGGCTATTAGTTACAAGTAATTTATCCTTTCACACCATTTAGACACATCTTTCAAGCAAGCATACCTTTGATTAAAATTACTATTGATCCTTCAATAGGGTTTTTAGAATTTGTAGGTAACCCACTCTATTATGTGATGAATCATAGAAATATTGAATAAATGAATTTGAAATTAGGAGAATAATGTATTTAATTGATTTTTAAGTAAAGCTTAAAACATATAAATTGACATCACCTTTGAATTATAGCAACCATACCCTATGTATGGATATCAGGGATACCATGTTGGACTTCTATCTACAGATTACCAACGGTAAGTTGGGATTTCAGTCAAAGGATTCACTTAAGTAGCCATAGTGTTGAAGAAGATCTTGAAATAAAGAGGATTGAATGACTCTTACACTGGAGGAGTGAGTTCTTTTTGTTTGACCATTATGTTAGCTGCGATAGGGGAGAATGTTTCAATGGGAGATAAATTATTGTCCTTTTTGTAAAGATATGGGTGGAATTTCGATCCTGAATAATAATGCATTTCTTTACATTCAGATGAGACCTTTATGCCTATTTAAGAATAAGGAGATCGATTGCCTTTGAATATTATTTCCCCTATAAATGATGAGAAAATTTAGATCTATGTCTCAAAGATATAAGAAATTCTACAGGTATTCAAGGAACTTTATTTGGAACTGAAGGAGAATATGAATCAAATAGCAATAGGTCTGTAAAAGAAATTGGATTAGAAGGACTTGTTATAATTACATTAAACAAATATCGAGAAGCTTGTCGATCTGATCTAATGGCAGAATACAAATCTTCTTGATAGTTAATTCTGATATTTATTTATATATTTTGTGTATAAACCAATCTAATTATGATATGGATATCTAGGATAAAATAGGAAGAAAAATAGTTTTATTATTAATTTTTCAGTTATTCATTTAATTCTGATTAATTTAATTTGAAATCTTCTTTATTTGAATTCTGCTTTTCTTCTCTCCAATTCCCTGATGTAAGGTAGGAGAGGGGCAGTGTTCTTAATGAGTGTGAAGCCATTTACAATATTATTAAGTTGATTATTGATAATAAGATTGATTAGACTTTCTAATTTTTGTTATTTGATTCTTTGCAGGAGATCGGATTAAGCATTATTTTTTTAATTTGTTAGAGGGGTGAAGCATTGAAATTAAGAGACAGTTTTGTTGAGTAATGGGGTCGAGGTATTATTGTGGTTGGTAGATTTCGAATGATTATGATTTCTTTTTTAAGTGCTCACTAATTATGATGAGTGTTGAACCATTGTGATTTTTTATGAGGTTCTTGGACATTCTTGACTTGCAGTTTTGACTTTTGATTTGACATCGTTCATTTCGATAATAGATGTATAGACCTCAGGATTCCTTTTAACTATGAGAGAAGATTCAGGTTATCTTCTTCTTTGAATAGGTGTCCTATTAGCTTGAATGATAGATGATATTTACTTTATCTTAAGCTGAGTAAATCGTAGAGTTTGGTTTTAGCAGATGTATATTATTCAAATTTTTATTAATCATAATAGTGAATGGTTTTCTGTTTTTTTTGAAAACTGGTTGGTTGGGGAATCGATTTAATTTCAAGTGCTGATTTTGATTGGATTGTTACAGGTATTTATGGTCTTTGATAATAGGCGAAATCTTTATTCAAAAAATAATTTCCATTTTGAAGCTTCGATTTCATATTTAATTAATAACGTAATTTAGTTTTAATTTGTTTAATTATTAGTTTTTGAAGTACTCTTTTATAAGGTAAAAAGAAATGGATGAATTATTGATGTTCTCGGCTTAGAACAAACTAACATTTGCATATAATAGAAACACGTTGCAAGTATAGGCGGAATTTTAAATGAAAAATATCTCAGAGAATATATTAGAAATTCAAATAGAATTGTCGAATCCTCAGAATTATAAAATATATCCAAACAATTTTTACATCTAAAAACTAGAAACTAAAGTTGTAGAGATAATATAAATAAATTACGTAGATTTAGATATATTTTGAACATAGGTTCCTATGAGACTAGAAGAAAGAGCAAAAATAATGTACAGAACCATTATGGAGAACTCTACGACTTCAAGAAAAAACACGTAGACGATTTATCATTTTTACAAATACTTTTTTTTTGAGTTATCTTGTCATAAATAGTCCTCATTATTTGATGATAACAGTAGAATAACATAGGTGAGATAGCAAGATCACAGACAACATTAGATTGGAGTGGAAGTGAAAGACTCATTAAATTACTGGTAATTGGTAACTCTAACAGTGTCCATCATTGTAGTAATACTGGCAGTGTGTAATTGGCTTTATATTAAAATTATAAAGAATGATTAATGACTTAATTTTAATCTTGGTTTAAATAAAAATTATTATAAATGTTTTTGGGCTTGAGAAGGGTGAGATTCAACTTTGGTGCCGTTTTGGAGCAATATTAATACTTGGTAAGACAAGAGGAAATAGCTCAAGACGAGAGGTAAGTGAATACGGTATGATAAAATAATTAAGGCTAAAAGATTGTCTAATTTGATAGGGTCAACGATCAATTGGTCTAGAGTCATCAATAATGGTTACAATACTCAAAATTCCTGGATGAGTTTATTAGAAGAAATCATACACCCTAGCAAAGTCAAGTGTAATAACCATCTGCAAAGTAGTCATCATTCTTTAGCTCTTTGTTCGGGGGATCTCAAACCGTTAGTATAAGCTAGACTAAGCTATAATCGACTCAGGAGGACCACAATCGCCCATTTGTATAATAGATTTAGGGGTTGTATGTTTTTGGGTCTCCAGGATGTGGGAAGACTTATATCATGGATTTATTTTACGAATAATGTTAAATTCCCCAGAAGAAACGAATCCATTTCAACGAATTCATGCTAGATATCCAGAAGGACTTACACAAGTGTTCTAGTAAAGAGGATCCAGTGAATAAGGTTGGTACTGCAAAAGCTAAAGATATAAGATTATTATGTTTAGACGAGTTCTAAGTCACGGATATAGGAGATGCTTTGATTTTGAAGAGGTTATTCGAGACCATGATCAGTAATCATATGGTCTTAGTTGCAACATCCAACAGACCTCCAGAAGACTTGTATAAGGGAGGATTGTAAAGACATCTATTTTTACCATTTATTCCATTTTTAAAGCAATCATGCATTATTCACAATATGGACTCGTAAGTTGATTATAGATACTCTTACGTATGAATATTCTGTATTCTCAATAGTCTGAAGCTCAAAGTGAAAGGTTATTAACATATATTAGTCCTTTGGATGAAAGTGCTGAACAAACAATGAAGGGGATTTTCAAAAGAATGAGTAAAACGGACAAATTGTAAGTCATTTGTATCTATATTTACTAGTTATGAAAAGGAAATCGAAGTTATCGAAGGAAGAAACTTCAAGGTAAAAAGACAAGCAAATGGAGTTGCATTATTTGATTATGAAGAATTATGTGAGGATGTAGTAGGAGCATCTGATTTCATAGCTTTATGTAGGAATTATCATACTATTTGTTTAAAGGGAGTAAAACAGATTAGTATGAGTAATCGAAATGCTGCTAGGAGATTTATATTATTAATTGATGAAATGTATAATCATAAAACCAAATTGTATTGTTCTGCAGAAAGAGACTTGATGAATCTCTTCGTTGTAAAGAACAAGGGAGATCAATACGACGAAGAGTTTGCTCTTGAAAGGTGTAGATCTCGATTGAAGGAGATGCAATCGAAAGAATATCTAGAGACTCCATCATATTTTGATTAATAAAAATAATGATGAATTTAAGTATATTATTAATATATATATATACATATGTTAAATGTTCACTATATGATTATTAATTGTTATTAGTTGCGAAGAGATTATTTCATATTATTTTAACCTTTTATTGATTCGAATGTAACTTTTTTAAAAATAGAGGACTTCATTGATTTGTGTCTGCTACTGTTCTCTCCGTTGCTACTTTCGCTGCATACAGACTTGCTTTTTAAAATGCTTTTGGGTTGTGATGCATTCAGTAAGCAATTATTAGTTTTCCTGTAGATTGAGCCTAATTTATTTTCATTCAATGAATATATATTCAATTAATTAAGACTGAGTTTTTCTTGGATCGGATCCTTAAATTAATCAAATTAATGTGTCAAAAAGTGATTGGATCGTTGTTGTATTCTTATGGGTTGATAATCTAGGGAATACCCAAACAGTCTGTCTTAGGAGTTGCTCATTCCTTTTTTTGATTTATTAACGGTTGAGCTTTTGTATACAGACCTTTGAGATTTTTTTGATTATGTTTCTAATAATTAGATTTATTAATTCTGATTCTAAATTGGAGATTGAGATTGACTTTTAACAGAGTACAAAGAACCTTTTTTACACCTTTTTTTTCTTTTCTTATCTTTTCCCAGTAAATCATCGCAGTTTTAATTTACATATTTGTCATTTTTCGTGTGCTCTTCATTTGATTCTTAAATTTAAAAATCACTCGATTTTCTTTTACAATCAGATTTATTTGTTGAAAAAATAGTTTCATGACATGCTTTGAATTTATACTCATTCGAACTAGATTGAATCTCCATTATTCTCTTATAAACTGAAGTAGTTATTTCTGTTTGATAAGTATCATAGTCTTGCTATTTAAACTTTGGTTTCATAATTCTGCAATCTAAATCCAACGATTATTCATCACTTCTTATTGAAACTGAATCTTCCCTGCTTTTCATTATTAAATATCGTAGTATTAAAAAACTATAAAATACAATAAATTATTTTCAATTGCTGATATAAGTGAAACAAATGTTCCTATTAGGAATGCTTAAATAACTATTGAATCGTATTTTCTATTTCCCCAGGAATTTATTCTACTTTTTCGCGCTCTCCTCTCTAGATATGTTTTGTTTATGTTTTGCAGGCGATATTGTGGTAAATCCCTTGATCTAATGACTTCGAGCAAAGACATTGTTTGAGATAAGCAGTTAAGCATACTGCAGAGATTTGCTGCAAACAAGGTAACTACACATGTCACTTTGATTTCGTGTATTCCTTCCCTCTTACAAAGACTCCTTCTAATCAATAGATTGCAAGGCTTGCTTGGTTTTGCTATATAGTTATTATATTTTCAATTCCAAATCGTTTTCTTCTTCTGAGGAAATATCGGCAGAGGAATTCATTCGAAAATGAATTTTCTAATCGACCTCAATTTCATTTGGGTATTACAGACTGAAGGAGAATTCTACCACATCACTTTGTTACATTATCCAAAATTTAATAATATTCCAAATAAGTAAATGAAAAGTAATTATAATACCCATTCGTATAATTCAACAAAATCTTGGAAATTTTTCATAAATTTTACTATAATAATTCATCAATCAATTAATCAGCATTTTTATATTTTCCATGTTCGGCAACGAATTTAACTATATATTCATCCCCTTTTTATGGGAAAAGTTCCAATAATTTAAAGATCTTCTCTTCCTAAGGCGACAATTAATTTTTGGCTGGAGCCTTCACTCTTATTGGAATTTGCCCATTTATTGTATACTACACGCCTTTCTCATTTTAAACACAGATCTATTTTTAGGATTGATAATTTACTTCGAAAATATAATTATATTAAGCATTATTTATAAAATGTTGAACCATGTATGGGATTTAAATTTTAACTGAGAAAACGCTACCTGGAGCAAGATCCTTAAATTTCTAATTGATGTTTAATTCTTTATTTATTATATGTGGATTAATCCAATTCTTAGTACCAGTATTTTTTAATTTCAAATCTACATTAATTTTCTTTTATGGAATGGCTGTAAAAATGGGAATTTTAGTAAAAATCTAAAATTTATAATCATTTGGATTAAATTTATCCTCATCCTTTAATAAACCTAATTCTTTTAGTTTTTGATCAATAATTTCATCAATGAGTTATTGTAATTATTCATTATTTTGAAAATCAAATTTATTCGTATTTTAACCATTATCAATTTATTGAACCTTCACTTGAGTTCTATTTTTTATAATTTAAAGCAGTTACCCCATATTGTCAAAAAATGGTACCATTTATTGCCCCTGATCTTGTTTACTAGGTTGGGTTAAGGTTGAAGCATCTTGATTCTTCTTCTCAGTCATCACAATGCTTTGATTCAATAAATTCCAAGAATCCTTTAAAGCCTCTTCGTAATTCTTATTTTCTGTTACTAGCAATTTAATGGACGGCCATCCTAGTTGATGATAGATTAGTTTTAACTATTGAAAGGTGACATCCGAATTGATTTCTGTTAGTGCTTCGGGATTTTCTACGATTGTGCGTTTAAAAATATACATGGATTAATTATTGCAAATAGATAAATGTCTTGCAGTTATTTGTAAGTATTCCTGATGGTATCAACGAGGTTATAATAATTAGTAATACTCGTTGGCACTTTGTGTATTTTTTTAAGGTAAATATACTTAATGTTTGACATTTAATTAAATTATATTATATGAATTTTATATTCTCACTTTCTTATTAGATGGAAATTCTAATAAAATATGAAAGGTATTTCTTAGATTAAATCATATTTCATCTCTTCCTTACTATATGATGAATTTGTACTAATTTATTTAATTGATAATTTAAGATAAACATATTATTTCTGTTAAAATTATTATTGATGGGAAATCAGATTCAAAAAATCAATCGAAAAATAGATTAATTGCTTTTTAAGGCCTACGATTATTTGATAAAAGAGGAAGAGATGTCAGACAAGACTGTGGATGTGCTTTCAACAGATGACTACATTAATGAAATCTTTGAGGAGCCAAGAGAGGGCTAAATCGAGGAGAAATTCGAAGGTTTAAATCTATATAGGAATAAATCCAAAGTAATAACCAAAACAACTGAGGAGGAATTGGGCAGCAAAAGGAAATCGAAGTCTTAATTACTTTCTGATAGAAAGAGCAATAAAAAAATTTGTGAAAATAAAGAAAATTATCTTTACAGCTGATGTTTATTTATTGTATAAAAGAGTTTCAAAATTTAACTTCTTCTTTTTTTTAAGAATAATTAAAATTTAATGGTTCAGAATTGATTGGTTAGGTATAAAATGTTGATTTTGTAATAAATTGAATAGAATAATTTAAGTTAAAAACAAATAAATATACAATTCACTCTTAATGAATAATGATATATTCTTCCAAGAATTGTCTAGCTTGACACTTTAGTCTCTGCTTCTTCTTATAATCGGATTGATATCTACTTTATCTGTTCTACGATCCAGATAAGGCAGGCATGAAAGTTTAATTTTATTGTGGTAAAATTGCATTTGTTTGAGATTATGAAACAACGTTGTAGAAATGCTGATAGGATGTTTTTAAGTATGGATTTGGTGTCTAATTTGTGTGTCTTTTGTAATGAGCTTCTCTAACATAATGATCATTTTCCAATTAGGAACTGCATGCTCTGAAATGCTTGTTGTAAGTTGTCTTCTAAGAGATTGGCAAGTTTACAGAATGATCCACTTCAATAGGCCTTAGCATAGGAGTGATGTCTAATATAATTTTGAGTATGTACTATTTGGTTATTATTTGAAATTGGCTCTATAGGAAGTCATCTCCACAACAGGGGAATCATTTTTCCAGTCATAAGGAGAGGGTTTGAAATTTTCAGTTTTCTAAATGCTGAATGATTGAAAGTTTCTTTGGTATGTAGAAGATCTGAAGACTTATTCGAAATTTGACTAGTATTCCACTTTCTACACTGGTTTTGGAGGGGAAGAATATTTCCACGGATACTCTCTTTTATAATTTGACTGTAAAAGTTTTGGATAATCATAAGGTTGTTAGTACACTTAACATTTGCATTAACCACACAAACAATCAGAGCATACGCATGTTCCATCAAGATGGGAGTAATTTCTGGATTTTTGCATTCTGACTTCTTTGATTCTTTATTCAATCGTACTTGTTGATCTTGGCTTTGACATAAATTTAGAATAATTTTTATTTAAAATTATTAACCTCAATAATTAAATGAGATAATCAGAGAACTTCACAATCACTCAAATTGCTTTTTTAATACAAATCTCAATATCTGATTATTCTTCAATTAATACAAGGGTTTAATTATATTTATTATTATTAATTAATTGATATATGGAGGAATTAATAACTTGAAATTATTAATAAATAATATCATTTTCAATGATAGGTCCAAAATAATTATTTCTAATTCCCTTAACACTTTACCAAAATCAAGAAGATCAAAACGTATAGTGTTTGGATGATTTTGAAGTTAAAATTTAATCCAAAGAAGAATTTTCTACCACTCATATCATCTAAACTCAATATCCTCTCAAAAAGAGAGAGAAGATCAATAAAAAAGTCAAATTCAATCCCACCATCATACGCTATAACTTCTGTGAAAGTGAACCGGCTATCACCATATCTAAATAGATGAAGAAATTGATATCAATGTAACCAAATTTAAAATGGATCAATCCAACAATTTGAGTATGAAACAAATATGATTCCACTTATTTTCACTCTCTCGTATATTAAATTTATAAATTTTTATATCAAATGTCATCATACTATAAATATTTCAATCTTAGTTATTGAATAATTGGATAAATGTATTTAATAAATATCATTTAATTAATAAATAAATTATTTCTGATCATTTTATGAATTTTAAATTTAACAATCGTAATATATATCTGACTTCCCAATATTCCAATTTCAAGTTTGCAATAAATTATTTATATATAATTTTATTCTAATATTAATCATAATAACTAAATTTTATTCGCCAATGGATAATTCAAATTTCAAAGATTAATAATAAGAGATACTAACAAATGAAGCATTATCTCAATATTAATACAAAAGTAAAAAAGTCTCATGGAAAGAATCTTCAACTCAGAACAATGCACCAAAGAAGAATAATCAATTGAACGAATAGACACAAATCGAATCCTAAGGCAAACCATAGTCGTAAAGCCAAAACCAAGAAAATGATACGGAGTAATTCTACCCTTCACTAAAAGTAAATATCAATTCCTTTGAAAATTAACAAAAATAAGAGAACTAGAGTCAACATAATTAAACAAATGATTAGAAGTAGCATTTAACACACTCATAAGCTCGTAAGAATTCACAACTAAAAATTTAGCCTGCTTTCAATGTCAATATCTAAATTACTAGAATTTATCATAAAAAATCATAATCTTAAATTCCCGCTTCGAGATAATATTATAGAATATAGTAAGAAAAAAATGAATTGCGGCCCACATAATAAAGTTAATCGAATTTGATTTAATCATAAAGCAGTGAAATCATCAATATGTGTGTGGGAAACCCTGCAATAAAATCAGAGGTGAGAGGTACTTAACCATAAGAATCCTTTGAAATTAGGTTAAAAGTATCAGAAGATCCAGACATATAATAGAAACAGAAGATCTTATTAGAGATTCACGATATCTTAAAGTAAATTAAGATTATATCGAATTGTAAGAAACACTCAATTTTAGAAGATGCTCTTTAATTGTGTTTAATTTACCTACCGTAAATTAGAGGATATGGACATTCAATGATTTCATAATAATTTTACGAGAAAGCACAGCAAATATACTAGATAGAAAGAAATAAATAAGGATTTTGTAGAAGGTACAAGTAAATCAAAATAAATAGGTTCTATCATTTGTTAATATTTTCAGATTGTTGGACTTTATAAAATATAACAATGTTGCATGAAATCATAATGAAACATCAACAGATTCCACTTGAAACATATCATATATCTTATGATATTGTAAAAAAAACCTTTGCATTTCCAAAATCAATTTCGAGTCGATAGATGCCTGAAAAGCCAAAAGTAATCTAACAAATCATATAAAATGAATAAAATAAAAGGATTGTTTTATCATGTATATTCTTTATTCATAATTAGTAACTACAAAAACACTTTTTTAATATGTAAATCTGCCTGCAAAAGAAATTGATGAGGATATTGAAGAGTTTGGCGACGAATTGTAATTTATTGATATGATTCTGAAGTTAATTCCTCTTGCTTTTTGATTATATTTATTTATAATAATTTATATTTTTTTTTTTTGAAAAACATCCTTATATTATATGATATCATCTTTATTTTAGAATTTATTATAATCCTTCATTTAAATTCAATTAGCTTAAAAGTATCATTAGTATATGTCCATATGATGATAATTTTACATTTTTTGAGATTATCAGCCACTTAATTTGAAAGATGATATTTCTGTATTCTACAAGAAAAGAAAGTAGTAAAAGTAGATAATTGTGTTATATTTTGTAGTGCTATAGTTTTAAATAAATAATCAACTTAGAGCCTTCCTTATCATGAGAAGAGATAAATTAAAACTTAGTAATATAAATTTATAATAAAGGAATATATAATTTAGGAATCGAACTTTCGTTCATTAAAAGGGAATTAAGAATTTCTAAGAATATTTTCAAGTATAAAACTTTTTAAATTTGCTGGGGGTTCATTTTAACTTTGTTAGTACCTAAATACAAACCTATTATAATTGATTATTAATTATGTCAGTAAAAGGGAAAATAATGAATGCAAATATAAAATCTTTAGTATTATTCATATAAACTTCAAATTAAGAATGAAAGGTAAGAAAAATCAATTCAAATGAGCAGTGGAATATGGTTAATGATTCTTTCAAATGTTTGATCATCAATTCAATATTGGAGTTAATAAAATAGGATATAAAATTAGAAATTATAAAGTAAAAGATAGGTTTGTAGTAAGGAATTGCTCTTAAAAATATAATCAAAAGATAGTAAAATCTAGCATAATTTATAGGGTAAATTTTCAATCATTGTAATTGTTATCTTAACATTATTAATAGGGTATTAAATTAACAATTTGAAAACTAAAATTTTTATGATGAGAAAGGCCAATATTATAGTTAAATTATTTATTCATATGGAATTTAGGAACTCAAATCTTTGTATCTATTTTGTTTTATTCGCTAATAATGAAATGTCAATATGGTTACAATTTTGCAAATGTTTAAAAAGTTTTGAAAGAATAGGAATATAATAAAGGTAATAGAATAATAATAATTCTAATGAAGAAGAAAATCAGATTAGATAGCATTAGATTATTATTATTCTCAACCTGATTTGTAATAATTTTGAATTGCTGTTTCAATATGCTTAATAGCATAATCTCATTAGTGTAAATTTGGATTAGTTCTTCATTGAAAATGATTGACAACATAAGAATATGAAAAGAGAATTCAAATTCTTGTGAGTATCTTTCACTTAAAAATTAAATTCTAATGTATATACAAAAATTCTTATATTAGTACAAAATAGAAAAAGATAATCAGGATTTCTAATTATTCTTTCTTCTTTTGAGAATACTTGAAGTATTGATTGACTTTAGTTTTGGAACCGAGACAATTCTTTACAAAACAGAGTCGTAAAAGTGAAAATTAGTTTGTTCAATTGTTAATTCTGAAGTGTCAAAATCCTCAAAGTTCAATATATCATCTTCAACGAGCTTAGTGATAGTTTTGACTGGAGAGTTTTTGCAAGTGTCTAAAGTAGATTCTCGACTCATTTAGAGAGATGATTTATAATGCGTAGATTCAGAGCATCCCATATAAATTTAATAATTATTATTAATGTCTTTTTAATGATGCAGTATCTAATTTTAATATTAATGTTAATTGTATTAAATTAATAACAACAAAGTGAATCACTAATTCTGTAAAACGAGTTAACATTACACACTTAAATTTTATTATCACCTTAAGGATGCACAATTATTTGTAATTGATTCTATGATAAGTTTATTGATTACTATATACATGCATCAAGTTACAGTAACCATAGCATTTATCACTTAATTATTTCAAATTCCTTGTGATCCTGATATCCAATTATTGTTGTTCAAATAATCAATGTATTCTCATAGTGTCCTATTGCATTCAAGAACATCAGAACATAGTTATAAAGAAGTTCCATCTTTAAACAATTTTGATTAAATTTTTTAATTAAATTAATCATACATTATTACTCCTTTGAAAACAAAAATATTAATTAGCATTCAATATAATCTCAATTAGTAACCGTACACATCGTTAAGTAATTGTTGAGCAAAACTTACACAATCTTGATAATCTTTCTCATTAAACTAACTCAGTTTTCGTATTAATTCGATAACAAAGTCGCTGGTAATAAATTCTTTGATTTTCTATTTCATATCAGGTATATTTTAGAAGAAATGAGAGCAATCGAATATGCAGCACAGAGTCAGACGTACATATTCCTAAATTGATAAATAATAATATATGTACAATGGTGGGTTTTAATTTTAAGTTGCACATTTCTTAACAAAATATGATAAACCATTAAACTGTGTCTCCCAATTCAAAAATAGGAGTTTTTGGATCGCAATATGCATGTAATATACAGGTATAGAATGCAGTCATGGTCTCCTTCAATCTCTCAGCGTAATCTTGATCGACACTCAATTTGCTCTTAGTTAAATCTATACTAGCTGCAAAACCTAACTTAAGGATTTCTTTGAGATCATTCATGAATGGAGCTGACTTATCCTTCAAGCCCAAAATGATGTCTGCAATTGCATTGTAAACCTATATTTTCAATTCTCTATTAAAGCTAACATTCTAATGAAAGTATAGGATAATTACAATACCTTGATTAATCCAAAGAAATAAATCAAGATATTCATATAGGGAACAAATTCTTCCTCCATGGCCCTGGCAATATCAGATAAACAAAATAGTGCAGTTTTGAAACTATCCATGTCATCCGGTTCTGAGAGCGGTTTATTTAATTCTGATATGATTTAAGTAGAATATTTAGTCAATTTCTTTTTGAATGCATATGCGATTCCAGACAGTACATAGAAGTAGTCATTCTTAACTCTAGAATCCACCTTGGATAGTGTTTTCATGATGTCTTCAAATTGTTTCTCAGGAGTAGTAGAATCATCTAATCTTACAACACATCCATGCATGGCACTCATTAATCCCATTTCAAGATGGTACTTGATCTCTACAGGCACCTAATTACTACCCTCTAGTAATTAAATTTATTGATAAAATTGCTATAAGTAATCATTACATAACTTGGTTTCAGTCACACTGTAAATGATATTTAAGATTGCCATAAATGCAGTATCAATGAGTGAAATCTCCTAATTTTTGATGTCTGATCTAACTGATGTACTGGCTAGATGTTAGAGAATAGTGAATTTCTCTCTAGTAAAGACACTATTCTAAAAATTAGTTAATCCTTCAGTTAGGTAAACAAACACCCACACCAAATTTTGTACAATAGAAACCTTATTGGATAATTAATCAAGGAGAGTAGCAAGCATCTGATTAGCTTAATCATGTTCATGAAAGCATTACGGATAATTCTCGGCAATTCTACTAAGAGTTTGAGTAGTTGCTTTTTTTACTTTGAAATTTTAATCTACAAGACACCCAAATAAACTAGTTAAGGCTGATTTAATCAATAGACCAATCTCTTCAGTTTACACTTCAGCTAGAGCTCCAAATGCCATGACACTTGCTTTTCTGTATTCCCATTATTGATGACTTATAGTATTTTGGATAAAGTTTTTAACAGAATCATAGGTATTGGATCCAGCGAATTCAATGATATATGCTAAACCTTTACTTGAGGAATTAGGGACTGACAATTATTGATACTCATCATCAGCATCTCCATCATCCAATAATAGATTTCGCATAAAGGGAATAATAAATCCTTCATAGTTTTTCTTAAAAAATGAAACACAACAATCAACTGAATTGGTTTCTGGTGTTTGTTGATTGGTGTTCTCAGAAATTGTTTCTTTGATTTCAGCACAAATTGTATTCCAAATTTCTATTGCTGCAATAGTGATCTCTCCTTGATTTTCAAAGGCGGTTTAAGTGGTTTAAAAGAGATCTGTAATAAATACTGGGAGGAATGCAAACAACTGTTTAACATAATCAATTAGACATTGTAGAGCTTTTAGTTTAATCTCCTATATGTTTGATATGGCATTTTATAATATTAAATTTTTAACAAAAGTAAATATTTCCTAGAATATGATTATCGTAATCTTACTTGTTGAGTGAATAGATTATTCATGAAGTAAAGTGAATCTTATAGTGCTTTGATTGCTGTGATTCTAATCTCCAGATTCTACTCATTCGTATCCATACCAACACATATTCCCATCAAAATCACTTTCGCATCTTGTTCTGAAATACCTGAAGATTGATGGTTTTTCTATCTATAATTCATCTACATACCAGAGATTCACATATGTATCCCAAAGTCATGATAGCTGACACCTTCACTAAGACATTACTGTGTTTCGAGTTGGTTGTCAATCTTGATATTAGATCTGGCCACTCTTAGCGTGGCAACTCAATAGCACATATTTCACTGATAGTCTAGTATATACAATTGATTTATTACATTAGCAGCTGATCTTCTAATCTCGTGTTCAGGATCTATTAATTGGTCCATGAACTTAATTTTTACTTCATTTTTAGTGTTTTGAGAACAAGCTAACCACATGATCTGGTTAGATGGATGCTTAAATTGATTAACTAGAAACAATTACAACTAAACCGACTAATCGTTTCACTAAGGTACTGCAAGCTATACGAAGACGATTCTGAATTGACCGATTAGCAAATGCAGATGCACAATACACAAGAAATTCATCTGTGCATTCATCCTTATACTTCAGGAGTACTTGTTCAGCCTATCCACGCTAATTGTTGCTGTCAAAGAATGCACATTGCACTAAGTCTAAAAATTATTGTGGCTACATTTTGTGTTTAATTTTAAAATAAATTGTACAGTAGTTTTCTTGGCTCTCAGTATAAGTTTAAATAATTAAGTTTAATGTTTAACTTATAATCCTATTTTAGTAGAAACAATCATTTTCTCTATTTTTTTTTGATTCTTCAGAAAGACATAATCATTTCACAGTATAGATGTTTATATACAGCATTTTATAGAATTAAAAAAAATTATTATACATTATTCGACTCCTTCATAAATCAATTTATATTTATTATCATTATCTATGATATTGTTAATTAGTTCAAATATATTTTTGGATTCTCAAGGTAAATTGATGCTATTCTAAATTGTTGAATATCCAATTTTTTATTTTACTCTCCATATTTCTCTAATATTAATAATAAGAATTTAAATATAATGTTATCGTCTATGCACTAGCTTTAGGGAACCCAAAACCTTATTTATCTTGATTGTTATTGTTCTATTTTATTTATATGTTCTTAAATTTATATTTTTGGGAGGGTTGTTATTCTGCTGATCTTTAAATTCTGTTTGTATCATCCTTATTAAGAGTTCTTCGAATATTGGACAAAATAACAAAATTTAAAGAAGAAATTGTTTAAATAGAGATGAAATAATATTATATAAAAATAGAAAACACAATGAAAATTAGGATCAAATAACAGAGAATGCTTATTTATTGGGTTGAACATTTACTTAGAGTGGCAATATAAATGAATGCATAAGATAAAATTGAATTAATGTTGATCAATTAATTTCTTGTATAATAGAGATTAACCAAAAGAAAATGCTAATTTTAGAGTAGAACTAGGGTGGGTTTTGATGTGAAAATGAGGTTAATGTTTTGGAAAGGGAATGAATAGATATTTGGAGTAATTTAGAGGGAGTGATTGAATATTTGCTCACAACAGTAAAGGTTGCTATGAAATGATTTGGGATAATTGAATATATAATTCAATTTGCAATGGAGGATTTTTGAGGTGTGGCTGTCTTGTTGCGATATAGTTATTCTTGTAAGGCATCTTTAACATCAGATTGGAGTTTCACTTACTTTCTGACAGTTTTAGTTTATCTGTATTCATCTAGAATTAGATGGGCCTTGATGCGTTATTCCTTTTCTCTTTATTCTTTGTTAAAAGTCGATTCCATCATCATAGTTTTCTGTTGGCTCACTTTTTCAGATGTTATTGTGCATCCCATGTTTGTTAATTATTAATATAATTGATTACAGATATATTGTGCTACAGAATTAAAAATAAATTATTTCGATTATCATCTGATATGTATTTATGAGAGATTAGCAATTATTATCAGATTAGCATATTTATAATTGGATATAATTAATTTAATTAAATTCTTCAATGTGACTCTGCCTGTCTTACTGGAGTGAGCTCTCGCCTACCCAATCAACAACAATCACTTACTTCTTCACCAAAAACTCCTGGAAAACCTTCTCATCACACTTCTCCAAGCAATCCTTCATCCTATGTGCCCATCCCTTTTGATACACCACTCTCATGCCGCTCTCGGATTGGAAATCCTTTACATTAATTTCGGATGAGTTCTCCTTGGGTTTCTCTTGAATATCGCACTTCTCCAATACATACTGCAAGGCTGATCCCTAAACAAAGATCTAAATTCATAATTAGATATTAAATCACAGTTTACATTTAGAGCAATAATAATTACAGTCATTGTCAATATAATTTCTCCTTCCTCTTTAAAATTATCAGCGGCATCTAAAGCCAAAGCATAAGCCATTGCACCCCTTAAACCACAAAACCACATTGCTCTCTGATGATTTGGCTTAATGAAATTGTCATGACGATATCGATTGAGCACGAAACTGACAAGTGTTATGTTGAGAAATCTGGCCACTATGACAATCAAAATAGAAGAGATAGCCAACACTATTCCCATCTGATTCCAAGCCAAATCGTATCCCACTACACCGATCCCTATGAAAAGAAAAACTAAATTTTCAAAATTGTATGACAATATATGATAGAATTTATTTAATAACTAAAAATAGAAATTATTTTGCTATTTACTTCTTTTCCACTGTCCGACAAATTAGGCAACGCATACTTAGCCATAACAATGCCACAAAATACTATGCTCACTATTCCTGAATAACCAACAGCTTGGGATATCAAATAACAAACCCATGGAATTATTACAGTGACTGATACTTCAATATGTTCTGTCTCATAGGACACTTCCTCTTTCACTTTCAAGATCTAAGATTTTCAAATTGCCAACACATACATATGCACATAGAACACCAATTATTACACCAATTGCAATTGATACAAAAAACATAGTTAAAAATAATTTAAGTGCTTCTCCATAACCCACAACTTCTTGATTCCACATCCTTTGAGATATTCTAAAATAAATTAGTCATCTAATCATATACTCATATAGCAGAAGGGAAATAGCATCATTTAGAATACTTTCTCCATAAAGAAGTATGTGAACATGTTTATCTGCATCTAACTATTTAAATATTGCCAAAACAGCAACTGGATCTGTGGAAGATATCAAAGATCCAAAAGCATAACTACTAGTCAATGATAATTTCTAAATTTTGCGTAATTATATTATAATAATACCGAGACCAGCAATCCGACCAGTTATAAGCTAAATGCTGTTACAAATGTTGCTATCAAGGTTCCGATGACTGCGTACATCACAATACTACCAAAATTTTGAAAAAACAATGCTTTTTCCATATTAATCGAACTTTCAAATAATATGGGTGGCAATAACACAATCAAGAAGAATTGACTGAATCCTTGTCTGTACTCTTATAAAAGTGAAGATTTATCAATAAACAATAGAAACAAGCCAGCTGCTATGCCTATCAAGGCGGTAATGATTGTGTTGTTTAAGTAATTTTTGAGATATCTGTTATTCATCCAATAATTGGTCAAGACTTCGTTTATCACAAGCAAGGTAAGCATAAATAAAATGGCATTACACAATATTTGTACATCCATAATATTTTATATAATTATTAAATGAGGAATTTAAAATAATTTAAGTCAAAAGGATTCATGGTTATTTTGATTAATCAAAGACAAAGATCTTCTCATTGTTTGATTGGTACTCATACCCAGCAAATTATTATTGAGCATTGGGATCTCGCAACAACTAAATGTTTTGAGCAATGAGTTCAGCATTCTCCTCATCTTCAATGACAATCTGTCGTTAATCAAAATTGTCATCACTGGGATTAGGAACGAATGGAGCCTTCAATTCCCTATTTTAGAGTTTTGACCATGGGAAGTTTTTGAACCACGGATGCAACTTGATCTCGTGGCCCCCATTGAAACCGAGACGACTTGCTGGTTTGCGTTGGAGCAGCCGATTCACAAAGTCTACAGCTTCCACGCTCCAGTTTGGAGGTACTTCACTAGCCTTGATTTGGACTTGTCGAGCAAGAATTTAATCGCGGATCTCTTGGCGAGACCTGCCAACATAAGGACGCTATGAATATTGACATAATGATATTACCCTTCCTAACATAAACTCGTAGGCAATGACTCCAAGTGCATAATAGTCGACAGCAAATGTATGATTTTGTCGACACATGACTTCAGGTGCTTGTGAATGAATTTATATAAATCAATAAATACCCATATAGCCAGGAGTTCCAGAGGTGTCACTTGAGTTTTCTTATTTCATGACACGAGCAATTCCCAGATCGGTGATGTGGACAAATCCCTTTTCATCGAGCACCAAGTTTTCTGGTTTGATGTCTCTATGAATGATGTTATTAGTGTGTAGATACTCGAGACCAATGAAGATGGATGCCACAAAGAACTCTGAAATGTTACATAATAACTTACTAGTTTGTTCCTCATTGAAACGTCGCATTCTCCCAATATGAAATCGCAAATCACCTCCGCACATGTAATCCATGACGAGGTACAGGTTCTCACGATCTTGGAATGCATAGTACATGTTAATGAGGAAGGTATGCTTAAGTTGGCTAAGCAGCATTCTCTCATTCATAACAGAATTCACACTTTTCTTAGTGATAACAAGGGCTTTGGACATCTCTTTCATTGCAAACTGTTGTCCTGTTCTTTTAACCTTCCACACTTTGCCAAACCCTCCAATACCAATTACATATTCAAATGTGAAAGCCGCTTTGCTTATCTGTTTTGCATCAGTCGCTTTCGGACTTATTACCTCCGAGTCCTTATTCACTTTTCGCACCTGCGCAGAGTCATTCCGAATATGTATAGGTCCTGATGGAGTTTTGGCTGACATTGCAATTGCACGAGCTTTGGCTATTAGTTGAGTCATTGAATCTTTTGATCCCTCCGATGATGACTACTTCACCTTCTGCTGTTTCATCAGAGTTGCCAATTTCGTTAGATCGATTGAAGAGTTTTTGTGAGGATAGAAGGCTTTGGGTAAACTCACTTGAGTAGGAGACACAGCAGGACTTTAAATTGTATACTATGAAGGACTTTTCGATTTCAACAACAGAGTATTGATGAGTTTATTATTGGGACTGCTAGCCTAACTCATCTTCGGAGTTTGCTTCATTATATTAATTAATCAATATAATTCAATTATGAGAGGGTGTATTCTTTTAGAGATGGATAGAAATAAACAGTTGTAAAGGTTAGAAATGAGGATAGGCTTTCAAAGCCTTTTTTGGAAATAACTAGGAAATAAACTTCAATACTGTGATATATCAATTTTGGAGTAGCAATTTTGGTATTTTCAGAAGAGTATAGAGAATTACAAATTTGAAAGATTAATATGTATATCCTAGATTATAGGATATTTAGAAATAAGATTAGAATTCTATTTGTTGTGGTGAAATTCAGAAGTAATTTATTAAGGAATGTGCAAAACAATTTAGTTTTCATAATAATTTGCAAAATATGATATCAAATTATTAGAAAACTATAAACTTATACATCAACAAATTTCTTTTAAAAACTGGAAAACTTGCATTGGCATGTTCACTTATTATTCAAAAAGGAATTAATAAGAATCAAAAGTGTTTCTAATTGTATTTAACCATTCATAAGAAATGTTAAAATAATTATAACCACAGATGGCTTGAAAGAGGGTTCGAAAAATTATAAACCAATTGCAACTAATTTCACTGCAAGCCTCATTAATAAAAAAAATGAAGCATTATAAAATTAGAAACTTATTTTAATCAACTATACGATTAGCAATATATTAAAAACTTACATGATGATAAAGATGAATTATTATCAATAAACTAATCAAACTGCTCTTAGAATGTTCAGTTCTATTGTTATTATTTATTATATTAAATATATTATAAATTCAAATTTCATATTTAACAATGTCAGATTAAGTCAAAGAATTAATTGAGGAAATGATTCCGAAAGTAAGAGTACATACAATTAATGTTAGATTAGAGAAGAAATCATTAAGGAGTTAAAGCCCCAATATGAAGCTCAATATTTGGAGTAGTTGAATTAAGCGAAATAAGAAATAGCAGGTTCTCAATTCATTAGCAATCAATTGGCAGAAAAACGAAGAGAGGTTTTCATTTTCATACATAATGATAGCTAGCATAATAGATTATGAATTAAATTGAGTAGGAGTTCGAGTTAGAAAAACAATCCCTGATTCATAATGTTTCTGTGAGTTTGAGCAAAAGCAGATCAATGCAAGTCTTAGAATAATAGTATTAATTAATTAGAATAATAGATTGAGGTAAAAAATACAGAAAGAATACAATGGTTACGTAGAGGAGGAGGTGAGGAAAAAAATCCATTTGATCAAATTGAATTGCTAAAAAACCTATGAGGAAGATAGAGTGCAGATGAAAGACTAAATGACAAATGAATTCACTGAGAAGCTATAAATCCATTTAGAATAGCTTGAATAAAGTAATATCCATTTATAGTTCCAAAGCAAAATCGCAATTGACAGTTGACTATCAGAATCAAAGAGAGAAATTATTAAGAATAGAGGCTGAAACCAAACAATTCTAATCTTAAAAAGAAACTCAAGAAAATACCTATGGATCGCAGATTTAAGAAATTCACGAGTAGATTAAATTGCTCCAGGATCAATTATCATAAATAAAGGCTTTAAAGCATTAAACCGTCAAACATAAACCTCAAAAGAAGGAAGTGATTCAACCCTAGCCAAATGACACATAATCATAATTGTCACCTTATCAATCGGCAATCAAAAACCAAGTTCTTCAAGAATGCTTAATTTATGATGGATTGAACATTGCCAACTTTGATGAATTGCCAGATTTATTTCATTTGGAAATTAAATAAAATGTAAATGAGAATAAGTAATCAGCATAAAATATGATTCCATAGTATGAGTCAAATCATATTTAAAAATCTGAGGTTGCCTAAACAATAAACACTTAGATTAATACTCATGATAGTTAGATTATATCATTCAACATATCCTAACCTTCAATTGTTAAGAATACTATTAATCATACTTAAAACAACATAAGTTCAACTTAATAAAAGTAATAGTTCTCCCAACAATAATAAATTTAGAAGCAATCATAAATCCATTAAGAAAAAGAGAATGATCCTTCCATATATGGTATAAGTAATTTCCCAAAACGATCCTCTCAATCTCCTAACCAATAAAGAAATAGTTAGTAGGATGAATAAACCAAAAAATCCTCATTCATCAATCAATCAACAATAATAGAGAAATTGGAAAGTCTTTGCAAGGAGAAGATAAGACAGTCACAAACAAGTAACAATTAAAGATAATCCAAAATCCTATTGCCTTAAGATCATTTTGAAGAACTCTTTTAGATAGATTCAAAAGATAATCAGACTACTAGAAATATCAAATTATTAAGATAAGAGTTGTAAACAAAGTTTTTAGAGGATATATAATTAGAAGACTATTATTTCCAATAAATTACTTTCTTTAAATTAAATTTTGTTTAATAGTACCCAAAAAACTAGTAATCTCAAATTGCAGAATAAATATAAGAATTAATTTCTATTTGGAACAAAGGTCATTTATCATTTTCAGAACGAATAGATTATATCAAAAGAATAGTCAATAGTTCAAATTCTACTGAAGAATTGGAGTCCATTTTGGAAGAGTGTTTAATCTATTATTAATAAAGTATATCATGTATTCAATATTAGATGAACTTCTAATAGAGAAACTATAGCAGAGATAGTCATTTAGATCTTAGATTGTGAAAGAAAATTACTTATGTTAAAAGAACAAGAAAGTATTTGCAGCATTAAAGAGTTTAACATATGAAATTAAGGGTTTACTCAAATATAAATTCTTTTGGAGAGAAGTGGACGTTGATTAGATTATAATGATCGATTAGTTTGAGTAATAATTAATTGAAAGGGAGGAAATGAAAGAAGAAATAAAAAGGAAAGTCGAAAAAAAGTTTAAATGATTAATTTTACAATATTATTATCTACTCTTTTACCATATTGTCTTGCGTATTTAGTTATTTTATATAAAGTTTCTAATCAATGACAATTCATAATTATTCTATTATTAATTATTCTTTATTCTCAAATCTAATAAGAATTAAAAATATATAATAATTTCTTATCAGCAGTTTTCTAATTGTATAAATTCTATTTTTATGTAAAACCAATTTTTTTCTCTTATTGATATATCTAGATGTTGATATGTTATTATTTGCATATCATAAAGTAAATAGTGAAAGTAATCTACGTATAATGATGATTATTTCATAATTTATTTTATTAAAGCATGGCAACATTTTAAGAGAGGTTTAAAGGGAAGACGACAGTGATGGGCAGAAATGGATTGGAATCAGTTTTGAATACATGTCAATAGCCCATCAAAAAGGAACTTGATTGTATGATTATCAAATAATCAAGATCAAAATAAACCACCTCCAATGTATTAGCCTCTCTAGCAATAAACAAATATTCAAATATCTCCAATAAAAATTTAATACAACAAACAGACTAACAACTAAACCCTCTATTAACATAATCCATATATTGGGGAACAATAGATACAAGACTCTCTTTAATACTTAAGTCAACAATAATACTTTTAGCCGATAGCAAATTATCAAGTGGTTTCAGAACCACAAAAGAAAGAGGATACTCGGTCAAAATCAGCCAAATAAAAATTAGATTCAGCAGATGAATCACAACGCTACAAACCATACACTCTAAAGGATTATGAAATTATGAAGAAGACTGCCAATGCAAAATTAGGAGGCTTGGGTCCCAATCTAAGTGGAGATGAATGGGCAAAGGAAAAGGAGAAAGTATTGAAACGTTAAGAATTTGCAGAGTAAGTGAGATAGTTCAATTCAACCAATATAATAACTACGAGAATAAGGGAACCCAAACAATCCGAACCTAACGCAAGGTAGAGACAATATATAATCTAGAACCAAAGCTATGGATTTTGCTAGAAATATTCCAAAACCCTAAATAAGGAAAAAAGATGAATAGCCAATTAAAAGCATTCCAAATAAACCTTCAGATAACAATAATATTAGCAGAGATCCTTTCGATGATGAAATTGCTCGTCTTGAGAAAGAACACTTAAAATATTTAAACTAATTGGATAAAATGAAATGATAATTTTATATATATATATATTGATAAATAACTAATGAGCCTTGAAGAATTTGATGCATTCACATCCTTAAAAGCTTTAAGAGACCTGAAGAAGTAGATTGAATCAAAAGCCCAAGTGGACTAGAAATCAAGAGCTGCATTACAATTCATATAGAAAGCACAACCTTTAAGTTAATATGATTTGAGAATACAATTCCAACATTGGCTAGCAAAGTTAGGAGATTTAAGCACCAAATAAATTGCGTATACTAATATATTTTCATTGGTCTAATAAAATCAATCTTAACCGAATCTATAACTATTGATAACTTGTCTCTAAACACCGATTAATGGCAAAGGAAGTGAAAGCATCATCAAAACTATTAACATTATTGTTGGAATTTATGGAGACACAATCACTGTTACAGATATTTACAAATTCATTGAAATCATGCTTAAATACTTTAATGTACAAAAAAGCAATATAAATATTTCTAGGATTCTAACAATAATGTCCAAATGGCAATTAGTGAATGTTGGTCGAATATTTACATCAAAAATATATCCAAAAAGCCAGTGCAATAAAGAGTGTTGTTGATGTACTCTACTCTAAGTTAATTGATTGGATCAGGAGGCAGTAGACAAACATAAGAAACTGCTACCATAGTCCTGTCATAATTATTTGAAACGTTGACTACTGCTTAGGATTTAGCATTCATAAAGGATGTGGTTAAGGATTACCTAGGCATTTATTTGGTATTTATTAAATTAACAAGAAATAACAAATAGATCATTCTGGATTTTACACCATTATGTTCTATATTATAAAGACCTTATAAATCTAAAGTTTCACAAGCCAGTAGATCCAGGTTATCGACAAGACTCTTCAAGGAATTAATAACTAAAAGCTCAATTATAGAGTAATAAATAATAAATGAAATTATTTTAGACTAGAGTGGGAGCATTAAATCTGATGAAATTAATTGCCACTCAGTACTAGAACTCTAATTTTAAAATTGCCTTAGGGAATTTACATGAATAAGTTATCGTTGTATTAGAAGATTCAACGAGGGATAGAGTAATTGCAGTTTAAAATGCAGCTCGAACAGCTCTTAAGGAATGGATGAGACTTAAGTTGTCTGTGGATTGCGAATTAATTCCTAATCCTGTTTCTCTTGATTAGTCTCCTGGTTTCCTAAAAAAATAAAGTGGGTCCGGAGGGGGACAGGTGTATGTAAATCAAAAAATACAGAATTAACAACAATTTAAATAAGATATTAAGTAAGCTTTGATTGAAGATCAATTCGAAAATACAGTTGATTATTCTAATATTGTGCATGAACCTAATCTCAATGTCTGGCAAAAGGCTATGAGACTTTAATAGGATGGATTATTAGAAGATGCTGTTGAACTTTTGCTTCACGAAGGTGACGATCTTTATTTGATCAGATTTTTGATGAGTTACAAAAATTACTCTCAACTATTTGATCTTCTTTCAAATTCTTTAGCTTTGAGATTAATTGACACTTTAATATTGATCTTGGAATCTGATTTCCTTAACATTTTATGTTTGGATTTCATTCAGTAATTTATCGATTGTGGGTTGGGAGATTGGTTTAAAGACTCTGAGTTTACAGATTACTTAGAATATAACACTGAATAAAACTTGCCCTCCACTCCATTGTGTAAAAAAGTAAGAGACTAATTGAAGTGATTATATATCAATATTAAATTAAATTTTCCTTTTGAATGGAATCACAGGACCGTACAAGTTAAAGATCATCAACCGGTGAGATCTAAGAAGTATTTTAATCTTTTCTACAGAAACCATTGTCGTTTGCCTCCTCGGATGATTGCATTGAACTGAAACCACAAGAATATAAAGGTTATAAATATACTATTTAGTGAGCATTCTAAAACAAAAACTGAAAAATAAGTAACAAATATATTCGCTAACTAAAATACTATTTGGATTTCGATTTGATTATCAAAAAGCAGCTTGTTTAATATGCAAATAAGAGGGCCATGTCAATTGTTGCCAAATTAATTTCCAAATTGATAATATTTATAAAAATGACTGAATTTTTTTAAGTAAATGTTCACTTAAAAAATGTTTCAGAGATGTTTCTTTAAATAATTCATTTTAAATCATTTATTAACACATGAATCACATCTTCATTGTAATCTTGATGATTTATCGATAACCCCAGAAAAACTCTTGATTCTCAAATATTAATAATGAATTTCCACCTTATGAATATTGCTTCTTTTGGTCTTCAAATTTTATCAAATTTCTCAATAATTTAGTAAATATAAATTCTCAAAAATTTTAATAAAAATTATTTACATGGAGGTCTAATAATCTTTGACAGTTTGTGTTACTGGTGCTGCAGGATAGATTGCCTACAGTTTTATCCCTTTGCTTTTGTCTGGTTAAGTTTTTGGATAGGTCAAAATCAATTTGAGATTATTGGATATTCCAAAGATGGAAACAGCATTGAAAGGAGTTGTCATGGAAATTGAAGACTGTGCATATCCTTTAATCGGAGATATATAAACTGGTTCAAATCCTAAAGAGTTATTCAAAAATTGTGATTTGATCGGTAATTCCCACTTTAATTGTAGTGTTTTTGGGAGGATTTCCTCGTTTACCAGGAATGGAGAGAAAGGATTTATTACAAAAAAATGCCAATATTTTCAAAGAATAAGGAGAAGCTCTTTAGGAAGTAGGAAAAGATGACGTAAAATGTGTAGTTGTTGCCAACCCTGCAAATACAAATTGTTTAATTTTAAGTAGATACGCAACTAAGTATATTATTAATTTTAACTCAGAATTCCTCGTTAAAATTTCACATGTTTGACTCGTTTGGATTAGAATAGAGCATACGCTTAAGTTGCTTTAGCCTTAAATAAACCATTAAATAGTCTTAAGAATATCATTATTTGGGGTAATCATTCTACTACTCAATATCCTTCAATTGAACATGCTACAGCTGATGGATAATCTTTTGTATTGCCAGATTAGGGACAATTTATAGAGCGAATCTAAAAGAGAGGAGCTGAGGTTTTGAATGCTAGAGGAAATAGCAGTGTTTTCTCTGCTGCAAATGCTGTTAAAGGTATTTTAATGGATGCATAATTTAGATCACATTAAGGATTGGTTCAATGGAAGAGAGGACACTCTATTGTCACTAGGAGTTCTTTCAAATGGTGAATATGGAGTGTAGAGTGGTTTGTGTTTTTCATATCCAATAAGATGCCTTGGAGCTTTTAAATATGAGATTGTTGGAAATTTAGAGTTGAGTGACTTTTCTAAATAAAAACTCAAAGTGACTGAGGAAGAACTGATTCAAGAATAGGGTTTGGCAGAATCAATTTGAAAATAAAGGTATTCTTAATGATAATGAAATATTAAAATATAAGATTTACAATAAAATCATTTGAATATATATGCAAATCAAAAAGTGGATTCACATATGGACAAATCTAGACTTTTAGAAATGTACTTTCTTCTGTTAATTTTGTTAACAGGATTTTTAGCTTATCGTTTTTTAAGATTAAGGTCGTCTAAGTATTCCTTTTTTATATGTTTCCGTCTTATTTATTGAGAAATCAAGGCTGTTTCGTTATGTATTTTAAGATGCTGTTCTTCTGTGAGAACTTTCCAAAAATGATCCATTAGAATCCGAAGGTAATTCGTCATCTATAAACTCTTTAGATTTTTAGATTAAGATTTTAGATATGTCTTATTTGGTCGGGCAATGAGTATATAGTTTGGCATTGCATTAGAAAGGATATGCTCTGATATCAAAATGATCTAATAGTAGCTGAGGAGATTATTCAATAGATGATTGATTTAAAGAGCAAGCAGTTCCCATTTGAGAGTTTATTTTTTTAAATATATTAAAAAATGAAAACTTCGATTCATTTAATTTGTGTTAAATATGATGGTTTTTCTTCCAAATGAATTGATATTTCGTTATGGGACATACAATTTCAACAGTTTTCCTGATTTATGATAAATATAAGCATTCAAAGATTTAAATTTACAACTTTAGAGAAATTCAATATTACAAATAATACAATAATTAAAATTAAAAAACCTGATAAATCGACAGTTCAAAATGTGACCACATAAAAGATATCCATATAATATTAGAACAGAAATATAATTTTCCTTTGATTATTTAATATGATTCATATCAATGATGATGATGATGAGTTTCACCTTGTCCATGTCTTCTAGCAACAGCCTATCTAGACTCTGCCTCAACTCTTTCTATGTAAGTCTTGCCTTCTAAATTCATGAGCTGAATGTGTTTATTTTATTCCTCATAAGTCTCCAATAGTTCAGTTGCAAAACTCTTCTCACCAGGGACCATTCTTTACATACCCAAGTCACCTGTAATGCCTATTCATATAGACATATAGTCCTTACTCAAATCTAGGAAATGCTTAACCATGAATGGTCTCTCTTGTTGGACCTTTCTTGAATAGCTTACAATTGGGTTTTTTAAATAATCTGGTTGGATGTTCCAGAATCTGGCTTCATAGAATACTTCATATGTGAAAATAGCTGCTGCAAAAGCTGCAATTAGATATTTCGAATCAAGTATCAAAAATTTAATGGCATTCTGAGCTGAATTCAAATAGCCCTCATCTACAGATCACATTAATTAATTACTTTAATTAATAAAGTATTCTGGCATCACACCACAATAAAACCATAAATTTGTATCAAATACATCCATCTATGAAATAATTCAATAGTTGCATACTCTTCGTTTATGTTGATATCCTATTGTCAAAGGCACATCAGGTCTATCCCATCCATGACCACCTCTAGTTGCTATGCTTCTTGCTGCACTTCTTCTCAATATCACGCTCAACATTTCGATAAATTATTAATATTTATATATATATTTCCAAAACAAATATGAGAGAGAATATTAAACCCATATAAATTAATAATATCAAACTAAATCAATAGAATATCTCCTTCTGAACAATTTAGTTAAAGATCAATAGGTGTGACCCTATGGGCTTGCCTTTTTTATATTCTCCTTCCACTATCAAATCCAGTCCAGTTTAATGATGATGAATGGCTCTAACATTCTTACCATGCTAAACATTATCCTCAAACTAACCTTCATATGTTATGGACTTCTACCCTCCTTACCTTAATGTCAATCTTCCGAAACCTACTCTCTGATTCTTCTTCCATTCCCCTTCATATTCAGATAAATCAGCATATACTTTCTTTCCTTACCCATGAATGTATCCCATTATAAAATCCCCTTCATACATTTCATATTAATTAAATACATAAGCATCACAAAACAACCCTTTTTTGTAGGGCTTAAACCATTTCAATCTTGCCTTTCCATGCTTTACCTAATATTCCTAATTGTAATACCCCACATATTAAGTCAATAATCCTTTATCATTCATCTCCAACACTTACCCCCAATAGAACTTGCCTTTCTTAAAATAGCCCTTATAAATTGATGAAACTCCCCTCTTTCTCAAAATACCTATTCCATCTGGATAATCATTAAGAGTTTCACCTTTATATTTTGAACCAAGGAAATCATAAAATTAAAGTTTCCTATTCTTGAACTACTGTGAAAAGTTATAACAATCACTAGGAACTAAATCAGTAATTTCATAAGCATTTGCCGTTAATTAGAACTCTCTTATATATTAATTCTAGGAGAGTAGTTCTGAAACCTTATCATCGACGAGTTGTTTGATGGCTTTTAAGTAAGCTACTTGGAAGGTTTGATAATTATTCTTTTTCGAAGATTACTTGGTACTTCCTTCTTCGCTGACTTCATCAATTTTATTGATTTATATCTTAATTCTATTATGTTTCCTCTTTATATCATCAATGATATCAATCTATTCTTATATGATCTTTTTCTGTCTTTAAGTTGATTTGAGTTTTAGATCCTTAAGAGCTGCTTTATACTTTTTTCTGTCCTCTGCACGTAATTTCCTTAGAAAAGCATCCGGTAGCAACTTATCAAAAGAAGGATTTCTTAAAAAATCAATAATTTTCTATTTATTTACTTCTTCTTGTTCCTTTAGCTTTATTTCTTTGAGTTTGTTTTCAACAGCAGATTACTAAGCTATCAGTCTATCCCCTTATTTTCTATCCTTGGGCACCTTCTCCAATAAGCGTTAGTAAATTTTGAGTTCTTCCTTATTGAGTAATTCAACCTACTATTTTTTTAATATGTTTTATAGAATTGGATTTTGTTTGAGCTTTTTTAAATCTTCTTTCGCCTCTATTAATTTTTATATTAAATCTGTTACAAATTTATTACTCTGTATTTCTGATTTTAATATATTTAATTGATCCTCATTAAGAAAAGTAAGTAGTTAAGGATGGTTTTGGATATTGTTATCATCAAAAAAATGATCTGCCTCTAACTTTTTTTAAATAACATCTATGCCATCATTTACATCATCAATTAATTAAATCTATTCTTTTTCTTTTAATATTGCAATTTCATCAAAAAATTATTGAATCTGCTTTTAGCTCTTTTTATCTTATTCATCCTCAAAGATATTGGTAGGATCGCTAGGATGTTATTCTAAATGAGTAAAAATCTGTTTAATGAATTTTAATTACTTCAAAATCTCTTTTTAATCGTTATCTTCTAATTATATCACTCCTTCATTTAATTAATTTTTTATTATTTTCAAAGAGACAGGGTTTTCTTTTGATTCCTAATCTGTGATTTCTTTTGGATCTTCAAATTGTTGAATTTGTTGAAATGAGTTCTCATTGTTGATAATATCCACTATATTTTATTTATTATTCTTTTTTTGGTCAGGAACCTTATTCTAATTATTCTCAGTTATATCAATCAATAGCGAATAATCATCTTGCTATTGATTTTGAGCAATTATAACACTTCCATCATCAATTTAATTTCCTTCATAATTTTCATCCGTGAATGGCTGCAATACTTACAATTAGCTTTTCTTGATGCTGATATTGCTTTTTTCTACTTACTATTAACCCCCATCATTACTTTAATTTGGATCATTATTTTACGGAATCAAGCTATTTTGTGAATGGGTGATTATCAATAAATTACTCTATTAGGAATCTTGTTATCGAGTTTTGAATTCCGTTTTTGAATCGTTCAGTTCTAATAAATTAAATTCTTATTGACCAGATTGAATGACTTATTTCTACACTTGATTCTTCTTAGGAACTTATTAATCCTCAGTATCAAAATCATCGATTGCCAATATGTTTATTTATTTCACCTTCTCTTAATTCTCTTTTTATCCTTAAAATTAATTCAATTATCCTGGAAATTACTCTTCATCATTTAAATTTAATAAATCATAATTATTTGAATTATTAAATTAAAAATTTTAATTATCTATATGTGTGACAACATCATTCTTATTGCTATTATCCTAATTTACTTCAGTTAATTTTTAATCTTCTAGAAATTAAAAGTTTTGAGTTCCATTTTAATTAAAAATTTAAATAAAATTATCTCCCTCTTTATTATCATCAATTTTATCCAATTAAATAATTTATAAGCACCCAAATTATTAATTATCATTTTTTGTTTTGTCTACTTAGGCTTATCCAATTTATATATCATCTTAAACTTGTTCTAGATTTATTGGATTACCCTAATCATTCCTACTACTACTATTTAATACTTGTAACTAAGACTGAATCGGAACCAAAATGATATTGTCATTTTTATTTTTAGTATCATCAACTTGAATTCCTTCAGATTGTTATTGGTTGAACTCATAATTTATTACTGCTAGACTTGGCTTGTTTTAAGTTACATAATTTAAGTTTTATGGATTATCTTGAATGTTAAAAAATTGGAGAGGATTTGAAGAAAAATCATAATGTTGAGATTCTGGCTTATATCTTATAGGGCTCTATTAATCTTGACGTTAGGGCTTTTAAATTGGAATTTAAGTTAAATTATTCTTTTATTTGATTTCAGTGAAACCAAGAATATCAATTTAATAACTAGAACTAATAACACTAGAGGAGTCATCATTATCGAATTAATCTTAAAGTTCTTGAATAGTTTAATTGGGAAGAAAATAATTTTAAGGTTTAAACGATCTATATGTATTCTCTTCCTCGTCTTCATGATCAAATATCTATTTAATAGTAAATGTTGATTCCATTTATGACTGCGATTCAGTCTGATTCAATTTCTTCTATTAAAGAAATGTCTGATATACTGATTCAGGATCCTTCTTTTAAATCAGTAATGTAAAAATGACCTCAGAGAAGATTCCATTTTAATATTACTTAAGGTTCTCTATTTTCTAAAAAATTTATTTGTTATTTAAACCATAATAATCAGATAAATTTTTTGGCAATGTTTAATTGTTTTCAAATACTTAGATCATCATCATTGATAATGCCCAGATGTCAACGTATTTTCTAAATTTTTGATCTGATAGATCAAATTTCTTCCAAAGTTCAATTCTGAAGTAGAAATTCTTTTCCTCCATAATTTTCTAGTATTCTTCAGGGTAGAAGAATATTAAATTATTCTACCATTCCATCTCTGCTTATTTTGTATATTCTTTAAGGAAATTTTAATAATGAGTTCTTGCACTTCCAAAATCTGTGATAAGCACTTATTTTTTGTAGTATAGGATATTGTTTGGCTTCAAATTTGTATGTTCGAATTTGGTCTTGAACAAAATACAGGCGATTTATAACAGTTATTCAAATATTTAAGCTTGTTCTTGGAAACTAACGGTGTTATTGTTTAAATATTGAAATAAAGGTTCAATGTCATCTTCACAATCATATGCAACATAAAGATTTCTTTGGTGGTTAATAGTTTCAACTGTGTAATTTAGGATAGTAAGTACCTTTCCCGGATATTTCAAAGAAAGCCTCCTTTAATTAAGTAGTTCTTATGTGATTCCTTACTTCCAAGAGAGCCATTCTTTTTTGGTTTCGAATTCTCTTCGCTTTATAATTTTATTGTCCTTCGATTTAAATAACTTAGTAAATAGACAAGGTCTTTGTAATGGTTATATTTGTTCATGAAGGGATTTGAAGGTCTATAAAGTTATTTGGAAATTAGTATTCATAACAAAATAATAAATATATTAATAACACAATCGTAATTCTCTCATTCATTAGAAAAACATTATTTAAAATACAATAATAATCAATATTGGCATCAATCAAATAGAATAACAGATTTGCAAACAAATTCTTTAAGGAGGATAAAAATGAATCAAAAGAACTATTAAAATTGTCAAGATTATCAACAAGTTCATAAATTTGATACTTCTTAACAGTTCAAAATTCATCTATAATTCTTGATTATAGTATTTCTTAAGTGAAACAAAGATATCTTTTGTATTAAACAGAAAAATATAAATTTTGGTTATTTTTAGAATAATATAAAAAATGGAAATAATTAGGTTATTGTGAAAATTAAATGATATTAAATGAGTTAATTATTGTATAATGAATTACTTTAAATATGTTAGTATTATCATGATAATTATATTTTTGAGTTAGTTGAGTTATTTTGTTGGTTTATTGTACATTTCATCTAAAAAAAAAATTATTTTATTTACACTAATCAAAGGATTAGAAAAGTTTACATTTTTTTCATTATTAACATTCTTGGGATCCAATTAATAGTAGCTTAATTATTGAGTAAAGTAAACATCTGAATCTTATAAATGTGGAATAGAGGTTCCATCGTAAAAATTATAAATGGTATTCTAAATAGCTATCATATTAATTTAAACTCCCTTAAAATAGAATATAAATAGATAGGCCCATCCATCCTGCTTTGTTTTATTTTGATCGAATTTGTTATGCATTCTATAGCAATCGGATAGATTTTCAACATTGAATTATTGATTTTAATCGAAAGAGAGTTTGTATTATGAAGAATACGGAATGCTATGAAAGTGTTATCCATTTGAATTTTATTTTGACTATATTCAGATAATTTATAATGATATAATAAAATAGAGTCCCCCAAAAAAAGTTTACTCTCAATCTGCATAACTCAGCAATAGATTATATCGACAGAATTCTATCGGAAGTGTCAGGTATAGGTATTAATTGATAAAAGGAATGAAATGCCTCATTTTGGATTAGGAAACCATCGGCATAATTTCACTCATCTACTCTCAATCACAAATCTTGAAGAAGGATGTCTACTTGATGGAAAAGATTGATGCGGCTGCTTCCACTAAATAGAAGCTTTAGCACATGAAGGTTATCTTTTTGATTCGACCAACTTAAGTATAGAATGCATTTTAAATCTTTAGGAAAATTAAACATTGCTACTATAAGAAATAAAGGATAAGAGATTTTGTGAATACTACATCTTCTTCACCAATACTTTAAGCAATTTCTATATCGAATAATTGGCGGAAGCGGATGACTCCGATCTAATCAAACAACTCCAAGAAATTTATTTGGATTACTACATAGTGCAGCCAGATACTTTTACATTAAACATTCCCTCTACGATTGCATTAACTAAAAGTGTTTCACAATGGAATTCCAAGGATGAGTAGCTATTTCAAAGAGTTCTTGAGGGATTGAGTGCCACAGTATATAGTCTAAGAAGGATTCCAATGATAAGATATTAAGGATCTAGTGAAATTTGTGCAAAATTGGCATAAAAATTGAGTCAGACGATGAGAGAAGAATACGAGCAATCCTAATCCTAGTTTATGCTTTCCAATTGTTTGCTCTTGATTCTAGACAGGAGAGAAGATCCAGCAACCTTGTTATTGAATCAGTGGACCTACTAGGGTATGCTCCATGAGTTGATAGGAATCTAAAATAATAGGATCGACATTCGTTAAGGTTAAAAGGCATTGAATTAAACTGCGGTATAGTATTAATTCCTATAATTAGAGTANTGTACATTTCATCTAAAAAAAAAATTATTTTATTTACACTAATCAAAGGATTAGAAAAGTTTACATTTTTTTCATTATTAACATTCTTGGGATCCAATTAATAGTAGCTTAATTATTGAGTAAAGTAAACATCTGAATCTTATAAATGTGGAATAGAGGTTCCATCGTAAAAATTATAAATGGTATTCTAAATAGCTATCATATTAATTTAAACTCCCTTAAAATAGAATATAAATAGATAGGCCCATCCATCCTGCTTTGTTTTATTTTGATCGAATTTGTTATGCATTCTATAGCAATCGGATAGATTTTCAACATTGAATTATTGATTTTAATCGAAAGAGAGTTTGTATTATGAAGAATACGGAATGCTATGAAAGTGTTATCCATTTGAATTTTATTTTGACTATATTCAGATAATTTATAATGATATAATAAAATAGAGTCCCCCAAAAAAAGTTTACTCTCAATCTGCATAACTCAGCAATAGATTATATCGACAGAATTCTATCGGAAGTGTCAGGTATAGGTATTAATTGATAAAAGGAATGAAATGCCTCATTTTGGATTAGGAAACCATCGGCATAATTTCACTCATCTACTCTCAATCACAAATCTTGAAGAAGGATGTCTACTTGATGGAAAAGATTGATGCGGCTGCTTCCACTAAATAGAAGCTTTAGCACATGAAGGTTATCTTTTTGATTCGACCAACTTAAGTATAGAATGCATTTTAAATCTTTAGGAAAATTAAACATTGCTACTATAAGAAATAAAGGATAAGAGATTTTGTGAATACTACATCTTCTTCACCAATACTTTAAGCAATTTCTATATCGAATAATTGGCGGAAGCGGATGACTCCGATCTAATCAAACAACTCCAAGAAATTTATTTGGATTACTACATAGTGCAGCCAGATACTTTTACATTAAACATTCCCTCTACGATTGCATTAACTAAAAGTGTTTCACAATGGAATTCCAAGGATGAGTAGCTATTTCAAAGAGTTCTTGAGGGATTGAGTGCCACAGTATATAGTCTAAGAAGGATTCCAATGATAAGATATTAAGGATCTAGTGAAATTTGTGCAAAATTGGCATAAAAATTGAGTCAGACGATGAGAGAAGAATACGAGCAATCCTAATCCTAGTTTATGCTTTCCAATTGTTTGCTCTTGATTCTAGACAGGAGAGAAGATCCAGCAACCTTGTTATTGAATCAGTGGACCTACTAGGGTATGCTCCATGAGTTGATAGGAATCTAAAATAATAGGATCGACATTCGTTAAGGTTAAAAGGCATTGAATTAAACTGCGGTATAGTATTAATTCCTATAATTAGAGTATCGGTAAAACTGATTCAGAAAATGAGTTTGTGATATCATCTAGTTTGGATGACTTTTTTGCTGAAAATTAATACTCGAATTTTGGAGAATTAGCATAAAACATAAAAGATTTTATTGACAAAGTTACATAACAGAAGAAAGAGACAGTGCAAATCAATTCATTAGAAGATATGCAAAAAGCTGTGGATAAGATTCCAGAAATAAGGAAAATGAGTGGTAATTTATCGAAGCATGTGGCATTGAGTTGTGAATTATCCAAATTGGTTGAAGAGAGACAGCTATTGAAAGTATCTAAAGTTGAATAAGACATTGTTTGCAATGAAGCTAAGTCTGAACATTAGAAGGCTGTATTCTAGATGCTTGAAGACAGGACAATATAAACCTATGAGAAATTAAAATTGGTTATGTTATATGCATTGAGATACGAGAATTGTGATAAAATATCAAGGATGAAGGACGTATTGAGGGATTTGGGTGTTAAAAACAACAGTTTAAATTTAATCAATCACTTATTGGATTATTCTGGTAAGGCTAGACGTTAAGGTGATTTATTCAGTGACAAAAATTTATTATCGAAGGCATAGCAGAAGTTCAAATCTGTTTTCAAGGATGTTCCCAATATATATACTTAACATCAACCATATTTTCTTACGATTATCGAGTAAATTCTCAACAACAAAATTAAGGATAACGAATTTCCAGCAACAAATTTGCATTACTTCAGAGAAAGACCTGCTGAGATTATAATATTTTACGTTGGGGGAACATCTTTTGAAGAAGTCAAAGAAATCGGGTTGTTGAATAAATAGCGTATATAATTTAGAATAATGCCTTAGCCAATTCACCAAACATCTTGTTAGGGGGTACCTACATTCACAATTCAAGAACCTTTCTTGCTGAGATTTGTTAATTAGCATATGAGAACAACATTGACATAGTTGTAGATAAGTCCAACCCTAGAAATGATAACAAATTTCATAAATTTTGATTGGAATAACATTGATATTATTTTAAATACACATTAAACTTATCAATAAGTATTATTAAAGAAATAGAAGGGTTGCTTACTTTTGGAAAGACTGTTCAAATGGTTGTTTTTAGATTGTTAAATCATTTACTTTAAAATACAACACACGGGTTTATTATATCCAGAGAAAAAGCAAGGCTGTTCACATTTCTTAGCATTCAGAATTGCACTGTATCCAAAACTAAGAGCATTCTATTCAATGGATGATCTAAAACATACCTTGATATTCTTAATCTTGAAAGTACTACTAGCAATATTGTTATTTTTATTATGAAGATCCAAAATAACCAATTCTTGACATCCTTAATCACTAACTATAATAAAGCTGCTTACAACTAAAAGTATTGCTATTAATAAATATTTGGTTCATCAATTTACATATTTTCTGACTGGGAAGGCACGATGTTGATTATTTTGTTATAGTAATCCAAGTCCTGACCATAAAGATCGAAGAAATCCAAAAAGGTCTTGCCAATTTCTTCGTTTTCGTTGTCCCTGATTCTTTTGATTTGCAATAAAGCAAGAATCATAGTCAATATGCAATAACTATTGAGACCACCCTTATTAAACCACTTATTACTTAGTAGGAATTCAGCAAGTTGATTGATTTAAAGTAGAATTTCAACATTAAAGCCAAACTCCTAAATTATTTAAATTCCTTCTGAAACTCAATCATCGAATTGGCAGTCTTCCTTCCAGAATGATCATTCCTACTTATTGTAATATCAACTAGTTTATCTTAAAATTCTTTTGAACATTACATCTTCAACACGGGTTTCTTAGCATTTTCAATTACTTTGACATCCTTGATAAAGCTTGTCCTCTAAAACTAAATTCTATGATACTTTAAACTAATCTGCCAATTTGAATAATAATATTATTTCTTCCGACTCAACCGTTTCAATAACTATGTCAATATCAGAATCCAGCAAATTCAGGCCTGTTTAACATGATCCATAAAGAAACGCTCTAGATTTAAGTTAGACATTTTAAACAGTCTAAAAAAGGAGTATGATAAGAAATACCTCATCCACCAAGAAGACTATCTTATCAATTATGGGTTTCTATTCATCTAAATATTTACTCAATTCTTGTGTAAATGTATTAATCTCAAAAGTAAGTTGCCTAATAATCACCCAAATTTGTGTACTTAACAATATCATCTAAACCTATTTTATGTTATGGTAATGTGCTTTTGGACTCACAAATCAATTAATGATAAAATGATTAGTCTATAGCTATTTTCTCTGGAATCTAAACTTCTATTTCTTTTCTTTCCTTTATTTACGTCTAAGTCTCCTATTCTCTTTTCTATACTATTTTATTCAATTTTAATAGAATATCAGCCTCTCCTTCCTCTTATTTTCCAATTTTCTGAATGTTTTCCTGCTATTCTTCCTATTTCTTTTTTCTGTTTGGAGATTTTGCGAATAGATTCTCCTCCATAATTAACAAATCTTTAATCTTCTCATTGGCAGCCACATCCAGAGGAGTTTGATTCTATTTATTTTTCTTCTAAAATAGAAACTCCTTCTGACAGATCTATTTAATTATATTTAATTCTCCTTTGCGAGAAGCCACATGTAAGGCGGTGTCACCGTTTTCATCTTAACCAGATGCTCCATACTTCTCTATGATTTTTGATGCAGTCTTATAATTGCCTTTTTGTAAGGACTTAATTAAATGCTAAGGTTTATCGAGAGATGTTATCTATAAGAGAGTTTCAACTATATCCCAATTATCTTATTCCGATTGAATCGCAATATCAAGTGCAAGCTTAATTTATTTAGTTTCGATTTTCTCCTTATACTTGATTATCTCATTCAGAATGCTTATCTTGGCTGTTCTTGCTGCATACACAATAGCTGTATTCCCCTAATTGTCCTTATAATTAAAATCAATAGATTGTCTTAAAGTTAGAACATATATACTTTAAAATTTATTGTATACATTGAAAGTGATCTTCACTATCTCTTGTGTTCTGTATACACTCTAAAAAGGCTTACGAATAACTTGCTTATCCTATTTGATTTGTTCGAATATATTCCTCCAATTAAACATATAATCCTACGAATTTACAACTGTTCGAATACCTTAATTTGTCAGATCGACAATTTTCTATTGATGGACCGTCGACTATTGCATTTAGTGCATTTAGTGCATTTACTTAATTTTAATTATAGCAAAATCTCAAAATGAAAGGTTTAATATGTAATAAGAAAAACAAAATTATAATTTTTTATTTATAATCATCAAAATTGTAAACAGGATTCTTATAAAATAAGAGTCCTTTGTCCATTGATTAGGATATGAGCAAGTTCAAAGAGTCTCATATTCCCATCCAATTTCTAAGTCTTCACCCTACCAATCAAAATTGATAAATAGGGCACTTATAATTTGGTTCTATTGCTTCGATTCGCATAATTCTCATTGATTAGAATACTTAATTCCCTAACTCTGAGGAAGCATGACAGCATGCTGATCTCAAAGGAGAATTCAAACTCGTTTTGATTCTTCAAGACAATGATGTCAACTGAATAAACTGATTCCTTCCATAAATAACTTTCTTACCAACTATTGCTTTTTCAAGGATCTCCAGACTTTAGTTTGTAATTCATCCATTTCAATATACAGGGTAGGGCTTAAAATTTAAATGAGTTACTACTTGATCCAAGTGATATTGCAAATCCCTAATTTGTCATCGTTACATGATGGGTTTTTGGACTGCGAGTGATAATTGATCTCATCTTTTGTGGAAGCCCTTCTATAGACCATGATGTCCAAACTACGACAAAATTAGCTTGATTCATAACTAGTAGTTCTCCCCAAAGTGAAGTTAGAATCTTTAGGTTGAGCGTGGGAATGAGGCATTTAAACTTTTCTCAGTATGGAATACTCATTAGTTGCCACTACTTATTTCATTAATTAAAAAAAATGCGTTGTTGCAATGCTGTCAAATTATGAAATAAATAAATATACGATTTTGTAATTGTATAGAAATTATAGGGATAATGAAAAGCAACGAGCCTATTGGGACATTAGTAATTTTAATTTAATATTTTAATTAATAGAAAATGTAAAACCTAAAAATTGTCTATTAATAAAAAATGCACAAATTACCTTCCAGCGTAGTTACATATCAAGACATCATTGATGCAGTGAAGAAAATTTATCCAAACTTAAGTTAATTTTATTTATTTACAATTATCCCTTGTACAAATCATTTATCAAATTTTTCAAAGAATTTCAAGAAATAGAAGAAATCAATTGTGAATTCAGTTTCTCCTTTCTAAAGAAAATTTACAAGAATGAAGGATGGATTACAATTAAATTTCTGGTTCTAGAAGACAAAAATTTAAATAATTTGAATGCACAATCATTGAGCGTGTTGAATCAGAGCTCAATGATTATCAATAGTTCCAGACTTGATTAAACTTAATACTCACAATTAAATTAAACTAGGTTGAATAATATCTATTATTGTTAGAATTAAAATAGAGGAAATCAAATAAAAAGTTGATTATGCTAAGGATGAGAAACTCAAAGAACAAGTCAAAAAGATCTTAGATGAGAAGTTAAAAGAATATGGACTAGTTAAAAAAAAGATTACCATTACAGAGCTAGCAATCCCTGATAATTATTTTCAAGAATAAAAGAACGTTTAAAATAAGTATTGTCTTAATTAGTAATTTTTATTGATAATCTAAGTTGGAAAGAAGAACCTGAGGGACTATTAAACATAGAGGAATTTCAACCTTAAATTTGATCGTATTACCATTTAATTATTCATAATATTTATCAATTAAATTCTTATTTTCAATATATTTTGGGGGATAGTATATTCTATATATTGAACAAATTTATTAGTAATGGTTATAAATAAAATATATCTGCGATTAGTATTATTACAGAGAGAAGACGTTCGAGGAGAACTAAACAAAGTCTTCATTTATAACTAATAATATTTACGAGCAAATATTAAATATTTATAAAAGAAGTTTAAATAAATTTCAAGTGAATTATGATCTATAATCTATGAATGTAATAGTTAATGTTTTAATTTCAGAATAAATTTTATAAATTGATACCAAAAGGATAAAAATTACCTGATATTTTCATCAATAAAAATTATAGGATTAGTAATTTTAATTATAATTTTAAAAAGATTTATTTACACTTAGGGATTTTGAGATCTAAATAATTCTATTCTTCATTTTTAATAATTAAGTATTCTTTAGAGATAGACTTTTAAGATGTCATATTCCTTTTTCATTCGCGCAATAAAAACATTTGTTTCAAATATAAGTTATTTTGACATCACTATCCCTAAATTAATTGAATCCCTATTCTTTATTTTTAATAAAAATTGAACAAATTTTCTACTTTCCTCTTAAATTTTGTTGCTGCTTATAGCTAAATATTCCAGTTTCTAATTTTTTAACTATTTCTCTTTATAATTGGATATTTTGCAGAACAAATTATTTAAACCTATTTATGCATTTTAACACTATATTTTTGATTTAAATCTAGCAAATTCTTTCTCAAATTAAATCCATTATAATAATTTATCACAATTCTAATATCAATTTGAATAATTTAGTTCTATTTTCATAACTTATTTGATCCTTAAAATATTCTCCAGAAAAGAAACTAATTTGCAAAAAAATGTGAATTTCTTTTCTTCAACTTATTTAATTGGATTATCTCTTCTAAACAAAAATAACCAGAAGCATAATTCATAGCTTCTTGTCCAAGTTTTACCTAAATCAGTTATACTTCTGAAAAGTAGTAATTTGATTTAAATAATAAGTTCATTTAATTCTTTTCACTATTTATTGATGATGTTTATTAAGTCAAGATATCCAAGTTCAAAATTCTCTATTACTTAAGCAAATCAATCTTTAAGAAATATATAAGTATATAATACTTTTACTAAAATAAATAGAAAATTTTGATATTTTTCTCTTCTCCTCAAAAGATATATTTACAATTTTAATCTTATCATGATTATTCTATATCTTTATTGTATTCATAATTTAATTCACTTCTCAACTAAACATTTCAAATCTTCTTTATTTAAGTATGAAATCTGATTTCTAACATTACTTTTAATTGACAAAATATCTACTTAACTCATTTGATATCTGAGATTTCACAACTCAATAGTTCATAGTATCATTATCAATACTTCATAAACAGCCTTAGTTTGTGAAAAGATAATGTATTTAGAATCTTCAAATGATTTGAAATGATGAATTAATGAAGCTAAGATTTAAATTCCCCGCATTTGACAGCTTAAAAATATTTCTATTACATTAAACATTCCAGTAATTGCTATTAGGAGTAATATTTGAGTCTAGCGAGCTGTTAATAATTTATATTTATAAATTATAAAATATCTAGATCTTGTAAATAATAAATATATTGACAATATAAACCATCCAAAAATTTTTTTCTTCATTAATAATTTTAATGAGTAAATCACTAAAGCGACAACCATCAAAAATAAGCGTAATAATTAAAAGTAAGGAATAATTTGAAAAGAAGTTTATCACAGAATCTTATCTTGTTTATAATTCTCTCAAATATTTCTGTCAATAACAGAAAGAATATGGAGAGAAGTATAGTAATTATGTTTTGGGCATTTAAACAATTAGTGAAAACAAGAATACCAAAACTTTAACAGTTACCTATGCTTGTGATAAATCTGCTACTCCTTTATCAAAAATTAAATACTCTTCACCAAAACATAAAATTTAGATATTCAAACATTTGTACTTAATTTATGGGTTTTTGAACAAATAAAAAATTCTCCATAGAAACCTTAAACCAAATAATATAATTTTCTATAATCAATAATTATTACTTACTGATTTTGGTTATATGCTAGGTGATTGGTGGATTGATAAAATTAATTTTATAGATGAAAATGATGATATCCGTAACAATAATATGTACCCATATGTATTTCCAGATATTGCAGATCTCATTATCGCCATTTAGTGTTAGACTGAAGTAGGTGGGAGAAAAAGGGATTTTCTTATTGGCAGGGATAAATTATCTGTGAAAAAGCAGGATTAATTTGCAATCGCAATTATGATGTTAGAGGTCTTTATTACTATGTATAACAGAAAATTAACTACTGCTAATGAAAGATTAAAGCAGATTAATGAGATGACATTATCAGATGAGTTTTCAATTGAAGTTGAAAAATTCATAAAAGAAACAATTATAGGTATATTATATTATAAAGATTTTGATGAAACTGAATTCGAAAAGAAATTATAAATGATTATTGAAATTGAATAATAGACTGAAAATTACAAAATCAATAAATAGGAATTAATGACATAAGAATATGATGATTTAGTAAAATAAGTCTTAGAAAATAAAGATACTTAATTTAATTTAAAACTTCTATATCACTTTAGTAAAACAGACCTTTTCGATTGCTTAAGTATTGCAAAAAATCAAGAAAATAAAGAATTAATAGAAGAGATTAGAAGATTTTAACTTCTGTATTCATATATTGATGACTTAAGTCTAGATACAACAGAGGAACATATTAATTAATTGACAAATGAAGATTTATTCATTTTATTAGTTTATTTGGATAAAAAAATCCAAAACTTATAAATTTCTTAAAATCAATAACCATTTCAGATTATGTCCGAATATGAATAGCGATATCATAATTTAAAACATTCTCTAAAGAACGAATATTAAAGATTGAATAATTTAAAAAAAAACTAATTTGCATTTAATGAGATATTTGAAAAAAAATAAGAAATACAATTTTCAATCATCTCGATAGATGACGAAGCATTTGGAGAGATCTAAGAAGAAGTAGTTAATAGGAATAGTGTTGTAAATAATTCTCAGTTTAATACTGATGTAATATAACATGATTATGCAATTTATTAATCGATTGAGTAGTAATAAGACTAAGACTTTATTCCTATTTATCAAATATATGATTAATCTAATGATTACACTAGTCAATTAAAACTCTTAGAAGCAGTTAAAAGCATATTCAATAATTACACTCTGCAAATATATTTTGAAATTAACAAATCCTTGTTATTGAAAAAAGGTTGGATATATAAGCATAAAGATCATCCTAACGTTATTTATCTCGGTGAAAAAAGAGATAATGTTTTTGAAGGAGAAGTGATATAATTTGAAGAAGAATAAAGTATTAAAAGGATATCCCATTATGTTCATGTCTAAATACAATTAAGCGTTTGGAACATTTAAGACATCGAAAAAGAGTCATCGATTTTTTATTACATAGAAAAGAGTACTCCAGAAAAGTTCTAAAAAGTTAGAGAATACTCAGGCTAAATTAAAAATGGGAAGAATGATGGAGAGGGAAAAGAAAAAGATTTTATTGAAAATATGATTTATATTGGATAGTGGAGAGATGGATAAATGGTCAATTAGGGAATTAAGTACTTAATGAATACTGATTTGATATTAGAAAATACTCCCTATAAATGGGAAGGAAATTTTGAAAAACATAAATTACATGGGTAAAGCATAAAGACTTATTTATTAAATTACGATAATAAAGAAATCTGGTTGGAAGGAAGCTATAAAGATGGTTAAAAAAGTGGATTTCATGTCTGCTACATCAAAAGAGAAATTAATTATTAAGTTTAAACATTTAGGCTTTACAGATCTCTGTTCTTTGTATTTTTAAATAAAGAACGTGAATTTAAGTTAACTTGCAATTGATTCTTAATTACTATCATACTTATTACTAAATAATTATTCATTTATATAGCATCATTTGGTTTATTTCTTTGTTATTTTGATCAGCTTCGTATTAGAAATTTTTCATGTTTTCAATAATCTTAAGTTTATACTCTATGTAAATGTCAAATATCTGTTTTCTACCTGTTCAATTTAGCAAAATGTATTGATATAGGGTTAGTATGTTTTGTGTCAGATACAATTACTATTTGTTAATTAGATTAATTTCTTAGAAAATTTAAGGAATTTTTCAAAAGAGCATAAATATCAGCCATTTTGAAGGAATAATTCAACTTCAACCACAAATTCTATAAGTATTAATTGAGGTTTATTAAACTCAATAATTTTAAATGATTTCTTTAATATTAAGACCAATTAGGAAGAATAGATTGAAATTTTGGATAAATTGTATACTAATTTTTATTATATTGCACAAAATATTATGCCTAATTTTATTTTTCCTTTACTTTACAGGAATAGGACACTTCAGAGTCATATAGTCGAGAATGTAATTGGGAATGATGATATTTTGGTGACAGCTGGTTAGAATGGGGAATTAGTGATTTGGAAATAGAGTCTAAATCCAAGAATAGTTATCTACCCGAACTTGTCAAATGCATATGGAAAGTTACTGACTATGAATTTAGTTCGTTTGCCTTTCCTTAACATTTTAGATAGAGCAGAATAATGTGTACTCACAATCCATGAGGATAAGAGAATTAGAATATTTGATTGCCATGATGGACGCTGCGTTGCAATATCAGCACATGATAGTGCAGGACCTGTGCAATACTGTGTTCCTTTAAGTTCCAATAATTGTAGATTCTTGATATTGGGGATGTAGAATGGTTTGAGTCTTTTCGATCTTTGGAAAATGAAGAGTGTAAAACAGTATGAATGTAAAGTGCGTTCATTGTGTCAACTCGATATTAATACAGTTTGCGTGCTGGATCAAGAAAACTATTTGCATCTTATCAATCTATCTCCTCTGAACAATGAAAGATATTTGAATTTTAAGGAATTCAAGAGGAAGCGAGAGTAGATCAAATAAGACTTTAAAGAGCTGAAGCTGTGTGATGGATTGAAGAAACTCAAAATCGAAGGTATTTCAAGTAATCGCATCAGACACATGAGCTTTAATTAAGAAAATCAACATTTGACTATCTTGATGCATCGACAAATTTACTTACTTTTTGATATCTTTGAAACTCCATGGATATTATGTGTGAGTTAATCCAAAAACAACTAAAAGTTTGATAAAGTGTATTACTCAAAAGAATGTCTATACATAACTACTAGAAATGGAAGTGTCCTTGGTTTGGAATACAAAGACATTAAATACCTGCTATCTATTTTAAAAGAGCAATCTGATTTTGTCTATGGCTTTAAAGAGTTTCAATTCACTAAAATAGCAGATTCCTAATTCAGCAGGTTGTAGGTTAATTTTTAAGAATTGATCACAGGGTCTGAAGATTAGAAAGAGTAAAATGGTATTATCATTCTAAAGACTCTTGTGTATTAATACAAAAACCAATGTCTATGTAAGTATAATTTAAAAGATGTGACCTTGGACATGTCATTGCTTCTTATAAATTAACCGGATTCAGACATCAAATTCAATGGGTTTTAATGGTCATTCAATACTTTCAGTGATTTGATAAAGATTGAAACGTTGAAGCTAGGATGCAAATAGGTGGATGCATTTAATTTCAAAGAATTTGGTTAAGATGATTTGCTGTGGAATTTGGGTCAAATGACTACCAAGGAATTTTAGACTAAATATCTACCATACATAAATATCGACACATAAATTACATGTGCTTTCATTAGTGTAAACGAAGAGAGTTAAACTTATTGGTTTGGTTGTAGTAATGGTATCATACTCGGATTCCCCACTGTATATAGCAGTAAATCATATTTCATCTACAGAATCAAAATGGATGAAAAGCCAGTCACCTTTATATATTAGAAGGGAAAGTATTTGATTGGTAGTTCTGAAAGTGGATAATTCATAATCATGGATTACAGTCTAGTGTTTAATGAGAGGATGGGGGAACAATAAGTGGAATTCATAGATTTGGAACCAACGCAGAGAATTTACTTCCCAAGTTATGCAAAGAAAACAATAAGAATCCACAAATTGGAGAATGAATCATATGAAGAAGTGTAGTCAAATAATTAACAGTAGAAATTTTAAAAGATTGCCATCTTGATGGAGAATAATGTCATTATAATAATAAATTAATAAGTTGGAGGAGTGTAATTGAAATTGCATGGAATTAATCAATAGGTTTTGGGTTTGTATTATGAAGATCAAGGAGATTAGTGGTTTGTAGTGGTTCAGGGTGGAGAGTCCTTGGTATTTGATTACAAGGGAAGATATTTGAGAACATTGAGGATAGAGTAATACCATTCTCTATTTTAAGTGGAAAAGAAACTGACTAAAGTTAAAGAAAAAGTGATCAGCCATCATTATTTAAGTGAGTTCAAGAGAGAATTCAATAAATCAATAAGCAAAGTGTATCGATTATTGGAGTTTTAATAAAGGAATAATTATATTAAGATGCAATCTCCTTATCCGAGTTTGTATGAAGTAGGAGGCTAATTTAAAAATTGGCAGTTCGAGGCTGAACAAGCAGCTAAGATGTTGTATTTGATAGATCACAACTAAGTAAAAAGCAATATGAGAATGTGCAAGTTTGTGGAAAACAACATAGGTGAAATGGAATGGTGGGATCTAAAGAAATAAGGGGATAACAATAATTAGAATAGGTTATTTTTGATGCTCCATCCTTGGGAGGCTGATGCTCAATTAAGTACATAGTTAGACTAGATATTGAACTATTAGAAACCAACATTCTCTCCTTTGATAGGTGTGCAATCGATGGGTTACTGTGTTAGTTTTGCATTCTCTCGTGGTTGGGATGTGTCACCTCATTTCACTTCATAAAGAGCTATGTCATTGATGCATTTCTATCTGTCTTGTTTATCAAAGGAGGCACAAGTATTCAATTAATTGATGATACAAACTGTTGAGTTGCTGACGAAGAAGAAACAGTAGTTGGATTTAAATTTTAAGCCAATGGATTTATTTTTGTTAGCATAATACACTATAGATGAATCTAATGAAGTTATGAATGCCGCATGTAATTTAATACTGTCATAAATTAGAAAGTCTGATTAAGATATGCAAGAATAGCATAAATTAATTAGAGAGCTGCTGGATCTAAATAAGGAGCAGCAAGGACATACTTTTTCAAATGTGGAGGTGATACTTCTTATGTTAGAATCCTATTTAACAGGGATGTGTTAGACTCTCTAATAGAGTGAAGATTAAAAGCGAAGAGTGATTCAAGGATTAAATCTCAAGAATTGCATAGTAAATCCCCATCTCTGTGCACCACTTCTAAAAGTCTTTGTAGATGTCTAATAACATTTTCGAAATACCTACAATCCATCAGACATATTTAGAAATCTATTCTTCATCTTCTTTCAATACAACACTGTCATAGAATACTCAGAGATTCTCACTCAGGGTGGTCAACAAATGCAATCGATTAATCTATTAAAAGAAATTAGTAAGCAATCAGATGATATGAAAAAAAGAATGAGACAACTAACAGCCAAAAGCATCATTCAAGTTGCCATTGCAGCCCCAGTTGATTTTACTAAAATCTTAAACAAGGATATTGTCAATTTGGAAACTCATTTATTTTATCCTTCATCTATAATTGAAATCATAAGAAACTACATCAAATCATAACATAACAACATCCACAAATAGTTACCCATCCTTATGGATATCATCCTCAAAAGCCTTGATCCAAACAATCCCAATCTACGTAAAGTGTGCCATAGATCAGCTACGTATGCCTTGCAAACGATTTGTAAAACCTTTAAGTGTGTCTGTTTCCATCAATAAACTTAAAAGATAGCCATTGGAGATACTCAAATCATAATCTATGACTTAAGAACTGCTGTTAAATGGAGAGTCTTGGATGGACACAGTGGTCAAGTTAATTGTCTAGAATTTGATCATACAGGCAAGCAATTGGCCAGTTTCAGTGACACTGATTGGAAGATTAAAATTTGGAAAGTCGGATCAACAGGGTATTGAGATTAAATATATCATTAGATTCTTTGGAGCCATCATCGGAATACAAGGAAAACCAGCCAAAGATATGTCTGTTAGATAATAGCCTTTAGATCATCCCTAAATCTAATGGTCACAAGACGATAGTAAAGTCTACCTAATGTCAAATGGGCAATCAGTTGGACAATGTCAGCTATGATTTAAAATAATTAACGTATTAGATATATATATATAATAAAATCTAATATTGCTCAATATTGTTATTATATTTATTATGAATATTGATTCCTAATACATGGTACTTCTTTCATCACGAAATCTTTTTTGGTTGTGCTCACAAATTGTTTCTCAAAGGCAGGTATTGTTTAGATCGGCTATATTTAAATTTCCTATTGATTACTTCTTAAAAGTTCTTCACTTAGTAACATTTCTCAGTCATTTTTAAATCGTGTGCTAATTTATTTTATGATTATCCTAAAAATAGGTCTATTGTTGGAAACGGTTTTCCGTTTGGGGGTTTTTGACTCTCTTATAACATATTGATCAATTACAGTGGTGTCGGCTTATTTGGGTGATCTGAATTCGCTACCATAAGTTGTTGATGAATTAAATTTTAATTCGGGGATCACAGTTTTATAATGACTCTATTTGAATTGTTCATGATGCAAGTCTCCATAATCCATATAGAATTTCTAATTGATATCAATGTTTACATTATATGAAGTCATTGGAGTAGATCCATATGTAGCTTAGTATTTCTACTTTTCTTTAATGTTGTTTGGGAAGGCATCAAATTATTTGTAATCTGATGCCATTGTTGTTTTAAATTCATTCAAATCCAATGTTTGATAACGACCAATGGAATCCAGATTCATTTTTAGTTCTTAATCCTTGATAGGTGCTTGCTTGAACTCTTAATTATAATGAGATTTCCATGAGATATTAGGTTTAAATGGCTAATATTCAAATTTGCATTTACATTTTCCACAAGGGCATTAAACACAAATGCATTTTCCTATCTTTTATCACTTAATCATATACCTGCCAAATGCATGACAAAAGCTTGATAATCAGATAAGTGTTACTCAACCATACATTGAATGTGATCATCATTATTTTCTTCACATAGTTGCAATTACATAGGATCTATTTATTCTGTTAACATGTTTTGATTTTGGGGTTAAAGTGGATTAAGCATATCATGCTAAGTGTTCATGTGAAACTCCGGCTGTTTTCTAAGAGTCTAATTGCTTTCAGATTCCAATCGGGGCAATTATTGTGATTACGATTAATGGTGTTTTCGAGCAATATTAGACGTTGGTGTGGGGATTGGAGTAGGAATGGATTATTAATATTATTCTAGTGGAATAGCTTGATTGCTGGATCCTTTAGTTCTTATCATAATTCTTTTGCCTGGCTTAGATAACGTGGAGCTCGATGAAGAGAATGTTTATCTGAACTGTTGCATTTCTTTGTGCTTTTTTTGAAGAACGGTCTGTCTTTCTACTTCACTTAGACGACGCTGTTTATCAATGAAGGATTCCTTAACATCAATTGAATAATGTCCTTGTTTTGGTTTGAGTTTTTGGATTATATGTTCAGGAATCATTGTTTTAATAATAAAAAATTAAAATAATCTTTTATTTCTTGATTTTTAAGCAATGGTGAAGATGAATGTTTTGAATGATTGTTTACGATCGATCGTAAATGCTGAAAGGTTTATAATGCATCGAAATATGTTTTAGATAAGGAAGAAAGCAAGTGTTGATCAGACCTACATCAAAATTGGTAGTGAAATTCTTATAAGTGATGCAAAGACATGGCTACATTGGAGAATTTGAAATCGTTGATGACCACAGAAGTGGCAAAATAGTTGTTGAACTATTAGGTAATTGCATAGCCTAATCAAAACAGGTCGTATCAATAAATGCGGAGTGATCTCTCCTCGTTATGATGTTACCTTGGGAGAATTCGAAAGATGGGCTAATAACATTCTTCCTGCTAGATAATTTGGATGTGTAGTCCTCACAACCAATGTTGGCATCCTCACCCATGAAGAAGCAAGATAAAGACACATAGGAGGTAAAATCCTTGGATTCTTTTATTGACACATTTGCATCAGTACATTATAAATTTAATATGCCTTCGATGAATAAAAGTAATACTCATAATCCTTTTCTTTATTGGTATTTGTTTACTAGATTGTTTCAATCAACTGTGCCTATCTTTTCTCTTTGGATCAATAAGGATTACTCTTTTAGTTGTATTTAGAACTTAACCTTATATCAGTATTCAATTCTAAAACTCTTATTCAGTTGATAGATTTGAAATCCACGCAGTCCTTCTCAGATTTAATTTCAAATATATCTACTTATTTACTCAAATTTTCATTATTCTTCTCTACTCAAATTACAATCTTTTTTTGCTCTTTTGAAATGAAGCTATATTTTATATTCTCTTAATTTACCAATAGGTTTTTGTCACACCACTATTTAATTTTGATTATCATCATCATAATTCTGCCAGATACTATAAAGATTTCTTCATTTCCTCTAATTCTTTTATCATTTTAGTTCAAATAATTGTTTGCTGGATAAATCTTAAAAACTAAATTATTTCTCACCCCACTTCTATCCAAGTTCCAAGTCTTATGAAGCTATTGCACTTTAAGTAAACATTCACTCATCCTGATAACTCATTGATATCTTTCAATATAGATACAAATCCATTCTTGAGCTTGCTTTCATTGATTATTTTGAATAATATTCTATTCGAAAATTTTTAATTAAAATTGGAAAAAACATTCAAACCAAATTATATCTCTGATATATATTAGCAAGCAAAATAGTTTGATTAGCATAGATTGAATTGTTACAAAAGTTCTTACATTGTTTCAGACTCACTTTGGATAACAAAATCAATTTTCAATATTAATATATGATACTCACCATGACTTATTTGACCAAAAATGAAATTAATTATCAATATAATTAAGAATATTTCATCAAATTATTTAATTAAAAATTCTTGAGAATCATAAAATATTATAAGACCCATTAGTTTGATTCATCAAAAAATTTTTAATCTATATATAATTTAAATTATTCATTTATGTTGAGAATAATATTAACTTTATTTTTTGAGTTATCTTATTAATAGGACTCAAAAATATATTGCAATAAGGATGAAGTGTTTTATCTAGGATAATAATTGATTCCTTTCTCCTATTAAAATGGAACCTTAGTTGAAAACTAAATGTAAAATCAAGAGATTTTGCAATTAATTGGAAGAGTATCAATCTAGCATTTATTTGATAACAAGGAATTGGTTTTAAAATAATTTCAATAAAACGAATTATAGTTAATTTTTTGGGATGATGATCATTATTTATGTAAATATATTGTTATGAATCTGAATTTTGAAAACAGCTATTTAAGAATTCATGAAGAGATAGTAGTAGATTAAGTTACCTTCTAATTGCCACTTTGCACAAAATTTCTTGGTATGTACTCTATCAAAGAATAAATATTTATTTTATGTGAATAGGAATTCTTTATTTAGCTCTTTGTTTTAGAAAGGGATAAAGGTAGTTCGGAACTCAGAATAGCAACTACTTCACAAGTGGATAAAAAATAAAATTGCTAATCTTAAATAAAATTTGAATAGGATCTTTATTTAGCTTTTCTAAATTGCTAGGATTGGGTTATTTATGTAGTAAGAAATGGCACTTTTGAAATATTTATTTAATTGGAATAGTTAAATAACAGAGTTTTAAAGTCATTTTCCATTTAATAAGACATTTTACTTTAATTTGATTATGAAATATATCAAATTACCACGTTTAATGAAGGATGGTTTTATAGTAACCAATCACGATAAATCTAATCTTATTTTCGTCATCATCAATAGCACGCAATTTTTTTTAAAGGTGAAAATAAATTTGAGCTATCAAATGTTGGTTTTAATTGGATTTTGTTTATTACTTGTGAAGAAACTCCAAAATAAGTCGTGCATTTAGAAGATAAGTTAATCATAAATTATGGTGATTATTTATAAGTGTTAGAAACAATAGATAATTAACTTATTTTACCGATTTCAGTAGATTATTTGAGCAATGAACTATTCAATTATCCAATTATATATGCTTTTTATCAAAATGAAATAATGATCTTGAAAAAAAATATTCCAAATCCCACTATTTAATGTAATGAATTTAAGAAAGCTGATTATGTTTTCTACACATATAATTATTTGTTTTAAAGAAACGCAGTAATCAAATCATAGTTGGTTACTGAGAATCAAAGTTTACAGAGATTTTACATTAAATCCTTTTCGAGAAATATGACCTTTTAATTTAAGATATACAAACCTTTTATTTTTATCGGAGATTACTCCTATAAAAAGGATGTTGATAATCAAACTAACTTTAGTTGTTAATAAAATCTTGAATAATTATTTAGCTGTGAGAATATTTTGGATAGCAATATAATTTGGTCAAAATCAAAGCACAATAAGGAATTATATATTCTATTTTAGAATTCAAAAAAGAAATTAATTATTAAAAATTGTAATAAAAATCTGGAGACCGAACTTGGATAATATGAAAATTTTGAAACACATAATATCTATGAATTTTCAAATGTATTCCTTCTAATTTTTAAATAATAAACAAAGGTTTTATTGATATATTGCCAATCTGATTATTATGAGTAAATGATAGTAGAATCAAAAGATCAAATAATCAATGTCGTCTATGAAAATTTTTTTGTACATCTAATTTCAAAAACATGTACTTAGTACATCATCATAGGCAAGTAACTGTTTCTACATTAATTGAATTAATACATATTATTGGATGGAGAATGCATAAGAGCTGAACTTTTCAAAGACTTTTTGGTTTATGTTCACAAGGGATCAATTATTATGATTAAGAATAATATTACTAATACAATAACAATTGAAAATGCTTATATACTTAATATTTATAGGATATCCTCTATGCAAGATTGCTTAATAATTCATTTAAAAAATTAGGATGAGGAATATTTGAGTAAATAGCTTTTGATAAATAACAGATTAATAAAGCTTTACGACATTCCAAAACTAAATTTTAAATATTCATCTCCTATGATTTCTAAGATATATAAATTTGTTTTAATTTTGGCTGCATATAATAGATCTNATAAATCTAATCTTATTTTCGTCATCATCAATAGCACGCAATTTTTTTTAAAGGTGAAAATAAATTTGAGCTATCAAATGTTGGTTTTAATTGGATTTTGTTTATTACTTGTGAAGAAACTCCAAAATAAGTCGTGCATTTAGAAGATAAGTTAATCATAAATTATGGTGATTATTTATAAGTGTTAGAAACAATAGATAATTAACTTATTTTACCGATTTCAGTAGATTATTTGAGCAATGAACTATTCAATTATCCAATTATATATGCTTTTTATCAAAATGAAATAATGATCTTGAAAAAAAATATTCCAAATCCCACTATTTAATGTAATGAATTTAAGAAAGCTGATTATGTTTTCTACACATATAATTATTTGTTTTAAAGAAACGCAGTAATCAAATCATAGTTGGTTACTGAGAATCAAAGTTTACAGAGATTTTACATTAAATCCTTTTCGAGAAATATGACCTTTTAATTTAAGATATACAAACCTTTTATTTTTATCGGAGATTACTCCTATAAAAAGGATGTTGATAATCAAACTAACTTTAGTTGTTAATAAAATCTTGAATAATTATTTAGCTGTGAGAATATTTTGGATAGCAATATAATTTGGTCAAAATCAAAGCACAATAAGGAATTATATATTCTATTTTAGAATTCAAAAAAGAAATTAATTATTAAAAATTGTAATAAAAATCTGGAGACCGAACTTGGATAATATGAAAATTTTGAAACACATAATATCTATGAATTTTCAAATGTATTCCTTCTAATTTTTAAATAATAAACAAAGGTTTTATTGATATATTGCCAATCTGATTATTATGAGTAAATGATAGTAGAATCAAAAGATCAAATAATCAATGTCGTCTATGAAAATTTTTTTGTACATCTAATTTCAAAAACATGTACTTAGTACATCATCATAGGCAAGTAACTGTTTCTACATTAATTGAATTAATACATATTATTGGATGGAGAATGCATAAGAGCTGAACTTTTCAAAGACTTTTTGGTTTATGTTCACAAGGGATCAATTATTATGATTAAGAATAATATTACTAATACAATAACAATTGAAAATGCTTATATACTTAATATTTATAGGATATCCTCTATGCAAGATTGCTTAATAATTCATTTAAAAAATTAGGATGAGGAATATTTGAGTAAATAGCTTTTGATAAATAACAGATTAATAAAGCTTTACGACATTCCAAAACTAAATTTTAAATATTCATCTCCTATGATTTCTAAGATATATAAATTTGTTTTAATTTTGGCTGCATATAATAGATCTGGTAATCAAGTACTTTTAGTTTATTGTATTAATAGCAATTATTAAAATCTATTAATCGATATTATTTAAGTTGATAACTTTAATTTCGATCTATCAAATGAATATTTAATGACATACTAATTTGATAATGAGATTAAAATGATAAATATTAAAGTAGATCAATTTATTTGTAAGATAAGTCCATTCCCTGAATTTATTAAGATTATAGAATTTCCCTTAAATTCATTGTATAAGACTGATCTTTCTAATTATTAATTATCAACTGTAAATTTAACCCTGTACAACATCGATAAGATTTTATAACCTAAATAATAATAATTATTATTGGCAATTCCACATTAATTTGAGATGTAAGAGTCAGTATTCCAGTTAGACCCTAGATTATATATAATTGGACCTATTGATTAAATTAATGCTACTGGGTTAATCATAACTGATCCATTTTAAAAGTAAGGTCAAATTTCACAACTGTAATGTGAATAAATTAGAAATTAAGTTTGTATAAATTATGGAAATAATCTATTAATTTTCAATCCCTTTTCAGTTTAAGAAATAATAACTCCAACATTCTAAATTTCTGAAGAAATTAACAATGTAATAAAATTTTAAGATCTAATTTTTGTATTAATCAAAAATGAATATCTAACTACAATTTAAGTTTACAATACTCGTGAGTAATCTTCATTTTAAGTACCAATCCCATAGAAATGCATTGTATAAGTGCAAATGTAAATTCTTCTAAATTTATGCATTTTACTATGCCCCTAGATTTTATATTTTTACAAGATACATACTGATTCTTTGGAACCATTTTCCGAACTTTAAACTTAATATATGTAATGCTATACAACTGAAATCGCCAATGCTAATTAAACATTTTTATATTTAGTTTCCGAGACTTCGATCAATTAATTTTCTCTTATAACAATTTATGATGATGTTTATCATGATTATTCAAATAGAACAAAAATGCAGGTATTTTAGATTCCATAAGAACATCCAGGAATTTCTGCAATCAAAAACATCACTTAAGTTAGTGATAANTTTTTTGTACATCTAATTTCAAAAACATGTACTTAGTACATCATCATAGGCAAGTAACTGTTTCTACATTAATTGAATTAATACATATTATTGGATGGAGAATGCATAAGAGCTGAACTTTTCAAAGACTTTTTGGTTTATGTTCACAAGGGATCAATTATTATGATTAAGAATAATATTACTAATACAATAACAATTGAAAATGCTTATATACTTAATATTTATAGGATATCCTCTATGCAAGATTGCTTAATAATTCATTTAAAAAATTAGGATGAGGAATATTTGAGTAAATAGCTTTTGATAAATAACAGATTAATAAAGCTTTACGACATTCCAAAACTAAATTTTAAATATTCATCTCCTATGATTTCTAAGATATATAAATTTGTTTTAATTTTGGCTGCATATAATAGATCTGGTAATCAAGTACTTTTAGTTTATTGTATTAATAGCAATTATTAAAATCTATTAATCGATATTATTTAAGTTGATAACTTTAATTTCGATCTATCAAATGAATATTTAATGACATACTAATTTGATAATGAGATTAAAATGATAAATATTAAAGTAGATCAATTTATTTGTAAGATAAGTCCATTCCCTGAATTTATTAAGATTATAGAATTTCCCTTAAATTCATTGTATAAGACTGATCTTTCTAATTATTAATTATCAACTGTAAATTTAACCCTGTACAACATCGATAAGATTTTATAACCTAAATAATAATAATTATTATTGGCAATTCCACATTAATTTGAGATGTAAGAGTCAGTATTCCAGTTAGACCCTAGATTATATATAATTGGACCTATTGATTAAATTAATGCTACTGGGTTAATCATAACTGATCCATTTTAAAAGTAAGGTCAAATTTCACAACTGTAATGTGAATAAATTAGAAATTAAGTTTGTATAAATTATGGAAATAATCTATTAATTTTCAATCCCTTTTCAGTTTAAGAAATAATAACTCCAACATTCTAAATTTCTGAAGAAATTAACAATGTAATAAAATTTTAAGATCTAATTTTTGTATTAATCAAAAATGAATATCTAACTACAATTTAAGTTTACAATACTCGTGAGTAATCTTCATTTTAAGTACCAATCCCATAGAAATGCATTGTATAAGTGCAAATGTAAATTCTTCTAAATTTATGCATTTTACTATGCCCCTAGATTTTATATTTTTACAAGATACATACTGATTCTTTGGAACCATTTTCCGAACTTTAAACTTAATATATGTAATGCTATACAACTGAAATCGCCAATGCTAATTAAACATTTTTATATTTAGTTTCCGAGACTTCGATCAATTAATTTTCTCTTATAACAATTTATGATGATGTTTATCATGATTATTCAAATAGAACAAAAATGCAGGTATTTTAGATTCCATAAGAACATCCAGGAATTTCTGCAATCAAAAACATCACTTAAGTTAGTGATAATTATTATGAGATGCGGATTTTGAGTTAAAAGATAGAAGGACTTTTCTATTATTCTTAAGCCTTTTTTGATGCTAACGATAATAGAGTAATATTACAGAATGATATTGCACTTATTAGATACTTTCATTTTCACACAAATAAAAATAAAATGCATTTTATAGGTAAAGATATTATTATGCTACATGTTATTGATTCCAATAATACTACATATTATATATATAATGTCTCCAACGCATTCAACCTAAAAGAACTAGATTATATCCATAGTTTTGAATTAGATGATACATACTCAATATTGCCCTACGATGATTAACATATTATTAAGGAATCAAAAACATCTTTGGAATACACTTTATATAAAATAGTCCCTTATGAATTAAGGATGAAAGGAGGAAATTAAGACAAAATGATTATTGAATTTAAAAATTCAGTATCTTCACTAGAAATTTAAATAAACAGGAAGACACCTAAAAATTACTATGCTTAAGGTATTGTGATATTTTTTGCAATATTAATTTGTTTCCTTTTGAAATGTTTGAAAAGGAACAAACATGTACATTCGAAGAAATCAAAAGAAACAGAATTATGACTACTATTTCAAGAGATTTTGATTTACAATTAATAACAAATTTTAAACATTAAAATAGTTACCTTATTAAAGGATTAAGAATTTCTTCTAATACAATATATAAATTTTATATCTTGAATATAGCATCTTTGAAGATTAGAGAATTCTCTCCAAGTCTGCAATTTCTTGATATTATAATTGATTTAAAATGGTGTGAAATTATATTTGTATTTTTTGTTATTAATATTAAATGAGTAGTTAAGAGGAAGATAATTAATTCGATCAAGAATATGAGCAAAACAATTAACAAATAGATGAATTCGAATAAAGGTACAAGTAGAATCAGACATCTTCTGAGGATGAAGAACATTATTAACACAAAAGCCATTCGTAAAATAGTAAGGTTGAATAGTTGCCATAAATACAGTATTAATGATCATATCGCAGTAGACCATAAAATAAAATCGAAGCCATTTAAAAGCAATTAGAATTTTATAAGAAGCAGCCTCCCAAGACTTTGGCAGAAGAATGTGAGGATGTGATAAATTCAAAAAATGAAACTTTAAAAGATCGAAAGATTCGGGAATTAGTCTAGAAGAATAGACAATTATTGCTTAGTTACGAGAAGGAAAAGCAATCTAGAAAGAAACTTGAAGAATAAGTAAATAAAGCACTTAAAGAAACTGATGAAGGAATCAAGGCTTTGGATAAAAGCATACCAAAAGCTCCGATTCCTAAAGCAGATCCATTGGCAAAAGCATTGAAGGGATCTGAATCATAGAAGGAAGATCTTGGAGTAGCTGATGATTTTAAGAATAAATTCAAAGAAGCAGATAAAAAAGTGTAGGAATAGCGTGTAAAGTTACAACAGGTGAAAACAGAGTTGAATAAAGCAATGAGAATAATATAAAGGGAAGTAGGTGAGAATGTAAATTTGGATCAATTATTAATGGATGAAAATGGTTGGAAGGGTAGAGCTTAATAGATAGAAATCCTGAAATCAAAAGTGAAAGACCTAAATTCCAAGTTAGGATCATCTTCTTAATATTCAGATGTTTCTTAGATGTCTAGGTAATCTAAATCGGAGGCCAAGAATAATTCAGATAAATAATAATATGAGCTTTTAAAATCTTAGTTTGAAGCAGTTAAATTGGAGAATGAGAATTTATAACAGAAGATAAAAGCAGTATCAAGTAGGAGATAAATATTGGAAGACCAAATAAAAGAAGTTAAAGTGGAATATGAAAAGAATAAGAAGGTAATTTAGTGTATATCGAATTTAGATACTATTGGAGAAGAGTGAGAATGATGACAAGTACATATTCGCATTGAAATCTGAATTAGACAAGTTGAAGAAGAATTAACCATAATAAGAAACCAAAATAGTTTATAAGCCAGCGGATGATGAGGAGACAAGAAAATTACGATAAGAGCTGAAGTATTGTAAAGAGGAAATTGGTCGTAATGAGTAGATGATCAAAGAATTAATAGCAGAAGTATTTATACAAATGAATTTAGAAAGTCAATAGGAGCAAATAGGAATTACCTTAGCAATAATAGTAAGAGAAAGCTCAGACCAAGCCAATTCAAACAGATGAGCGAGTGAAGAAGTTGGAGGAGGAAATAAAAGTGTTAAAGAGAGAGAGGGATGAATTCTTTAAGACCTTGACTAAGGATGTAGAAACTCAGAAGATGATAAAAGATTTAACTATGCAAAATGTAAAATTGAGAAATAAGATTGATGATTTAACTAAAAAATGAATTCTGTTCTTTATTTATTAATGTTTTCAAGAAACATAACTTTATATACTTGGTCTAACTCTCGACTTTTTTATTTATTTCTAATTGTTAGGAAACACTCTCTTTATGAAATATTCATCACCTAAGAGCATGACCAACCCGACGATTATTGTTAAGATAAATTGTATAAAATTATAGGATCTCCCATGTTATGCATTTGTGTTATAGAGTTTAAATACCGTATATTGCCATTCTTAATAAGTGAAGAAGATCCATAAAGTAAAACATAAACTTATGCAGATGAAGAGTAACATAATTTTGTGAGTAAGGAGTTTCTATTTGAATGGTCTTGAAGTGTAAATAGCAATAACAGCCATGATAAAGTAGATTTAAATACTTTTGAAAAGAGTAGTTTGTATTGTTCCTTCCTTTGAGAATTTACCATTGATTACTCCTGGTTCATTGTCCCATTCAAAACTATTCCAATACAGAAAATTAACGATCAGACCAAATGAAGCCACTATGATTTAGAAACTTAAGACGGCTGCGTTCGAAATAGCCATCATACTTTCATTTGGAAGTTCTTTAGTCAAAAGGATTGAAGGCTTGGATAGGGATATCGATTTTAGATAAGGCAATGATCCAATGTAATTGATAGCAATATATTGCAAATCTCCAAAGTTTTATCCAAAAGACATATTTATCATGGCTGCGATGTATTTTATGACACTGGCTCCAACATAGTACTAGAATACTTCAAGAGCATTTTAGAGTGTGCATCTTCCATCTAAGAGAACCTATCTCACACAATCAATGCTATCATCTGCACTAGAATAAGGAGCCGAATAAGCAGCATCACTTTAAGCAAATGAAACTCCAACGTTTGCTTATTTGATGGCTGCACAATCATTAGCTCCATCACCAATCATTAATACCATTTTATTTAATTGCTGAAGCTTTTCGATAACCATCGATTTTTGTTCAGGTCTCATTCTAGCAAAGACTTTTGCCTTCAAACATATTGAGGCAAATAACTTATAATGAAGTTCTTCATCAGTTAAACCTTGTATTTTTAATTATTCTACATTATCTATTGGTTATTCAAATCCAGCAAAGGATTACCTATTGTGTTTTTTGATTTCTTCATGAGGTAATTAATCCCAAAAATAATCAAATGCCTTGCCACTCATTGCAAAACAATGACTAGCACTAAGATTATCATTTTCTGAAATAATAGATCTTTTGATATTCTAAGCAGTTAATAAATGTTGAACTAATTTATTCATTATCTATTGATGATCTAAGGTTTATTCGTTTACATCTTCAACTTCATCGAAGAGTATATCAATTTCACTGTTTAATTTTGATTGATTGTTATTCAAGTTATCTTCAAAAACACCTATTTCATCTAAGGACAATTATTGCTATTATATTAAGAATATTAATACTTCTTTTTCATTGTAATCTAATAATAAGACTGGCCTACAAACAGGGATTATTCCGCATTCTCTAGCACATTATACAGTGGTTAAGGGATTATCACCTGAAATGATTTTGAGATCAACGCATGCATTATTTAATAAATGAATAACCTATGGAGTATCATTTTTTAATTTGTTTTCCATAGCCAACAATCCTAAAAACTGAATATCTGATTCGCATTCTTATCTACTTGCATTCATCAATCTTTCACATTCCTCTTAAGTGATTTATTTGTATCCAAATCCTAAGATTCTTAGACCTTTCATAGTTAATATATTCAGATTCTTCTTAAAGTCTGTCGGAATGGTGTTTTGCATAGATAGTTCTGCCATCTTTTCAGGAGAGCCTTTAACAAATACATAATAATCATCTGAGTCTTTTACTAGTACGCTCATCCTCTGTAATGCAGATTCAAATTCATAAAGTTTTAGTACATCCAAAACAATTCCCTCTCTATTTACAACTCTGGATTTCACATTTTGTGGAGGGTGCTTATCAATCTTAAAATCAGTAAACTTAAATAACTCTACATCAAGACTATCACCCATTAAATCACCTTCAATCTCATATGTTCCATTACAAGTAGCAAATAATTTGTATTCTAGACTATTTTTTATTTTCACTTAATTTTTCAGTATAAATTTTCCAAATTTCTATTGATTTCTCAATTGATATCCAAACATGTCAATCCCTATTGTAGTCAAAGTTCCTGTCTTATCAAAACAGACAGTATTGATTTTACCCGATACAAGTGATTTTGTTGGGTCAATTCCAAAAATACCTTTTTGTCTTAACCTAATCAATGAATATGTTTGACACATTGAAACAAAGATAGGCAAGGCTGGAGGGACAATCCAAGTCAAAGCGTCCCAAAATCTTAAGAATATGATCATGAAGCTGAATCCAACGGCAATCATTCTTGGTAGCAATGCAAAATAGACAATCAAAACACATATAGCCAAACAAATTAAATATTTGATTCCTTAACCGTAAAAGGCAAATGGTTAAACTTTTGGATATAAGACACTCCTAAAAATCTGCCCCTTAAAAGAGCTAAATCCTGTTCTACCTACGATGGCTACCACATGTTATTGTTTGGGTCTTGCAAGCAGAACCTTTGTGCCTTCGTATAAACAATGTCTTTTATCAGTCATGAATGAAACTGGTTGATCCAAATCTTCGACTGGAATTTTGGGAATAGGTATTGATTCCCCTGTCAAGGAGGCTTCATTCATCAGGAGATCTCCAGAAACCAGAACGCAATCACAAGGCAAAGTCATTTTATTGTCAATTGCAATCACATCTCCTGGCACTAAATCTTTGCTATCAATCTTTTTAAATTGAAGGCCTTGTTAATAGCAGGGTTATGCTCCTCTGTAGACTTAGACCTAAGCCAAACTCTTAGCCATGTTTCTTAATTTCTAGGCTGAATTCTGAAGAAGTAAAAAGTTTATTGTTGTGAATATCAATGAAACAGATATCATAATTATTGACAATATTGCCAAGTCTGTTTTAGTTTACTCAATAATTACCTTCTAAGACCCACAAAAAGCAGGTCAAGTACTGCAATATGTAGAACGGGGCTGTTAATTCTTTCACCAAATACACAAACAAATTAGGCTTTGGAATGTCAATCAAGCATTTGCCGTACTTCTCTTGTAATAGGATGGGCTCTAAGTTGATTAATCTTTGGCTTACATTGCACGCCAGTGGTTTATAGCAATTCTCTTTTGGTTCTCAGATCGTACTCAAGTGCTTTGAATGCATTCATTGAACTATTGTAGATGTAGTTTAGTTTTCGATTGATGAAATAGATTTCGTTTTGCTTATTCATTAACTTGGATATGTTATTTGAATTGTCATTGTTAGTGATCCACATGTGAGTTGCCATTTCCATGTGCGATTCTTTGAAGAAGAACTTTCTCACAAGTTTCTTGGACCAACTGCAAGCTAGAGTGAACAAGAAGCTTGTGATGACGGAGAGGAGCACGCCTAGTACTACTCTTCGCTTTTGCAATCTGATTGGTTCTATATAAGTTATTTTGGTTGTGCCTTCTATTTCGGAATCTACGACCACTGGAGTCTATACTTTGAATAGGAGACTTGAAGGATCCATTAAAGATATTATTAATATTTTATGCATAAGCGGATGATTGATATGTTCAAACTGGTGTAACATTTGATTTCAGAGCAATTGAAATTGCATATTAATAAAGAGATAATAAATGAATAACAATCATATAGGCAAGAAGATTTTATTTAATAAATTAATGTATATCAGTCTTTCCTAAGGCAACAAAACTTGGTGGACTCACACATCTCTTGTACCCACCGAGAGTGAGAATAAGGTGGCATCATTGGTGAATGGAGTGGGCAGCTTTTAGAATAAGGCATCTCTGATTTCAACATATTTGAGTTTGGAGGCAGTCAATCGTATCCCAGTTGCCAAGAAGTTGGCGATCTACTTCAAGGCTGGAATTGTGGGGGCAGTGTTTTTGGGATCAAGGTAATTTGATCACAATTCAAATTAGAATAGCAGCAGGATCGATCTATTAGAGAAGTGTCCAAGGAGAGATTGGAAAGGTACTTGATGGAGCACCCATTTGGGAGAACAAGTTTGACGTTCCCGAGTTGGACAAGAAGTTCTTCTTCATTGATGACGATAATAATTTCGAACCCTCATTATGGCATCATGGAATGTATGCATTCATAAATAGAAAAGCAACTCAATCGAGAAGCCCAAGGTATTCTACAAACATGAGTGAATTTTAATCATTTAATGGATAAAATTTAAAATAAAATTAAATCTTTAAATTATTAATGGGACGTATGTAAGCCAAGGGAAAGGGAAAGGGTATCTCTGGATCAGCCCTTCCATACAAGAGAAAAGCTCCAAAATGGTTGACTCTTTCATCAAAGTCAATTGTTGATCAAATCGTCAATTTGGCCAAGAAGGGTAGCGAAATCATTGTAATTTGAGGTTTGAATGGATCATAAATTGGTGTTTACTTGAGAGATCAACAAGGAATCCCATAAACGAGATTCCTTACTGGACAAAAGATCTTGAGAATCCTGAAAAAGAGAGGTATTCATAGGTAGAATAACCTTAAGGCTGTGCTCCTAAGATTCCAGAGGACTTATACGCTTTGATCAAGAAGGCTGTGTAAATCAGAAAGCATTTGGAAAAGAATAGAGGTGATATTACAAGCAAATTCAGATTGATTTTGGTTGAGAGCAGAATTCATAGATTGAGTAGATACTACAGAAGAACATAAAAATTGCCATCCAACTGGAAATAGTAAGCAATATTAATAAATGTTTAGTGTTTCAAAGACAGCCTCAGCCTTAATTGGTCAATGAACAATATTTTATACATATAGTACATTATATAATAATTATATAAATGATTAATAATGTTGTTGTCCCTTATTAATGTTTAATATTTATGATAAAAATCTCAGAATCTGCCACCAAGATATTGGGAGGTAGCAGTTAATTTTTCAGTTAAATGTTCCAAGATTCTATCGACAACTTCTTATTGTCTTTATCTTTCAGTGGTTTAAGTATCATAAGTGGATTCTTGGAGAGCACACCATTCATGTTCAGCATCAAGAGTTTCTTGAGCCTATTCTAATTCCAACTATTTAACAGATAAATAAAAAGACTTACTTGATGGACTTCGTAGAAATGAGTGGCAGTGTCAATGTTGGTCTTGAAAGTTTGGATGGATTATTCCAATTGATTCTTTCTATCGACCAATCTATTGTGTTCATTGCTCAAGTGAGTGGAGAATTCAGCCCATCTTTGAGCTTATCTGTTTTCAGTATCCTAGAATATATATATAATTGAATAGTTACTTCTAAGACTGATCTGGCTTCAACTAATTGTTATCTGAGTTGTGAGAGCAATTGAAGAATTCTTTAGATGGCTTTTTGATCAACTTTAGTAGCTAATTCAGTCAAGGCGGTGACAATTGGTTAAAAGAGAGCACCGTGACTTTCATTTTCAATCAATCTCTTTTAGACAGCTTCGAATTTGGGTTTGAGTTCTGCAAAAGTAGCACCAAGAGAAAGATGTTACACTAATTTAGTTGCTTCATCAACAGCGGCAATAGCATCATCATGCTCTCCATTCTTTCTAACCCAGGTTTCGTGAGCCTTGTTTCTGTTGGCTTCTTCTTAGGCAAAGGTTCTTTCATTACTTTCGATATCCTAATTGATTACGTTATATGCATATATATTTACTTGGATTGTTTATCTTACATCAGTCTCAGCTTCTGCCAATGCCTTTTCGTTGTCTTCTCTCATTTGAGCATTAGCAGCTACTTAAGCTGTGTGATAGGCAATTGAGTTTTCTAAATCTGTTACTATACGAGTGCAAGCAGCTCTATCAACTCTGATTACATTATCGTGTTTATTTTAATCATCGACCAAACCAGCCAATACTTAATTCAATAAAACCAAGATCTCTTCTGCATTTCCTTTTGCTTGTAAATACATCTAAACTGTTGATAGAATTGTGTTTCCGAAGTTGTCAGCATCAATCTCTGCCAACACTGTCTTTGTATCCTTCTGAACACCCATTGCACATGAAACAATCAAGGCCAAAGCGAAGAATTTGTACATTATTAAAAAATTAACGAAAACGGATTACTAAATTAAATATATTAATCAAAGGTATCTGTAGCCGTAGCCCGTTGCTGGACGATATCCACTCACTCTACTTGGACTGTATCTATAATTTGAATATGATGTAGGAGCAGGTGGGGGTGGTGGTAAATATTACGATTGATATCCATAGCCAGCTCTGCTTTAAGGTCCTTTCACTACATGGCTATTCTACACTGGTACATAATCCACATGTTCATCGTATCGGTCCACTGGAATATATTCCACTCTTTTTTCCAATCTTGGAACTGGTACGTAATCTGTTTCATGTTTAACTAAACATCCTTAATTTATATTTTAAACCTTCGATGTAATCTGTGTATGATTTCTCGACTGGTCTATATTCAACCTTTGTTTCTGGCACATAGTCTGTGTATCTCTACTCCACAGGAATATATTCAGACCATTATTCACCTCTCGTTGGAGCTCTCGATTGATATGAGTATGGACGATCGTAAGGACCGTAGTATGAAGGACCATATTAACTTGGTGGGTAAGCTGGGACTGTGCGATCGTAGGCACTTTGGTAAAAGGGTTTATAGTATGACATGTAAATCACTTAAATTTATTTATTTTTATTTCTTCTAACAGAACTTTATTTTAATGTTAAATTTATTTTTTTATATAATGCAATTAAAAATTCCTACACCAATTAACTTAACATAAGTAGAATCTCATATATAGATTAAGGATTGGATTTCCCTCATCCTAATTCATCTCTTTTATTACATTCTAGTATCAAGTATTGTTATATCTATGTTTTAAATTATTATCTATAACATAACACACGATTATAATTAAAGTTGCTTGAAGAATCAATTTCAAAACTTAATATTTATTAAGAATGATCATAATTAAGTTTTTATAATATATGAAATCTTAAGTTGCAAGATTTAATTCATTATTACACATTAACTAATACAAATGAGAAATAGAATTAATTAAATGATCGATATTTCAACTTTAAATAAATTTAACTAGGTTTCTGGGTGTGTATTTTATAGTTTATACAAAAATCTTATTTACTCCTTCTTAATATAAAAGCAATAAGTTCTATTAAATAGTAATAAAAATTTAATTCAATGAATTATTAAAATAAATTTTGATTACTGCTATGATATAAATAATGTCCATGTTTTAATGACCACTTATAATTTGTGGAATAAATATTTCATTACCCTTCTTTAATTAACACGAAGATACTTTTGTGATAAAAAAGAATTTATCTGAAAATTCTTTTCCTCTATCAATTTCATTATTTTAACAAAAGAAAAATCAATTTAGAATGGAATACAAGTTCTAAAAATAGTAAAAAATAATTATATTCAATCTAATTATTATAATTATTGGATTAATATATGAAAATTCAAATGTGTATAAATAATTGCTTAATTATACGATTTATTATATATGTTATTGAACGATTATAAAATGATTTTACTTTTTATAATAATAGGGATAACAAAATCAAATGCTCCAGGAACGCTTAGCTGCCCCTCTTTTTTATCAGAGTTTTTATGTGAAGAACCCGGGTATTGTTTTTGGGATGGAACGAAATGCTAAGACTATACTTAGAATTAGGATTGCTATAGAATTAACGAGATTGGTGCATGTCGAGATAATGGAATTTATTCGTCAGTAGGAGGATCGAGTTTATGTGAACCTTTGAGCAAATTGGAAAATGAATACAAAAATGTTTGTGGCATAACAAATATCGTCGATTACAATTACATAAGATATCCTATAATAACAACTGGATTCTCGACTCATTCATTAGCAGGTTTAACAGTTGCTTAATTGAAAATTTCTGCACCTTAGTAGAATTACATATACTAAGTGTTAAGTGTAAATATATAGATAGCTAAAAACCCAGATTTATAACTAATTTTAGATTTGTATAAGACATATGAGGGAGAATTAGTAAAGGCTTACATTCATCCTTATTAAATTGAGAAGGCTCTGGTTCAGACATTGTAAAATTTAAGAGATGATACAACTTCACTGTCATCTGGAGATAAATAGGCTACGATAATCAAATTTTGGAGTATAATGGATGTCTATCTCAAGAGATTGCAGATCCATAAGAAGAACTATTAATCTTACAATTATTTTCTAAATTTTTTATAGTGCTCTTTTTCAAGGCTGTTTTTGACCTTAAAAGGGTAAGGTCATACGATAACAATCAGCTGGTCTAAATTTAAGAAGAATGGGTTGATTTAATTAATATCATATTCTCCAAAAATAATGGGTATAACAACTGCCTTGAGCGATCTTATTTATGTAAATATACTAGGGGAGGATGCCACTGCATATACAGATATTGAAAATATGAAGATATCCTATATATAAGAGAGTGGTACATTAACAAATGTAGTGAGGAAATTGATGTTTATAAGTGATAAAACATAGATTCCTCACTAAGTTATGACGTATACCATCAACTCTGCAGCATGCGATTCGACTGAGAGAGAATGTGAATTTAGTTTTCCATCTCCTCTCACAAATAGCACATTCACTTTTTACGTGGAGTAATGATGTAGATGTTATTATTTTACATTTGAATTAATTATTAACGCTTTTTTGTTTAAAATCAATCTTAATGAGTCTGACAAATAGGGAAATCAAGAAAATTAATAAAAAATGAGAATAATATAGTATCAACATCAAGAATTTAAATACTAGATTTTATATTAATAGTTATATGACGTGATATAATTCAATCATAAATGATGTATATTTTGCTCTCTCTATAATTGTAGTAAATAGTAAGTTCAGTTTTTGTTGGAGAAACAGTTTATGTATCACTTGATATAGGGAATGATTGAGAGCGGGGAGGGTAATTCTATTTAGCTATTCTTTTGTATGGTAAAAGGGGTGACTCCTAGTTCAAGAGCTATAGGGTGAGGGATATAAACCTAAGCTCTATTGTTGATAAACGGACTCATTTGAGTAGTTTAATTTGCAATCTAATAATGTTTATGTGGCTAAACGAGATGCTAAATGCAATTTTGTTTTTGTTCGTTGCAATAAATCACAAAGGATTTAGGAATTAAAAAAAAAGGCATTACAAATACAAATTTTAAAGCATCATCTGATAAAAGGAAATATTCTGTTTTATTGTAATAATAACCTAAAACAAGCCAAAGTGTAACTAATTTGAAATCAAAGTTAGAAGCTATATTTACAAGAGATATTTTATTTTATAAAGTATTGATTGATACTTGTATATACTTTAGAAAGAACTATTTACTTAGCATTTCAAAAGATAGGAGTATTATTATCATTTAATGTAGGAGTATGTAGGATTTGATGAGAAAAAGAGGATAGCAATTTCTAAAATTTGGAAATAGTCCTTTCAGAATTGTTAAGTTTTCTCGAGACTATTATCAAACTAGTATTATTTCCTGAATGTTTCAAATAGTCCATATTCTAGAAGAGAATTAAAAGTTAATAGGTAATTACTAAAGTAGGAATTAATTGAGCTTCCTATTCGAATGCAGCAAATGGATTTATGAAAGCTTATTCTTACGCTGTGAAAGGTGTGGAATTATAAATGCACTTAAGACAATAGAGCTAAGAGATCAACTCATTTCTGCCACAACAGCTTGAACAATTAGTTTAGATAATAAAATACAGATTTCTTCATTTAGTGGATTTGAATTGACATGAATTTGGGTTTTATTGGAAAAGGCTTCAATTATTTTACTAATTCGATGAAATTCTTTCCAAAACAACTTATGCTATTAAATTGCTCAGTATAACAATCACCCATACTACCGTTGCTATGAAAACAAGGAAAATAACTCATAAGACTCCACCAATAACTTAACCACAACTAGTATCAATTATTATTTCAGTTATAGTCCATGGAAGAGAATTTAGAAAAGTAAAGAGCTATGCAAATAGTCAATTTAATAAGGGACTCAATGTACTTATACATCATAAAAAACTACTGATTATAAATGCTTCTGATTAAATTATTAATTAATATAAAAATATTTCATGATAAGCTTTCAGGATCGATTTAAAGGCAAAATGTCATACATCTCAAAATATGGAATTAACTAATCTCCTGATATTAAATAAAATAGCTAAATTCTGGTATTCTTTTGATGACTATTAAGTAATAAGATTAATCAAACAATAAAAGTCTTTAAAAAATTATTAATCTAAACTCCAAATCACCCATCAAAAATTCTTATTTTTATAAGTTACCTCCACTAAAAAATAAAATTGTAGATAGAACTTTAAATTTTAATTAACAGAAATAATAAATATAAACGAAGAAAATGTATTAATCTACAAATATTTCAGTTATTCAGCTGACCATTCAAAGATTAGTTTGAAGAAATATGATAGTGATATCGAGCAAATCTAAGTGAAGCACTTGCAATATTTAAATAAGATTGAACAATTATATATGCTTTAAAAAAATTGATTAAAATATAATTAAATGAAGTCTTGCGATCATTTTCTAATTTCTATGTGATTCTTATAACACGATCAAATATAATTTCAAATTTTATTTTATGCTTCCTCTTTGAGAAAATAGTAAGTCTTCAATTCAATTTTTAGGAATTTCTAATTTCATTTGGTAATATCTCTCAAAATTGGATGTTCAATCAATCCTAATCTCAAAATTGAATTAATACACTCATTGGTTTGCTATAATGTAATACAAATAATAGATTATTAAGATTTAATGATCTCTTTTACTAGATACGCTTGAAAAATTAATAAAAACACTTCGGTAATATTTAATGTATCATCGTTTCATAATAGAAATTATTAGAAATTTCAAGAAATTATTATTTAGCCATTCAAAGGAATTATGTTTTATCAGATAATATTGAGAAATTGTTTAGTCTAAATATATATAGATGCAATCTTAGACCTCAATAAAATTCTACTAAAATATGAACCTTAAGGAGCCCCATAAATTATAGTTTTTCATTTAATTCTGTAAATGACTTCAAATAAGTTTGATTAAGTTCTAGTAGAATAATTATATTACTTCTATTACAAATTTCTATATGAAAATGTGTTCTAAATCAGAAACTTTAATGTTGAAAAGTAATTCTATATATTATAACTAGATTGGCTAATGAGATCAAATGTTATTATGATATATAGTAATATTTGATATAGAATAATTGATATTAGTTTGAATTATTATAATAATCTATAATCATCCAAACAACAAAACTATTTAGAATTTTATACATTCTGAATTATGATTAATTAGAATCTAATAAAAATATCAATTTTAGGAAGAAATTGAGAGTAGAGTAATGAAGGGAATAATTCATTATCCATATTTCCTGTAATTAATCCTAATTTCTTAAATCCAATGATAACATTTGCTGTCAATGATAATTGATGAAATCTTTTGAGTTTTTCAAATTTACGCTTAAGCCATATTCTTCATACAAATTAATTGATAATCTTCATTCTGCAAAATACTAAGTGAATTTATGGTACCTCATTCGAATGAGTAAAAAATATTCTTTTGATCTAATAAATTGACTCAATAGATAATAAATTGTTATTTAGAGTTATCAACGATATTTGATTTTATGAATTAAGGAAGGTAGAAAAGATGCGAAATGAATTTAGTTAATTTATAGATGTTTAACGTTATATAATTTAAATATAAAAATGAAATTGTAAAATATTGGAACTATTGATTTCAGCAAGGCTAACAAATAGATTAAGGATCTATCTCATAAATTTTTATAGAGCAAGATGCTTAGGAAGAACAAGGAGAATTTCAATCCAAATACTAGTCATTAGGATGCTGCAGCAAAATTATTATTAGAAGCCTTGCAAAAACCAATACTGAGAAATCTTAGGGATTTGATAAGGATTAAGGAGTCGGTTGTTTGTGAGAGGAATATTTTCGACGAGGTTTGTTCGATGGGGGTAAGTGAGAACAGCGACATTGGAGAAGGATTCAAGATTTCCTTCGCGAATCTGAGAATCAAATAAGAGAGTATAGTGGATTGCGAGAGTATTCAGCCTACGAATGCACCGATATTGTTGTTTATGGTGATTCAGAACATAAGGAAGAAGAAAATGATAATCTCATTCTAAGAAATCAAATTTTTTATACTACAAAGAAGTTTGAGCTCTGTGAACAAAAGACTGGAATATGCAAAGCACGAATAATTGCGTAAGATTATTGTTAACAAAACAAAGTAGGAATAATTGCTACTTTAAGTGTACTTGAAGTATTGGTCACAACAAACACAACTGCTCATATTTTTTGATCATTTTGGTTCAAAAATAAGGAAAATATACAAAAATAAATTGAACGAATATTTAATTGCATTGAAACAGCAAATAGCAAAGAGAGAGGCAGCCTAACATTTGGTTAAGATTATAAATAGGAAATTATTTGAATATGGACAAAATTTGAATAGAGTGAAAAACAATTTGCATTTGTAAAATAGTTTAAAGAAGGTGTGGATAAGACAATTGAGAAGTTCATTTGAATTATTGTAATCTAAAAGACACAGATCTCCAGTTATTTTTGAATTGATGAATAGATTTCAAAATAATTTATTGAGACAGAGTTTAAAGATCTTCTAATTGCATGTGTTGAGATAGAAGAGGAGGATCAAATCGTTTTCATATGGCTTCGAAGATCTCAATAAAATAATGAATAAATTAGATTATAAATTGGGTTTTGTTAAGCTGCAAAATAAAAACTAAAAATAATAAAGGTTGTTGCCAACAAAATACTTAATAATGATCCTCAAAAGAATACAGGATAGGCAAAAACATTGGGTTTTGCGAAAATTAAATTAATGAAATATAATAATTAAAATTATTGTCAATTTAACTATTTTGAAAGAGTGACTTCAAATGTGGGAGGGGGTAATTGGATTTGAATTTCCTTTAATAGTCAGAATTCTGAATTGTATTAAGTGTCTCTTTATCCATTAATTAATAAATATATATATAAAAGATTTAATTTGCATCAATGGTTCGACTTGAGAAACTCGTCTATGAATAATTAGTCAATATCCGCGCTCTGAAAAGAGAGAGAATTATAGGATCACCAAGAAAATGGTACTCTGAACCTCGTACTCCAGCAATGACTCTATCAGCAGTCAAATTATTCACAACAGGATGGACTGGATTAATCTACAAATTTGTTGAGCCTCTGTTTGCAAGGTAAAGGGATTTGGAATACAACCAATAGATTCTTTTACCGATGGATGAGGAATATCGGATTGGATAGAGGATTGGCCATGGAAGACTTATTGTTATTCTAAGATAGAGAATTGAGAAGAGACCCATTATTTGAACATATTTAGAGAGAAGGATTCCATCCATACACCTGGATTTTGTTCAATAAGAGAAGAGCAAGATTTTCAAAAGTAGAGAGAGGTGTAAGAGGATCCACTGCACCAGAATGGTTATAAGCTGAAGCAAGAGAACGTACATTGGGTGATAGTGTTGAAAATATTTACGAATGGGACAATTATGTTTATCAAAATTACATGAGTGACATGACACCAACAGCCAGAGGAACTATATTGTAGAAATTATTGCCATTGGAATGGTTCCTCTTTTTCGGTTTCTTGAGAGTTGATTCATGGGATAGATACTTCTATAATGAAGTCATGTACAAGGGATTGGAATATTCAAAAGAATAATTGGCTAACATTCCTAAACCATTCAAGGCTTAATTAAGTAAATATTCAATATTAATTTCTTTAGCCACTGAGGAAGGCAGAAGACAATTTGAAGTCAATGTCAACAGATTTGTTGATCTCTATCCAGGAGCAATAGTGAGAGAGGGGTAATAATATTTTATTAAGATTTTAGTGAGAAATTTGATTTCTAAAGATTCTATGCTCTCGAGGCAATTAATAATAATAGAGACCTTAGCAAATTTGATTCATCTTTGATTGCTTAATTGAAATCAGAACTCACTCAATAGGTTGCTTTAAAGACAAGCACTAAAGTAAAGAAACAAAGGGCCACTCTTCCAAGTTGGTTATCGTAAGATGGAAAGGGACTCTTAGCATGATCTATTACATAACATATATAATAAAAATAATATTTTACCTTAATAACATAATAATAATAATAATAGGATTAAAATTTTTGTACAATTAATAGAAGAAAGTCTTTCTAATTTTTAGTAATCAAAATAACAATGAAAAAATGTGAAGCTAAACAACATCAAAAATTTGCATAATTTCATTCACTCTTAGAAATTGATTGTGTGAAAGATTAGATGTTGGTGTCCTATCAATAAGACTTTTAATAATTAAAAAGATTTTACGCAAACATTGATCCTAATTATATACAGTGGCTAAATGGAGTCTATAGAATGTCATTTGAACCTATTTATAATACTGAAGAAATTTTGAGGAAAGTTAAAAATGGATTAAGAAACTTTGAAGACACCTTAAAATAGAATATTAGGAAAAATCTCATTTCATTATTATACCTTTAAAGACCTGTGCCTGCTATCTTCGTATTTCTCAAGATCTCCTCAACTTCATTTGAAATTGTATATAAAGAGGATTTCTTAGTAATTTTGCATACAATGTTGCAAAAGGCCAATTTAGATTCTCAATCTGATCTCTACTAAAAACTGTATAACAGTTTGATTGAAGCTAATGATGAAGAAATCATCTTATAAAGTATTAAACTACTTAATAAGAAATTTGAACTTGCGAGTTAATTGAATCAGAAGTAATTCGAAGTCTTTGATAAGATATCCAACCAATTCAATAAAATAGATTTCTCAGAATCCAAAGAAGTTATTATTTAAATCGTAAGGAATTTCTAGGAATTCCAGGAAAAATTAAAAAACAAAAGGGCAAGTTTGGATTAGGTGAAATCTGAGAAATTTCCTTAATTTGTACTTAAGGTTGTGTTGATGTTACTGAAAGAATAAGAAATCGTTGTTCCAGAACTCCTTTTATTTTTATGCTTTAAAGAATCACAGAAAAAAAAGAAATCCATTGCAATCAGAGTGTTAGTTAAGGAAATTTTAAAGATTTTTGCCCTTCCTCGTTTGAAACCTTGTTTGGATCACTTGAAAATAGATAACAGCATATTTACCAAAGGAGCTAGTGGGTATGACCAAATGTATTCATTATGTGAGAAGGAATACCCCATTTTTCTTAATATCAAACTTAATGGAGCATTAATATCCTATATTGAATACCTGCATTAGACTACCCATATAAATACTTAATAGTTTTTAAATGTATTTCAATCCCCTGAATTTAACAACTTCTTAGAACAAATTTGGAATATTTGTGGGAAAGAAATACAACAATTATTATAGAATATTCTGATTGAAGATTTGGAATATGCAAAGTACGGTTCAAATATCCTTCGAATAGGAACATTTTTGTATCGAATCAAATTCAAATTGGAGAAAAGGAGAACGAACATAATGGAGAAGGGATATGATGCAGAGGAGCAATCATTGGAGAGACGAACATATGGAGTAACCGAAAGAAGTATGAATCCCTTATTCAAGACATTTATCACTGATTTGGTTCATAGGAAGAAGCCATTCCCATTATTGCTCAAAACATTGAAAATGGATCTCTATAATTTGAAGGTTGGATATAGGATTACTGAGATGAGGGAATTGGTGGTGGATCCTAAATTCAAAAAACACATGAAAGAAAAACATGGGGTTGTTTGGAATAGAGAAGATCCTGATGAGAATCTAGATCACATTATTGCCAGACAATACCCAATTAAGGTAAGTAACAATGGTAAGAAGTACGAACTTAATTGGCCTAGATTAATCAAGAAATAGGCAAAACTAATTTATGATAGTAAGGAACAATTAAAGGCTTAATTATTAGATGTTTATGCGAATTAGAATTTCATTAAGGTTTATAATGAATTGATTAAATTAAATGATAATAATAAAAAAAAAATGTAAACAAAGGAAATCTTAATGAACTTGGTTGCATATATTAAATCTATAAAGGAGGAGTGATTGAATTTTATTATTTATTTTGTGATTGTATCGTACAAGGATATCTTCAACTATTATGATTGCAATTATAATATTAAATTATAAAAAGGTTCATTAGAAGCAACCTTTATGTATTTGATTATCTACTTGCTATTCCACCATATTCAAGCCTAATGCTATTAGAAGTATAAGGATTAGACCATATATCTATCTCCAGGAGAGACTTTAAAATTGGATTTGTAAAATTACATATACGGTAAGCAACTTCAATATTCATCCTCTAATGATTGTCTGGAGAACAAATTGAACTAGAAAAACATAACCATAGCCAATTTATTATTATCGGATTACTCAGAATATAGTTTGTGCTATGACCCGAAAAGTGGAGTTTGTAATTAACAAGACATTTATTATTATTATTATAGAGTTAGGATAAACAGTGCATATGTATGTTAAGGATTACTAAGTGACTATAGCATTTTACAATATCACAAACACTCTGTTGAAGCCCACCTATAAAACCAACTTCAAAATAGATCGAGTATTTGAATTGATTATGTGTGTAGAACAGTGAATGCACCAATGTGTTATGCATGAGATTAGATTTGGGGATGATCGAATGCAACCATAAAACCAAGGAGCAATCAACCATCTATTTGATCGACGCACAATTGCAGTAAACTTAAATCTATTTTCTACAAACTAATCAATTGGGCCCTATCTAGTAATTGATATCATAATAAATAGGGCAGGAATGATCAATTACAACAACGAGGACATTGTGATTTACTATAAGATGGTCAATTTCATGAACAACAGTAGAATTGACATGTATAGTATAAATGTTACATCCAAAGAACTCACCACCTCCACCATAATAGATAAATTAGTCTTCAAGTTGGAGTCGTTGAACATATACAGTTTCTTGATTTACAATTCAGCCATCTACGTTTTATCAAAAGAATTGGGAGTCTGTTATATTCGCAATCAACCCTACAATTATTGTTGGAAGTTTACTGACGTCTTTGATGTCTTTAGTGTTTACATCCAATAAAATGGAGTTCACAATATACTCTTGGGGTCCACCACTACTTCTGATATCTTTAAGGCTTATTTGTTGGATGATGATACCTACAAAATCAATTAGATATATAAGTTATCAAAAAACATGACTTTTTCATAAATATTCCACAACGATAAATACAGTTTTATTATTGGACGCAAAAACAACAACACCAAGAGGTATTTCATAGAAATTTACAGTCAAATGGATGATTTCACTTCCAATTTGTATAAAACTATTGAAATCGCTTCCTCTAAAGAGTTATTCTATTTTGATAGTCTAAACAGTATGATGAAATTATTAATTTAGATAATGCCTATGCTGTTAATAATAAGTCCATCTTCATTATCACCCCACAAGTTTCATATCTCACTATTAATGATGGTGAATGCTTTGATGAAACTATTGAAATCAAAGCATAGGTTCCTTCTATGGAGTTGGATACCATCTGCAATTTCATATTCTATGTTATCAAACTGGAGGAAGGCAGCCAAGATATTTATGACAAATCAGAATTGGAATAATCCTTAATAGTCTTAAATCAAAGTATTAATAATTTTTATTTGAATAATCTTGTGATCGGTCCCAATGTCGACTATTATTTATATAATGCATCATTAGAGAGTTCAAATGAAAATGATTTTGAGAGGATCAAGTTCAAGGAGCATTTTACTATTTCATATGCTCAAACTATGGACATCACTTCTATTATCTACACTCGTGCATTTAAGACTGTGATTGGAGATCAATACATTTAAATAATCTAATGGAGAGACTTAACTCTCGAAATATTCAATTGCATAATCCCTGGGAGTGAGAAGGACATCAATTGCATTTATAAATAGAACATCAAACTGTTAGATTCAGTGTTGTAAATTGTCAGCGGATTGTAGTGTTCAACTGAATGTTTTGTTATCAGACAAGAAAAGAGAGCAGACCTCTACATTGAGTATAATAATAAGTTTATATTTACCAATTGTTTCATTGAATCACAATACAATATCCAAACAATTAAATTACATTTAGAAAAGTATTTAGTAGAATTAGAAAATAATAAGATTCAAGTATGAATTCATATTAAATAGATATTCTTGCCAACATATAGGTAATCAATGACTTGCAATTTCGAAAAGGTTTTCGAGATTACTTCTCTTTAATTAGAGGAACTTATAAATACAAGTAGGACTATCAATATATTTAATGTTAAAACTAATATCAACATTTACAACCTCTACATTTCCACTAATTTAGGTCTAATCATTATAGATCCAGGCTTGTTAAGATTCCAGAAAGTTCAATTAATTGCATTCGTGTAATTTAACTAATAATTTGACACCGTACTTTAAGTGATTAGAGATCGGATCATCACATTATAATATAAATAGATAACCATTATCAATCTAGTATAATAAAATTTCTATTACACTGAAAAAGCATTGCCCACCTTCAATTTTACTATCACAAATATTACTAATTCATAAGTGGCTTTTTCTCAAAATTATTTGTATTTGCAAGCAAAAGATGCTAATTACACCGATGTTATTATAGTTTACAAAGTAGATGAACCATAAATTTCATCTTTTCATACATACTTTATTAAAACTAATAATTTAGATTTTAGCTTAATATAAAAATAAGACGATGAGGTATTTTTAGTGCAGGTGTTCGAGGCCCAAAAATTGTACAGTGAGGTTATTTTATAGTTCAAATCATCTCAGCCAAAAACAATTAAAGTTGTGTTTTAAGGATTTAAAAGTTATGCAAAATTTATGGATATAAATGTTAATGTGAAAACTGCAGAAAAACAATACAATCTTTCACTACTAATCAATGAAACATAAAACATAATTTATGATGATTCCATTTTAGACTTCATCAAATTAGATGGATATAATGACTACATTGATGGAAGTGTAAGTGAGTGGGCAATCACATGTTTTTCCTGCTAAAAGGAATTAGAACTCATCAATAACATCAATTATAACCAATATTTAACATAAATCCCTAATGCAACTTAAATTAAACATACTGTTGATTACGTGCTAATCTAATAGGAGTAGAGTATAATTGCAATTGATAATTTTGGAATGGTCAAGTTTTATATTCCTTTGCCTGTGTCTGAGCACTCAACAAAGTGCACTTCCATAACTGCCAATACTTTGGAAAGCAAAACCAAATTAGTCGTATCCGTTTGTAATACAAAATCCTAAGCTTAATTTTATATTACATCATTTCTAAGTTCGTTACCTGTCCCTATGGGTCCTTTCTATTCTCCTTTAGTAATTAATCAAATCAGTCATATACGAATGTTAAATGAAATATTGTTTATTTTAGATGTAGTGACTGAATACGTCTACTTGTTTAATCTAACAATTGATGAAAATTAGGCCGATTCTTTGAGAGTGATGAACAGATTAAATGCTAGAGAGTTCACTGCTGACAAAGGCCAAGTTTTTGTTAGTTTTGATGTAGCCTATAGTGATGAGACTTATCTACTATTTTTACTCACAAATTCATCATGTAACTCATATAATTTTACAATAGAATTTATCATTTATACCTACCCTTAAGATTTTGCTTACACCCTGGATTTGATATTCTTCTTATATGAGTAAGGATTTACAGACTTGCCCTCCAACATAGTACCGTAATCTTTGATAGTAGCAGAGACAGCTCTGAAGGATGAATTACAATATTACAGAATCATTGTGGCTAATCAAAATTTTCACCATTACGAATTAGAGATTTCAATAGGATATCCAGACAATTCTATTAAATTCAAATTCATAAGAGCTTACATGTAATATGGATATTTCTACGCTAACGGAAAGATTCGAGTCTCAGAAGAGACTCAGGGATTCTTCGGTTTGATTTACCAAAATCCTTTAGATGAAAAATAAAAACTATTGATTGTATATGATAGGTTTAGTAAAAGCTAAGAAAAGCTTCGTAAGATTCTTGGAGGATATAAAATAAATTCAAATTATTAGATGTAAATATTATAATAATTTTTAAGTCTATTTGATTTTTTGCATTTTAAGAAGAGGAACGATGAGTTTTCATATGGTATCATCTTGTAAGATGGGCCTGTCTTGAGTTCTTTGACACTATCAAGATATTTGGCTATTAAGGTAAATTTCAAGGAATTTCAAACACAAAACATTACCTTCAATGCTTCGAATGACTTTGGAAAATGGGTTAGTTTCCAAGCAAACATTTATAATAGAGCTGGATAAGTAAGAGATGATAAATTATTAATTAGGCAAATTTACTTTTGATAATGTTGTCTTTGGCGGTTGTTGTATTTATAGTGATATTCTCATCATGGTTATATGTTATGAACAAATTAAAAAAACTATAAGTTAAAGAGTTGGATGTGATAGTGGAAGAGGAGGAAATAGTTAAAGAAAGTCAATGATTTTTATTTATAAATATTTTATTTAAGAATAATGATCTAATTGAATATATGCTAGATGAATATCAATTTTTTTTCTTTGGAGGATTCCACATTTAAGTTAATGTATCTTGGACCAAAAGTGTTATCATAGCATGTGGTCCCACTCTGGTGTAGAAAACTGGCAATCCAACCCACAATCCTGTCACACCTTCTCTTTAAATGGTCTAGAAGTTGTAAATGGGACATAAATACTTTGAAGAAGCAATCTCCAATGTTTTTGTAAGGGAATTGCCCTGTATTTGGATCTTTTTTCATTCTTTAGAGTTTGGTTTTGAGATTGTCGGGAGGCAATGAAGCAATGGCACATCCGATACCAGCTGCAGCAGAGGACCTATGGGAATATGGGGAGGAATTTACAAGAGTTTATCTGAGTAGTCTTCCTTTCCTTTTCCATGAAGTGATACGATTATGTCTTTGATCTGATCGTAGGTTGTTAACATGCCTAAAATAAAATCAATTGTTGGATTACTTAAGTTCATGGCGATGGCTCGGATGACTGTGGGCAAGGATCCTCTCCAGAGAGTTAGGAGTCCCTCCTCGCTAACAATTCTGTAGAGAGCGTCAAATACATTTTTATAATTTCTTCTTTATGCTTCTGGTAAGAGAGTGTCAGCCTGAAATCTAACCAAACACAAATCTGCTGGATTTCCAACTATGGACCCAACAAAGCCAGAAAATGAAGATGCTAAACATCTTTCCCAGAAGATCATGCTTCTACCATGTGTTCTTTTATAATGATCATCTATGGCTCTATATAATCCCAAACGAGTGGTAGCATAAGTCACTTATCTCAGAAGAGCGGCTCCAATTCTAATTATATATATTATTTCTAACCCTTTGTAAAATCCGAAGGGTCCTTCTGTTTTGATGATGTCTTTGATAATATCAAGAGTGCTGACATTGATGCTTTGTCCTTGTCCCTTGAGTTCGCTTCGGACTTGAATACGCACTTTCACAGTATCCATTGGTTGGACGAAGGTTGTGGCTGTACATCCTGAGATACCTCCGATTAAAAAGGGAGACACTAATTCAAACCATGTTGGCATATCTAATTTATTTATATTAAATAATTCTTAAGGTGCTGCAGGATAAATCAGAAAATAACATTAAGCATAAATTATCATACGCATTATTGAAGATAGAGAAAATCAAAATTATCGAGTGATTTGAAAATTTATTTAAAAATTTTGTAAAAATTGAAAATTAACAATGATTTGGAACACAATTACAATATCTTCTATCATAAATACACCTCTGCTTGTCATTAAGATGATCCATATTGATAGTTTTGAATAATATTAATGTTTAATTTAAAGATTGTTTAAACATTGATACTTTTTAAATTAAAGAATTTCAAGTGATAAATGATAGATTCTTGAATCAATATAGTGTATAATAGATAGAACCATTATCCTTTGAGAACTAACCTTCGAGTCCTTCTTACTATTTATGGATGGTAGTACTCTTAAGTTGATATTAATCAAATGTTCATTTTATTATCTATTAAATTAATATATAATGGATATTATATGTATAAATCATTCCGATAGTTTTTGGTTAATGTATTCTATTAATCTATCAACGATGTCAATTTCAGTTTATCTAATTATTTATTATATAATATGATACCTGCTAACTTTTTAATTGCTATATTCTTGATCTTCTAATTCATTGATTCTGGTGGCGTCTTGAATATTTAATTAAGTCACTTCCACTATGGCATTTGAAATATTAATCAATCCATCCAATTCATTTAATCTTGATTAGATCTCCTTCAATCTATTATTAGCAGTTGCTAAAGACACTTATAAGGTTTGCTTTTCATTTCTCAAATCATCCCCCAATCTACTAAGATTATCGACTTGAGTCTTGTGATTGGATTCCAATTGATCTTAGCCTTCCTGTAATGCAGTAATCAATCTAGCAACAAGACTAAGAACATTGTTCAAAGTTTCAGGATTAACCTTGGTAGTCATTTCTGCTAATCCTTCAATGATGGGTTAAAACAAGGTGAGAGAACTCTTCTTGGTGTGAGCCTCAAGAATCTCCTTGATTTTCTAGAAGTTCTCTTTGGTTTAAATTAAATTAGATTTAGTGTCTTGTCTAAGTTGATAATCATAATAATTACGTCAATTAAATAAGGGAAGCTCCTTCTCCTCTTAAATTGAGTAACAATCTCTAAGCTTCTTTGCATGCTAATATGGCATCACTGTAATCTTAGAATTTTGTACCGAAATCTGCATTTTCTGAGTCTAATCTTGCTTAAGCATCATTGGAGCCTCTGCCATTTCTGTCTAGTGCAGCTTAATCTTCTTTAACTCTAGTTTAGAGTGTAGTTAATTCATTAGTGAGACTTGCTTATTCTTGTCTCTAATTATCAAGATCTGATTGTGCTTATTCTAAAGTGGCTTGAAGTTTGGCTAAATCAACTTATGATCTCCTGGTAAATGTTGCATTCTCTTGGTCTTACAATTAGGTGAGTGCAATTAATTCATCCTTAATTTACTATAACAGTTGTTTGAGTTCATTGAGAGATCCCCCTGTCTTCATGTTGACACTCACTAAATTGATCATTGAAGATCCAAACGGATGATCTGCATAATTTGATAATCTCTATGTGATGTCTGCAACTGTTGATGCAGAGGCAACAGCTATAAGTAAAACAACTAATGTTGATTTCATTTATATAATTAAAACAAAAAACGAATCTCTATTCAAGTAAATTATATTATACATAACACAAAAATGTAAAATTATACCATAATTTTTAGTTCTAGATCATGATCACTCATTTTCAATTTGCATTTTATCAAAAAATTATGAATTAATATTTTTCAATTGAATATTTTCAAAAAATACGTCTAATTTTACATTTTTAAAGCTCAATACAAATTAGACAGTTACCACATCAAATTCTGTTTTCAGCTTTAGTATTTTTTATGTCTCCTGCACTTCAGGATTAATTAGTATTTAATCTTTTATTACTGTATTTTTAATTAATAAATTTCAGAAGTAAGACTCTTTTGAACATTAGCTCTCTTATATAATTCTATTTAATCATTTCACTCTCAGTAATACATAACTTGTTATAATAGCTTCAAAAATATGCAGGTAAGTACTTGATTTTTACCTAAATTATCAACAACTTTTCTGATTACAGGATTATCATTTAACTTGAATAAAAGTATACATCATCCCTTCTTAATCATGATACATTTATACATCTACTAAATTTAAATACCGAATTATCCAAACCTTTACTATCATTGTATTACACAGATATCAATAAATCGCCTTAATTGATAATATTGAAGTCTAACCTATATGGCAAATACTACATATAAAATATCTATATACTTCTCTACTTATTTTACTCACATAATCAATTAATATTAAAGACAATTATCAAAGCAATAATTCACTTTTTACATATCCTAACCTTGATAAATAGTCTACAAAAATATCTCATGACCTTTTTTTCTAAATTACCCTTCAAAAGTATGTAATTTGTATAAATTCTTCCTCTTAAGAATGGATAACCTTCAAATACATATTAAATAGTCCCTAATTCAAGAAGAATCTTAGTTCATAAGTATAATTTCCATAGAGTGAATTAATATTAAATTTTGATGATAGTAATGCTGTAGTCATGATGATAAGAAAGAATGGTTAATTAACAATAACTTCAATTTCAACTATCATAATCCATTTCATTATAATGATGTGCAAGCATATCATGTTAAAAGACTTATTAGGATCTAGATTGAGTTTAATTATATAATAAATTATAATCACTTGACATTGAATTAATTTTATATTAACACTGAACAATTTTCAATCGCTTGTTTATCGGCATTATCAAAAACTAGTGATCCACTCTGATAATTGCTAATCATAATCTTACGATAAGTTTTAAATAGTAAAATCATAATTTATACACCAAAATTTGTTGAATATTATTATAATATCTTTTACTATTAAATTAATTCTCTTTCATCATCCTTATTATAAATTTATTCAATATTAGCACATACCAATCTCGATCTCTACCCTTACAAATATTATTTGCATTAATCTAATTTCAAACTCTCCAATTTCTCCAGTTGTCTCTCCATTAAATCAAATATCTTATACAAAAACTATTTCTTTTTGATTAGCTCAGTCATAACATTGCTTTCATTTGTTCCAGTTTTCAATCTATTTGTGCTTATTGACCTAATAGGAGATGCTTAAGTGCTAGTAGTCTTGCAATGCTCTGCCAAATTTTACTATGAGTATTGCTTCTGCATTTGTGTTTTCTTTACACCTGTCGGCAAACCCTTTAAATCTATCTTCTACTGTTAACATCCCAATATTGTCTGAAATAGCTAATCCCAACCCCATCTGTCCTTCTCTTCTTTTCCCAAACAACCAATCAAAATTTGCTTCGTTCTTATATCAATCTTTGGCAAGAGAGGAAACTTCAGAGTTTCATTGTCTAAACGATTTAGCAATTCAACAACATTCGAAGAATGCCATGGAGTCGTCCTATATATCATTTCATATAATATAAGGCCCAGTGACCATATGTCAGATTTGCTTGTGTAAGGCAATCTTCTTAAAATCTAAGGGGCCATATAAAGTGGTGTTCCAACCAAAGATGACATCGTTGAATCCACTTAGACTCTCTTTGCAAATCCGAAGTCAGTTATCTTGAATACCCCATCCTATAAGAGAATGTTGGCTGGTTTCAAGTCCCTATGCACTATACCATTTCTAAGCAATTCTTATAATCCATTTAAAATTTGTTTAAATATTTCCATGGCTCTGTCTTCCGATAGTTGACGGGGTATCAAATAGGCCTTCAAGTCCCCTCCATTACAATACTCTGTCACTATATAAATATTGTTTGTGCTATGAAATACATCCAATAATTTCACTATATTCTAATGATTGAGTGATTTCATTATCTCCACCTCTTAGTTTATTTATTAAGAAGTGTAATCGCTTTTAATAAGATTGTTACTTATAATTTTAATAGCCACAGCTAGTAAATTAATTGTAAATATTACTCTGATCATTAGTAGTGTCTCTGGCCATGTAAACATTGGCATAAGCACCTGAACCAATTTTTGCGTCATAAAGAAATTCATAATGCTTCACCTTCTTTTTTTATTTAATTCTCTCACTTTACATTAATAATAAATATTAATCTATTCCTACTTTTTATTATTCCTAAACTTATAAAAGAGTGATTCAAATTTTTTTCCATTTTTATAAAGATATAAGAATTATAATTTGTTTAATCACAATTTAAATTACCTCAAGTTCGTACTTGTTCTTTCTCATATTTCGCCATTCCAATAAAATTGCTAATTCTAATGGTCCATGCACTCTAAAGATTATTTTTTAATATTAAAACTGTTTTGTTGTAAAATCTAACACAACACATTCAAATATCCATAAATTAATATTTTAGTATCAAAGGAGTATTCTCCATAGTCAATACACTCTTTTGAAGCTCAATCAAATATTATATTATTTTATTAGGAAGTTATAGAAACTGTTCTGATTAGAATTCAACTTCGAATGTTTTCAATTAAAGTCATATACATCTAGTGTAAATAATATAGATTGTTTATCACTCGTGGGATTATTATTTCTAATTTTGTATAGTGTTACTGTCGAATGAATATAATGATTGATGTTTTTAATGTAAAAAAAGAAAGTAGTAAAATATACTCAAAAATTCTCATCTTCATCGGTTTCTTCCTCGATCAAACACAAGAATTTCTTTGTTTGCTAAGTTCTCTAGGCTTAGTTTCTAAAAGCCTAAATTTTTTAAAGCACTAACATTGACATCTAATCCTAAGAAGTATCAAGTTAAGGATTAGACAAATTAAGTATCACTTCTTTCAAGTATGACTTCTCCTCATCACTAACTAATCCCAAAGAATGGAGATTTGAAAGTGTCTGGAATGCTAACTTGTAAAATGATTGCATAGCAATATAATTAATCATTAAATCTAATTTGATATTGGTAATAAATCCACAACGCATGGTTTCTTAGGATATTTATTTAATGAATTTTTTTATAATAAATTGCCAATTCCAGTTATTCTAAATTCTCAAATAGCTTCCAAAATTCGAATACCATCCATTGTTATTATCATTAAAAATATATATATTAAAAAGAACATTCTACATATTTATAATGACTATAACATAGTTTCATCATTAAATTTATCTAAATTAACCAATACTTTCTTCATTTTACTTCTGGTTTTCTTAATTGTCTTACGATTCCAAATACTTTTGCACCTAATTCTTTAACTAAGCATTATTTTTAAAAATAGATATCTGTATTTCCTATAATTCTAAATTATATTTTTCTAACTCTGCTACTTTCTTTTCTAATATAATTATTTATGCATCCCTTTTTTATATTTCGTTCGTTATATTCTGACGTCTGCTCTCAAAATTTTAAATGACTTCCTTTACTTTCGAAGAATATGAAATATACTCTTAATCCAAATGTAAGGATTCTAGATGTTTTTAATAAACATCATCAAGACTTTTATTTAAATGTTCTTTTATTAAAACATTATTTGATCCAAAGTAATATAGCTCTTTATCAATGTTACAAAAATTGATATAATGTATTAACTTCTCTTCTGTTTTAATAGTTTGAAATTTATCCAAATATTTAGCAACAAATTCTTATTTAGGTATCCTTAAAAAATAGGACTAATATAATAGCAAAGCAGCCTACTCTATTCCACTTTACCTTAATTCAGTTTCTATGACTTTGCTATCTTAAGAATTCGCTTACCCATAATTTGTTGAGAAACATTTGACAAAAAATGTTTACGATACTCCAAATGATTTAATCAAATCATTGATGGCTTTTTAAGCTTGATGTACTCTAGATTGATTTTAAGGTTAAAGCGTAAATGATTTAATTATTTAGTTTTAGCTTAACACATTAATATTTTGTATATTTTCCCTAACTGGAAAAGTATTATTCTCGATAAAAGCATCAATATAGTAATGTAGTTCATCTCCTGTATGTTTGATTCCAATTTTGCTTTACATCTAATATTGAGATCTCTGACTTTCTCTTAAGTTTTTCCCTATTATTGGCTCAGCTACGAAAACATTTTCAACTCCAAAATTTTAAACTTATTATTTAATCATGTCCTTTAATGTTTTGTCCTATTGCTAATTGAAATTCCTTAAGCAATCGAATATGACATTTTCGAATAATGCTATTGTTTGATCATTTGTTTTAATTTTATCAAGTTATGGAGACAATTTTTCTGATTGAAATAAATCTGTAGATTTAATATATAACATTTACTTTATGCATTTTCTATTATCTGCTTATAAAATGTGTTTAACAATTTTTCATAGACATAATTTTACATTAACTATTCCAGTTTATTTTTTTAAACTCCTTCTGCATTTTCTACAATATCTAGTCCAAAACTATCAAAAATATTTAATATATATTATTAATTTTCATCCAATCCTGAAGAAAGAGTTAAATTTATTTTATTTTGAATCCATTAAAATAGTTTATTATAGAAATCCATAATTATACTATTGATGATATACTCCATTTAAACCTTTTTGCTTTATTGATTGGAGTTTGAAATTCTTGAATTAATAGCGGTCTCAAGATTTTCAATTTTCAACAATTATTAAGCCTTAGTAAAATTATGTTCATATAAATGAATAAGCCCAGCAAGACATTAAATTATATTTATAATATCTTATAAACTGAAATTAAGATCCATAAAAGCTAACAGGAGTGTCTTAAAATTTTCAAAGTCGTCCACTTTAAATCGCTAATCTGATTCATTATCATGCTGAGAACCTAAAATGGCAAAGTAAGAGTTAAGTTCTAATTTTCCAATCTCCTCGTCTATACCTTTAAATTACCCCTATTTCTATTAAACAAAATGTTCTAGAAATATATTATAAATATACTTAAGTCTTATATTCTCTAATAAGCAATATATAATTGATAGAATATATGAAAATTTCTTTTCATTTTTCTTGTTTATATGATTCGATTTTCTTCAAACAGTATTGTAATAATTTTTGCACCGATGATTTTCTTTTAATTGTCAAAGTGAATTTATAAATTTAAACCATATCTGGATGAGTTAGGATTATTTATTGTCTTGGCATTTCCAAAAGAATTAAGTATGATTTTTGTAGATACAATATTTTTTTCAATGCTTGGAGAATTATTTGTTTATAATTCACTATTGGATTTCACAGTTATATAGTTTAGGATCATATTAAAAGCTTCAGTTTTACCTGATCCACTATTTCCTTAAATTATTATAGATGATGTTTTTAAATTGTTATTTTGAGAGAAGCAAGCTTATTTTGCCTTTTCTACCAAGTTTAAGATATGAGATGGAGTATTTTGTTAATCTATTTATTTAAAAATATTGTTACCTGTATTATTTTGATGGGTGTTTAGAAAATCATGGATATTTTAATCCTTGTGCTTAATAATATCTGAAAAAGAGTTAAGTAATAAAATATTGTTGTCTCCTAAACCTATCTACATGTTTTTATTCAAGTTATAGCATTTTAAGATACTGATAATATTGTTTTATGATGGGTTGGGAATATCCTAATTTAGAATAATCATTTACAGCTATATTATAGAGTATTGCCTCGTTCAATTGAAAAAGGGTTCCATCGGCTACAGGAGTTTCGCATTAATTCGAAGTATTTATTTGCGAGTTCGAATGATCAATGAAGTACGTAATTGATTTTAAAATAGAAGAGTCGTTATCTTGCATGGAAATCAATTAATAGAAAAATGATTATGCAGCAAATTAATTTAAATTATAAAATATCAATCCTGTGATTGTTTTTAGTGATGGCTCATCAATTTATTGAAAAATCCACCTTCAATTTTGATCAGTTCTTGATACTCCCCTTATTCTACTATTTCTCCTTACTCCATAACAACGATTTTGTCATAGATTTTGATATTTTCTAATCTATGAGTGATCACTAATAAAGTTCTATTTTCAGCAAACTTAAAGAGCAAATCGTGTAACAACTAGAAATTATTTATAATAATATGATACTTAATCTGTTTTAGGATCCATGTTTGAAGTGGCCTCGTCTAAACAAATAATCTCTTTGTTCATAAGAACAATTCTTAAAAAGTTAAGTACCTATTTCTCTCCATTTGATAGATTAGATCCATTTTAAGATATAACAAAATCTGCGTTGCAAGAATTGTTGTTTGTATTATTAATGCCTCTTAATTAAAATCCAGTGTCAATAAACAATTTCTCGATGGCTTCTTTGGTAGTTTTATTTTAAGGATCTAAATTATCTTTCACACTTGCATTATAGAGAAATCCAAATTGAGGTACTACAGATAATTAAGATCTCAATTCTCTTAGAGTCAATTTTGAAGACTAATAGATAAATAGAAATGATTACATCCATTCCATTTATAAAGATCTATCCATATTAATGATGGTAGAGTCCAAATAAGATATTTAAGATTGAAGTTTTTCCAGATCCTGTTCTTCCAACGAACGCTATTTTCTATCCTTTCTTGATTGTTAAGCAGAAGTTTTTTAAGGCAAATTTAGCTTCAGCGGAAACATTCTCATAAGTCAGAAAGATGTTCTTAAATGTAACAGCATTTTCTATTCTGTAATCAGTAAATTCTTTAACATCCTTCCAGATTTCAGAATCAACCTTGGGGAGTATTTGAACTTTGTCAATATTTTCAGTTTCATTGCTAAAATATTATTTAACTCTCTCCACAGAAACTATTCCTGATTCCATTCTTAAATATAAAGAGAATAAATCATAGAAACTATCTAGCACTACCATTGAATAAGTGATTGCCAAGGCTTAGACTGAGTAATCATCAGTAAAATCAAGTATTACGGTAAGAATGACAAAACTTGAAACGCAAATAAGAATTAGATTACTCATCAAATTTAATCTGACACCAAACCATAATTTTGATCTTTCTCCGCATTGATCTGTCATTACCCAATTTTACAATTTGTTTTAAAAGGTTTAGCAGAATAATGAATTTTTATCAAAGGCTCTTATTACTTTGATTCCAGTCAGAGTTTCATTGACTGTTTGAAGTAGAGATCCTTAATTGACTGATTTTAATCTCTTGATTTCTCTATTGGATTTAATGTAGGTTTTACTGACCTAATAATAAAGAGCAACAACTCCTATTAAGATCAATACGAAAATGGGTTCCAATATAATCAAACCTACAGACAACCCAGTCACTCTGCTAACATTCTCTAAAAAACAATGGAAGGTCCAACTTAAATCATCATCAATCATTTGTGTATCATCTTATATTCTGTTTATTATTCTTCCAGCATTTGTTTTATCGTAAAACTTCATTACAGATTACATTAGGACTTTGTTCAATCTAAAATTATCAACAATAATTATACTTAACAAATAGCACCCAAGCTGATCTCAATGCTGTTGAAACATATAAAACAGCTCTAACAAAAGTAATTAATAAGGCAAATAAAGTGAGATAGAGCAAAGTGTCAGTGAATGAATTATTAAAATGGATTGTAATTTAATGCAACCATGAGTCGCCATCTCCCTTCAATTCTGATTTCAACCAGAAATCAATTAAAGACATTGATCCTTACATAAAGAAATTCACGATAACCCATCCAATCAAAAGGAACCAACTCATACTACTAAAGTAAGTTAACCAAGTATTCATATTTATCTTTCCTTGTTCTCTTTATTCCTGGTTCTCCGTATCTTCTTCTTCCTCTTTATGTTGGAACTACTCCTTCTCAGATTTCTTAGAACTTTTCTATTTAATCAATTCTGGCAATGCTTCCTCTATTTCCTCTTCAATATTTGGTTTGTCCTCCTCTGGTTCTTATTCCTTCTCCAAGTATTCATTGATGATACTTCTATCATTGATGATCTATCCATTTTCTAAATATATTATCCTTGATTTCACAGCTGGAGGCACTTAATTTAAATATCTATAATGGGAAGTAATCAATAATACAGTTTTCCCATTATTTATTAGGAAGTCTAATACTGTTTTCTAGAATATTTGATCTGCAATGTGAATGTCCAAAGATGAGAATATATCATCAAATAAATAAATATCGCAATTTTAATAGAGTGCCCTTGCCAATGTGATTCTTTGCTTCTGTCCTCCACTCAAATTCTTACCATCAGGTCCGATTTCATGAAAATCTTACTTCTCAAAAGTCATGATGTCTTTCCTTATCTCGCAAACATCAATTACTTAATTATACAATTTCTAATTAAAAGGCAATCCAAATAATATATTGTCCCTTATGCTCATATTCTAAACCCAGGAAGTCTAAGAACAATAACCTATATTTCCCTTAATTATTATTTGATCACTAATTGTCAGCATTCTTTGTCCTGAGATTAATGAATCTGATCTAATTGAAATACTGTTGTACATTCCTTCATATTAGTTATACTTCTGTAGCTCATTCAAAATTGCATTGAACAAAGCACTCTTTCCTGATCCAATCTTACCAATTATAAAATTCAAAGTGTTTCTCTCTATCTTTAACTCATCAATCCTCAATAAGAATTATGAATTTTCATTAACTTAATTAAATACAATTACATCGTCACTAATTTAGTTCTTTTTCAATGCTCTTTTTTATTGTTCATTTTTTTCAATTGGCCATTCACATAGTAAACTCTCAATCAATATGACATCTCCCTCTTTGGCATAGGGCAACTAGAAACGATCATCGGGATCGATCTCCTGTTACTGAAGGAATTTCGAGATTCTACTAAAGGAGACATATGCCAATAATCCAGAGTTTATGCACCATGGTAAAATTCCTAAGGGAAAGATCATCATGTTGAAAACAGCGATTAAAGAAAAGATGTTCAAGTCAGAGAGGGATTTACCATTGTTCACGGATGATATTATATAGGTGCACAATAGAACATAGCTAACATTATTCCAAAATATTGAGCATAATCCATCAAATCCTTTTAACAAACTAAGCATAAAGAACTCCCAATTCCTGAATCCCATAATCTTTTTGCTAAAGGTTTCTTCCCATGAGAGATACTTGATTTATTTCATTCCTTCGATAACATCAGTTGATAACCCTACTCTCATATCTTTGTACTCTAACATCTTCTTTTCCGACCTCATCATGACTGCAGTAACAATTAGATTAAAAACTTGGGCACAAAGCATTGTAATTACAACTATTGTACCTGCATGAGAATCTAGATGATATAAAAATATTAAGCATCCGGTTATCAAAAGGATAGCTTCCCATGTATCTCTGATAGTAAAGTTGATCAGCATAATTTGATCCAAATCTGCAGTTAGGAGTGTCTAAAAATATATATTTCTATTTACATTGATATTGGCTGAATGACTGTCACTCTCGCCTTTGTTGCTGATGCACTGGACTCTCAAAGCTTTGTCGTATATCAAATATTCAGATATCAATCTAAGTCTAAGCACAAAGAGATTCACGAACTGATCTGTTTTGGCATTGAGGTATGTTCTTAATAATAATATCCTTTATATACTTGAGAAGAGAGAGACAAATAATACCGCAGATTGACAATATGGGTTGATACAACAATTCTCTGTTTAAATTTATTAAGGAATCTGTGGCATAATTTAACATTAGCAAATTTCCTAGCATAATAATGTCTGTGGCTGTCTGTACTCCAAGCAACTAGAAGGTTCTAAACAAGAAAAAGTGTCGAAAGATTTTTCTGTACAAATTTTTTGGCTTAGATTGTAAAATACTAATTATTCTTGAATGAAATTTACTCCTTTAATTCCTGGAGGATTTGCTCACAATCTGACTCTCTTATAACAAATTTCCTCAAATCACTGTTTTATATTTGTCCATCCATACCATTGATAGTGTTGATCAAGGGTGTGATTTCACTAAATAACCAGTTGTCTGATTTTACTTATTTGCTCAAGAATGATTATTCCATAAATATATAATATAATTTGGCTGATGTGGCAATTTTATGTATTATAAAAATTCTTTAATATTAATTTATTAGGAATCCTATTAATCAGAAACATAAATTCAAAGATATTAAGTGAGATTTCATTGCGAATCTAATAAGTTTCAAAAAAATAAAAAAATAATTAAATTATTTATTCTATATTCCTTATTCATAAAATAATAATATGGAAACAGTATTGAATTATTAATCAATTAAAATATAATCCATATTAAATTAATTGACTGTTATTCGAAATATATACACTCATTAATTTATAATGACATAAAGCAGTTCAACTCTTGACAATTGATTATTGTGTTTCGCAATTTCAAGCTCCTACAAAAAGTTATTTCTAGTTTTATTGCACAATTCCTTAATCATGATCTTATAAAGATCTTAGAATTAGAGATCTTTCTCCTTGATTCATACATATAATTTAATACTTCTATGCATAACCGCAATAATTATTGAAGGTATTTCTAGTAGTTCTCAATGACATGTGCATCTCCCAAATAAGTTTCCTAAACAGGTATAAATTGATTTATGTATGACAAAATGGAAAAAAGATGCTTTCTAGTTTCTTAATTCTATTCCCCTCCATATTGATCGATTGCATCAAAGCAAAAGAGTTGCAAGTTCGGCAATAAGTACTTCTGATTTTTACTATCCAATAGATGCTATAAAATAGTATAATTCAAATCTTACCTTTGATGAAGGGTAGGGCAAAAACAAATTGCAAAATTCACTAACGCAAACAACGATCATATTATATTACTTTCTGTAAAATTTCTAATAAGAACCACACAATGCTATGACAGTTCTAGTGTAATAGTCAAGTGACAGCTAATCTTTGCACATGGCTTTTCCGATATCTCTCTTCTTACTTAAATGTCCAGATATTGTCTTGAAGGTCACCAGCAAATTATCAAGCAATTTTTAAGTGAATTACTTTTGTTATAGAGAATTTAACCATTGTCCTCCTATTGCGCACAACTTTAGAATAATCTATATGTATAATTAGGAATGCTGTTATTCAAATGACTGCAACAAAAGTTATGTAAGTTTGAGAATGAAGTCACAGGGTTCAGGCAATGAATTTGGGAGTATAAAATCATAAAGCAAATCAGTTAAATGATATGCTTAAGTAGAACCATTATGTAATTAATGAATAAGTTCTGAAATCACATTTTTCCATCCTGAATCTCCAAATAAAAAGTCATTCTTAAAATTATCAGCTTTCAATAATCTTACTCTCTCACTATACTGAAGTTTTTAAGTTTATTAAATTTATTGATTCAACAGTATGGCATTGAAATTCTGTATATAATTAATTACATTATCTAGTAAGTTTAATTAATATTAATATTTCTCGTTGAAGGCTGTCACTTCATCCTAAGTGCCCATTTTTTCAATTGACTTTTTAACTGTATTGAGTAACTAAATGTTTGAATATTATAAAATACATCCTAAATTTCTAGATAATTGATTGTTGAAATGCTCTCTATCATGCTATTTTCGCATAAAAGATCTACTATATTACTCAGCAATTCCATTTTGGTTCCGATTCCCTGAAAAGTTGCTTCAATAGCTCCTTGACAAAGCCAACTTAAAGCTTAAGTGGCACTTCTAATATATTGTTCATCCCTTATATATCTGCCCCTCATACTTGAGAAGATAATAAATGAATAAGAAGTATAATCACAGAATCTTCCCAATAATTAATAAGTTTTTTGTAACTAAATAATAGTAATAGATGCTTACATTTAATTGAACATTCTTTTCTATCTTAGTTTAACCTGGTTTAATGGCCATGATTGTATTGGGTATAAAGTTATCCAAAAACTAAGTCATGTAATCCTCACTGAATAAAACACCTAGAGTCATTAGATGACTAGCTCTTAATCTATTTTCTTCATTGTTATCCACTATCTCTTTATAAATAGCTGGCCACATTTTTCTCACTTGATTCTTGATGAATCCTCTCATTCCCAATTTAGGTCTTTCCTTAAAAGGAGGAGGTAATGGCAATTATGATAATTTGCCATCTAGTATCCAAGCAGGTTCTATTCCTAATTGTCTAACATTTTTGATATCCTTCTCCTTTTCGATCTCCCACTCTTTGCCAACATCTTCAATTATCTATAAAGCTGCCTCTTGAATTGATGGATCACTGTCAAAGAGTCCAGATAGAAGATAAGGAACAAGTCTTGGGTGATGATCCCACCTATCTGCTAACCCTCTCAACCAAAATCCAATCTCCTTGATGAAGGCTTGCCTCACTTATTATTTTGGATCTATGATTAATGTGGCCTAATTTTATATTAATAAATCTTCTTTACAAAATAATTAATATGATGCATAGGTTCAAAGAAGGCTTTTATAGGAACTGAGTTGGGATCTTTGAAGCCTGTCAATATTTCAAAGACGAAAGCATTATTTTTCCATACTCCGCATAAGAGAACAGCTGATAGAGCCTCCAGAGCTGCTATCCTCACTGGACTCTTCTTATTCACAAGTGGATGGAGAATAGCTCTTCCCATTTTCTCTGTAAAATGCAAGAGCATTTAATGGTTAACCTTGCAAAACTTACCCAGGCTCTTACAAGCTTCTCTTTAGACTTCTCCAAAGGGATCCATTAAAAAGGCTCTATGAATATCTACTATGTCATCGATATATTCATGTAAATTATCACTATCATTTTTACACATAATCGAATATAAGAATTAGATCAGCAGTAAACGAATCTTGAGATAGCATCATAGATTTACTTCTTCTGATTCTTCAACAAATTTCATGAGTCTTGTGGGCAATTATGAGGGAGGTGGTCTCATTACTTCAGGTAGATGACTGATTCCTTCCAAGTCCTAGCAATTGCTTCTTTCTATCAAGACTGAAAAAACATAACTCAATATGGGTTCATTATCCTCTGAATTCGTTATCAATCTAGGGATATGACTTAATTGATACTCAATCATTGATTTTATGGACATTTCTCGAACCTTTTCATTTGTATCAGAGAAAGCCTTCAAAAGTACTTTGCCATATTTTAAAAGTATTTGTTATGACAATGCTAATGTTATTGATTTTTCTTTTACAATCAGATTGAGCTATATTAGGATCTGTAACTTTTTAATATATCTAAGTGATTGCTGTTTTTCTCAAAGTTGGATTTTATTCATGCAAGGCATTCGCATTCTATTTGAAAAAGGATTCCAATTCCTAAATTTGTATACAAATTCATACTAGATTGTCGCCGATTATGAAATCGTTCATTTAATTTAAAAATATATTATTAATTGATTATTTTCCATTATTAAGAAAAAATTATTAGAAGGTAAGGAATTATTGAAATATACCAATTATTAGGTATCTTTGATATTAAGGAGGTGTAAGTGAAATGATATGTAGTATGTAATTATAAAAATTTGTTATTTATCATAAGGCTGTGTTTCTCGGTTTAATTATTATAATATGTTAAACAAAATAACTCAAGTTTATCGACTTTCGAATCTTAAGTTGCATTATCCAAAAGGATTCGCTAAGATTTTTAAGATACCTCATCATGCAACTACAAGTGACATCGTCTAATTAATCAAATAGGAGGAGCAAAGTTTCTAAAATGTAAAAATTACAATGGGGGACAAAGATATGACTGATCAATAATTGCCTTTTGTTGACTTAGTATTGCACAACACTCCTTCAATAAATATTGACGATGTGAATTTCTCATTTGAATTAGATTTAAATGGTTGCGCACCATATTACATGAATTCTGAATTGGAAACAGCTTTTGGACAACTGGAGATTCCATATTTCGATGCCTTGGTGATTGCTAGATTCCACGAATTAATGGTTTAGCAACTGAATCCTAACAAGCAATCTCACAGTCCAGTTGAGATAGAAAATGCAATTTAAAAAGCTTTGGCAAAATTTGCAGAAGAAAATGCCACTAGTTCTTAGTTCTGGTAATTGTAGTAGACAGTGTTGCAGAACTTGGATCAGGTAATAATGTACTACGAGAAAATAGTGGCTGAAGTAACCGAAGAAGCAACTAAAGTATTTATTGGATCTCAATATTTTTATAGCAAGGTCACAAATTGTTGAAATAACTCATAGTGTTTGCTTTGATTTAGTATTTCTTTCTGCTTTATTTGACCTATGGAATATACGATTGGGGAGTGTCAGAACCAATATCATATTTGTTGGCTTAGGTGATGGAAACAGTTGCCTTGTTCTACTTCATCAAGAAGGGAAGGGCGTTTAAGCAGACCCATTTATTTAAAAACAAATTCGATAAGACGTTCTATGAACTCATTAATAAGAAAACTAATTCGACATATTTCATGAAGGACCTTGAATTTGCCAAGCTAAAGGCCGACCTAATTTAAGCTAAGATAGTGTATGGGACAACATCAGTTTGAATGTCATAACAGGATTATCATTTTACAAATATAACAATAAATATAAATATAATTAATTGGAATTCATTCTATTGATAACACACTATGTAAATTATTCTTCTCCTATCACAACTCCTGATTACATTTGCTACTAAATTTAATGAATTCAACCATACCTTAACACTCAAAGACATAAAGAGAAACATCTCATTCCAATCGTAATACATTTTTAACTTTTAGATAGTAATACTTGGGCATGGATATACTTCCGAACGAACCTGAGAATTTATAACAACTATAACCCTTAACTTATTAGGAGACGAGAGCAATGTTTTATTTCAAGCAAGCCTTCAATAATTCGTTTATTGGTCTGAAGAATAACGATTCTATAATTTATGCTCTACACAAAAATTGCACATTAGTGTTTATTTCTCCAGAGAACTATTCTCACTCTCAAGAGTTTAAACCTAATTGTCTCTAATTATTAATTGACCAAGATCAGAGTCATCTTGCCATTATTTACCCAGACTCTATAATTCTATACAACACGGAAACAGATTAGGTCGAAACTTTGGAGTACAACTATAGCGATACAGTTACTGATATCAGACTCATACAGAAGTACATCCTGATATCTAAGGGTTTACAAGGTGTGGATATGTTGACCTTTCAGGGAGAACTTATCCTAAATAATTTTATGGCCAATAGAAATATTTTGCAATCATCCATTCATGCCAACAGATTATTATTACTATTTGATGGAGGCTTGCTCATTTTTAACTTTAAATTAAGTCCTCGATTAATTAATGAAATTTAAATAGGTGACTGTGTAAGTTTTGAACATAACAATAAACTTTTCATTATTTAAACTAAAACTAAAATTTTGGAATATTTTTGGAAAAATCTTATAGTCAATCAAGAAATTAACACTTAATTTGAGGTCACTAGCATTTCACTCCATTAGGAATACCTATAATTTATATCCAATGGACTTCTTTATCAGAAGCTAATTGGCATTGTTAAGGACGATTTCAATCTCAATAAAATCCATACAGCAACATACGAAACCAACTCTACTCGCATTGTAGGGTATTATAATAAGAATTAATTGATTTTGTAGAATGATTAATAATTCGAGATAGTATTTTGGCATTTCCGGCCGGCCTTTTTAATTTTTTAACCTCAAAATACAGGATTGTTGACCTGTCTAGTCGATCTGTATTAGAAGGATACCAGAAACTATAATTCAACTGTAGAAATTGCTCACTATAAAATCTTTATTGAAGTTGTAGAGGAAGAGGTGACAACTTTCGAAATCATTATAGTCATAGTAGCTATATTTGCTTCAATAATACTAATTTATATTATCAGGAGAACTGCGTTAAAGTGCAAACAAAATAGAAAAAAAAACCCCGAACAAGAGTCAGTTATTAGCGCTAAAGAAGAATTTAATTAGGTTTCTGAAAGTTAGCCTCAAGAGGAAATTTAAGTTTTGAACACCAAATGAGATTATTTTTATCAATCTGTTATTACGTACAATCCAAAAGTATAGGCTTCATTCTATTTATAAAAAGAATACTTTCTTATTTTAATACATTTATTAAAACATATAATGTCTTAGTCATAGTAAAAGGAAATAACAGATTATTGTGTTAATGTTCTGAAATGGACCAGAGATCAAGTCCAAGTGTATGGGCCTTAATGTTCATGGGATAAGGAAAAGATGATAAAAACTTATAACAGCTTTCTCCCCGATAATCTTCAAGGCAGACCTCAGGCAGTAAATTCACATCAATTATTGTTTAGCAAATAATTGATTAGGAAGCGCCGAATCAACTTGAAATTGATGAGGACGAATAATTGCAATAAGCATTAATTGCTTCTTAATTTGAATAAGACAATATACCAATCAGAGATAGATTAAAACATGATTACTACCCTGTAGGGATATAGAACTTGGGGAACACTTGCTATTTCAATTGTCTTTTATAGATAGTTTTTTATAATCCTAAATTGGTTGAAGAGATTTTGTAGTATAAATCATAAGAAAATAATCCACCTGGAGAAAATCTTCAGCACCTCAGTCAGAATTTTATGATTCAACTTCAGCATGTAATTGCTTAATAAATGCTATGGAATTAGAAGTATTTGAAGCCAATATTATTCTATGAGGCTACAGCAAAGTTTGAGAAGCAGAAACCGAATTAAAAAGTGGTTTCAAATAACGAGTTTAGAGATTTAAGTGAATACTTTACTTTCTTTATGGAACTAATTGATTAATCTCTCAGCAGGAATTTCAATAAGCTGAATGATGAAATCAACTTCTTTTATAATCAATAGTTGGAAATGCAATATATTATAAAGCAAGACAAATAGCCTTAATTGTAATGGCATGTGGGCATATAGCACAAGCAAATCTATAGTTTTTTATATAAAGAAATCATTGAAAACAAAACCTAAATAAAAGAGCTGCCTAGAAATCTTATTTTCACAATAGGAAGAACAGATCATTAAAATAAAAAAATAGAGGATGAGTTCCATTTTCCTTAGGAATTGTATTTAGATTTTGTTTTGGGCAATTAATAAGCTACTGAACATGTTTAGAAATATATCAATTAATAATACTAAACCTATAAAGTTCATCAATAAAGTAAACTAATCCATCTATCTTTATAGTAAAAAAGCAAGTGGATGCCTTTGAGAAAGTTATCAATTACTATGAATCACTCCCAACTTTTGATACGTTTATTCTCAACAGTTTGAAGTTCGAGCACAAACAGAAGATTTAAGAAATGAAACAATATTTTCCATTGAATTACCATCTCCTGAATTAGGAGTTAGAAAAGTCTTCTAAGCATCTATATCAATTGGCTCAAATAGTTATTCACACAGGTAGTATTAATTAGGGTCATTACTATTTGTATCAATACAATTTCCATATGAAGAAATGGTTTAAATACAATGACTCAGTCGTTTTAATCTAAACAGAATAAGAAATAATGAGTGATTCCATTAGATAAGGAAATATTCTCATTTACATAAATTAGGAACAAAAAAAGAAAGTGGTACAATATTAATAACAATTATATGATATTGAAACCATTAGAAAAATAAGGGGTGATTAATTGCTGAAATAGGATAATCACCAATATGATTACTTGTCCATGATTCCAAATCATATAGGCAAGGAAGTAATATAAAGCAACACCACCTTTCAAAACCAATATAACGAAATAAATAAATGAAAAATATATGATTGTGTCATGATAGTAAATGTTATCTATCACTCAAATAAAAGATCAAATTTATTATAAATCCTAAATTTTATTGTACGATTATAGATAATAAATCTCATTTTTTTGCTTATTATGCTGCTAAATCTTCGTCCATTTGTTTGAGTTAAGCACCACCTCTAAGAAGACCTGATCTTCTGGCAGCAACCAAACCAACCTTTTGTCCTGGTGGGGCATATCTGGAAAGAGTTGATGGATGACCAATGTGTTGTTAGTTACCACCACCATGAGGATGGTCGACTGGATTCATAGCCACACCTCTAACCTTGGGCCAGCATTTTCTGAGTCTTCTGTATTTGTGGAATTGTCTTCCTGCCTTGAGGATAGGCTTTTCAGTTCTACCTCCACCAGCAATCAATCCTAATTTATAGATTTCTCATATACCTACTGTGGCTCTGCAGAGGGCACTGAGAGTTTTTCTTGTGCCAGATGGTAATCTGACTCTAGTAGTTGTGCCATCATCTGAATGACCAATAATGGTAGCATAACAACCAGTGGCTCTTCCCAAGGCTCCTTTGTCTCCTGGATGTTCTTCCAAGTTGCAGACGACTGTACCTTCAGGGATTTAACCAATTGGAAGTACATTTCCTGTGGCTAATTGAGCTATTAAGGGTATACAAACAATAAAAGTACCTTTAGCTCCGCAGTAAATATATTAGCCAGTGTATGATCCTTCAGGAGCAATGAAGAGTTTGGTGACCTTCTTGTATTTGTATGGATCATTGAATTCCACCTTGGCCAATGGAGCACCTCTTCCTGGATCGTGGATGATTTCTGAAATCACACCTCTCACATAGCCGTGTCTCTCAGCGTAATCAAGATGTCTGTATTATGGGCTACCAACCCTTTAGTTTTGATGAGCCTTGAAGACACTGTTGGACTTTCCTTTTCTCTATGCTCTAATTCTCTTGCCCATATTTAAAAGATTTTAAATTTTGTTTTCCGAGTGTAAATATTTTGAATAACATCATTAATTCTGGAAGTTTATAAACAATCACATGGCATCCAATCATAATTGTTTTTTAGATTTTAAATAGAAACTTTAATCTCAAAATACACATAATCAAATGATCATATAGTTTCTTAATTTTAATTTCTATTCTATTCCTTATTCTACTCTTCCGACTGAATATTCGCATCAACCTCAAGCTGAACATCCTTCTATTAATACAATTAGTCGATTCCATCTTATCCCAACTCAAAGTTATTGATTTTCTGAGCCTTTTCGAAATACTGAGTTTTGAATTGTTGCCATGATTCATTTTGCAGGTACTATTACAGATACTCATAATTCTCGGCCTTCTCCACTATGAAGATTCCCAAGAGAGTTATAAAGCCCAACTATCCCTTCCTTTGTTTTTCTTGATTGTCCACTTTATTGGTGCATTGTATCAATAATTAAATAAATTAGTTTTCTTCAAACAACTAAATTCAATTTAATATTTTACATTCTTAATGAGGATATCTATTTAATTTTCTATCATCTAAGAAATCAAATTGAAATATTAGAAATGCAGTATGTCGTGCTATTCATAAGTTAGAAATAATTAATTGTACACTTTGAATACGTTACATTAATAAAGTCTATTGATAAATGACTAATTATTTAAGGAAACTCCAACTCCAATTATTTCAAGTAGTTTTAGTTTTTATTAGCCCAAGATGGGAGATTTCTGATTTAATAGATACTCAACCCAATCAGTGCAATATGGTTCTATTCTTGAAAATACCATATCCACATCTATTTTTGGGCCCTTGGGTTAAGGCTCGTAATTTTACATAGAGGTTTATTTTAAGAATTAAAGTAAATTGTTAAGTATGGTGCTTGAGGATAAGGAAATATAATTATCCTTGACTGAAATTGTTTAACAAAGTTTATTGATGAATTCTCCAAAAATGATGTCCATATACCATTGTTAATAATCCTCTACTTTAATCAATTCTTAGATTATATATGAAACGTTAGACGATATCTCAAAATAAATAAATTATTTACTTCAAAATTAGTGGAATCATCTATTCTTTTTAGAATAGACTAAAGGAGATTTATTTTTTCATTTTAGTATTATTCTGATTAAACCTTTAATAAATAAAGTAGAAAGTCTGAGACAGAGCGAGATTACAATTATCTGATCATCCCCTCTTAAACTTATTGATTCTGAAAGCATTCCCCTACAACGATCTCACCTTAGATTTGTTCAAGCACATTTATGACAAACCCAGCAAGAACCGAATTAACATCTTGATCCTAAGAAAAAAAATTGAGCAACTTATAAAGAAGTCGTCTTTAAGTCTTAGATATATAATTTACTTATCATTCTCAATGAAATACTATGGTTTTACTTGTCCAACGAAACACAAGAGGGCATTCGAATAAAATGGATATCTATATGCTCTCTTCGAATTTGAATCATCATCAGGCATTTCCGTTATATATTTGATCAATTCAAGCACTTATTCTTCTTGAACACTATTAATCTACTGATTGTATTACAAATCTAAAAGTTTTGTATTCTAAGATTGAGCCTCGCATATTAAGTTGTCATCGTCTAACAAAGTGGTCAATTGTAAGTCTTCATTCTAAAAGTGAAGGTCAAAAGTAGGGCTTCGAAAGAATAACCAATGAAAGCTACTTTGATGTACTAAATACATACTTTCCAAACATGAGAATTTATTATAATAATGGAATAATTAGCTGATTAATTGATCAATTAGAATTAATACGAAGAAGCATTCGATCTTTATCAGTAATGTGAATAATCATCCCCAATACTGATAAAACAAGCCTAACTGGCCACCAAGATTGGACTATTTAAACAGGCCATCAACTTTTATTAATTGGCATATCAAAAAGGAGAGAAAAGGAATGAACTGCTAATCAAGATAGGTAAACATTAAAGAATACAAGCACATAAGGGAAATTGTAAACTCAAATAGGCAACTATACTTAGGCCATCCAAACTTATAACCAAATCTTGAATGTTGATGAAAACAATCCCATAGCTATGGGTGAATTAGGTTTAAACTTAAAATATGATAGGATATACTCTTTACTGCAAGGAGGATCATGTATAAGCTATCTCTCAATTTACAAAATGCTCCAAATATATTTCTATAGTTCCTAAATTCCTTAGTAAATTAGGAGAAGAACTTAAAAGTGAATATAAATATAATACTGCCAAACTCTACTATTTGACAGCCTATTAGATTAAAAAGGACTTTAAAGATTCTCTATTTGGATTGATTGACACTTGTCTTAAACTAGAAGAGTATGAATAGTCTTTATAATATTGCCAAATTCTTTTGTAATTGGATCCTAATTGTATTATAGCAAATTTAAGAAAATGTATGTAATTTATAATCTTGAAGTAAAACTAAAGATCCTCACTAATAAGATTGAAGAAGCTGAACAAGTAGCTAATTAATTAGATGGAGTTCCTCTTAATTATTAGACTGAATATTAATTGGTTGACTTGAAAGGCTTAATACTATTTAAGAAATAATAATATTTGGATTGCATAGCTTACCTAAAAGATTTCATAGAATAAGACCAATATTAAATAAAATTGATAGTCACCGTGGCTAAATGCTATTACAAGCTTGAAAGATATGAAGAGGCGCTCAATCAATTGGAAATGGTATTTGATGTTTATCAGCATTATTATCCAGCATTATAATTGTAGTGTAAAAATACATTCTTTGCTTAGATGAGATATTGATTCACACTAATAAATTAAAGGAGGCGGAAATAATTAAATAAACAATTGATATTCAATATCTATGATTTTATTTAGAATCAGAAATTTAGGGGAGTAAATGGGCATAGTCATTGATTAGAACATTTTTTACATGTATTCTAAGTTTCTCCATCATCTTTTTGGTAGCTTGGTAATCGATCTCATTAACCTTTTTATCGCAGTATTTGTATTATAGTAGTGTATTGTAAATAGAGTGAATTCCACAATCAAAATTATTATGTTATTGCCCTACTTCTACAATTTTAAGTTTTTCTGAATTATTTTTTGCTTTGCTAATGGAAGGGATAATCTTTACAACTTTCTGTAAGATAATTTTATCTTGAAGAATATTTTTCTATGAATTCAATAGGAAGAGTTACTAATTTTAGCATACCAACACTAAAAAGTGTACTCTATCAACATTCATTATAAAAATTAATTTCTTGATATCAGAGATTAGACAATTAATTTCTAGGAGTTTTGGTGGAATTATGGGTTTCGAATCCTTTGCAATCATCTAACTTGAAAAGATGTCCTGGCATTCGATTGTATTAAGATGGTAGATTGATTCTGCAAGGGAATCCTTGTAGTAGTCAATGACCAATTGCAGATAATAATCTACTATTAATTGATTAAGCCATTCTCCATAATAGAGACCTTTGAAAGTAAAGTTATTAATTGAATAATCCTAATGATTGAACAGATAACGAGTAGTCGTACTAAGTTTCTTTTATTGATTGTCGTAAGTTTATCCGTCAAAATTTTACATTATTCCATTTTTGTAGTATTTATATTCTTGTTTGCCAGCGGTTTTCTACTTCTCAGTGAACAATCCTTACTTCAAATCGTTTTCAAAAAAACCCTGAATTAGTTAGTTATTGTTTTCTTCCTCGTATTTGCCATGTTTCTATCCCCATGAGTAATAGCATTTAATTTTGGAACTTAATTACGACTTTTCTAAGGTGCAAAGATCACAAGCAAATCCATCTGCGAAAAATCCTTCAAATCTTTCAGTCTTGCTCTTAAATACACCCTTTCCATAGGGTAAAAAATGAAATCCATCTATATCGCCTTCATAAACAGTGAATTCAGTTTCTTCAAAGTCTTTGGGAATAGAAATAAAGTTCTGGCAGTTTACATAGAGTTTAGAATCCCTTAAGAGTGCAAATTCTCCTTGATCTACATTATTAATAATACTACAAGGTTTACAATTTTATTTTACATATTTCCATTCGGTCTCAATATTAACCTTTTGCATTGCTAGTCAGGATTAATGCGTTTAATAACTTTATACATTGTCTTTCGAATTTAACCTTGTCTGTCATATATTTTTGCCTGGTTATTATTCCTGTCATCTGTCATTTTACTTTTACTTTCTAACTATTAAATATTTAATTTGTTTTATATATACTATAATAAAAATCAATTACTTTGTTCAGAATCACTTGAATCTTATTGATTTATAGAGTATTCAGTGACTAGATCGAAAATCTCATCCTGAGTCTGTTTATCTAAAAGCTAGAGATCAAATTCTATCTAAAGTTGAATTAGAATAATTACTTAATATTTCCCTCTCTCTAAATCCACGATATTCACAGGATTGTCTTACTCTAGGAAGTCTTCCAGTCCAGTACTTTTGCTCTACTGAATATAGACATCTTCTTCTGCCTCCAATTCTCCAATGAAACAACGCAACTTGTTACCCTGTAAACCGTGAGATAATAATCGAGGATAAATGAACATAAAAGATTTGCCATTCAGATTCAATGATTACCACAATTCCTTTTTTTGTCCATGCTTAACTTGAATGGTTTCAACTAGTTATCTCTCTTAAGGAGACAATTCTTCCATCTTTTTCGGGAAGTTGAACCAACATATTCTGACATTCGTGATAAAAAGGGATCCAGGAATTGGCTCTAATGAAATTTAAGCGTCGTTTTATCCATAAATTTTGGCTTTGATATTTTAAAACAAGTGAAGTTTTTCCTCATTCTACAGCAAATCGAAAGGGTATGCAATACCATTCATATTCTGTTATAAAAAAATAAATATAATTGTAAAATATGTTCTGCCTTTGTGGATTGACAAAGAAAAACAAAGAATAGGAACATGCTTAAAACACAAATAGAACTACTCTTTAATCCAAAATGAATTTAAATAATCCTGCCAGTCGAAATAGTATTAACATTGCTCAAGACTGCAATAGAGTTAGTCAAGAATACACAGATTTTTTGTATGAGTACGATAAAAGTTAATAAGAAAAGTCTTAATTCTTTGATGAATATGAATGTTCCCCTTACTAAAAACTAGAAGTAGCATATTTTATGTTTAAATTAAGGAATCAAAAACTGATTATGAAGAATCTATGTTAATGCATTAAGGAGATGGATTATTAGTGAAATCAATCAAAGTCAATCAATAATCCATCGCAAAATTGAAAGATACATTTACAGCGTTTATAATGAGAATTCTCTATGATATTAAGTCGTTCTTTGATGTACTTAAATTCCAATTGTATTAAAATAGATCACTCCTCTTTAGGAAGTCAAATTTGTAAAATCACTTGTGCCCAATATCCTGACTGAGTTGACCTATCGAAGAGTCAAAAATGATAAACTATTGATTGCTCATGATCCGACAGGAAGCTTCTTGCTTAAGCACCTCTCGTCCAGTCAATAGATATATTTCATAGAAGAAACTCAAGTCTTTAGACCAATCTTAGAAAAAGGAATTGAAGTTTTGAATTGCTAGAATAAGTTACATTTCATATCTAAATCTGATATCACCGTTAAACTAGACACTGCCATTGTGAGTAAAATAAGCTATTTATACTTTTAGATTTACTGTTCCTTCACGATATCCCTATATACAGTGTGATTTGGGAGTACTTGGATTTGGCACATGATCTCATATTAATCCTCTCTCCAAAGTTAGAGTATCATGAAATGATATCACAATTGAGGCAAGGAATAAAGGATAGTGCACAGTCGCATATCTACTGCAGTGTAGAAATTCAGTCAGTCTATGAATACAACAAGCTCGTAGCCTTTATTGTTTACTATGGCGATATATCAGAAATTAAACAAAATTAACAATTGCATTTTCTATACAAATGCATATCCAAGACAGTTCAGAAAACATTTAAATACAAAGAGTTTCTGAAAAATTTGAGGAGTCAGATTGGAGTGATGAAATTGGTTGACTTGTTTTCTCTTTACGGTCTATTATTAGATAGTTCGGATGAGAATTTCAAGCGATTCTATAAGCAAGTTAAGATATAATACTTTCCGAAAATCAAATCTCAAAAGTTCATATAAGTTGATAGCACCAAATCATCCACTGAATCTGAGAGTGAAGGTATTCAAGAGATAGAATCTACAAACTCCCTTTTTTCTGAAATCAAATTGCCAAGTAAAAGTGAATCAATACATATGTCCAACTATGTTTACGTTCACTTCCATTCATAAAACAGTTAGAAATCAACTCAGTAAGAAGAACAAATTAAAATCAGTCAATGATGTTTATTTATTATTATTTATAACTAAAAGTACTTTGGGAAATAAATTCCATATACTAAGTTATATTATGCAATTATTTCATCTAATCGAATTGGTTTTGCCCTTTTACGGTTCTAATTGACTTTTTCAGCAAAAGGGTTTAGTTGGTTTGAATCTTTAGATATAGTGTAGCTTAGTAATTATTTAATAATTTTTATATTTTATAATGAAGACGAAACCCAAAATGAATCAATCAACTTCAGCTAAGAAATTGAACACTCAATTACCATCTGATTCTTTAAGGAGTAGTCAAATTAAGGAGGAAATTCGGGATGATTTGACATCTTGGGACAGTAGATTTGAATCGACAGCCATAGATTACCCCTTATCTAAATATATGAATCCGAATAAATTAACAAAAAAAGTATTTAATCAAACACATTCAAGAAAGGAATCCCTGATACAAGTAGAGAGTAGAGTGCAAGGTTGAAGAAGTCCAATACAAATTCTACTCTCATATCTAGTCCTCGTCTGATGTCCCCCAAGGAACAAGTTGAAGTGATTCATTATCTAGAATTAAAAAATAAGACTCTACTTGAAGAAAATAAGAGAAAGGAGCATCTTATTGCAAAGCTCTTGAAGAATAAATCACCACCAAAATAAAATATTAAAATAGCTCTATAGTATCCTCCCAAGTCTGCTGAATTATGCTCTCCTGCTACTCGATTCCCATAATTAGCCACTCCGCAATCAAATGAATTCTAAGTTCCAATGTTTTAGAAGAACCCTTAAGTTAAAGTGATTCAAAACGATTAAAATTATAGTTTTGGAAAATTGCAAGACGAAGAACGAGACAACAAGACTAAGTCTTAATTTGCTAAAATCGTAAATGCTGGTGGTAATTAAAAGTCAATAATTAAAACTAATTTTTCAAAGCCTCTCCTTAAATTGCCAAAAGAGTTTCATCCTCAATCTTGGAATTCAATTAAAAAATGATAAAAATAATTATATATCGTCATGTAATAATATATATGTTCTAATTGTATTTGTGAACCTGTATGTGTTCGTTAGGGTTTCCCGGATTGAATTATAAAAATAATTTATATATTATGTGAATTTATTTTGACACATCACACTAAAATTGAAACTTGCTAAATAACGCATTCATCTCATCAACGTAGAATTATTGTTATATATATTCCTACTTAGTCTATATTGTTTCTTGAAACAATTTTTGAATATTTTGAGCAAGACAGTTAATGATAAGTTAATGATGTCATTTAAATTCAGTCAGATTCTTTGGTTATTACAATAAGTGTGCGTAGTTTATTGATTTGATTATTATAAAAAATAATTGATGGATTAAAATAAAAGCATTCCAGAAGAAAGGTATTAGTTGGAGATCTTTGTGAAAGCCAAGAATCTGAAGGACATGGACACCTTCTCAAAAAGTGATCCTTTTTGCAGACTTTTGCATACAATTTAAGGAGAAAAGGAAAAGTGCGAAGGAGATACTGAGTTTCTGAAGAACAATCTCAATCCATGTTGGGAAAAGAGCTTTGTCATAGATTACATCTTTGAATTGAACCAAAAACTAGTTTTTCAAGTTTGGGATAAGAACTAATCTGCTGGATCCGACGATTTGTTGATGGGGGAGATTCAGACAACAGTAGCAGATATTGTGGGAGCAAAAGACATGAAGTGTGAATTCGAATTGAAAGGTAAGAAAGGACAAACTGTTGGTACTCTGATAGTAAATATTGACAAGTAGCCAGAAGATAATCAATTTTTGTAGTTGACTTGGATAGGAAAAGAATTGATGAAGTAAGAATTTGAATATTGATAATCTAGTACCGATGGTTTCTTTGGCAAGAGTGATCCATTCCTTAAATTCTTTAAAAAAGTTGGAGATGACTGGTTACCTGTTCATAAAACAGAGATGATAAAGGACAATCTAAATCCTGAATGGAAATCATTTTAGATATCTTTTAGAAGATTGAGTGGAGGCAAATTGGAATAGAAGTTCAAGGTGGAATGTTGGGATGTTCATGAAAAGGGTACAAATAATCAATACATGGGGCATTTTGAAACTTCAATCCATGAATTAATCAATGATAATAAAAGTGAATTCAATTTGGAATATCAAGCCAATAAATCTGGAGGTAAGATTATTTTGAAAGAGAAGAAGGTCATAAAGAGACCTACATTTATGGACTTCTTGAGAGATGGAGAATAGATCAATTTAATCATAGGAGTAGATTATACAGCTTAGAATGGTAATCCCAATTTCCCAGATTCATTACATGCTTTCAAGACCTAAAATGGCAATCCATATGAAACTGCCATTAGAGCATGTGCATAAGTCTTATTGAATTACGATTACGATAAGAAAGTAGCAATGTATGGTTTCGGTGCTGTTCCTCATCTACCAAATTACAATGTTAATGAAACAGAACAATGGTATCTATTCCAGTAACACAATTAGTTTCCCATTAACAGGTGATTTCTAAAAGCCAGAGGTATATGGTTTGGAGGGACTCATAAATTTATACAAATAAACCTTACCCAATTTACAGTTTTCTGGACCTGGTTGTCTAGGAGAAATCTTGAATTACTCCAAATAGATAGCTGAATTCAATGCTAAGAAGAAGATCTATACCGTTCTTTTGATATTGACTTGTGGATAAATCCATGATTTGCATCAAAGTACAGAAATTATTTCTTAATGTATATGAGATCATAACTAACAATAGGTGCTAATGTTCCAATGTCAGTTATTTTGGTGGGAGTGGGAGACTTCGATTTCAAAAAACTTGAAATCTTAGACTAAGATTAGAAGCAATTACAAAAGGAGGTCTTGACAAGGAATGTCGTTTAATTTGTTCCGTTTGCTTCTTTTTCTCATAGTTTACCTATTTTATAACGGGAATTGCTTGCTGAACTTCCTCATCAATTGACAGACTATAAATCCCTATTAGGTTTAGTACCAAGCAAATGATGGAAAATGTATCATTATAAATAAATTAACATAAAAATATTATGAGTAGTTTATCGCAATAATAATAATCCTCGCTTCCTGTAATCAAGAACAAATTGCATGTGGGTGAGAACCTCATGTATTAGATTCACAAAAGAGCCTTGTAAGAATATCTAAAAAGTGGGAATATCGATTAGAGAATTGTGTCAATGAATTTACTAAATGTAAGTTAATTGAAGAATGAAGAACTCAATGTGTTGCACCAATCTCTAAGTACAAAGAACTAAAAATTGGAAGGAGATGCAGGCAAAATATTGTCCAAGGTATTTCCATCATCTCATACTCTTTAGTTTAGACCGAAAGTAAAATCTAATGGGTTGCCACTCTATTTCAAGAAACCTGATTATTCACATGAAGATCAAGAACTCAACCAATTGGAAGAACATCTGTACAGAATTCTGTTATGAAATTAGCAAAATCGTACTCAAATCCAAATTGAACACCTGCAAAGTCTTTAATGGAACCTATCTCGTGGATCCATCGATCTAAGATCTTCAAAGGACCAATCAAAAATCTAAACCACCTCAACAACTCATATACTTCCCAGCCATCAAACGACAACCAAGCCAAGGTAATCTAAGAGACACTCAATAAATCAAACAAGTTGTCAATTAAAGATTGCATGATTCCTAATTAACTTTGCAAGAACTAAGAGAAAGATATAAAGAATCTAAGTTGACTGACTTCTAAAAGTATTTTTTTTAATTGATTGATGAGGGGGATGTCGGTGAATTGCAATCTTTATTCAAACAAAAGGAAATATCCTAAAACATTCTTAATAGTCCAAATCATAAAGGTTACTACCCTGTTCACTTGGCTATCAGACAAAAGGATCCTCAATTATTTAAGTTGTTCTTGCAAAACGGTGCTGATTTGAGTGTGTTAACAAGGAAAAAGAAATCGATCAAATAATTATTAGAAATTTATTATAATGATGAAATCTACGAATTAATTAATGGAAAGAAGAAAGGGAAACTACAATTATGAAGTAATTTATAATTTAATTTAATCAACATGTATTTCTCTGACATTACAAACTTTGAAAAGTCCTTCCGTAACATCCAAACCAAGTCCCCTATTTCTCAGAATACCATCCCTGTCACTCCGATGAAAAAACACTAAGTGAATTACATGGATACATAGAATTTGCAATTTGAGTGGATTTAATTGGATGACTTTGAGTAGGAAATCATGAATGAAAGCGATTCAAATCCCTTCCAATACTCGTACTATGAACAAACATAATGGTTCTAAAACTATCATCTTCATTTCTCGTATCCACTGAAATTGGATCACATGAATGTATTTATACAATCTTAGTCCTTTTAAAGACCCAAGAATCCTTAAAGCATCATTCGATTTGTGAATTCAAGAGGAACAAACTTCTGTGTTTGATAGGCTATGTGTTGAGTTCTTACGATAACACTTCGAATGAGACATATTTTTTAACCATTTCCATTTTTGATAGGTTCCTACAGAAATATCCATATAATCTGAGCAATAAGGAACTCCTAACTATCGGAATAAGTTGTTTGAGTTTGGCTTCGAAATAGAAAGACATTTATTGTTTGACTTCATAATAACTTGTCTAATTAAGTGGTAAGAAAATAACTGAAGATTAACTTGCAAAATGTCAATTTTAAATCTTAAAAACTATACAATACTAAATAGAAATGCCAAACTATTTCAGAAACTTTGATTACATAATGCGTGACTTGGAGTTTCGGTATTACAAAGTGAAAGGTTCAAATATTGTTAACAATTCTTTGATGAAGATGAAACTATAAGCAATTTATAAATGCAGTTTAAATCTATTACGATTTGTTTCATAGTATTACGATACAACATTATTCCATCAAAGCACCATAGCTTATAGCTGCATCTTTTATACAATCAAGAGAATGGAATAGATGAATTATCGATAGCTTGGTGATTTGATTGCAGTGTTAGTGCAAATTCAAAATGATAATGAGATTGAGAATATGGAAATGGCTTTAAGATATATTTATAGACTTTGTTAAATTTAATTGAATTAAAAATAATAAGAATTCTTATCATAGACAGATTTCAAATATTGATCATTATTTAAATTTTGGTTTATTTTAAATTTAATGAAGTTTCAATAATTATTAACCTGTCTTCTTCTTACCTTCAATAGATAATCTAATGAGGAGATGTTGCGATACGGATTAGTAATATTGGAGAGCGAATTCTTTTTGGATACTAGAGCAGATCGTTGCAATTGCTTGATAGATTGGTTTAATTAATATTTTAATTGGAAGTCGATAGATTTATTAGTAGAAAGAGTAAATTTGGATGTTGGAGTGAGCTGAGGGAGTATTGAGCGAGTGACTGGGAGGAAGGTTTTGTTGGTTTGTTTTTTCTTAGGTGCTTTTGAGGGAGTGTTGGTGGGTTGAGTAGGTATTGATTTGATAGGTATTTGTGCGTCTTGGACAGTTTTGAGAGTTTTGATGGGTATGAGAAGCAGTTTGTCATTGATTGTTTATTGTCTCTTAACGAGGAAGTTATGTCTGAATTGTGTTTTGGTGTGAGTATCTTTTCTCTGAAGAAGTTGTTGATGGATCTATTTGGCTTGGATGAGTTATTCATAAGGGATGTGAGTGTCACAGGAATTACAACGTTTTCTGAAGTTTGTGTTGGTGGATGAGAACTTAATTTTGAATAGAGTCAACTTCCTAGAGAGTTTCTTTGCTGGGGATATAAAATAGAGATGGAAATTTACAGAAAAGGATGGCATCTTCAATAAACTGTTTTTTTTTGTTTTATTGATTTGCATATTCCAGTTAATGATGACGAATGGCACCTTTGTACATGAGATGAACTATTTTGGTGTTATCTTGTCCACAATTGGTACAGTGGCAACTTCTTCTCCTGATTTGTTGTTCTTTTTTCATGCGCAGTCTCGTTCCTTGTCGACTTCCGAAACGCAATTGTTTCGTTTAGACATCAAATGGTGAAGGCTTTTGGAGATCAAATGAAAAGGTTCTGGTTCTCTTATTCAAAGGACGTGCAGTAACATTAATGGATTGTGGATGCTCTGGTTTGCGATTCACAATGTAATTATAAAGATTGATCGAATTGTCTTCATAATCCATGTTCGGCAACCCTTGAATGTCTTTCTCTAAACAAGTAACATTAATGTTTCATACTCAACTGCTTGATCATCCTTTTAGCATTATTGAACTGAGATTCCTGTTTAAGTATTCCTTCTAATTTCTTTTCAGGATGTGCATTAATTTTCATGACAGAAATAAACAAATATGAGTCCATCATTACAATTCTAAAAAATTTGAACAATCCTAAACTCGCTTCACAATGTGAATAGCAACTCAATCGTCTGCCCTTCTTCAGCTTTTACAAATAGGTCTTGAAAACAGACACATTCACTCAAAGTGCATTCAAGTACAGCTAACTTCTCTACTTGAAAAAAGGATAAGTCTATAAGCATTAAGGTACATCTCAGGTATCTAAATAGCCGACTCCGTTGAAAGTGTGCTAATATTGCTTGAAGGGTCGTTGTCTTTGATTAAAACTGATCAGAAGAAGCAAAAACTTGTTACTAAATTATAACCACCAGAACACCTTTTTCAAGCAGAAATATATAAAAAGACTGCCTTTTCTAAATACAAAATAATGGCCCTCACTGATTGTACGGCTATCTCATTAAGTTTCATTTCGATCCATGAGGTATGTGCAATATTATAGTTAGATATCAGTCTACGGATTCTAATTTGCAAAATACAAAGAAGAAGTGGAATATTTTAGAATACAATTTCCAGATATTAAGCCAATTGAATTTATTCCTTTTATTAAGAAATTGAAGAAGGAAAATTTTTTGAATAATGTCAAAATTTATTCAGCCAATCAATCTGCCAATAAAGTCTATTTCATCATCTCGGGAGAAGTGGAAGTATGTACATGCAATTGAAATTACTCCTAGATCTATGCTGAGAATGAGGATGGCAAACTCCAGAGAGTTACAATTGCTTGTGACAATGACAGTTTTGGAGAAGAGGCATTCTCGAGTTCTGTCCCCAGATTATACAAATATACAGCTAAGACCTAATATTTTAAGAAGACAACCGCTTTTGTTTTTGAAGTAAATATTAAATTGTATTAGATTGATGATTATTGCCACACGTATGCCCCCAATCTCATTAAACAATTGGAGGACAAAATGAAACTGAAGGAAAATCTCATTCTTTAAAAGATCAAGTAGACACAAACTCAAACAAGCACTTTGCCAACGATAATTCATGGATCTCTCAAAAAACCATTTGAACAGTAATTCCATATATTCTATTCTTTGCAGATTCCTGCACATTGCATCACCAAGATCGAAGGCGTCATCCATAAAAATCAATAGGGCCATCAGTCTCAATGATGGAGGATTGTTCAATTTCATGGAACTCAACAATCCAGGGAAAAATCATATGAGACTGTTTGAATAACATGTGAATCGATAGTTAATAAAGGAGAGACACGAGGAACATGGGAGTTTATCGAGAGACAGAACGAAGTCTGTGGAATTCTAGAAACTATGGAATCTAAATTAGGATTCTAAGAAACTACCTCAAATTAAATAACATTGATTAATTTGTAAAAATAAACTATTATAATTAATTATTACACAAATGCAACATTAATTGAGTTTGACTATTTAGAGTAATGATAGTTATCTCTCAGATTAGATGAACAACATTGACATGTCCTAATTTAATCAGAACTCCTTTATTCAAGGACAAGAATAGTCCAAACTACTATCAGATATCCATATGGCGTCGCAAAAATTATCACATTCTGCTGATCATTTTGTAAGTGAGATTGTAGCAGATAGTCATTCTTCGATGTAACATTCATCTAATTCCAAGAAAACAAATCATTTTGATCTAATCATATTATAGAATGCATTCCTGCAAGATCAAGTATCAAAAAAGGAAGAAGTGGGCACGATATCGTAAATGCGTGATTCAAGAATTAGTAGACAGTGAATTCACTTATCTCAAAGATTTGGAATTGATCATCGTGAAGTTTTTTGATCCATTATAGGCAATCCTCACAGAAGCTCAATCTAAGTTGTTATTTAGAAATTTGAAACAAATATATTTACTAAATAAGCAATTTTTATTTGAAATCTCTGGTATTTTGTATTGGCTATTAATTTAGAAAGATTCAGCAACTTTACTTAACACACTTGTTTTGGCAAGATCTTTGACAAATATGTTTAATTTTTCAAAATATACTTCGAATACACCTCTGGTTTCTCCATAGAAGTTGTTTCTTCGTTGAGGAAGGAAATCCCAAAATTGAATGATTTTATTTCTGAATTGGAAGAAGCTGATATTTTCAAAGGAGGCAATCTAGAATCCTATCTCATCAAACCTGTCCAAAGATTACCCAAATATGTCCTATTACTCAAGGATTTGATCAAACATACTTGGCAATCTCATCCAGATTATGAGTCACTCCAAGTGAGTGTCAATAAATTCATAGAAGTCAATTGCAAAATTGATATTTTGATGGACAAGTAAATAATACCAATTTATCATTCTAGTGTTCTCAAAAATCAAATGCTATTCGAATTGCAAAAGCAATTTTTTGATTCAATCAATGTATCCATTGTAGAATCCACAAGAAGATATGTCCAAAGTGAAACCATCAATGTTCTGGTCTCTAAATAATAGAAATCAGTTATAGTGTATATTTGCAATGACATGATCATCTTAACCTAAAGAAATCAAAATGCTTTAGTCAAACAACACGAAAAATTGTATGAATATCTCTACCTTAATGAGAAGTCCTATTGCAAAAACAAACCAGAAACTCAATATTGCAAATTCTTATTCACAGTCTCCTCCTAGGAACAATCCATAACATTCATTTGTCAAGACGCAGAACAAAAATAAAAATTACTCAGCTTGTTTGAATCCTTAATTAATGACATCAAGACGAAGTATCAAAAATTGGAAATCCTTCAAGAATGCGAAGTCTAATCCATTTAAGTATTTGCCAAGGGAACAGAATTAAGAAAGTCCCTTCTTTAATCATATACTGTTTATGTGATGCTTGTATATATAGAATTGAAAATAGATTTCTGCAGGATCTTAGAATTTAACCTTATTAACCAGATACAGCAGTTTAATAAAGTTGGAAAATATGATCAGAAAGCAATTCCCAGACATCTCGATTCCACATTTAAGCAAGAATCAATGGGCCAGCAATAAAAAAACCTAACTAATCGAAGCCAGGAAAATCATCATTGAAAACTTTCTTGAAGCTGTTCTAAACTCTCCCCTAATCAAATAGAACCCAGAACAAGTACTCAAATATTTAGAACTCCCCCCCTCTTTTTATGAGACTATTGCATCCAGTCCTGATAAAACTTGTGTAGAAAGAGAGAGTCTCAGAAAAACAATGAAGTCCTCTTCATTCAATACTGACGACATCTCCCTAAGTGAAACCCTTAAATTTGTTAGAAACACAAATACCATTAGACAAACCATGCATCACAAAAGTTTAAAAATTAGCAATCAAACTATCAATATTAAAGTATCTCACTCTTCTATGCTTTTAGATTATGTTCCCAGATGAATTTTACATCTTTTTACCTATCAGCCCTGAATTAAGAGTAGCTGATCTAATTGAAATGGCTGCTGAAGCCATTAAATTATAAAGCTACGAGGATTTTAAGTTCTTTTTAATCAATGATCAAGAAGTTAGGATTCTCGATGATGAGGATTGCATTCCACAAATTCCATTAAATAAATCAAGTAATGAAGGGGTCATGTCAAAACTCACCTATCTGTTCAAAGAAAGAGAAAAAACAAATACTAAATTACTACTCAAAAAATACCTATATTTAACTCCAAAACAAGAGAAAAAAGATTATTAATCAGATCTAGTAAGACTTAATTTAATATGCCACCAAGCATTTGATGATATCAAGAACTTGAAATATCAGCTCACGAACTCTTAATATTATGTGTATTCCATTTACTATCTAATTATCAAGTATTATGAAAACTTCAGACATGTAAGATTATGCTTAAATATTTAGATTTTTACGAAATAATCTTTGCCCATAAATTTGGTGAAACAATTAATTCCAGACAAAGTTTATAAGCAATTGAAGGAACAAACATGGATCTCAGAAATATATGTGGCTATTGGAATTGTGAAATAAGAAATCGAATAAATAATTAAACAGCATGATAAGAATTTACAAGGCATTAAAAAGTTGGAATAGCAATTTCAATATATTACAGAATTGCTCTTTATGGAATCACTCCAATAGAACCCGTTTTATGGGCTTCAACACTTCAATATTGAAATTCCTAATGCCAGCAAAGAGATATTATAAAGGTTATTCTATATTCACATTAATTTAGATAATTCAAATGCCAACTAGAAACCTACTGCACCCTTGGAGTCAAGTATGATAGATTCATTATCATCCATAATATGGAAAAGAAATTGGAAATATTCCTAAGTGACATAGTCAATCTTTCACCATTCCCTTTTTATTTTCAGTTTTAAATAAAACACATTTAAGACGAGAAGTTTGTATTCAAGACTTCAAACGGATTAGAAATTTAGAAACTTTAAGAACTATACTCAAATATCTCTAATAATTTATGACGTGAATTCTTATAGATACCAAAAAATAATTTATCATCAATATTTAGTCTTCCTATTCTCCTTCTCTTACTTAAGTATCTACTTTTAATCATTTGAGTAATTATTATAATCAGGAAGGGTTAGACTTGATTAATTACTTGTTTTTGGTTCATTACTTCTGTGACTTTTCTGTCTTTCCTCATCTGGACAAGAGATTAGACGAGCATTAATGTTGGAATTGTTCTTTTATTCACTTAAGAAACTCTAGCAATTGAACAACTTTAATTTTTATCCATTTAATTAGTTTTTCTTAGTGATCGTTGTTTTATTTGAAGTTTATTATTAATATTTTTATCTTTCCTATTATAAAAGTGCATTCTTCAAAATCATTTCCAATTCAACGTTGTCTTACTATAATTTCATAATCTATTACTATTGATTTGAAATGATTAATTGATAATTTTGACTTTAATTGACTTAATTTTTAAGCTATTAATTTTCATTTCTAACTGTTTCAAAATATTCAGTTAATTTTTACAATTCCTCTGTTAGTTGTTAGATATGACTCTTATAATAATTTACCTCCTTATCCTTCTCATCTAGTAGTTCTATCGATTAATATGAATTTTGAACGGACTCAACCTATTAATAACTATGCATTTATGATTAAACTTTTGTTTTAGATCGATTACGTATTTTTTGTAAGGGATTATTTGGCTATTCAATTGTACCAACAATAGGGTTAAATGAAAAATGGTTTATAAGATGTTGATTAACTTATTGTAAATTATTTTGATCAATTCCTCTGTACTATGTTTGATAATAAAATATACAATTTCTTTAAGATTCTCAGCTTTCAACGAACAAGTTTAAACATCTTTTGATTGATTTTTCATAGCATCCGTAATCCCGCAAGAAACTTTAAACTATTTCATTAAATTTATTAATTTTTAGTACTCTACTTTAGCATATTAAAAATTAAATATAATTGATCTATTCTAAAGTTTTTTCAATTTAATAAATTAAAGCTATAAAAATAATTAACTAAAGTTTGTATCCAGACATTTAGCAACCTTAGGGAATCATATCTATTATGATACAATATAAAACTCATATACCAATTGATTTAAATATAAGAATTAAAAATAAATAATTCACATCTCAAAATATTTTATTTTGTTGAGTTCATTAAAGTTCATCTATAAACAAACCAAATGTGATGAAAGCAAAATGAAAAAGAAAGGGAATAATTTAAAAAGGTTATATTCAGCACTGGAATTGAAATTGAAAAGATCGTAGCATCCAAAAATAAATTCAATCAAGGAACTTGCTAAAGCACATAGATTAAATAAGAGAAACATTTTCCCATAGTTTCTCCTGGATTTTAAAAGCTAAAAATTATAAACATACATTACCCAAGCGGAAAGTATAATCAAACTTATGATTTATGCTGCAGGAAATATTACTGATTGAGTAATAAACTCAGCCAAAAAGATTTAATCATCCTCCATTTTATAAACAATCAATAATAGCACGGGATAGGCAATGACAAAACACTTACTAATAACAAAATTAAAATACCCATTATATAGCAAGTACAATGCATATTCCAGCAATAAGGAATTGTTGATTCACTCTGCTGTCTCTATATCTAGTAATCTAACTTAAAAGCCAAGTGAAAAATCTCTTAACTACTTGGATTCCTTTAAGTTTGTATTGCTTCATTCCATCTATTTTAAAGCGATTTATTTTTGACTGCATCCTCTTCTTCTCCTATTGTATTTGATTTCTCAAATCATCCTTATCTTAAGTAATAATGATTTATAATTGTTCATTAATATTGTACACTAGGTTATTGAATGTTTCCAAATTCACAACTCTGTCCTTATTATAATTATTAAATATAATCGACAATTTGATAGTGAACTCTTCAGGTAGGTTCTTCATGACATGAATTTATTTTAATAGAAATTCCAGTTCTCTTTGATTTGCATTTCCAAGCAGATATGCTTAACTCTAAGCAGACAACTCATTTGCGATAATATGAATGCAGATATCTACTTATATGGCATGATGTAATCTAAAGACTTCATAGTTATACTAATTTGTGTAATTGAGGAGATCGATAAATCTTTTAGTGAATGAAGACTAAGATTATCTAAAATCTATTTTGACTGCATAATAGTTAAATTCAGCAACAAATTTTTCGAAAAGATTGATACTTTCCTCATTAGTGTTGAAACTAAATTACTACCACAATCTCTTGATGAGGGCATCGTGAATGTTGATTTAGAATGGATATGGGAATGTGCCATAACCACTCAAGACTAAATAAATGGGTAATTCTATGGTATTACTCTACTCAACTATTTTCAAAGCTAAATTAAGTCTGTCAATGAAGGCTAAGGTCTTATCTTTAGAACATGAGAATTTCAATTTAATTTTATCCCTTTCAGGATCAAACTCATTAAAAAGATATTCCTATTAAACAAATAACTTGGATAGAGTCTTAAATTTATGGACTTGGATTAATTGGAGAATCCATATGTAAAGAGGATAGTAATAAAATTTGAAAAACAGCAAAATATATTTTTCAAAGACAGTAAATAATGCTCTTTAGTTAAATGTTTCAAACAGATTATATAACCTTTTATTATCTCCTTGATTGAGATCACTGTCAACTAAAGTCTCTTAGTAAATTTGCCATGGATTTTAATAAGTGTTACTTCCTGCCAAATATATTCTACGCACATGAAAATGAATATCTTAACTGATTAAGTATGTTTTGTTATTTAACTCAGATAACGAACTAGTCATTTACTACAAAGTTGAATCATCATATGATCCATAAAACTGTCTTGACTTCTACTGATTCTTATCCCTACTCGCCCAAACAATAGCAATATTAATCAATAGTAACATGATTATTACAAATAGAGCAAATATGACATTCTATCCACCTAATTTTTGAGAAAACTCTGCTAATCCACTTAAACATTGATCTTCTTTTGGTGATTTACCATCGGTGCAAATAACTGCACAAAATGGTGTAATTTCTCCAACATTTAAATATTGAGTTTTATTTTTATTATTGATAGTATTAAAACATGGTTAACAAGGAGCCTATCCATAGAGCATTTTATAGTAACCTGGATTGCATTATTAACAATAATTGCCAAAAGTTCCCTGGGGACATCCAGTAGGTGTGATGGAACCATGAAATTTAGTAATAATTTAATTAGACATATTAAGAACACTGCTTTATTGGTTTGTCAAACCTCCTGGTCTAGTTTGTATAGTATTGTTGCAACTTTAATTTCTATTAATCATTTCTGAGATGTTGAAAAAGAACAATCTGATTCTTCCTCCTCCTCCAAATCCACCATAGACCTGGTATGTCTAATAAAACTTCTATCTAGCAAATTCGTATGTATTAAAATTGTCTTCATATTAAGAGCCTCCGCCATCAGCAGTAACAAATCCATTTCCGCTGAAATAAATTATTCTTAATTAAATTGATCCTCCACTCCCACTCCCAAAAAATGGTTCTTCTATATAGGCTGTTCCATTCGAACTTATTATGCCATCATTCTATAAATTCAACACTTCCAAATGTATGACTCCTCCTCCCTGACCCTGAACTTCGATTTTTTCAAACCAATCGCCATATGTGACTCCTCCTCCGCCACTACCTGGTAGTACTGGATTGAATGAATAATCATAAATCTACTTGCTCTGTAGTTGTAAGCACAATTAATTGTAATTTGACTTTGGACTTGTTGAGAATCCTCCCATTCCACCATGACTTCCTCCAGTACCTCCACATTGCTATCTCAACCCTATTATCTTATCAGTGTATCCGCAGCCAAATCCCTCATTGGTGGAGTATCCCATGCCATCAGTTAAAATCTGACTAGTTTAGTCAATTTATAAACTGTAAGAATAGAATCCAACATAAAACCCTTTGATTTTGGAATACTATGTCAAATAGGTTTCATTTGAAACTGAAATTAGCATGGTGTAATAGGTAAGGTTTTTTAGAGTAAAGAAGTTGCACTAGAATTGAGCCAACCACTAGGATTCAATATATTAAGCAGTCAAATTAGTATAATTCTGAGTGATATACCCAACAAAGCTGAAGAGGTTTTTCACATAAGCTTAGTCAGAACAATTCAGATTATTCAAGCATGAACATTATGTTTTGTTCTACATTAGAGATGTCAGCGAGGAATTGTTGATTGTTAAGTAAAATGCACAAATGCTCATAGTATTTGACAGTATTTTCGAAGAAATAAATGTAATATTCTGGGCTGAAAATGATAATTGCATGTATCCATAGAATCTTATTCTTGAGGAGGTAATATTTATTATATTTCCTGAAATCACCATCTATTAATGTAATATGATATCACAACTATCGTTTTATTCTATTCTTGCATTATTGATAATCAACTAATTGAAATCTAGCAATGCTTTATTCACTAATTTTTATAGACATATGGACACATTGCAATCTTCTATCTAAATTATATTTAGATTGCTAATCGTGCTATTTAAATGAGATATGAGCAATTAGCAATCTTAATTTATCAAACATATATCTGCTTATTGTTAATTACACTCACAATACTAAGCATTAACTTATTGCACAATTAAAATCCATATAAATGATAGCATTATAAAATAATAATAAAAATTGAATTATCAAGAAAAGTCACAGTTCCATCATCTTCTCCAAAGTATTACATTACACTAGCAAAATCACCATTAAATCATTTGATTAGATATTATTATTGTGTATTGTGCTAGCAGTCTCCTCATATGAACTCACATTCTTCTATCTAATTGACGAAGCCTCGCTATGCAGATTTTCCAGTAAATCTACATTATCATTAAACTGACTAGAACCACTGCTTTGAACAATTAAATGCTGATTCTTCATATTGTTTCCGAACTATTACAGAATGCTCATTTTCTATTGAATGGTGTTTCTCTTCCCATTTAAGTCCTTCTATAGCATCACAAGAGTGGTGGGAATCCCATCAGTCGGTTGTCTAGACAATATGTCACTAGCATAAAGAGTCATCTATCCCAAGTACAGGGCCTCATCGGTAATCAAAGTCTATATTATTACTCATAGATTACTATTATTTTGCTCTGTTCTTATTATTATAATAATAATTCATTTATTTACTATTATAGATCCTTTGTATCACTTTGATCCTGCAATTGAGCATATTGTGCTTAACACTTCTCCTGTAATTTTAATATTTATTGCTAATATCCTTTGTATTCACCCTACTATAAATCTACTAAAATACTTCTATTTATTATTGAATTTTTTATAAAGCTCCATTTTCTTTAACTACTTAGTTGAGTTATTCCAATTAGTTGTTATTTTATTATAATAGATCATAATACTTTTACTCTATCTTTTTGCATTGATCAATACTTTCTTTATAATTAAAATTTTCCTTCTGCAATTCTTTATTTTATTAAACAGCCTTCTCTAAATTTTAATTCATTTCATTAAGTATTGTGTTATCCTTCTATAAATTATTTTCCAAATCTACTATCATTTAATTTCTATATTTCAACTCTTCCTGCACTTACTTCAATATCTAATCATTCTATTATTTTTCTGTTTGCAACTTGAACAGTTTCTCCATTAACTATCTATTAGTTACCACTTGTTCATCTAATAGTTTCTTATTCATATCAATTTATTTTTCTGGATCAAAGTTAAGGTTCTTTTGATTTCTACTATAAGGAGACTTGGATTTTGAACTGAATTATGTTAAATTTCTTTCATCTGCTGTTTGAGTCTTAAAATTAGATTAATTTACAGCAGATGTATCATTTGTTACTCTCTATTGATAATTTACATCTATTCCACATTTAGCTAATTATTATCCAAAAGAAGTAGCATTTTGATGTTAAAGTTAATTGGTTGACATATTTTCTTTGATATTTTTCATTTAATTATTCAACACTTCAACCTAATTGATCAATGTACTTTAATTATGTTTTGTTTATAGGACATTAATAATATCTTATATTAATTTTTAAGTATCCACCACCATTTTTTATAATTTTAATTAGTTTTAGAAGCTTACTTAATCACTCTTCTGATTGTCTAATTACTCTTTGAGAATTTCAATCTACTATTTATACTACATTGAATTATCTGCCATCTTGAATGCATCTTCACTAAAAAGAGTGTTGATTTCTTATACAAGCAAATAGATGAAGTATTTCAAGGCTATCAAATCAGTGCATCTATAGAAATCAAAACAATCATTATAATATTCTTAACAAAAACATTTAATCTTTGCCAAGGAAGGAGCACATTCATCTTAATTTTAATCCTTAATCATTTTAAACTTTCTCAATTTTTTAGTCAACTGCTAGATTCTCACAATACTGTTAGTGTGCAATTTTCCTGAGTAGGGCCCCAAATTAGAAAATTAACTATGAATCGAATATTTATCTTATTGAGCCACTGTATTATCAGTTTTGACATGCACAGGAGATTAATCTATTTTACTAATATTTTCTAGTCGTTTATTAATGATGGTTTCATAATAGCTCTGAGAATCTACTTTCTAATTCGAACTACATTGTTTTTTCTGTCGAACAAAAGGTGATAAAGATGATTCATTTTTTTATGTCGTTGTAGATCGATTCTCTGTTCTCTCTGCATGTTAACTATTAAGGTTCTTAACTCTCTACTCCAATCCCTAAACTTTCTATTACAGATAATTTGCACACTATTAAAATTCAGGACAATTGCTGATAACAGCCAAAGGTTGTCGTTAGACTCTTAAACTCCCTTAACGAGAATGCCCAGAATTTGGAGTCTGATAAGGTTTCATATTTATATTTAAATTATTGTTTAACAGCTTTAAATTATCAATAATATTAAAATAACTAATTCTTCTACCCTTATTGCTGATTAACTAATCCAATTCTATTGCTTTCATATCTCAATTTACTATTTGATCAATTACACTATTTATTTTAGGGATAAATAACAATTGAATCCTTTTGATCAAAACATTCTCTATGAATATACCAGAAATTTGATAAACTTAATCATTTTCATTATCTGTATTATTTCAACTATTAATCTCTGAATTTTTAATACAAAATGTTCTACCTTCTCCTTTTGCATCCTATACATTTGATAAATCAGCTATATAATTTAAATCAAACCGATAATCATATAATTTAGTCACTTAACTATAATATCTTATGAATTTTACACTCATGGATCTCACATTTGATTGTGTTCTTCAGGTTTAGTTTAAATAATATTCATAATCGAGATGACAACACATTAAATTAAGATCTTAAAAACGAATCTATAATTTTGAATTCAGTTAGATTCACGTGAAACTAGCTATTTTAAGGTTTTATATAAAGATAATCCGTCTTCTTGATTGAAAAAAATTCATTATATCACACATGACTAGACTGCTTCATAATATGTAAATTTTGGGAACATATAGGAAGTTAATTAAGTTCATAAATCTCAATATAATCTTTTATGCACTCTAATTCGACTATTTTTTATTCCAGAATTGATTTGGCAATATCAGTTTTTTATTATCAAGAGGACTTGTTATAAGTTATTATTAGGTGATTCAGTTTATGCGGTATTAGGTATTTTTGATAGTTATCACTAAAATATTGAGATATTGATTTTGTTTAAGGTTTAAATTGAGCCAAAGTAAATTTCCTTTAAAATGGTTAATTTGAATCAGGGGCATTTGCAATAAATAAAATTTAATAATTAAATGAATGCTTCCTTTTTGGAAAAAGTCGGTGATAATTAATAATTAAATACAAATACTAACTAACCCCCATATTTTAATTTATTGTTTTTTTAATATATAATTGATTTTGTTAATCCTAATTGTCAACTTGTTGACTTTTTGCTTTATTCATTTTAACAACAATCTAAAAATAGATTATTTTTAATTCTAACATGAGTTGAATTTTTAAAAGTATAACATAATAAGGATTTAGTTTAATGGGTTATGAGAATGCAAAGAAAAAGATTAAATTTATTAATTCATGGGTAATTCTTGCAAACAAAAGAAGGATACTGAATACGAGGACACTTAATAATTGCAAATATTCACTATAGAAAATGGAATTCAAGGAATAAATACGACAATCAAACCAGATAGTCAGCAATTGAAACTAAGCAAGGAATCTCCGTAAGAAGGTGTCCAAATATCAAATATACAAGTGATAATGATCAAGCCAAGAAATGAGGAAGAGGGGGCCTAAATCTTGAGAGATTTGATATAGTTTGGAAACAAAATTATAGTAATTCCTAAAGAGACAGAGGACAGTCCACATGTTAGTGCGAAATCATTGTCAAAAAAAGGAATACTGAAAAACAAAGGCTTTTAATTGACTAAACTTTCTCTCCATTCTTGTAACTAGTAGAAAAGGGATAGATTTCTAAGGTTTGAAAATTAATGACAATATTAAATCTTTTATGGGTAAATATTTCAAAGAAAATATTAATTATATTTATATAAATATTTGAGTTTCATTATTGAGCAAAAAATATTGGCAAATTACTATTAAACACCAAACCTTAAATAATAGTTTAATTTCTCAATATCATAAATTTTAATAGGTTGACGTATGAATATAATATACTACATTGTTCTTACACATGGCATGAAAATGCATTCAAAGAACAATCAAAAGGAGATTATTTAATTTAATAGTCTTTAAAAGTCGTATCATTTTGTGTTATGATGAAACGAAGCATAATTAAAAAGAGATAATTTTATTGGGGACTGAGTTTTCTTTTGAAGAGAGTACCTTAATATCTGAGAACATGGATTGCAGATGTTTTCTCATAAAAGTTAAAATATTAGGTTGGTTAAAATAAAAAAGATTTCTATAGGCGTTACATATAGAATAATAATTTATATTAATATAAATATCCTTAATATATTCTAATAAAATTCAGGAAATGGGTTTTTAGTTGCGATGCTTGCTTTTTTTTGGTTTGTTATGAAATCTTTATTAATGGTTAAGTAGATTTTTCAATACTTTGTAGGTGGTCTAACAGATCGAGCATCCATATGAGTTATTTTTGGGATTGAATACAACTCTGCAAGCAGCCTTCCTCTATTCTATCAAGTTTTATTTAGAAGTTTATATTAAATGTTCATTGGAAATGGTTTCATTTTCTGAGAGTTTGTCATCCTTTTCTGTTTGTTCAGCTTAATCTTCATCTAGATTCAATATAATTTCAATGTCATTTATTATTTAATCATCATTTGAATCTTTAGTGTTTTGTTTTTCTGGTTCATCATTCTAAATTTGTAGTTGGTTGATTTGCTGGAGTAACTTAAGCATTTATTTCATTTCGATAATATTTGATCTATCTTGCATGATGTTCTAATTATTAACTCTAATAAACTTAATTTGAAGCTCGTTGTAATACTCGAATTGGTTTGTATAAATCCTTATAATATTTATGATCTTATATTTTGTATATTAATAAGTCAATTAAATTCTAACACTAAATAAAGTAAGACGGATTACACAGAATTGACCCTCCTTTTTGGAATGATTAATAAGTCTAAAAATTAGAATATTTTTTAGTAAATTTTATTTTTTGTTATTAGAATTAATTACACATTAAAATTGAATTTGTAATCAATAACTCTCGATATAAATTAGTCAAAGGACAGTTATGTTGTTTAGTCCTGCTTCTTTTAAGACCTTCTCGGTTGCGAAATTCATTTTTGGTGGTCCACAAATGAAGTATTTGGATACAGAATTCAAATCACCTAGGAATGATTTAAAAACTTGGGCGTTGAATCTTTGGGTGATAATGTCACATTCTTTTAATTTAAAGTTTCCTTTGACAACCATCTTGAAATTGGGTATATCCAATTGGGACTACAAGTTTAGCAAGGAAAAGTAAATGTCTTTGCCAATCTAAAATAATGAATAGGATAAATACCAAATCCTCTGCTGAATTGACTGCTAGAAATAGGGTGATCTTGAAATTCTTAACAACTCCTGTATTGATAATTTGAGCAGCCTCTTGACCGAATTGTTTCAATAGTATTTTATGATAGGTCAATTTAAGTTGATACTCTAGTATATCCAAGAAAGGGAACAATCCAGTGCCACCAGCGATGAAGACTAGATGATTCCCATTTTCAATAGTAATATTATTTCCATAGGGTCCTTCTATTTGATACTGTCCATTTCTATTGTCTTCATGAATAAAGGATGAGAATCCCCGTTTGGATTGATACCTCTTAATGATCAAAGGCAATTCAGAACAATACTCTTCTTCTTTTGGGATTTCCTTTTGAATGCTTTATAAAGAGAGTATTTTTTTGAAGAGATCCGAAAGATCCTTTCTAAATTTAGTCCTTTGATAAGTCATACTCAACACCATAGTGTATTGTCTAGTTGAAATGTCATCATCTTCAATAGATTTAATAACGAAGTACTAACCAAAAGTTTGGAGACCAGGTAGAGTATTTTTGAATTGATACTTTTCATTGATAAATCCAAAGTAAGCAATTTAATCAGTATAAGGACAGATGGTATTCAACTTCCATGTTTCTCTTAATTATTTGACTACTCTGCGATTGGCAGTATTGACGAAGAATTCTAGATCTGGATTGACATAGATTCCAGTAACGTATTATTCCAATATTTTGAGAGTGTAAATACTGTGTTTATGTGTTTTGATTTTGAGTGAGTCAAGAGTATAAGCTCCTAGAATGTACCTAGTAACATCTTGGCCTTGAACGAGTTTCCAAATGTAATTGCCACCAGGATGGATCATCTATGATAGATCGACAACTTAGTTCTTGTAAATACACCATAACTTCGATGATTTCTTTTCGAAACTCTCATCTGAATGACTATTGTTGATTTCCAATAAGGGATTGTAACCATCATCATAAACTTTACTAGAATGTGAGTCTTTTCCAGTCATTACCACATTAACCAAACTACCCTTTTGATACAAGATTTCCAAAATGAGACGAGTAGTAAAAACAGCTCCCAAGATCAACATGAGTCTAACATCGTTATCCATGAAGAGACCTGCTATGATCTGTAATTTACCGAGTGTGTATACAACACTGCCCATAATAGCATGAATTGAAGGTTTGACTGATACCTTTTGATTAACTTTTAATGAACTTAACATATAATTGTAGAGAATGCCTCCAATGCTTTGTGCAACCATTAAAATAGCAACCAACATAAAGATGATGATATGGAATTGATTTTTAACCGACTGTTCCTTAAAGTTGCTCCATTCCAAAACAGCCCAATCTGTACTCAACATCATCATGGCTGTGGTGATTGAACTTGTCACTATTAGGATGAACAAGAAGCCATGGAGATATGTACGATATCCCCAAGTCTTATAGTATCGACCGACTACTATAGCAACATCACTGGCTATGCCCCAACAGGCGAAGTTCGTCCATTTATGAATGTAATAGGTGTTGTGTCCATCCACTATAATGACATCGTTGCTTCCTCCGTCATCAGTGAAATTTAAGATCACTGATCCTCTATTTACATTCCCGTGATTTGATACTGTAAAATTGGCCTCGGTCTTACCATGAGCCCATATGAAATCCACTGCCTCTCCCTCATTTAAATCCTTATCAAATTCATCACCTAGGTAGTGTAAAATCAATTTCAATACCTGTTTTTACTAATCTCTTGAATTTCACACCGGTTTTCCCATCCTTGTTATAGTAGTAGCCCAGAAGATGCAAATCATCAGTTCCTCCTAATGAAACATCGGTTGGAGGTCTGCCATGCTTCACACAATAGGTGTCGTTTACAGTTATCACATTCTCATAAACCTCAAATATCCACAAATCTCCATCGGACATAGATTTACCCAGTCCCAACGAAAAATAGCTAATCTTGTCTATTTCTATGAACATTATCACTTCCTTTTTATCTTCAGTGAATTCGAAGTAAAAATCGAAATGAGTATCTACATTTGTTATCAACAAACTCATTTACCACTATCTGAAATCTTGGCATGAGTTCTTGGCTTTGTAATATCATTACTCGGATCCTGCAAATAAAATTTGTTCGAGCATATAATCACTTCAATCAGGCCTAGAATGAAAAGGTTTATCATCTTAAATTAAAAAGTGGTAACAACAAATATGCATCTTTTTAAATGATATTCGATGATGTAATTTATTACATTTATTTGAAATTGTGTAATGTTATTTTTATATAATTGATTATAGAATTGTAATATCAAATTAATTACAGTTAAATTAATATTAATAAATTTATGTATTAGAAGATTAAAAAAAATAAATAAAACCCAATCTAATACTAAAATCTAAATCCCTTCAAAGAAGCCGAAAAGAAATACAAATTCTATGCCGGACTCCAAACCGATTTCAGTGAACTGATTGATGTCAGCAATTTAAATGAACAACAAATGGAACAACAAGGAATCCATAAGAATGGCTCAGTCTATCGATTTGATCACCCTCAAGGAGTCATTCAAGTCAAGGGTTTTCTCAACCTCGACGATTAAATTCGCATTTCTAAATTGTGCATGAATGAGTACATCAATCATCCCTACAGAACGAATCTCTTCATCTACAAGGAAGACGAGAACTTTGATAAGTTCATAGTCCACGATGATAAGAGATATCATTTTAATAATAAAATAAGATGGGCAAATGTTGGCTATCAATACGATTGGAACAACAGGTATTAAATTAATATTATGCAATTATAGACATTACCCACAAGAAAAGACGCAAGTGCCTGATCCAATCTAGGAAATATCTCAAAGGGCCAATAACTTCTTATAATTGTAAAATCACTACCAGAGTGAATCAGTCATTATCAACTTTTACTAATCTCACGATTACATGACAGGCCATCTAGATGATGCAGAACTAGATTAAGATTCCCCTATCTACTCCTTTAGTTTTGGATTGTCAAGTGTCTTTGTAATTGGAGGACCTACAAAGGATGAAAAACCTATTGCAATCAAACTAGATTCTGGAGATCTATTAGTAATGAGTGGCCATGCTAGGAGATGCTATCACGGAGTACCCAGGGTTCTTGCAGACTCATTTAATCCCAAATAGTATTGTCTCATTAAACATATTAGAAATCCATTTCAGTAATAATAGCTTGATGGTAATATTAATGCTGATTTTCATGTTTTCAATTACTTATCAGAACATAGAATTAATATCAACACAAGATAAGTATACAAGCCACAATTAGAATAATGAAGTATTGTATAATAAATATGTATATAAAAATGCATCCTCATTAATATTATATAATTAAACAACAACTATTTTGGGCTCTATGGTATGAGTTTCAATAACCGCACTGATGTGGGATTACAATATAGAGAGAACACAATTTAGTGAAAAACAATCGGTTTTTAGGATAAATTACTAAAAATCTTATATTATGATATTTAATATTAATTTATCAATTATAATTATACTCTTAATTAAATGACTGATTATTTAAAAGCAGTAATTGAAACTTAATTAATTGGTGCATTTAGAGTAGCAGTAACATTACCCCTGGAGCATGTGTTAGACAGGATCAAGACATATAAATAGTCCAGATAGGGGATCACTTATTTATAAGTATGGGATTAAATTTGTATTAAAGAGTTTTAAAGAGATCAAGGGAGCACGTGGATACATAGGGTTGTATGATGGTTTCTATCCCAATTTCCTTAGATCAATGTTCAAATAATATTATAGATGGCCAATGATGATTTTCATTCCCTCATTCCTGAAAAACTACATTCATGATTAATCCTTGAATAAGATCTTGACTGGAGCCTCGATAGGGTTATTTGAAAGTTGCATAATAACACCATTCGAACGATTAAAAATACTGAAAATGACCAACATGGCAGTAGGATTTGGTTATTTGAAATACATCACATTTGACTAAATTTATGTTGGTTTCAGAATATTAACAAGTCGCCAGATAGTTTCATGGACAAATTACCTCTATTGGGATCATAAGATTCGTTATGCATTGAAAACAGATGCAAGTTAAAAATTGAGTTTTTGGAATGTCTTAGTAGCATCAACAGTGACCAGTGTGTTGAACATAATGGCAGGTAACTTAGAGTAAGTATAATTAGTGCATCCCTTTGATACAATCAAGACTCTGGTGCAGATGGAAGCCAATTAGATTTACAGTAGGATATCGGTTATTGAGAGTTTCAAGTTGGTGTTTAACAAATATGGGATATCTGGGTTATATGCTGGTTGGCAAGCCAGAATGATTGGATACTTTTGTTAAGCTACCCTAACAACACCAACAATAGATTATTTGGAAAGAAATTATGGAATTGCAAAATAATGATTGATTATCTCATTGGGATGTAAATAATTACTCATCAAATATACTATTAATAGTCTTTGTCTTGTTTGAGTGAATCAATCAAGAACTGATCATCGAAGAATTTCAAAATAGACACATCTTCATTCAAACCCTTTCTTCTCCTAGTTTTTATCATGAATTCTCTTGCCAAATGGTTTGAAGGTGCTGGCTCTAAAGGTTTAAGCACTATGGTTTTATCTAAAGGATCTCCTGGTAACAATGACCAATGATCAAACACACTCAAACAGAAGGCTTATCCTGAAGTGTGTACTCTAAGATCAGTTTCAAATCCAAAGTGATCAATCGTTGGAATGTGAGCTCTCACAACTGAAAATGGTGTGCCTGGCTTTGCTTACTCAGATAAGATGTGTCCTCTTCTTCTTAATAGAACATTGTGGATAGCAGGAATACAGTCTTGGAAACACATAATTTCTGTTAATAACATTGGTTCCATGATTTTCGGAGTTGCCATTAGGAATGAGGAATAGCACACTCTTCTTGTTGTGGGGATTATTTATCCACCTCCTCTATAAATGGGTTCCTACATTAAATATTAATGATTACATTAGCAATGTTTGCTTCAATGATCTTGAATTTCACATTTCTGATCGGCTCATCGCACAAAGGACCTTCTCTAGTTGCCCATTAAAAACCTTAAATCATATAATCTTTGACTTCAGTTAATAACTATTTGTTTGTTTCAGATGGTAAGGTGTCATCTATAAACACATTGGGTCCTGTTTTCTCTGGACCGAATGCCCACACAGATCTACTCTAAATTATATCCCAATTAAAATTGGATTTGAAGTAATCGGTTAATTTATTTTTAGGCCATGATAAATCAATCTCTTCATTCTCAATTCTTTCGGCCAATCCCTTATCTTAAGGAGTCAAACCCTTGTCTAATGGAGTTGCCAATGCTTTAATCTAATTAATATTACTATTAATCTAAATACCCTATTCTTTTTATTTGGAGTATCTGCATAACATGTTTTTGATGATGTTTCAATAACAGTTTCACAAAAACGAACTGATGGATCAGATACTTTAATTTCTATTTCTGAATACATTTTTCTTAAATCATGCATAACACAATCCAAATATAATTCACCTGTTCCTAATAGAATATGTTCTCCAGATTCTTCCACTTTAGTTGTCAAAATAGGATAACTCTTAGTTACTTTACGTAGACCTTCCAACATCTTAGGTAATTCACTTGGTACTAATGGTTCTATGGCAATCTTCATAGTAGCTAAAATGTTATGTTAAATTGGTCTCAAAATGTCCATCTATTAAGAATCCTCTGTGATTGTAGCACTCTTGCTAATAAATTAATCAATGCCTTCAATCAACACCCAATTTCCTGCAGGTACTTTATTAACTTCTACTCTATATCTGCCTTGATAGATATAAATATTCTTGATATTCCTTATTGCCATATCTTCTTCATCATCTATATTATATTTTTCTCCTAATAATTTAACATTCTATCCCTTTTTAATAGTTCCACTGATCACTCTCCCCAGAGCATCAAAACTCATGCAATCTGGTCTACTGTACAATTTCACAACATTTATACATAATGGTCCCTTGTGTGAACCTTGAGCTGCTTGAATATATGATTATTTTGATTTATCACCTTAATAATACAATTCCAACTTCCTTCTACTACCTTCTTATGAATTGGGTACTTACTCAACTAGGACATCGACTAAAGAGGATGTATTACCAAAATAAATAGAACAAACTAATTTCAGTAATGGTCTAGTGTCCATTTTGAATTCACTTTTTTTGAGAGAAATACCTTGACTCAATAAGAATGGTTCTAATTGTTCCTTATCTTTAGAAACTACTTACCCAAATAATTTATAAATGGGTTCTAACACAAACTCAACGAATGTCCTTTATGTAGCATAAGGGGACATTTTACGAACAAATTTCTTCTCTTTATTATCATAATAGATGTCTCCCCATAATAGACGAGTGAATTGTTCTGGATTTAAGAAATTGTTGTATCTCCTTGCAAAACTCTAGATTGTAAAAACAAATTAAAATAAACCTGAACCAAATATCACATTATGATTGAGAGGTGATATGATCTAATTACCTCCATTATCAGATATAATGATGTTGACTTCATCAAGTATGTTTTTGATCTTCAAATAGGCATCTGAAGGTGGCAGCTTCAACTCAATGATTAATCTATCTATCTTGTTTATCAAGACTACTATAGGCATCTTCTCCTTGACAGCTGCCTTGATTAACATTTCAGTAGTCATCATGACTCCTTCGATCACATCAACTATGAGCAACATGGCATCGCTGGCTCGTAAGGCACAACACACCTCGTCCATGAAGTTCACATGTCCAGGAGTATCATAGAGATTAATCAAATATGACTTATCTTTGCTATTGAGTAATAATAAACTCATAGGGATTGCCTTGATGGAGATCAATCTCTATTGTTCATCTTGACGAGTATCGGTGTATCGGATGTCTTTCTACAAACTAAATTGCTTAAGATGAGTTTGTTTTACAAAGACGTCCATCATTGATGTCTTACCATGATGCAGACCGCCTACAATTGCAACATTTCTTACCAAAGCAGGATTCTTAGAAATACGACACAGAAACTCATAGTCGAAAGTAGTTTGAGGTATCTGTGTTTCTTAGATATCAAATTCCTTTGATTTTAGGGGAGCAATCATTGGCTGAGTAATTGGTTAAGCATCCTCTTCTTGCACATTGATTTCAACATCTCGACCATAGACTTGTTATGCATCTGGGTAGTATTGTTTGTCTTCATTAAGGATTACTGCAACTTATTGATTAGGTATATACACTCTCTTCAAAGATAGAAGCATTTTCTTACATTTGCTATTACATGTTCTTGGTCATCCTCTGCTATCTATTCCTCTTCAATCTACACATTGTCTTCATCCTCTGAATCGATTTCTGGTCCTATGTAATTTCCGAACTCATCGTAATTATTCATGTCGTCCATAATTAATATATAATATTAAATTAAATGCATAAATTATTTTGATATTGTACTATATAGATATCCATGCAAATCAGAACAAAACAAATTGCTTTCTAACATTACCAATTATTTCATTTGGAATTACTTTCAAAACATTGAATCTTACAGTCTTTGATAATGGTCTTCATATTAATTGAATAGTACCTGCATTGTCCACAAACAACGATATCTCCTTCCTTGACTGGTCCAAATGCTGGAGAAATGTGTACTGGTACATTTCTGTGTCTCTTTTCATATCTGTTATATTTGGCAACATAGTGCAAATAATCTCTTCTAATGATGATGGTTCTTGTCATCTTAGTTGAAATGACAATCCCTCTATAATACATTCATTCTCCATCATACTTCAATATGGCCCCTCTGACACTAACATTTCCTGTGAATGGACATTTCTTATCAATGTAATGACCCTCGATTGCATCCTTTGGTACTTTGAACCCCAAACCAACTTCTTTCCAATATCTAACACCTTTGGATGTCTTCTTTGCTAAGAGTTTCTTGGAGTTTTAGAAAATGCCTTCTTATTTTTAGAATGCTCTTTGATTTTGAACGTCTGCCATAATATATTTTTTTTAATTAAAAGATATTAATTTTTTATTCTTTAATCCTCGAATTAGAATCATTATTATCCATATAATCCATCCACTTCAATACTTTTTCTAAATTATTTATTCTTTTTTCAACTCAATTTATACATAAATAAATTATGCAAAATCAAATTGTGCTCCTTCAATTAAAAAAATAATTAGAGGAAACAATTAAAACCCAACAATTACTTAAGAAATTGCCAACCAAGAAATTGGTTCAATTTAATTCAGTCATGTACCTAGAAGCAAAAATACCAAAATAAGATAAATGCATCATTTCATTGGAAGCTGACTACACAGCTGAGGTTTCCTTGGACTCTGCACAATAAATTCTGTAAAGAAGGAGAACTAGATTGGAAGAAAACTTTAATAAGCTGAGAGAGAAGGAGTCCTATGAAGAAATGCAATACGATTTAGGAAGCAAGATAGATGAGGATAAGGAGTAGAGTAAAAGTCAGGATGTCAATGAAAATTCTGATTCAAAAAAGGGTTAATAAATTGATTTGATTCAAAAATTAAAGGAAGAAGAAAAACTTTAATTGAAGTAGAAACAAGAAAAGGAAAGGTTGGAAAAAGAGAGATTAGAAAGAGAAAAAATAGAGAAAGAAAAACAAAAACAAAATTAATCTATGGGACAGGTCACTTAATTAGCAGATGGCTTGGTTGAAATTGAAGAGAAATATGTTTAAGAAGACAACTGCAATGAAGCTCAAATCAATGAAGAAAAGCAACAACTTCTTAAATTGATTACTGAAGCTTTTTATAAGGAAAAATATGATGATTACGATAGATATTAACTGTAATTGAAGGAATTGAATGAGAAATTAAATTCAATCAAGCCTAAAGCAGAGATTCCTTAGTAGAAAGAAGCAGTTTAATCTAAATAATAATTGCCTACAATATAAGAGAATGAAACCAATGATGACACTCAATAGGAGGAGCAACCCAAAAGAATTTCAAAGTTCAAATAAGAAAGACTCAAACAAAAGAAAGGATGATATATTTTATTTTTATTGTAATTAATTTTAATTATGGATTTATCAGCAATAAATTCCAATTTTAAGAATTTCCTTGAAGAAGTTGGTTCATATTATAGTGTTGTTGATGATCAAGAAGTCCAAATATTAAGGAAAAAGCAAGACGAATGTTACAAAAATTTCTTGGATGTCCATCTTGAATATACGAAGTGTAATTTCATAGTTTAATAATTTAGGTGTATAACAAATCGATGACAAATACAGTGATTTGAATAAAACTTTTAAGTTCAAAACAGAAAAAGCTGCCAAATCTTACAAATCCTGTTTATAACACAAAAAGGTTGAAGAATGCCATGAAAGAACATGGAAGCATCTTCATGAAAATATGAAGCAATACATTTCATTATTAAGAAGAATTGATACCTAAACTATTAAATATTGAATAATAATATATAATAATAAATACTTAAAAATGCTAAACTTAGATTCAACTAAAGAATTGACCTACGAATAATAACATGAATTATACAATTAACAAATTGCCGATAATAAATAGATGTCAAGTGCATTGGCTTATTTGCTAATGGATTTGTGTGATGAAGGTGACAATGATGCTAATAACATTTAAGAACTTGAATCTTTTAATAGTCCTAAGGTCCCATCAATTTCTATTTATGATTACATTTGCAGAATCTTAAAGCAAGCTTAATGTTCCTAAGAGTGTTTAATCATGGGTTTAATATTCATGGATAAACTATCTAAAAAGTGGGGAAGAATTATTGTCAAATCAATTAATGTCCATAGGTAATTCGCCCTATACTAATTTAGATTGTATGTGGTAGCAGTCATGTTGTCAGCCAAATTTTATGATGACCGATTCTTTCAAAATTCCTATTATGCCAAAGTAGCTGGGATTACACATGAAGAATTCAATCATTTGGAAAGAGTCTTGGTTTTCTTATTGGACTTTAAGTTAATTATAGATCCATTACTCTTCTTTACATATCGATAAAGGATAATAACCAATTACTTTGACAACCCAGAATGATCTTTAAATTTATTTTATGTGTTATTCTTAAATTTATAATGTAATCATAAATATAGATATTATTAACTACAAAATCCATTCTCTACTATTATCATAAATGAAGATGAGATTCCTCAACCAATGATTGGATACAGTATCAAGATATTTATGTCCTTTATTGAATGAGTTCGAATATTCTTAAGATTTGCTTATATGAATTGCTTTCCTTACTATAAGTTAGATAACTAATATATAGATATGAAATTTGAAAATTTCAAATTTAAAAGATGAAATATAAGTTGTCATCGATTTGAATTAATAGCTATAAATTATTTCATTTATGTTTTATTAATTATTATGGGGAATAATCTTTGTTATTAAACAGGAGAGAGATCATCTTAATTTCCTTAATTACTCCTTAAGTATGAGATGGGGAACTGTGAAATTGCATTGACTGCTGGTCCTGTAGAGAATGAGGATGTGGAATGCCTAGTAATTCCAACTGATTCACAATACTCGAATATTAAGTAAAGTGATAAACCAACATTCGCATAATTAAATGGGAAATGTGTGTTTGTGGCTGCTAGGAAGAGTATCATTAAATACCAAATATTTTAAGTGCAGAAAAATTAGATTTTGGCTGTAGTTATCGATAAGGAAACTATATTGAGTAGTGATAAAAGTGACGATGAAAAATAAACCATTTATGAAGCAGTTTAAGAAGCCTTAAAAATAGTATTTCATCATGCATAACACTTTTAAAGGCAGAATAAAAGCAAATGAAATCGATAGGGTTTCCAGTTTTTGCATCAAAGGATCACACTACCTCAGCAACCATTATGTTGATGGCCATTAAACTGAGCGTGACTGAGTAAAAAATTAAATCCTTAAAAAGAATAGTAATTACATTAGATGTATATATTTTATAAATTAAAAGCATGTCGAATAAGTGAGTAGCTTTAAATGGGTGTTTTAATAAGTATTCAAAGGAAACTAATAAATTGCACATTCTAGGACTTATTCTAGCTCAATTATGGAATAAATGGAATCCATTTCAGTTGATATCATTAAACCTAAATAAAAAAGTGCTACAAAGGAGGAAAAAGCATGAGATAATCTTTAATTCATAAGTAACAAACTGATTTATATTATTTACATTAAATTCGAAAATCTTTACTCTTTATATCATTTCTAAGACTAATCTATTAAATAAATAAACACTTTAAACAGAATTAAAAGACCATTAAGGTTATCAAATTAATCGACAATCAAATATGAACCAGCTTTTATATTGACCAAATATATTTTCTAATTTTATGATATCTACTGTAAACTATAGTAATACTAAATACTTTAACAAATGCTAATATATTGAATAGAAGAGTAATAAATGAATACAAAATCAAGAAGTTCAATTTAATTATATATTGTCAAATTCCATATGATTGAAAAATCATTTTAGATATTTTAAATCCAGCAGATGCTTATTGATTTAGTATATTATTAGTAAGTTAATACTTTAAATATTTGAATTTTGCATAGCAGATTAAAAGTTTAGTATGAACTGATTCATAAAACATAAAATAGAAGAGAAATACTCTTAACTTGTAAAAATAATATGATAAAAATTGAACTGTAAATAACTAAACTTAAAAGAAGAGTTTATACCTATCTAATTGTGACAAAACGATAATGAGATATTGCAACTTATTTAAAACAAATAGTTATTTTATTTGTTATAATTAGAGTATCAAACAATAAATAAATTAAGTTATCACATAATGGATATATTTACAGTTGAAAAACCAATTGAAAATGTTTTAATATAATGATTTAACTTTAAAGTATTCAAATGATCACCAACTTCTATGCAGGATTCTACAAAAAACATCAATAGAAGTGGTCTATCTAAATAATTTAATTTTTAACTTACATTAGACACAAAATGTTTATTGAATTTCATCATGTTTTAGCTTTATATACACCATTGTAAGTCAGCATTCAGCGATTATGTGAGCTTTTACTTGTTATCTGAATATCGAGAATTAGAATCCAGATTCTTAAGGTTTAGAGTTGAGATATTTACACTACATTATAAATGAATTAAATAGTCGTTTTTAATTAATATATTATATAAATGAAATATTTAGTGCTCATTGCTTTAGTACTTTTGACAATCGCAGTAAATGACAATCAGACAAAGTAATTGTTAAATAAATAAAAAGACAAAAATCAATTGAGGAACAACATCCTTCGCTTTTTAGAGCATTAAAAAACATGGCATTATTACAAGAGCAATCATAATAATTAGACTACTCTCGTTTGATCAATGCCATCAATGATCTTGAATCTGAAATTGCACAAAATAAAGAAGATGAAAATGCTTCATTCAACAAGGACTTTTTATCCAACAATGCAGATTAAGAATTTTACGAAAATCAAATCACACAATATCAAGTTGAAGTGGCTCAACACGAAGTCGATTTGGCTGATCTTACAGAAGCTAGAAACTCATTACAATCATTATTAAATGATTCAATCAAGGAACAATAGGATGTTACACTCTTAAGAAATTAATTGGATCAATAGATAAAGACTGATGCTGCAAATACTGCTGCCTAATTATAAGAGTTTGATGATTCTGCTGCTGCAATTGATGAAGCACTTAACTTGTTGACCTCCTTGAAGAATGCTGATAGTTTGGCACAAGTCAATGACAAATTGAAGACTCATTTAAGCAAACAAAAGGTTTTCTTCCAACCCTTGATTGTTGCTCTTGCTGATATTGCTTAATCCAAGTAACAAAATTATTCAATTACTTTATAGTTTCGCAAATCAAGAATTGATCAGCAAAGTCACTAATCTTCTCAATTAATTGAGAACTTCACTCTTAGAAAGCAGATTACAATTGGTTGTTTCATCTTAAGGATTGGAAGCATTGAATAAGGAATTGTTGACTACCTACGATGACAAATTGAATGTTTTATCCACAGTTGTCTTACCAGATTTGAGAGAGAACATTGAAATTAAGGATGGTATGTGTTTGAATATCAAATAATGTAGCTGAAATCAAGGCCAAGTCAAATTTACTCAATGATGCCAAATCAAATTTGTAAGATGCTCAAGATAATTTGAAAGCCACTTAGGATGCTTGGATCGTGAGAGCTAATTTGAACTCTAAATTAGTATAATAATATGATAATGATCTATCACTAATTCAATAAGTCAAATAGAGTTTTGATAGGGCAGGTATCAAATAATGATTGAATAGCAATAATAATTATAAAATATTCATTATCCATTTTAATATATTTGATATTCCATTTATATATAATATATTGTAAACACAATATCAAGTATAAATGATAAATGATAAATTTTATTGTTATATATTTATATTGTTAATAAGTCATGCACATCAAATCTTAACCTTTTTTCTTTGTCTCTCAACCATTTTAAGTAACTAATTTTATTAAATCAGAGTCCCAATTGCTATCCAAGTAGATTGGATAGTAGGAGTTCTTAGGTGGATGTACTAAAAGTGTTTTATTTAGAATAATTGGTGAGTGATTTAAGAAAAGACAATCAGCACTTATTCGATCAAATGGAAGAGATGAGAGTTAAAAACTTCAATAGGGAACATGATTACATAAATCAACTCAAAGATTTACAAGAACAACTCTTGGATATTTAAGCACTGAACAAAAATTATGAATACTAGATCTAATTTTTACAAACGAAAATATCTTTTCTAGAATAAAACCCTAAACCTTTAGATCAATATCTAACCACTAGTACAGGTAACCATTTAGATGATATTAGATCTATTTAATTCTAAAATTTAATCTGAAAGCGGAGAATCTAATCAGTAAACTCGAAGTCTCAATACTAATTTGGAACATAAGAATATTCTAATCAAGGAGTGCGATGAGATGAAAAGCAAATTCAAATTTACACAACTTGAACAATCTAATAAAATTGAGTAATAGAATACTGAAATTCAAAATCTAAACAAATAGATTAAAAAATTGGAACTTCAATTAATCAATCAGTAAAAATAGGTTACTCTATATTAAAATGAAACCTAATAGTGGAGGGGTAAATTTTTATAATTAAATAAAACTTATAATAAAAGTACAGAGTAATTGGTTTTAACTAGTGTTGAATTAGATACTGCAAAAAAAGAAATTTAACAAATGAATGAGCTTCGTAGCAAGAGAAGAAGTGTTGGAAGTATAATTTGATACTGGTTTTATAATATTTAATATTTTTCATTAATATTATTATAATGGACATTAAATTATAAGTGGATAATCTTACTAAACCAATTAAAGAAGTACTTTAGAATATTGATCAAGTTAAAGCTTAGATCCTATTATCCCACAGTTAATAATTTGCACTATCTATAATTGAATTTATTTTCTTGGGGAATTGCTGTCCTTGCACTTTAACGCCTATTGAATATAAAACCATAATCATCTAATATGTTTAACAATTAAGAAAGTATTATCAGAACAATAAGGAATCGACTGCTTGCTAAGTATATCAGTTAAATAATTAGAGATTGTAAACAAACTGATAAAATAGCGGTAAGATCATGGAGATCGCGAACAAGAAGGCTTTATGAATTCAGATGAAGAAGAAACCAATTTGGTTAAATAAATAACATTTTAGCAAAATACTTAAGATTATTCCAACGATGCAAATTTGGAAAAGCACAAATTGGTACTACAATAGAAGGATTACGAAATCGCAAATCTCAAAGCAAAACTATAGGTAAAGGAGTAGAAACTCTTGGATTTGGCTAGTGGTTACTTAAAGGATTTATAAAATATGAGAGAACAAATGTATAAAAAGTCTGATGATTTCGATTACTATGAGGTTTCCTATTGTGATGTAACTGATATAGAGGATCCTCGTTACAGAGATTTAGTTAATAATAAGATAGCCAATTTGAAGAGTCAATATGAAAAGAAAACAAGGGAAATGTAAATTAAATCTAATAGCTAGATATCTGTTCGTACAGAAACAAAAGACTGAAATTTAGAATATGAGATAGAGCGTTGGAGCTTACGAGTAAAAGTTGAAGTTGATGGATAACATAGAGTATCTGATGAATCGAATATTTGCATTAGAACAAGACCCTTATAAAATATGGAAATATATTCAGGATATCAAAGGAAATGAATACTTTCATGATGTTTTTGAAAAATAGAAACCAGCCTCAGGAATTAGATATAGAGAAGTGAATAAACTATTAATGGTAACAAAAGCTTACGATAGAGAACTAGAATATTTTAAAAAAGGAATCGAAGATCAAATGTATGTATATTTGGAAAGGGCTTGTGGAATCATTAATATCTAAAACCAAGATTAATTGGATGAAATGCAGGAACTGAAAAAAGAAGTTGCAAGAGTTTAATAGTTTGAAAGTAGAATCAACTAATAAATAATGCGTTAATTTGATTAGTTTAAAAAATAATGTAATTAAGGTTATAATAATAAAAATAGTGAAGTAACATTAAGAAGAATATTTGGATGTCAAATCTAAGGAGTTACAATAATTGTAGAAGATTCAACTTAAATACGCTACTCGACTGTGGTATATTGTGAGTCAGATAAAGAATGGCAAAGATATTAAGGAATTGATTTTATATGCATAGTAAAACAAAAAGTTAATAATATAGTTAGAACGACTACGAAAAACTGACATCGCAACAGTTCTTGGAGTTGGAAAATAATTATCTATAAAATATGATCACTACTAAAATAAAATAAGAAGAAATCGCAGAATTGAGCAATAAGTTGGAATAGATGTAATTATCTAATGACGAACTTAAGATCTAAAATTCTTAGATGAAAGTGACTATTTTAGATCTTAAAGCCAAAGTTAAGAACCATCAGAAATGTTTGCAACAAACAGTTAAGCATATTGATACTAAGATCAATCCTGAATAACTTAATCTGGATGACAATAACAGGGAAACTACCATTAGTTTTAAAGATAAACTGAAGCAACTTAGACAATAGCACAACGGATTAAAATTTATATAAGAGGTGCAATAGCAATATGAAAAAAATGATATGGCTTTAGAATTTCTTAGTACATCATTTGAAAACAGATCAACTTAAACTAAGATTGGAAATGTCAGTAAGAGTTTGCAAGAAGCCATTTAAATACATGAGATGAATAGAATTAGCGATGAAACCAATGAGGATTATGATTACATACAAAATAAATCGAGGGATATCGAATGTTAAACTGATTTAATTAATGTTGATGATATACTAAAGTAAATTACAGGTTTAAAATAATAAATTAAACATTTATCACAAGATATAGATGATATGGAAGGTGAAGGAGTAATATCCTAGCATTTTTAGCTTATGAATTAAAGAAATCAATCCTTTGATGTTAATTCCTCTCAAAAAAGTTCAAATCTTAAAAGACGATATGTTTAAGTTAATGAATCTAAGGATTCATACTCAAATTATTAAGATGATCTCAGATAATCCAACGAAAAAAGTAATGGTTACCAATTAGGATAGACCAATTAATTAATAATCTTGCATCCATAATCGTCGGTTGAGAAAATTGCCTAAACTTAAACATTCTATACATCCAAGCTCCAACAAAAAGGAGTTTTTAATAGGTTGTTTGAGGATAGTAAGAAGAAGTGCGAGAGAATCTAATAAATCAAAAATAATTTGGAACTTTTGGAAAAGGAACATTGGTAATAGGTAGCTGAATTAGTGAAAGAGGATTAAGATATTGTGAATGTATTTAAAGATAGTCTTTCCTCAAGCAAACATTTTTATTAGAAATAGTTAAAAAGAAATATGGAAATGGAATAAAAATATTTTCCATAAAAACATAATAGAGCTCAATTCTATTTCAAAAAGTTTAAGGATTTTCATGTGCATTAATAAGAATTAAATGAAATCTTTTTTGATCCTAATTCTAGCGATGAAAAAACTTAGGAAATTTAGAGATTGAATATCAAAAGTGTGGTTGATAATAGAAAATTGAATGGATAAATCAAATTTAATGGACTAAAAAGGGAGGAATATTAATTCTTTAAGTAACTTGAAAAGAGAAAATTACAGAGCAGAACTTTTAGAAGTACCTAATAATCTCCAAAATAGAAGAAGGTTCAGTATGTCTCATTTACTAAACCATTTATTGGAAGTTTAACTAGCTATGAAATGAACGATTTCAATAACTAATAAATCACTAAACACTTGTAAAAAGTTTACGATTTGGGCTGACTCTGGCCCTTCTGCATTGTTATCTCACTAATGAATTTATTGAAAATTTTTCAAATCCCAATTTATTATGATTTGGTATGTCCATTGATTTCATTTAATCAATTTCCTTCTTCTATTCTATCGGTTCCGTTGGGTATCTATTCCTCACTAATGCTCTAATCAAATAAGGAGATGTTTTTTGCTATTCTTATATCTTAGGTAGGTGTCTTGAGTATGAACTCTTAATCTATGGTTATTGTATAACTTATTGCATGGCTAATTCTAATTCCTGCTGCTTTTTTAAAACATAATTAGCAAAGCTAGTTTCCTCACTTGAATGCTTTACTATCTTTACATATGATGAAGTGTCTAAGGAATGTCTAATGTTTTCCTTCAAAGGTCTAAATGGCTTCTTTAAAAGAGGCAATGAATATTATTACATTTATTAAATTTATGTAAGAAGAACAAGTATAAGAAGGACTTGAGCAAAAGGGACCTAAATTGACAAGAGATGAAAAGAAGGTGTTGAAATATTAAAGAGCCAAACTGAGAGCCAAAGTTATAAGAAAGAAGATTGCAAAAAAAGTCAAATAAAAAGTTCATATTATGAATCAAGAAGCTAAAGAAAAATATTCAGAGATAAAAAATCTAGCCAAAAATAATCTGCAACTTGGTTATGAATCAGGTATCCCAATCTATATAGATTTGGAATATGATATCTTAATGACAGACAGAGAAATTAGATCCTTAGCATTATAGATTGCACACATATAAGGAATAAATAAAGAATTAAAATTCCCAATTCAATTACATCTCACTAACGTCAGAGGAATACAGAAAAATGAATTAGAAAAACAAGGACTTTAAAAATGGCCTGTTCATCACTATGAATTAGGATTATAGGATTTGATTTAAGAAAATCTGGAAAAAGGAATTTAGAAAGAGTTCATCTATCTTTCTCCAGATGCTGATTCATATTTAGAATCAGTTGATCCAGAATAGTGCATATACATAGTTGGTGGATTTGTTGATAGACAGGTCCAAAAATTCATGAGTTTGAATAAAGCAAACACCTTGTAGATTTGTAGCAAGAAACTGCCAATCGAATCATTTATAAAAGGAGCTAAAAGACCATTAAATATAGATAGAGTTGTTGCCATATTAAGCTTGTTTTATCAACATAAGGATTGGAAGGTTGCTTATGAGCAAAGCGATAACTTTAATATCAGTTTGGCAGAGAGAATCACAAGAGAACATCAAAAGCAGGAATGAATGTGAATAAGAACATATATATTCTATAAATATTAATCTTTTTGAACATAAAATTTTATATAGTAATCAAATTGGTAAATATTACACAAAATTGATGTAATTCAATCCATATTATATATAAATTAATATACTGTTGAACTATGACCTTTTGTATTTATTTATTAAAGAATTTCCTTACATTAAAGCCTTAATTATAGCAGTGACGATATTAATAAAATGAATAGAGGTGTTTTAATTGGTTCTCAAAAATCTGACGATTGGCTATTTCGAAAAATAACTCCTCTTATTGAATTGATTAATCTATGGAATCTATAGAATAAATAGATATCTAATAAAGGATTATAATCATTTTTATTATAGGAATCAGATTCTCAAGGCTTGTTAGATGAATTAAAATAGTAAATGATTAAGTTAATTTAGGATATTATAATAAAAGCTTAAAAATCCATATAAAATAATTTTCGATTCATTGTTGAAATGGAAAATTCTCAAATACTATGTCATGCAGACATTAACCGAATTATTAACGATTAGCATTTTGGAAATTCTTAATAAATCTACCCTTTCAATAATTAATTTTAAAAATGATTCTAATTCTCTTTAATTAGTTGTGTGCTGGATATTGTTTTTGGTTTCATTTTAAATATTAAAGTATCAATATTAATTAATAAGGACCTATTCGAAATCGAAACTTGATTAAGATGCAAATATATTAAATATGAGAATCAAAACTATTATCGAATATTTAATCTATGACAAATCTCTCAAAGTTAAATGCTTAACTAAAACAGAAGGTGATTCTCATACTGCAAATATTTATGTATTAAATTGAAATTAATTCTTTAGACATTATTAACTGCTGACGTTGAGTAGATATTAAAATTAATTTCAGTAATCTAAGATATTTGGTAATCTTTACTAATTTTAAGTGGATGCTTATTTTTATTATATTCTGCTGAACCAGAAGCTGGTACGGTAGTTGTTATTGCAATGATTAGCTATTAAGTAATAAACTTTATCTTAACCTTTATAATGGCAAAAGCGGAAGCACAGCATTTAATATATAAGGACAAAAGAGTTGGTTTATAATCTGATTTGATAGAAGGAATGAAACAGATAAAATTCTTATCTTGGGAAGGAATATTTTACAAGAAAATAATGTAAATTAGAAAATGTGAATTTAAGATGTTAATTATATATAAAGCTTTAGATGGTTTTGGTGCTGTGTTTTGGAATAATATAAGCTACATTCTCTTATGCATTTTTGTAATATATTCAGTGAATATAGGTAAAGATTTAAAGGAGCTGAATATCTTCTCATTGATAGCTATATTTAATACTATGATATTTCCTCTCTGTGTTCTCCCTTGGAGTTTAAGCATAGGATATACTTCATTAATATCATTCAATAGATTTTCGAAATTTTTAAGTTAAGATGAAATTAATTCTGAAGACAGAATTCAACCTGAATCAGTTGAAAGCCAGTATGCTATTACAATCAATAATTCCAATTACGTTTGGCCTAATGCAGAATAAGTATCGGATGATGTGAAATAAAATTAATTATAAGATGAAGAATTAGTAGTTGCTAATCAAAACCGTAAGATGTTTGAAATAAAAATAACTAATCTAAAATTTGAAAAGAACACTTTGAATTGTATTATAGGAAAAATAGGTTCAGGAAAAAGTGCATTCTTTTAAGCAATTTTAAATGAGTTATAAGTTTCAAACTTATTCAAAGATATCTCAGATACACAGTAAAATTTGAACTTGAGTTTTGATTTACTAGTGAATGAACCTGTTAAGTATATTGAAATGACAGGTAGAATTGGATATTGTTCATAAGTACCTTGGATCTAAAATTTATCAATTAAAGATAATATCCTATTTGGTGAACCCTTTAACTAAGAATTGTATGATAATGTTATAGATCTTTGCTAACTACATTAAGATCTAAGTACTTTTGAAAATCAAGATTTACATTTGATTGGTCCTGATGGAAAGAACATAAGTGGAGGATAGAAACAAAGAATAGCTTTAGCCAGAGCTTTATATTAATAAAGAGACATTTATCTATTTGATGACATATTTTCATCTCTTGATCACAATATTGCAGATTTAATATTTTAAAACGTTATTGTAGATTATCTAATAAATAATGGAAAGACAGTATTTCTTATTTCTTCAAATTACAATTATATTAAGATTGCCAAATAACAAATAAAAACAAAAGTTGTTCTTGTTGAAAATGGAGAAATTACTTAGGATTAAGAATTAATTAACTAGTATTTATAAAATAAATCATTATAAGAAACTCCCTCATATTTTGAAAAAGAATTAGATTTAGTATTAAATAAACAAAATAATACATTAAATTTACTTAAGGAAGATCAAAACGAAGAGGTTTTTATTGATGATAGCAATGAAGATACAAGATAAATAGGAAGTATTAATTGGTAAATCTGGAAAACATATTTTAACAGCATGAACTTCCCATTATTTCTTCTATTATTTTTTGTTAATTTTTATATGTAAGGATCAATGTCATTCATTGATTTTTGGCTAAAATCTGAAGCACAATAAGAAGATAAATGGTTACATTAATTAACAATATATTTTGACAATTCCTTTGCTAAAACTCTATTCTATTTAACAACCATAGCTGTTTTAATTACAGCGATTAGATAAACTTTAGAAGTTATTTGTGCATTATTAGCTTCTTGGTCTATTTTTAAAAAGTAAATTTGATATTATAAAATTAGACTTAATACTGTTTTAATGTGTACAGTGATGAAATTTTATGATAGAACAAATGCCGGCTAAATTATAAATAGGATTTAAGATGATACTTATGTTGTTGACATTGATATTAGTTCTGGAGTTCACTGTTTTCTTGAAAATCTCAGTAGAATAACAGGTTTATCGATTGGATTATTGATTTTGGAACCAAGATATTTCTTAATGCTTGTTATTTTCTTGCTTGCATTTTATCGCATCAAGAAAGCCTGTCTTATATCAAATAGAGAAATCAAAAGATTGTTGTCTGCAAATTAAAGTAGATTATTGTAAATTGTTAATGAAACATTGGCTGGAGTCAAAATAATTAGAGCATTTTAGAAAGAGAAATATTTCAAATAAATCTTTGAAAGTTCATTTTCAAATTTAATGTTAAGTAACTAATGTGGAGAACGTATAAAATTATGGTTTTAAGTCAGATTAAATTTATTGAACAACTTTATTGTTATGTGTACTTCCTTTATGGTAATCTGTTCATTAGTATTCGAATGGTCAGAAGATTTTGGTATACAAGCTCTAGCTATTACATATTCTATGGTTGTATTAGATAGTTTTTATGATTGTTTTATTTAATATTCAAGAGTAGAAACAGGCATGATTTCTGTAGAAAGAATTTAAGAATATTTAAATAACGAGACTGAAGAAATCAACTAAGAGAAATTTATGGAATAAGAATAATAAACAACTCTTTTAAGTGGAAATAAAAATGCCATAGAATTTAAAAATGTAGACTTTTCTTATGATAATAATCGCTTAGCTCTAACAAACTTTTCTTTAACCATTTTTAAAGGATAGAAAATTGCTATAATTGGAAGAACTGGATCAGGTAAGACATCCATTCTAAATGTGCTTCAAGGATTGTATCCCTTCTATTCAGGAGATCTTTATATTAATGGAATTAACGTATAATTAAATAATATTATTAGGTGAATTAATAATCTTTAAAATAATGGAGAAGTCAAATGTCTATTATTCCCTAATTTGGATTTCTATTTAGTGCTAGTGTAAAAGAAAATTTAGATCCTGAGGGAAGGTATACAGATTAACAGATTGAAAAATTCATCTAAAATACCTAATTTTATAAACAAAGAAATTCTAACATTAACAGTCTTATGTATTTGGATTACAAATTTGACATTTCTTAAAATGGAGCTAATTTATCTTGTGGGGAAAAGTAAGTTCTTAATTTTTTGAGAATAGTCTTATAAAATAAAGATATTATTTGTCTAGATGAAGCAACATCTAACATGGATCCATACACAAATCAAGTAAGATTAAATAATATATTAAGTTATTAAACGAAAGTTTGATTGAATTTTCAAAAAGTAAGACTTTACTTGTTATAACTCACAGACTAGAAAATATACAATAATATGACTAAATCGTAGTAATGGAATAAGGAGAAATAGTGGAATAGGGAAGTTATTAAGAATTGATGCTATCCACAAAAGGATACTTTCGAAAATTGATAAATAACAATACTAAAAACAGTAAACCAAACTTGATATGATTTCTTCTTTTTTATTTGAAATATAATTTTAATAAAATAAAGTTAAAGAGAAAGATGACATGTCAATTTCTAAGAAAATTAAATATATTATATATAATTATCGAATAAAATTTAACATCATTTTTCTGTCTTGGATATATATGGTTTTTCTGAATGAAGTAATGGTGCTCCAATATCTGGGATTGGAATCTAATCCTTACAATTTAATGAAACTTTAGTGTCTCTTAGACTACTATGTTATTCATATTTTTCCATCTATGCTATTATGAATTACACTGTTCCTTTCATCACATCTATAGGTCTCTTAGAATTATGGGTCCCCTCAAATTAAATTAATTCCTTTTTTCCTCTAAACTTTTCTGATAAAATTTTAGGGTGCTTTTCTCCAATCAATGTATCACCTTTAGCTGATAGAAATATTATAGCAACATCAGTTTGTAATGCTAGATATATTATTCTATTTTAACTTTGTATTATTTGAACTATATTAAGATCATCAATATTAAATTTAGCTTCCTTTCGTATTTTAGATTTTACAAAACACCAAAAACAATTAAAGCAACATCCAGGAATGTTATAATTGTTGGATGCCAATTCTTAGCACAAATTAGTTAAATTAGAAAAAGGACTATCACAAACAAGCATTTTAAAGTTAGAATTCAAACTGGCTGCTAATATTGCTGTTACTGAACCCATAGATCTACCCCACAAACCGATTTAAGTGATAAAAGGCTAACCAACTTTAAATAATGAAGTTATCTTACTTTATTCGAACGTAAGTAATTGTAGAGATCGTTTACATCTCTTGATTCATAGAATCCTAATGAAATATATTCTCCTTATGATTGACCAGAACCTATGTCTTATCAATTGATTACCAGACAAATCAATTCCACATACAGCAATGTTCTAAGGAAGTAAATATTCAAGTATTGTTAGAGATTCTACTCTGCTACTTGAGTTCCCATGTAAATAAATCATACACGCATGAGGCTTGTCTTGAATTCTAACGGGTTCAAATAAACTAACGATTTTTTATTAGGTTACCTGCACTGAAGTGTTAATCCACGGCTGTTTGCTATTTCAAAGTCTATTCGTTTAATTACTGTGTCATGAACCATGAATATTTCATTTCCCATATCTTTTAATCGATAATTATGTCTTGGAGGTCGAACAATCGGCTTCCACAATTTTTCTGTGCATCTATACTCTGGTTATTTCATATTTTAATTTTTAGTATCAATAATATAAAGAATGGCTCTTATACAAAAAATCATAATATAGATTTAAGTTCCATGAATTACTGGAGTTTTAAACTATTTCTTTTACCATCTTGAATTCGAGATCTAAGGTATTTGTTCCATAAACCCCATCTAGAAAATCTTCTTTTTACTTATATATTTCTGTAATCTGTTGTATTTATTAAAACATATCTTCAAATACTAATATCCTTTAAGTTACATTTTTATTTGATTCATTTGATACTGCTAAGAAAATGTTCTAAATCCCCACATTTTTAGTGCATCAAATATTTAATTACATCTTAATATTATTTTCTCTTAAGAATTAGGAAATTTCTACCTTAAATTCAATCTATCGCTATATAAATATCACTAGTTAGTTCATCAATAAAGTATCTAAATAGGTTATACTTTAAAATTCTTTTGAAAATTAATATATCTTTAATTAATAATATAACATACTACAAGTTGGAACCCTAAATGGATCCTTATAAGATACAATTCAGTTTATCGAAGTTAAGAAAAAAGTAATTAAGGAATCTAAATATTTAGTATTTACTTTAATGACTTTATGATTTCGAAGTTCAAGATTTATTTAAACAGTATAAATTTAAAACAAAATAATTAGTTACTCTACTGATAATTAGAAGAAAGTATGACTATAATATATTTTATATTAAATAAATATAACAGAATAAAGGTATGATTCTTGTTTTAATTAAATTAACAAACGATCATTTCTGATTTAGATGATTTATTACATAATTTTCCATTTCATCAATTAAGCAGATCTTTTAGGCTACTTTTGTTTCCTAAAATAATTCGAAACTCTAAATCGGATATTCGATAAAAACATTTGAAAATTTAAGCAAATAGAACTTTAGTTTTGTTTGGATATTGGAATTGAAAATTGAAAGCTTAACTTCTCTAAAAAAAGAGTTGAAGTATTAATGAAACATAACAATATTTGTATTGTTATTGTTCTACTAAAATTTATTGGTAAGGTCTTTTAGCAATTCATTTCCTCTAACGATTATTTAAGTGGGAGTAGTGGTTTGCATGATTTTTAAGGATTCATATATATCAGTTGTGTCTTTCCCCAATTATTCAATATTTTTCTTTTAATACCAATCATTGAAAGTAGAAATTGATTTTACCTAATATCTAACATTGTCTAAATAAATAAAATTATAATTTTTGAGATTGTTAAAACATATCAAACAAGAAATGCAGAAACGAATTAAGAATTATTTGAATAACAGTATTTCATCTTTGCAATCATCCCTTTAGTGCTCTTCGCATACTCTTAATACCTTAATCGCTAGAGTATGAAGAGAATGTATATATTCGTATATTTCTGTAAAACAAGAAGAATTTTGACTTTAACTTTTTTAGTATTATTATTGTTATTAGTGTATTTATGGTTGTTGTTATTAGTATAATTATTATTGTTGTTATTATAACGATTATTGATGCTATTATTAGTATTATTGTTATTACTATTACTACTAGTATTGTTATTATTGTATTTAGTTTTAATATTATTATTATTAAAACTATATTATCTTAATATTCTTTTTTTTGTTTAGTTATGTTTCTAAAAATTGATCAGAAATAATTTCATTAGGAACTTATGAAATTTTAAATTCGTCAAATATTTAATGCTTCTACAATTATTACCAACTAATTCTTCTCTTTGGATCGTTTACAATCATTGAATTAATTAGTTCTGAAATTAATGGGTTCTACAATTTATTATAGAATATTACTTCATGATTAGGACTTTTAAATGGTGTGGTAGTTAAAGACTAATGAAAATCTACAAGATCAGCTTTACTTTCAAAGTTTTTAAACATTTTTTAGAATGCCATATAATATAAAATCATACCTAGCTAAAAGATAAAATACAATAATACTGAAAACATATCACTTTATGAATCGCTGGAGAAACCTTATTAGAACATTTCAGGAGCAGCAAATATTTTCAATTCATTTGTAGAATGAGTTATACCTCTTCCAATAGTTTTGTTAATTTCCAAATCAAAGATCTATTGAAGTAATATATTATACTTTAACAATATATTTTCCTTTTTCATTTTTTTTTAAGAGAATATTACTTGGTTTTAGTTCAATATGAGCAATTTACAAATCTTTAAGAAAGCAATACCCTTCCACTATCTAATATAATATTTCAAAAATTTCGTAGCTTTTCAAATTCTATTTTTTTTACTATAACTCTTCTATATAGCCTTAAAGACTGATGTCCCATTTCTCAAGAATTAGATAAGTTTATTCTTCACTATACCTGACTATGGCTATAACTTGTAACACATTTTTATGAAATTTTTATTTGATTTTCTCCAAATTTTCAATTGCTCTAGTAATTCCAACCATATTATTTTAGAAGGTTTTACAAACTAATTCTACGCATTGTTTTAAATGAAATGCTTCATGAGAAACTCCTTACAATCCTGAATTTATAGTTTTGTCTAAGTCGATGAAATAATTATCTTCTAGGATAAGAAAATGTTGAACTATATTGAAATCTAACTAATCCCATGTGATTCTTTTTTCTGGATTGTATACAATCATTTTTTCTATTAAATTCAAAATTTCTTTTGAATATCTGTGGTTGTTTGGACATGATAAAAATTAATCTTTTTTTAATCTTTCGTGGAATTCATTTAGATCCTTTAGATCTTATACATTCACTGGCTTTTCTCCTTGATAGCACATCATGTAAAGAATGATTCCAAGCTAATGTATAATATATAAAACTATTACTGAATAGATATCGCATGTGTCAGTGTACTTTTAATGATCAGGAGAATTTCTGTAAACTTCTGGAGCTGAGTAATAAGGAATTCCAGTTCTAGTTACTGCACATCCATCCTGAGTTATTCGACTCACACCAAAATCTGATATCTATGAATATATTTTATTTTTACTTTTAATACAATTCTATTATTAGTAAGTTCTTTATATAGAATGCTTCTGGGCGTTAAATCTCTAAGGATTATTTTGTGATTCTTCAAATACAAATAGCCTCTCACTATTTGACCCAGCAAATCAAGAATTTCCTCATTAGAAAACCATTTATTATTGCTCTGTTTCTATTAAAATAATTGTTCTAGGTTGCCATCACAGAGCTCACTAAAAATGAGGTACTTTTTGCTATCTTCAATAATATTATAGATATTTAAGACGTTCAAATGCTTTGTTTTTGCATTTTTAAGTGTTTCTAATACTTGTATTTCATTTTTTTAATTAACATAAAAATGCGATTTACTTATCACCTTCACACACAATTTTTCATCCTTTTCTTTGTGTTTACATTTTAATATTTATCCTCTTTTACCTTAAGCAACAATGCTCGAAGTATCTATAATGTAATCTTGCTTTGTTTCAAACTTAGGGGCATTTTGATTATTCATATAAATATATATATATTAAAAATATTGAAAAATTCATAGTTTATATTTTGTATGAAATGATTCTATTATCGTTCTGATTCCTTTAGACAAATTCTAATCCAATATTTCTATAAAACCCATAATAGAGTAATTATAACCTATTATTTTCAGATCAGATATCAATTGTATTAAATTTTAATGCATCATCTGTTCTTGTTCTATTTTTCTATTACTATTAATTTTATAGATTTTATTTATAAATTCTTGTCCTTGTGTATTACCATAATCAGAATACTTTCAATTATAATTAACCTAATATAATTATTTTTCTTTCATATATTTTGGATAGTATATATAATTTCTCTTGTAGTGTAGAGTCTATAAACTTCTGAATTCTACAAGAAGATTTTAAAATTAGATTGATAAGAATCTACTGTATAGAATATCAAAACATGAAATGAAACCCTTTATTTTTAATAATTATTAAATGAAAATAGCGTACTTTAATCGTTGATTTTCTTAATGATCTCGCCAATTCAAAAAGAACTGTTAATGCTATAAGAATATACTATTCTTTATTATCCTTGTAAAAACATTTGGTCTAGATGATCTGATATTATTTATAGGTTAGAATGCATTTATATATAAACATTTCTTTAGTAAAATAGATACATCTGTATTACATATATTGTAAAAGATATCATTCTAATTATTTTAAGGAAATTGGCAATTAGTTGGACTTTAATTTATTCTCTATTTCAAATATCTGATCTGACCCTGTTCTCACTTTGTTTATTCTATTTATTACTTGTGGCTATTTAATGCCAACTGATAAGTTCTTTAATGTTATGCCTTCGTCCTTATCTAGTTCTTCGATAATATCAGCCCCTGCTGAACTTAGATCTTCAAATGTTATTCTTCTACTTGTGTTTTCTAATTGATTTAATGATTTTCTAGAGGTCAAACATTAAGCCCTTTCAACGCTTTTTAAATGCAATAAATTTGATTTAATTTATAAATGACTTTATTAAATTTATAGTTTAGGACTTCTAGTAAAGTCTTCTCCTTTCTTAAACATGTTTTCCAAGCAATCATAGTCAGGCTTTTAGTCAAACTTCAAACGCTTAACATATTCCATGTATTTAGGTAGTTCAGGTGGCAAATTTATATAGGTTTCTGGTTTAAATGCCTCTTTCAGTCTCTAAATCTTGTAATATTTAATATTCTTGTCTTCTGCCATAATATTATTCCAAGGCAGAGTTCCCATGAATAAATATATTAGTAAATAACCAACTGATTCAAGATCGTCTCTCCTTGATTATTCATTTCCCTTCAAAGCATTTATTGAAGCATAACGAGCTGTCCCAATCATGCCCTTATTTTCTCTGAATTCTAAGTGCTTTCCATCTTAAATAAACAATTTTGACAGTCCAAAATCTATCAAATGCAGTTTCTCTTAATGAACCACAAAATTTTCCGGTTTTATATCTCTGTGGATTATATTCGAGTTATGTAGTTCCTTAAGCAAGAGAATCATCTATTAACCCATGTTCAATATTGTTGTAGTATCTAATTTCCCACATTTTATTCTCACCTATTCTAAATTATCTCCAAGCAAATTCATTATAAAATAAGTGTTCTTATGATCCTACCCTGAGGTGATTAATTAAGTAAACCCTAGAAATTGTTATCAATCTCATACCTTTCTTTCCTTTAAGTAAATGCAAAATCTTTATTTCTCTTTAAAGTAAGGTTTTTTCCTTCTTCATTGAATTCTTTACCAATTTACATGCATAGATTTGACCAGTTGAGATTTGCTTGACCTTCCATATATACCCGAAAGAACTAATATTTCTAATGTTAGAAATACCCTTCTCCTAATTTATCAAGAAATTAATAAGATTACGATGCTGGTTTATTATCATAACATTTCATTCTAAGTTAGCAAAAAAATATTAAATATTAATAACATTATTATTTCATAATAATCCTCAATTACAAGATCTGGTGATATATTACAATTATATCTTTAATGAATTAATATGACACATTTCTATTATAATTAATTTATTCACTTGAGTCTCATACTAAAGCTTTATTCGAATCTCCTTCTACTAATTATTGCCAAATGATGAAAATTATAATATTGAACAAAATTTGTATATCATTTATTATTCTTCTATTATTAATCATCCAATTCTTGCTTTACTTATGAGTAATTTGGCAATGTTTACTAGAATCCTTAATTAACATTCTTTTATTAATAAAATTGATCCCCAAATTGTTGCATCAGAGGCATGGGGTAATTCATTGGTTGCATCTATTATTAAGGTGTCTGCTAAAACATCTCCTTCAAAAGATTGTTTTATTACATCTATTAACCCAATTGACTTATCTATTATAGCTGTTGCTATTCATAAAAAGCCTAAGGGGCATACCTAATTTAGTCAATAAAATGCTTATACATTAGAGGAATAAATTATTATGTCATTCCACTCGAAGCGAGTTATTACATTTGCAACTAATTTTGCTAATTCAATTCGGCTTACATTAGTTTTTATTGTTAATTATTTGGAGGGTTAGTGATTTAATGTGACATCATATTTTGAAATTGTTCTGCCATTTATTAATTTACAGGTTAAACAGCTTATTACATTTACCCTGGGAGTGTTTGGATTATTTGCATGTTTTAACCTGGTATTTATCCCTGCATTTATCCTGGAATCTATCCCATCATTTATTATGGCATTTGAATCATCATTTATCCTTACATCGGCCCCATCATTTATCCTGTCAATTATCCCATGATAGGCATTTAAGTCATTTGCATTTAAGGATATAAAAGATTTGGATATAGAAGTGGTTGATAGAAAGGCTGTTATGGCTATTATTATTATTATTGCTATTATTATTATTATTATTATTAGGATTATTATTACTATTATTACTATTATTGTTGTTATTATTATTATTATTAGTATTATTGAAATTATTAAAGCATGTTTTTTTGTTAACTAATTTAAGATTCAAAAGCTTATGAAATCATTGTAGGTTAGTTAATCTATTACTATTATTACTATTATTATTATAATTATTAAGCTTGCTTTGGTAAATGGTCCTTTTATTTAGATATTTGTTTTTATTTAACAACATGCAGTAATTCTTAAGCCTTTTATTATTTTGTCTACGTTTGTACTATCTCTTTTTTACAATCCTTTTTGCTTTCTTTTTTTTGCTTAAATATTTCCATAACTGCTTTTAGTTGAGTTTTAGGAAAAACATGTATATTTTATGAATCTTTATTCATTATGGCAAATTCAACATCAGATAACTCGTTCGAATTACTTATTGGTTCTTCATTAAATTCAAGAGTTTCCCCTTTTTAAACTACGACATCCTAATAGTGATCCTTAATTTTATTATAATCCAAGATTTGATCCTATTAATATTTTTTTAACACTTTCTCTACTATGTTTGATGCATGAGAATTACTTTATTTTTGCTCTGCTTTTAACTTTTTCTTTTGAATATTAGTTAAATCGGGCTAAGATTCCTATTTTTTCTAATCATTTTTACTAATATTATCAGATTAATTAATATTCTATTCATTGAGCTTCTATGCAAGTTCATTTAAATAAAACAAAATAAAACTAATTTCTAGTTATCCTAGTTCTTCAATTTTATTGAATTAATTTAACTAATGTTTTGAAAGTTCATTCTCAATTTATTTTTTATCCAATAATTAAATCTCCTTTATTTCTAACTTTTTTAAAATTTTAAAGTATCTATTTTTTACAGAACTCTCAGTTCTATGATTTTTCATTTCCAAAGCAATTACTTACCAATTTTTTCCATTTTTTAATATAAATTTCATAAATTAATATTCTTCATTTGGGTCCCAAGGACCTTTCTATATTTGGGGGTTTAGTTTATTAATCCACCTATCTCGTACAAATTTTGTCAGCTTTATTGTAGATTTGCGACACTTTTAGGATAATTCTTTTGCTATATCGCTCCAATTAAATTGTTTATTTTCCGAGATATACTAGTTGCAAATTTCTTTTAAGGCTTCATCCTCATTTTTACTCCATTATTATTAATGGAATATTTATTTTTTTTAGTTTTCTAATTGTGATCTGCAATCCATTACAGATTTGCTTAGCAATTTTGAGACGATGTTCCAAACATTGTCTGGTATCTGAGCATGGATTTTATTTTAATTAGAACAATAGGTCTGTATCAAAGACTTTAATAATTTGCTTTAATAGTCATTCCACTTTTAGGATTCTGATTGTTTATTTTAAACCAAATGGTATTGCTCTTTTATCTTTTTACCAATTTCTTCATCTAAATTAGTTAACAATGATAAGTATTTATCAAACTCGATTTACATTTTAATTTTTATCAATATAATATATATCAATTATATCAATCTAGTAATAATACGTTATAAAAAAGAATTCTAATTACCATTGCTGGTTATTTACATTTTCCATTCCAAATTCTAAATTTACAGTTTTCGCATTAACCTTAAATAATTTTATTTAGTGAATCTTCTTTTTCTATTGCTATATTGATAATAAAATGCATATTTAATAACTATTATTTGCATCGGTTCTCTAAAAAACTAATTTCTAATGTTTGAATAAATAAAAAAGCCTCCAATCACAGGATTTTACATTGTCTATTTTAAGAATTCTACTTCCTCTATATTTTTAAATTCAATTATTTAAGCATTAGATTCTTATGTTACTCAAAAAACTTTACAAATTCAATAATCCACCTATTTTATTAATTTATACAATATTGAATTTAAGCTTATTTTTTTTTGAATTTTTCATCCATTTCTAGAGAGGCGAAGTGCCTTGGAGTTATTTTTTTTAGATATCAATTATTAAATCAAGATTTGATTAGAATATAATAATTGAATTTAGATTCTAGTTTAAATCTAATATAGTTAAATTTCTATCATTATTGGAACCTTCAGAAGAGATATTTTCGTTTATATGATTCTTCTTTCTGGCGATTATATATTATTTACTTCTGAAATCATTATAGCAAAACGAAAATACATTTAATTTTATAGAAGTTCTTAATTCATTAATTAAAGAAATGTCGTTCGAATTTAAATTATGTAATATCCTAATTAATTTAATAAACTTGCTATTTAAATACTTTGTTGATTCACAAAGATTAATTTATTTAAATAAAAAGTACATATTAATAAATAAATTATTATCATACAAGATGTTATAGTTTAAGAATTATGAGATGATTCCTACGTTCATTGATTTCTTTTCTATTTATGGATGAATGATAAATGCTTTGAAAAGATCTGAAAATTCTTCGTCATTAATAATATTGTTGTTATTATTATTTGAAATTATGGAAAAAATACCTTCCATTGATTCCAACTTAGGTTCATTATTTATTAGAAACTGTAATTATGTGATTTTACTGACCTAGGTACACTATAACAGGAGGCATTCTCTATATTATCAAAAAAACTCAATAAAAATAACTCAATCCTTGAGAGTTCATTTATCATATTAGTAAAGACTAATTTTTGCTTAGCGAACTTTTACAATTTAGTTAAGATAGTTTTACTTTTTTTGTCTTAGGAGTTTTTTATGGAATCATAATTTTAAATAAGATTTTTTAAAACTGATTCAATAAGAGAGTTTTATAGGAGATATTCATTATAAAATTATGCTAGATATTATACCATCATTATAATACTAACGATTGATCCAACTTATGCTAAAATTTCTCCTAATTTAGGATAAACTATTTATGTTTCATAAGAGAAAGGATCTAAACGTATCGTAAAAGCTATAAATGATTCCATATTTAACATTTTATGGAAAAAGTCAATAGATATTGTACTCATTAAAAATTAAGCATCAAAGATAAAGGTTTCTTCTTAGAAACTTCCAAATAATATTCCTGTATCTATTTACGTATTTTACTATTTTACAATTACTTATATTTATTGTGCTCTCTCTTATTCAAATGATATATAATATTACTTCTTTACAACATCAAAATCTTGGTTTTTTGAATTAAAATACTTAATATTTATCCAGAAACTTAGAATGTTAGTTTAAGAAGTAAAGAAATTTTGAATTTCTTCTTAGTTTGCACAAGTTTAATCTTCCAATAGCAATTATTTCTTGCATGTAGTAATAATTATGATCAACTCTTTTGTTGGATNGAACCTTCAGAAGAGATATTTTCGTTTATATGATTCTTCTTTCTGGCGATTATATATTATTTACTTCTGAAATCATTATAGCAAAACGAAAATACATTTAATTTTATAGAAGTTCTTAATTCATTAATTAAAGAAATGTCGTTCGAATTTAAATTATGTAATATCCTAATTAATTTAATAAACTTGCTATTTAAATACTTTGTTGATTCACAAAGATTAATTTATTTAAATAAAAAGTACATATTAATAAATAAATTATTATCATACAAGATGTTATAGTTTAAGAATTATGAGATGATTCCTACGTTCATTGATTTCTTTTCTATTTATGGATGAATGATAAATGCTTTGAAAAGATCTGAAAATTCTTCGTCATTAATAATATTGTTGTTATTATTATTTGAAATTATGGAAAAAATACCTTCCATTGATTCCAACTTAGGTTCATTATTTATTAGAAACTGTAATTATGTGATTTTACTGACCTAGGTACACTATAACAGGAGGCATTCTCTATATTATCAAAAAAACTCAATAAAAATAACTCAATCCTTGAGAGTTCATTTATCATATTAGTAAAGACTAATTTTTGCTTAGCGAACTTTTACAATTTAGTTAAGATAGTTTTACTTTTTTTGTCTTAGGAGTTTTTTATGGAATCATAATTTTAAATAAGATTTTTTAAAACTGATTCAATAAGAGAGTTTTATAGGAGATATTCATTATAAAATTATGCTAGATATTATACCATCATTATAATACTAACGATTGATCCAACTTATGCTAAAATTTCTCCTAATTTAGGATAAACTATTTATGTTTCATAAGAGAAAGGATCTAAACGTATCGTAAAAGCTATAAATGATTCCATATTTAACATTTTATGGAAAAAGTCAATAGATATTGTACTCATTAAAAATTAAGCATCAAAGATAAAGGTTTCTTCTTAGAAACTTCCAAATAATATTCCTGTATCTATTTACGTATTTTACTATTTTACAATTACTTATATTTATTGTGCTCTCTCTTATTCAAATGATATATAATATTACTTCTTTACAACATCAAAATCTTGGTTTTTTGAATTAAAATACTTAATATTTATCCAGAAACTTAGAATGTTAGTTTAAGAAGTAAAGAAATTTTGAATTTCTTCTTAGTTTGCACAAGTTTAATCTTCCAATAGCAATTATTTCTTGCATGTAGTAATAATTATGATCAACTCTTTTGTTGGATTTAGTTTTGGATTAAATTCACTGTTTTAAATTACATTCAGATCTTCTACAAAAATTAAATTGCTATTGTAAGTGGATATAGCTGTTTTGTTGGTTAACAACGAAAATGGCTCTTAAGGAATACCAGAAATAATATATATCCCTACTGGCATCAAAATATTATCTGTTGTTCTAAAAGGATCAATGATTTCATTTGAGTACTTCCAATAACATAATTCAAAAAGATTTTCATTACTAAACTAAATAGATGAGTATTTTTCAGCCTTTATAGTATTTGTTGATTTTGGTAGGATATTAGAATTTCTCCATTAATCCATTACATAGATAAAGTACCCTAAACTAACTGCAGTTACAATAATTGATATCACTCCTCCAATAAAGGATTTTTAAAGCTTTTCTTCTGAATGTATATCTTATTTTAATTGTGCCCCAAAAATATCAGCCATTTAAACATACTTCATTTTATTTTGATATATATAATATTAGAATTTCAGTCAAAGTTACTTCTTATTTTACAAAGTTAAGAAAAAATCATTCCTTCTCAATTAGGATTAAGTAAGAAAAAACATTTCCTCAATTATTGATTTCAATGATAAAAAATATTATTGATGCCAATTGAGATTAGTTGTACCAATTTTGAGAGGCTTTAATTGAAAGAACTGGCTATGATCAAATGTTATACATATTCTGTTATTTTCAATTATCATTTGCAGTTGCGTGATTGTTTAATAATAATTAAAGAATGGATTAGAAAAATTAAAGAAATGAGAAAATAATAATTGAATTATTTATCATCTATTAATAACATTAGATTATATAGATAAGTAAATAACTAAATATAGTAAAAATCTAATTTTAATATTAATCTTCTAATAGAAGAATTATTAATGATAATGTATTTTACTTTAAACTATATTCTATAAGATTAATCAGCTAGTGATTTTTTTATGTTATTTAATCATATTTTAGATTTCATCAAGCACTTTAATTTTGCTTTGCTAAACTTATTTTTATTAAATGACATAATCCTTAGTTTTTAAGGCTTCTTTTTCATCAAAAACTCTTTCACTTTCCATCAATTTTACTTTTTCCTCTAACTAAAATATTACAAAGTATTAGATACATATTTTTATTCTGATTATAATGTTTTTTAATTTTATTTAACTTTAAGGTATTTGTTTTTGTATGAATTAGCTTATTCATCACTAGAGATTATTTGCTTCTTTAATTCTGAGATTATTTTTTTTTATTCTGAAGTTTCATCTTTTAACTCATTCAATTAATGAATTAAAGATTAAACTCTGTTTTCAATCTAATATAAATCCTATCGAGATAATTAAATCTAATACTTCTTCGTGTTATTGTTTTAAGTAAGCTATTTCTTTATCAGATTCATATAATAGATGCTATAACTTCTTATTCTCGTGATGAAATTACTGAATATCAAACAGCATCTGTGATTTTTCATTTAAATCTAATTAATATTAAACATCATATTGAGCTAATTTATCCTCATAGGCCTAAAGCAAAGACTTTTAAGATTCTAGCTTTTATTTAAATTCCATAACTTCTTGGACTTAAAAGTTAGCTTCTTTCAAAGTTTAATCAGTCTTATTCCTTTAATCTTCCAATTGTGATTACAACCTCAAATAATCATGTTTCTAATCTTAAATAACCTTATGATAAGACAATTCTTCTTATTATAATTGAGTAATTTATGATTCTAATTATTAGATTTGATTTAATAATGATTTAGTCTTTTCTTTTTTTCTATTAATTTACGTTAGATATTCGCTTAATAACTATTACTTTTCGAATTCAATTTTATTAATATCTTATTGATGACGTTGATCATTTAGTTTAATAAATTTTTCAGCTTCATCAATTTTAGATATTTAACTATCGATTGCTATTTATAAGATTTTTTTTTCTTCTTATAATTCTCTGATCTTTGATTCTAATAGTTGTATATTTTATCTATCATCTTAAGCTGCCATTTCAAAATATTTGCATTAATCTTCTTTTGATTACAATGCTTATTTTAAAATACTATTTTCATCTTTCAATATCAAATATCTCTTGTCATATTCTTTTCTAAATATTGAATTAAAATTGATACATCTCAGCTTACAAGGAATCATTAATTCGTGATACTCTATCTAAATCAACTTAGAAGGTGGACTTTTAGTCATCCAATCTAGAATCGATTGTTTTTGATGAATCCTTAAGTAACCTGATTTTAGTCTTTTTCTTTTACAATTTAATTTTTAATTCATTAATTTGGGTTTTGAGATCTTCATTGCCTTTATTTTAGGACTCTGCTCTTTCCTTCTCAAATTTAACTAATTGTTCATCTCTTGTTTATAATAATCTGTCTTTTTCTTTTGTGTCTTAAATATACTCTTTTAAAGCAGCCTAGAATTTAATAGTGAGATTACTTTTAATTTTTAGTTGAGATCTTTGAGTTTGTTATATTTTTCTCTGGAAACGTAACCTGAGTTATTTTAAACAGTGAGATCCTTCCATCCATTTGGAGAGCTACTGGTCAATAGATCGATATCTCTTCTGCCTTAAAAATTTCTAGTCAGAAGATCATTGCTCGAACCTTGATTAGTTCTCATTTTTAAATTAATTAAATAACAGCCAGATTATGTAGTAAAATTAAAAATTGAATTCTTTGATGATAATTTAATATGTATTTTCAAACTACTTTGGGTGTATGTGACCCTTTAGCACAAGTTGGTATTTTCATGAATTCATCCCAATCATATTTTTCAACCTTAATAAATGAATTAAACTACTCTGCAACATGTCCAAAATTTCTTAAGATCATGGAAACAAGGTTCCCCTGGATGATAAAAGCATTCAGTATTTTCTTTTGGATCATACTCTTTTAAACATCCCTTATTGGTGCATTTATATTTGCCTGTTGGAGTTACAAATATTTATTTTTACACTTAAGCTAATTAAACATTAGATGGATATACAAACCTTATTATTATTCTAACAACTTCTTCTTTTCAGCTTCTTCTCTATTATAGTCATCTATTTTTCGAACAGGTTGTGGAGAGCTGTCAGCAAAGTTATCAATTCCTAATATTCTAGAAATTACAATAATACCTTTTTATGCATTTTATACAGTCTTTGACTAATAAAATTCACCTCCTTCAGTGGCTTCTACATTTGTATGTCTTCCTACTGCACATGGCTCTATTTTCATAAACTCATCCCAATCATAGACTATTTTATTACAACATGTCCATCCTTTTTTGAGATCTGAAAAGATGGGTTTTCCAGGATGATGTTTGCATGCTTGATCATTATTTTCATTTTCGTTGTAAGCCTTCTTACAACCATTTCTTTTGCATTTAGTTTCCATTAATTAATAATTAAAAATAGTTAAGTATTCATTAAATAATTATTTATGATTTAATCGATTCCTCATGATAGGTGTGTGTATGTTACTCAGTATAAGGCTGAAACAACTCTTGAATAATTGACACAGGCATTCTCTGAGTTCGGAAAGATTGAATAATTATAACAAAATGCCAAGTCCAATGGAGTATTCATAGTATTTGATTCTCATGATGCAGGTACACATTAGTTTAATCAAATAGTGAAAAGAGCAACATCCAAGACTGTCACTATAGGAGGCAAGAACTTGGATGTGAATGAGTATTTGGATATGGACAAATTGGATGAAGAAGCAAATGTATTCATAGATGGATTAAGTCCGACAACTACCCAATTGCAATTAAAAGAGAAATTGTAAAAATATGGAAAGATCTTGAATATCAAAGTGTAGATGTCTGATAAAGCTGGTGTAGCCTATATCTAATTTGAAGATAGAAAGTCAGCTGAAAAATGTTTGGCAGATTAGGCAAATTTGGCATTGCATATCACTAGGTAAATTAATAAAATAACAGCTTAGAGCCATCAAGAAGGGTAAGCAATAACAAATCAAAAGAGATTAGTTATTCATCTCTAATATAAAATCTTAGTCATCCTTGGATCAAATCAAAACATAATTGGATAACTATTTCTCTGAATTTGGAAAAGTCGAATTGGTTTAAGTCAACGTCAATCCCAAAAATCAAACCTACTTTGCATTTGTTAGATTTGAAAATTCAGAAGATGCTTATAAAGCTGTCAAAGCCACCAAACCTTTTCAAAATCAAATGATCAATATTCAATGGGCTGTCAATTCAAATGACAATATTGAAGCAAATCTCTACACCAAAAATCTTAAACCCACTGTAACTGAACAATAACTAAGAGAAGCATACGAATCCATCATTACTATAGATGATCTTCAATTATTACCACCAAACAAATCTAATAAATTGTCAGCCTATATTTATTTGAAATCTGCTGAAGATGGCAAAAAAGTCATTGATTTGGCTTTCAAAACCAAAAAAATATTTGATTTGTATGAAAAATTAACTGTTTAAATCTCCCCTATGTTGAGTCCAGCAGATATTATCCAATTCAAAAAAATCCAATCAAAACCTACATATTAACCTTATCCTAATCCCATGCCCTTCCCTCCCTATTAACAAATCTAAGGATTTCCAAACTAACCCAATCCTCCCTATGGTGCCTATCAATATCCAGGGGGCTATCCTCCACAACAACCACCCTATCAACAAGGCGGATACTATTAATAATAAGGAAATAATTACAATTAACATAGACACAAGAAAAATCAATATCCAAATCAATATCAAAACTAACAAAGACAATAACCTAAGTTACCAGATTTATAATTCTTATAGAAATTATTAGCTGAAGGAAATTAGAAAAGAGTTACTGATACTATTGGAGTCCTCTTGTTCCCTCTTGTTAATTAATAAGTAGAATAAAAACTGGTAATTATCTACAATATTATTTAGGCACCTTAAGTGACAGGAATTTTATTAGATTTTGAAAATTATGGGTTGGAAGACTAATTAAAAATGCTTTAGAATGCACCTTATTTGACCGAGCAAATCAATTAGGCTGTAGATCTAATAAGAAAATCTTATTGAGTATAACAATTAAATAAATACATATAAATATTATTATAAACTAACATTATTTACTTTTCTTTTAATGTCTATAACATATTATTTATTTTTATAAAGATAATAGATTATGAATTACAAGATTGTAAAAAAATAAAAATATCTTTAAATTCTATTATAAATTAAGCATTGGTTTTGAATATCAAGCTGTAATACATGAGTTACATTTTACATAAAAAAGACAAAAATGATAAAGAAAAATGAAGATCCAAATGTTATTTGATTTTCATATATTCTTATTTAAATGGCTGATTTATCATTTGACTTAACGATCTGATTTAATAACTTCAGTTCTTTTTTGTGAATTATTTTACATATCTATGAATATCATAGAAAATAAATAAAATAAATAAGATACAAAGATCTTGTAAATAATCATTATCTTATAATTGCCTCAAAGCATTCGAAACTTGGAGACCCAAAGTTAATTCTATTGTTTTCTAATTCTGCTGATAGAAGCGTATATTTTTCTTGCAATTCAACGTATTCTTTATTCAATTTTATAAATCTTTGTTTCCAAGCTATTTCATTTGGTATTACATTTAGATATGCTTTGTAAATTATTCTTTTTTGGTTTAAATATCCTAACAAGTATTAGAAACAGTTAGACTACTCATTAATTATGTGTTCTCTCTTAGTAAAGATAATTTGCTTTTCTAAACCTGTGTGATCATTGTAATGTGATTTTCTGAGATTTTCAATTTCTGTAATCCTTTAACTAAATCTTAAATCTAATATAGTACTTAAATGATCCTAAAAAATTTTGAACATATTAAGTTAGATCTTTAATTTATTGTTAAATTGATTGGAAGGATTGTTTTTATTCATATCTATTTTAAATGTAGGATTTACTTTCCTCTAGTTACTGAATGTGTGATTTCATTTGGAAACAATAATATTTTTTTTTATAAATCTCTTTTTGTTTATAAAACTCTATTTATTTGTGAAATTTTTAGATTTTTTTAAAAGCACTATTATTGTTAAAACCTGAAGGAGTAGCAACACGTGCCAATCTTTAAGGAATATAGTTAATGGATGAATTAGAACGACACGTTTAAATAGTATTAATATGTTGTTAGAACATTAAAATAAATTATCAAATACTAAATCACATTCAAAATAATAAGAAGATCACCAAGTAATCGATTTTTTGCTTGGTTCCTTAATTTTTGTAATTTAAACAATATATATTAAAATGATAATACTTTTTTAATATTTTTTTTTTTTCATGATTTAGGCTAATAGCCATATAAATATTGTTAAATTGGTAATTTGGTTAAGTTCCCTAAGGATTTTTACAGATCTTAGTCATCATATCTTAGAAATTACAAAGAAAGGTAATTAATCTAGATTTGAATAGAATAGTGAAATTGCATTATATTATATATATATTCTTTTATATTTTGTATTGATTTCAATATCATAGATTGGCTGCAATACTGAGTTTATTACAAGTATCTTCTAACAAACTTAGTAAATGCTCTTCAGATTATTCTCTATTAATTATGTAATTAATTATACCTTGTTTTCTTTTCTTGATCTAATTCTACTTTGACTCTATTGACGATATCTTTCAACATTTCAAATATGGATTATTCACTTTCATCTCTATTTCTCTTTTCAACATTGATAAGATTACTCAACTTAACAAGTTCATCAGTAATGGATTTCATAACCTAAATGTTAGTATGCACTTACATTCTGATCAGACTCATCTCTTTCATTGGCTTCATTTCTGATGGCCTCTTAGATTTTGGGTAGATCATTTTATAATCCTTAATGGATTCCTTCAATAGAATCTACTCTTGCTGCAGTTTCCTTTTGTACTTCAGTTCTCAATAATGCTGTTTTATCTTCCAGTAATCTCAATACTTTAGCTTCTCCTTCTTTTCTTGTTTATGTTTCATTTTGAATAGCATTTTCAAATTTCTTTTCTAATGCTTGAACTTCCCTGTTTTTAGTTTCATTAGCTTATTCCTTAGCCAATTTATCTTCTTCTACTTGTTTTTGCAATTTGCCTAACTACACAATAATAGGTATAGAAATTACTTAATCTCTCAATCCATTCAATTTAGTAAAGATTTATTCTTAGAATTCATTGAAAGCATCTTCAGCCTATTAAATTCTTTATTCAGCTTATTCAAGTTTTTAGAATCTCTCATTTTCTACTCCAATTTAGATTGTGGATAATTTCTCAGAGATCTTTTGAATTCTTCCACTTGATGGTGATGCTTGGGGATCTAAAAAAGGTTAATTCAATTTAATACATGAGACTTAGGATCTGGAATTGTACATTCTAATTAATAATAATAATAAAATTTATTTATGAATTAATTTCAAAGACTTTTGGTTTTGAATTGTTTTTATAAATATAAATCATTTAATACAATCTGATTTATTTGTAAAAGATGTAAGCATTTGAGATCTCTTGAAAATAATAGAGGTTTTAGTAGAATCTTTGTCTCTTGATCTTGAAGTGAATAAAGGATTACAATCTGTCTCCTGTTTTTTTGGTTTGCGAAAATGTTCTGATTGTGCAGTTGATTTGATTTTCTTTAGACATAACTACTTCAAATTTGATTTATTCTTTTAATTTATTGTATAATATTTACTTCGATTAATCTATTGATATTTTAAGTATCGATTTCTTGAACGCTTGGTTGAGGTTGTATCATTCTGCTTGCGAATCTTTCGAGTTATTGGTCTAGATATTCTTCATTATCAGTTTTGTTCTTTTTATGGAAGGAGATTGATGATTATGATTATAATTTGAGGATATTAGGAGTGTTATTATCGAATTATTTAGACATATGATAAGATTTATCTTTTAATTGAAATTTCATCTTCAATGTATCTGTAATTTTTTTGTTTGTTTAGCCTAATAGCTTACATGATCGCTTTAATAATTTATTTCTGTTTATAGGAGTTGAATCATCATCATTGGTTGTTTTGTTGTATAACTTTTCAGGTAATTTCTCTTTGATTCTAAATTAGGATGCTTTTAATTGATTGAATGCCTTGAATCTATCCAATAAAGTGTGTTGACGTTTATCAGCCTAATTGAGTTCATGCAGCAATTCAACAAATTTCACTCCATCTTTCTTAAAATATTGCAACGGTTTATTTCTTTAACTTTGTAACTATTCCTTTGTTTTTTATACTCTTTCTTTAAAATCTGGATCCTAAACATTCAATCTATATTTCTGATTTAGTTCTTTATAGAATTTAGCCAAATTCTTCATCTGATACTTAAAATCATTGGTAAGCATCTTCTCATTATTCTCCAATTAAAATTGTATGTCCTCATTCTCTTAATCCAAATTCAACTGTTTCTAATCTGCAATCGTATCTTTGTTCTAATAAAACACCTCATACCCTATATTCTACCATCCATTAATGCATTTCTTAATTATTATTTTGATCAATACTTCTCTCTTCTGAACTGGAACAAGTATTCTGCAAGTGGCAGGCCCATCTTATTCAATTGTTGTATCCCATTTACATACACGTCTCTTGGCAAATTGCATAGCAATACCCTTTCCACACTTTGATATCCTTCACATTTATTACATGATTAAGCAGATACAAATATGTTGCTGCTTTTGTTGGAGATAGATATATTTCCTTCTATTGAATACTACCTAGTTTTTAACATTCTCTGAAATATGGTGTCTAATTATTATTTAATTAATCTATTTAATACCTCTTCTCTTTGTGTCATATAATTAATTAATTAAAAATCATCTTTTAATTATCTAAAATGTCTTATTTACATTTGAGTTTGCTTATTTAATCATTCACGAACACAATATTTAAATAATATAATTTGAAAATGAAATACATTAAAATGATAGATATATTCGGTGTCTAATATAGATAATAGATCTCTTTGGATGAAAAAGTCTAGAAGTCTGCCTTAAGTGGAATATGTTCATTTATTGTATTAGGAGCCAGTTTCGGTTACTTTCTATATGTTATGAATGAATGGTGGAGTTCCAATATCCTACCAAATTCAACTAGTATAATGAAAGTTGAGAACTACTCTTAAATTTTATATAATGAAGATGACCTATTCGAATTCAGTTATTGGAAGTANTTCTTCATTATCAGTTTTGTTCTTTTTATGGAAGGAGATTGATGATTATGATTATAATTTGAGGATATTAGGAGTGTTATTATCGAATTATTTAGACATATGATAAGATTTATCTTTTAATTGAAATTTCATCTTCAATGTATCTGTAATTTTTTTGTTTGTTTAGCCTAATAGCTTACATGATCGCTTTAATAATTTATTTCTGTTTATAGGAGTTGAATCATCATCATTGGTTGTTTTGTTGTATAACTTTTCAGGTAATTTCTCTTTGATTCTAAATTAGGATGCTTTTAATTGATTGAATGCCTTGAATCTATCCAATAAAGTGTGTTGACGTTTATCAGCCTAATTGAGTTCATGCAGCAATTCAACAAATTTCACTCCATCTTTCTTAAAATATTGCAACGGTTTATTTCTTTAACTTTGTAACTATTCCTTTGTTTTTTATACTCTTTCTTTAAAATCTGGATCCTAAACATTCAATCTATATTTCTGATTTAGTTCTTTATAGAATTTAGCCAAATTCTTCATCTGATACTTAAAATCATTGGTAAGCATCTTCTCATTATTCTCCAATTAAAATTGTATGTCCTCATTCTCTTAATCCAAATTCAACTGTTTCTAATCTGCAATCGTATCTTTGTTCTAATAAAACACCTCATACCCTATATTCTACCATCCATTAATGCATTTCTTAATTATTATTTTGATCAATACTTCTCTCTTCTGAACTGGAACAAGTATTCTGCAAGTGGCAGGCCCATCTTATTCAATTGTTGTATCCCATTTACATACACGTCTCTTGGCAAATTGCATAGCAATACCCTTTCCACACTTTGATATCCTTCACATTTATTACATGATTAAGCAGATACAAATATGTTGCTGCTTTTGTTGGAGATAGATATATTTCCTTCTATTGAATACTACCTAGTTTTTAACATTCTCTGAAATATGGTGTCTAATTATTATTTAATTAATCTATTTAATACCTCTTCTCTTTGTGTCATATAATTAATTAATTAAAAATCATCTTTTAATTATCTAAAATGTCTTATTTACATTTGAGTTTGCTTATTTAATCATTCACGAACACAATATTTAAATAATATAATTTGAAAATGAAATACATTAAAATGATAGATATATTCGGTGTCTAATATAGATAATAGATCTCTTTGGATGAAAAAGTCTAGAAGTCTGCCTTAAGTGGAATATGTTCATTTATTGTATTAGGAGCCAGTTTCGGTTACTTTCTATATGTTATGAATGAATGGTGGAGTTCCAATATCCTACCAAATTCAACTAGTATAATGAAAGTTGAGAACTACTCTTAAATTTTATATAATGAAGATGACCTATTCGAATTCAGTTATTGGAAGTATACTAAAGAGTAAGTTGACCCATTTCGGTTGTAGCGTAACATATTAACACCTATTGGAATTTATTTTATTAATGGTATTCCACAGAAGCCTTTTTCTCTCTTGAATGAAATATCAGCAATCTCACCCTATAATACTAATTTATAAAGAGTTGATAACCTATCATTAATTCAAAATAGTGGATATGATACAACTTTGAATTAGACTACCGAATTGATGATCTTAATTACTGCATGTAATTCCACTCTAATGAAAACCGGATATGAATGTGCATCTGATTAGGAAATATAAGACTTCTTTGAAACATCCGTTAATTATATCAGCTTCTGGTTGAATTTAAAGTAGTATGATCCTAATTCGTAAAAGTTCGAGGTTGTGAAGAAACAGTATTATTTATCCCTTGACTCTCAAATATCTCATTAAGGTTAATTGATTTTGACTAAAACATAAGCTACTATAGATACTGGCATTTTATTTGGTAAATATGAACAAAAAAGCTACATCTACAATGCTTAATTGATAACAAGTGCAACAACCAAACAATTTTTTTCTACGTTATTAGTAGAGAGTGCATATCTAAGCTTGCTTATTAGACTTGACCCCATATCTAATGATACATAAATAGTGTATCCTAAACTAGGAGCAATACTTGCCTAAGTGGGGTCAATAATGAGCATATTAATGACTATACAATATGTTATGCGTTATTACAATGAGCAGTTATTGGATTCTGATTTCATCGATAAGGTTTTGGGATTTTACTTTTAGGATTATTTTGAAGTAAAACAATCAAAAGAAAAAGCAGACTCTAAAATATGTAAAGAATTAATAGAGAAAGCTAGAAAGAAACTAGTTTATACTAATGTCATCTATGAATTATCTAGGATTTAGTTATTCTTGTTATATCATTATGGAAGGAATCAACTATTTTAGGCACATCAGTATGCCATAAATGTAAAAGACGAAATGAAGTCGAGTAAATGTTGCTTAGCCTTTGATAATTTCATTACTGGGCCTAGGGGTGATGGTAACAGAGAATAAATTGAATAGCATTTTGAGAGAGATGATTTCAATTTGTTATGCAGAGGCAAAATAAATATTAATAAAAATAATGAAGATGTAGTGAGAGTTTATTAAGATGTGGGCAGTGCTTCATTGAAGTCCAGTTAGAATTGAGAGTAGAGATTGAATAATTTTGATCATAGATTTTTATAGTCAAATAATCTTGTCTTCAGTTAAATATGTATATCCATCAAAAAGCATTTGGATTTCTTTGAATTTTAGTTACTTCTGTTGTTCATTAAATAATGTTTGTTATGAATCGCTGGTTTTTTAAAAAGCCCTAGTCTTATCTTCTTATTTAGGTTGATATGGAGCAATCATTGTTTTATTCACTAATTTATCCCATTGAAATGACTAAAATAATTTGTGATTTTTAAGTTCTTTGATTCCATTTTGATAACCCAATCGATTTTGTTATTTTCTCACAAGCAATTTATTTGTAAATTCAATCAAATTGAAAGAATATTATAAATATTCTTTGGCATTTAATTATGCTTATTTGCCTAACATTTCATCTCGTATTTCTTTTTTAGTTCTACCAACATATGGTCTTTTACCAGTTATCATTTCAAAACAAATAACACCTATTGCATAATAGTCTACACAATAATTGTAATTTTATTTTAGAATTATTTCAGGTGCCATATATCCAGGAGTACCACTAGTTTCATTACTATTTTCACTTTTATAATATCTAGCTATTCCAAAATCTGTTATCTTCAGATATCCTTTGCAATCCAAAACTAAATTTTCAGGTTTCAAATCTCTATGAATAACTTAATAGGAGTTTATGTATTCTAATCCAAGAATCATGCAAGCCACAAAAAATTCTATAATATTTATATCTAAAAATACTAATTTATTCTTCTCTAAATGTTTTATTGAGCAATAAATGATATCGAAGGTCGCCTCCTGATAGATAATCGAGGATTAGATATAAATGATCTTTATCTTAAAAGGATCCTACCATATTGATAATAAAAGGATTCTTCAGTTTTTATAACAGTTACTTTTCATTCATAACAGACTTTACAGATTTTTTAGCTAGAATTCTCAATAGAGTAAATAGAATACTTTGTTTTTTTAAGTTCTTTCATTGCATAGATCATTCTTGATTTTTTGGATTCAACCTTCCATACATTACCAAATCCGCCTATACCAATAATATAATGGAAAATGAAATTATGTCGAAATTTCTATTAGATTTTCTATGTTTAGAGTTCTGAAGTGGCTTGTGTGCTATCCTAGATCTAAATTAAAATGAATAGGTACCATGATGACAGTACTAGTAAGATTTAAAAGAGGTCTTTTTTGGGATGATGAATTGATTTCTTGCAGACCCATATAGAAAGATCGGTTGAATCTTTAATTGAGATTTGGACTATGAATTCGAGGTTGAGAGAGGTTTATTTCGAATTATTTAGGTTTGATGATTTCTCTATATTGAAGTTACACTCTTTTGGGCAGTTTGGATCCAATCCTAAAGTTTAGGCATGATGGAGATACTTCTCCCAGTGGGATTGTCCAATATTGTTTTATTTGGTCTGACTCTCCTAATCAACCGAGAGCTTGAGATTCTACTCAGAAATGCTCTGACATAATAATGCTAATTCCTATGAAAAATCATAAATACAATTTTAGATCGGGTGATGAAAACTAGGACTTCTAAGTGGATGAAGATATGGTTTTTGGTTATTGATTTGCTTATTTAGTTGAGGATCAATGAATGATTTATAAAACATATTTTTATATATAAATAATTCTTAAATGTTTATCAACTTATACGCCCTTTCTTGTTATTATTTGCAAAATGAAGTAACTATTACATATCCATCTGAAATCCTAATTTAATTCATACTCTAAATTTTTAAATAGATCGAAATAAATACCATCTATTAAGTACAAATTGCTAATAAAATGAGGGTTATTTTCTATTAGAATTTTTGAATTGTATAATCAGCAGCAATTTCATATTTTTTCGAATGATAAATTTCAATAATTTCGTATATATTGTGTAAAATAAGTGATCTTAAATTTAGTGTGTTTTCAAAAGTTCATAATTTATCCTTTGGAATTTCTAGAAGTAAGTATTGTTAATTTTATGATGAATATTCATATTTATTAAAATTAATAATTGCCTCATTTGTGAATACTAATTACCAGAGTAAATTTCATCCTGAATCTGCTTAGTTCTAAGTATTATACATATAACCTCTAAAGAAAAGTTTAGCAAACCTATCCATAAGAGAGACAATAGTATTGTAACAAATTTAACACTTGTAGATATATTTTTAATGCTGAAAACCTACAAATTGTTCGAAACTACTATATAAACAGTTTTGATTGATGGGAATATCTATTGTAAAATGGAATAGATTTAAATAGTGTAATGATATCTAAAAATCTTATATTTTAATTTCATGCTGATTTTCATTAATCTATATCTAAAACTTATTATTTAAATTAAATTAATGAATGAATATCAATACCGATATTGGCCCATCTTCCAGAAAAATTACCAAAGCATTCTGTAATAAAAATTCAATTAAATATTGATTGCCCTATAATTTCATAATCGACAATGAATCGAATAACTTGGAAGTGTAATAAGACTTCAGAATATCACTTTGCATTGAATCAAAATTGCATACTGTTTTATCAACATAATAATAAACCTAAGGGCTTTGTTTAATTAAATAACGAAATTAGTATTAAACTTATTGACCTTAAATTTCGAATAATAAGTATGATCAAGTAAAAGTTATCAGGATTAAAAGAACTAAAGATATCTTCATTTATGTTTGGAATCATGATTTTTAAAATTACGGATCTTGAAATTGTATTTCTAGTGGCTAATAAAAATTACATAAATTTATTACCTTATAATATTAGATAAACAATTTATTATAAAACAGCTATGCATATATCTTCTCTAGTTAAAATACCTTCGAATTTTTCAAGAAATTATCTTAATTCTCATTTATCTAGAATCTAGATCAACTTTACACTCTATCTGATGTCATTGCTAAAGGCGGCTTTTCTAGGGTCTTTTCTTTAACTCCAAATATGAGACTCCCTAATTAACCATTCAATTAGGCAAAATTTACAATAAAGAGGACCTACTTAAAATAAGGATTCTTAAAAATTCTATAATTTAATTCGATCAAAATTTTATGTACTTAGGAAATAAAAATCACCTTGTAATCTCAAACTCTATGAAATCATAGAACTAGATGAAATACTATTATCAGATTATATTGATTATAATCCTAGTAACTGAATAAATAAAGGGAGAATCATTGTATTAATATATAAAAGGCAAAAAGAAGTTAACTGAAGTTGAGTCCATTGAAATCTTACTTAAACTTACTATTGCACTCTAAGCAGTGCATAGTATAGGCTATGTTCATTGAGATATTAAATTGGAAAATGCATTAATCGATAAAGATAATATAAAACTAATTGATTTTGGCTTTACTGAAAAAATATTGAGAGATAGATTATAGAATGGATAAGGCACAGCTGGATACATTGCACCATAAATATTTGTGAGATAGCCATATTAAGAAATTGGTGATGTATTTAGTTTAGGAGTAATCTTTTTGATTATTTAGGATTTGCAATTTCATTCTTTAAAATATAGAATAAATTTATATAATATTTTTTATCGTATCCGGAAGAGCACCTTTTCGATCAAATACATATGATGGATTATTGAAATTGAATTAGGAATGCTAAATTGATTTTTCTGAATCCAGATTTCTTGAGATCAGTTATAAAAGTATTTGTTTATTGAAGGCTATGTTATAAGAACAACCAGAAAATAGAATCAATATTTAAGACTTATTGGCTCAATTATAAGTTTATAATCTATTTTCCCATTCCCCTAATGTTGTTTCAACATAATCCATTATTGAGGGTTCCTTAGGAATAAGTGTTAATCATTTATAATCAATAACACTCTAAAATCTTTTTATTAATAAAGCTAAAATTCTGCAAGTGAAAGTTCAAGTCAATTTTCAGGACATCTGTAAAAACAGAAGTAAAGAAGATTTAAAAGTTAAAGTATGGATAAAAAAGGATAATTCCCAAAATAGTCCTGATTCAAACCATCACTAAAGTATGTTTATAATTACCTTTTTTGATTTTCATTTGAATTTCAGCAAAATAAATAAAATTAAATATCAAAATCTTCTTTACTATATTAGATGGATATGGAATTAATTAAGTAATTAAGAGAATTGATGATTAGGAAGATCCAATTCAAAAAAAACACCTATAATTTTTACAATTTTCTCATTAATAGTTAAACAGATAAAAATTTGTTTGATTTTATAAATCATATACATTATCTCATAAATAACAAAAATCATTTTTATATTCCAAATTCTTAAACTTCTTCTTCACGTTGCCTAAATTATACTCATTAAATTAATTCCAAATGTTCTCATAAATCTTATCCTCTACTAATTAAATCAAATTATACTTTTATATAATATATACAAAATCAGAGCAAGTATTTCTGAAACGTTAGGATTTTCTTTGAGTATTTATATGCTATAGATTTCCTTAATAGTTTCAATTGAGGATTCATATATATCCTAATCATCCCTTAATTTATTATATATAAAATCTTGATCAAACATGTGACTTAGATTAATACAATTACGAACTATGAATAAGCTACTAGCGTTGAGATTGTAAAATATTGTTCCTATTTTTTATGATAAGTATATAATGTGATTAATGTACTCATCATTTGTCACTTTACATAAACTACAAATTACTTTGAAATTGTATCCTTATGAATATTTTTCATTTTTATCATAAGAGGCAGCCAAAAGTAACTCAAGCATTTTCTTTTAATAGTTTGATTTAAATGATAATTTAAGATAAAAACTGAATTGCATAATAGCTTAAGCAAAAATTTTCAAGGAGGGAGCTATAAATCTAATAAAGTATATAAATAATCCGCTCACAGTGTTTTCGTAAATCGCTTTGCAAATTAATTCAAAATCTTATTGAGACTCTAAAAATTACAAATCCACTTAACTATCAAAAACACTAAATTTATCATAATATTTGAGGTCAAATAAATTACAAAAATATTTCGCCAATTCTGAAGCATCTTTAACTATATTATGCTTTAATAATTCTTTTTATTTTATTTTTTGTATTAATTTTTTAGCAGATTTAAATGTGATATAAGCTGATGTGTAATTATTCCTTTTTTAAAGTTCCACTATTTCAAATTGGATTTGATTATTTTCAAATTCAAGTGCTTTGTTATTAATTTTAATTAGTTATGTCAAATTTTAAGAGTTTAAAATCTATTATTTTTTCTACATTTACTTTTTCTATAATTTTGGATTTATTTAGTATTGAAATAATTGATTCAAGGAAACTCTTTAAATTTTATAATAGATATTTGGGTGATCTATCTTGATATCTTATAACAGTCGAACTTATAAATAATCAATTTAGATTTAATCAAAAGTAGTAGTTAAATTGCAATAAGGACATGTCCATCTACTTTTATTTGGTTGAGAATTAAAAATTAAAAAAGTATTTAAATCAAAGCAATTTACATGTTGACAATTTTTCCCTCTGGCTGGCAATTACAATTGCTAAGTTGTAAAAGGATCTAATAAGTTAATCGATAAGTTTGATTAAACCTAAACATCAATAGATTCTTCAGAATTTTCATCAGGCTTGTTTATTTTATCAAAATAGAAAACTTTTTATTAAGTTATAATTTATTCTATCTAATCCTTATCAGCATCCATTATTTATTGTTTAACCTCCTGCCATTCAATATTTTTTACAAGCAAAATTCCAAATAACGAATTGTACTCGTTCTTATCCTTGAAAATAAGTTGAATACGATTTTAACCATTGACAATATTATTAGGAGGCCTAGAATAATTTCAATTATATTACACATAAGCAAAGTCAGTCTCATGATATTTTATCTAATATCTTTCATTAACCAATATTTCTATATTATTGCTAGGCCATACAAACAGTTATTTTTGATCTTTCATCTTTATACAAAATATTGAAAGGATTATCTAATTCTTTTTGATATCCTCATAATATTTGGTCACCTCAAAAGTAAACGAAAACTATTATTCTTAAACTGTTTTTCCAATCTAAAAGATTTTATTCTTTTTGTTATTGAATCTAACATAATGCTGAAAATTGGTTAATTATTTAATGTACTTCAATTTGTTTAAATGGGTTACTGGCCTGGAATATGCAATCTAAACAACGTTATTCTAATGGTTATTTATCTGTTATTTAATAATCATAACATGGCCAATGGTTCTATCTTTTACAAGTTATACAAGAAAAACTATCTAATGAATTTTATTATTCACAATAACATTATTTATACATTTATTAATAAACAAATAAATAATATATTCCTAATATAAATTAAAGTCAAACTCAATTTTATCTTTAAGGCTCATATTTTGTCAATTCATGAATTGAAAAAATAAATATTTTGATTAATGTATGAACTTTGCAAAAAATTCGCTAATCTGTTAACCATAATGTAAGAATGAAACATATTCATTAATTAGATTAGTTAATCCAATGTTGGAAACTTGTTATTTAAATAGAATATGTTGATAATCTCAAATATATCACTTGGAGCAATACGAAAAAATAAATAAATCAAATTACCTAGAATTTTTTATATATAAATTAATTTATTGATGCGATTCTGGCCTATAGTCTCTTGAGCCTTATAATTTCTTATTAATTATCATTTTTTTTTCAAAAACACATAACCTTAATAAAATAAAAATTTATTATAAATGGAAAAATAATTGTAATGTTTTTTCTTTTTATTTTTGAAGTATTCCTCATACAAAAAGTATACTCTCACACGTGCAAGAATATTACAATTTTGCCTAACTAATTCTATATTTCTAATTATAAAAGTTAGCTGATCTTACAGGGTGATGATGAAAATATTTAAAATTCCGAAAGCATCAATATGGATATTGTAAAAAAATCATTTTCAATTCCTTATCAAGAAAATTTTATATCACTTCAAATCATCGACGCTCTTTAATTAAAATAAAAGATTACAAATAGATTCATTTGTTCTTTATTTAAAGTTAATGAATATTGTATCAATTGCATAGGGAAAATAATTTAAGATAAATTATATTGAGAGCAACTCAATCTTTTTTGAGGAAAAAGATGATTTTGAATAAGTAATCCTAATATAAACCAAAATTATATAATAAGAGTAATGTGATTATATGCATTTTGATGAAGTTAAATAAACATTTATATTGCTCTGCAGCAATAATCCTATGTTGAAGTTATATGAAGTAGATATTCATAATTCAACAACACTATAATTTTAAATAGATTTAAGTATTCAATATTAAGAAAAGTGTAAAATAACTTAATATAAATTAATTGATAATAGTTTGATAATTGCCTATTATAATTGTGCTCATTGGATAATTTTAAAGACAGATCAATCAAATAAGAAGGCTTAAGTATTTATTGATTATCAACATATTGTAATAGAAAATAAGTTGAAGGTAATAAGAGAGATTTAATTTTGTGAAAAAAATTCTCAATTTAATCTATATTTAATTGAAGAAAATCGATACGCAAAAATTGAAACTCAGAAAATAGGAATTGGGTTAATTTCATTTACCATTTATACTGCTTCAAATTTTGTATAAAAGTTAATAATTATGTAAAAATGTTCGCAAATTATACCAATAATTTACAATTAATAAGATTTTATTGTCACTTCATAGGTATAAATTACTGAATTTGAACTCCATAAGTAATATGAGTTTTATGATATTAATTATGTCCAGTATTCACTTTTCTTAAAGAGAAAAAATGAGCTTACTGTTGATGTAACTAAATTCATTAATAAAACATATTCAATTGAGGCAACTCCATTGAACTTTTTGGATTAATTTAATTTATTTTATTAAATTGATCTTTCCAATAAAGTTATACAATTCTATAGGTTTTCACTAATGAGAAAAATACTGAAACCTACTAAACAATACATATTTGAATTAGATGAGTAATAAATTTTTGGCAACTACAACAATATTTAATGTAGAAGGCTAGAGTAAATATCATAAGCCCAAACTTAGATTCCTATATATACTATTGATACCATATTTAATTGTGATATGAAATTAAACTGTAAAACCGACATAAAGCCAGAAACCCCCCTTGAATTAAATGACTTTGATATTTTAAAATTAAGAACAAATTAATTAAGTCTAAGTATCAAAAGATTAACAATTAATAAAAATTAGTGTTTGATCAAGGGTCTATAATATGAGTCTCATTATAAAATTTATGATGTTTCAAGCATAGAATAAGAGAATATCATTTATGAAATCGATAACAATCTCTTCGTTTATAATTGCTTCAGAAAAAGAGTTGTATTATAAATTGTTTTACATTCTACTTAAGTATATGACTATTATAGTAACTTTCTAATTTATGATCAGAATACTAATGTTGGTAGGTTCCTTTAGTGTAGAAATTATAATATTTAATAACAGTATATAAAGTTTGATCATAAGGTTTTTCAAATTAAACAATTTTAATAATATTTACTTATTTACACAGGTGTAAATAATTAAATTTAAATAATAAATTTACTCCGTCAAGGTTTTGACTCAGTAATTGCAACAAATTTAGAAAATTTACAACAGAATTCTTCCTCAAACACCTAAATTTTATTTTACGCATAATATCAAAACTCTTAGATTCTCTAATATCTTGGCTTAATTTATATTGAAAGGGATAATAAATCAAAGTATTATAAATTTCCTGAAGTCTTAATAATTGGCATTTAAGCTAGAGTAAATTCGCTATATTCTATTATTGCGATACAATTTGAAACAAACTCAATTTTAGGGTATATATTTGATGAAGGTGAAATACAACTTCAACTTAATTGGACTAATTCCGAATTTACCTTAAAAAAGCCTTTGCAATACAAAGAGACCAGAAATTACTTTTGTATTTTAACAGAAAAAAATCAATCTATTTATGTTTTGATCTTCTCATATCTGAAAGATGAACTTTTTTTAAAGGAAATTATTTAAACAGACACTCCCTTTTTTTTTATTGAAGAACATTTTATAGGTTTTTACAATCCCAAATAAGGATTTAGTATAACAAATTTGATTCAATATGAAGTTGAAATTTAAATTTAAGAAATACTAATGAATAAATTAGTTTTAAAAGATCATATAACAGCCAGAATTCAACCTTATAATTTAGATAAGAAATATCATTTTGATTTTAATATATTAATCATTAATGAATGCAGACATTTGCATGCACATTTTAACTCAACTGAAATCTACTAAAATCCTCCAAACTTCTAAATCAAAGTATCTAATTATTTTTATGGTCCTATTGATAAATTAAGCTATAAAATGAATTCAAATAAAATAATTGATATAAGTCCAATTAATCCAATACTATCTCTCCAAAAATGTTAAGATTTGAAATAAATTGCTTGCTATTGGTCTTTGAAAATTCGAAATTTAGAATCAAAAGTAGAAGTTCCAATCATTGTATTGGATAATAATACTTTCTAGTTTATTTTTCCGTCATTTTCTGAAAAAATAGCAATAATCTGGTTGGGTAATTTTGATTTTTTAAGTATATAAATATTGGGTTAAGCTCTGTATGGTATTGAGTATTAATTAGAAGAGGAAGACACCTTTTTGATAAGAAAAAATAGCATTTCAAGAAAGTTTGAGGTTGAATAGGTGGATTTATTAAGATATTTAAAAAGAGAAGGAAATTTGATTCTGATAAAGACCTCAAATGAGAATATTTTCTTATATGTTGAAAAAGGTTAATTTGATTAAATTACAGGTTTGGATAACGTCATTGACTTAATTTTTATAGAAAATACAGAAGAACATTATTTATTGCTTCATTAAATCAAATCAACCTTTAATTTTGTTATTTCGATTCGTAAATTTAGATTAACAGAATAACCAATTATTTCCTATTTAAATGTTACATAACCACTTTTATAAGAAGTGAAAAAAGTACTTTAAAACAAATTTATTTTTGAAAATAATTCAACTTTTCAATAAATATAATTGGTTTCTTGTAAAAGGATTAATGAATTGATTACTATTAAAGTATTAATTATTTTACAACTTCGCTCACTAGTACTTAATATAGAAATAAATAAAGAATAAATAAATGGAGTTTATTTATAAACTTAGATAAGATATCCAATACAATACGATAATGGAGCTATTGCTTTTGATTTAGTGGATGAAAACATTTTGGTTCTTAGCCATTTCAATAATGTAAATCATTTTTATTATTATGACCTAAAAAATGATAATGAATTTCAAGATTACGTTTACTCAAATTAGAACCTTGAAATTACCAAACTCAATACTACTCATTATATGATTTGTTAAGCTGGCTTAATTCGTATTGCCACTTTTGGATATAATATTTTTTTAGATCCTGATAAGGATCTGAGCCAAGGATTAACTTTGTTCGCTTAAAATCAAGTATCGTCAGCGGAAGTGAGATTAATTCTGATGAGTAAACGTCACTTAACTAATTTTGTATAATTAATAACCTTGTTTCTTATACAATTATATATTAGGATAAATTAGAAATAGATAAAATCAAAAAAATGAATGATATTTCTTAACGAATATATTATATTATTTAATAAAATTTATTAAAAATTTGAATTAGGACAATATTTCAGAAGTGAACAAACAGATGAATTCTATAACCTGATTTCAAAAAAAATCCTTGTTTTAATTTGAAATTATAAGGGTATGAATTGCTTTCTATTTCAAATAAAAAGTTATGAATTAATCAGAAGTAACAAACTATTTAACACAGATGGCTAAAATATTTGAGAGATTTAAATTATTATCTATGACTTTAGATGAATTTGAAGAAAAGTATATGAAGAATCCAAATGAAAATAATGAGGGAGAGAAAGAAGTAAAAGAAATCAAAAAGGGGTTGAAACAATAAATGGATTAATTAGAAGGAGTGAAGACATAAACACCAAAGATTAAATTTGATTCAATCAATAAAACATATTCTTGTTCTGAATGTTCTAAACAATGCAACACAAAATCAGCTATTTTAAATCATCAATATTTTAAACATAATAGACCAAAAAAGCCAGTTATTGCCAAGTCTACCAAATAATAGAGCTAAGAAATAGATGTCGATGATAGGATCGATGATTTGATTATTTTATAATGATTGTAAATGAATAACTATTAATTTCTGAAGGGAATAACAAAAAAATTCCCAATGTGATTATTTAATTATTTAAATTTATCAGAAATGCCTCTAGAAGCAGCTGTAGTAGTTTTGGATAACTCAGAATTCTCTAGAAATGGAGACTTAGAGCCATCTAGATGGAATGCTTAACAAGAAGCCATTGAATTATATATTAATGTAGTTATTGATTCAAACATGGAAAGTGGAATGGGATTGATTTTAGGAGGAGGCAAACAAGTAAGACTGTTAATGACTCCAACAAACGATAGAGATTAAATTTAAGGATAATTCCATAAAACAAGATTAGAAGGTAAAGCAAGTCAAATTAATAAATAGGTAATTTATAGTTTTCTGTTGCACTTCAATAGGCATCATTGGCTTTGAAACATAGAATCAATAAGTAATAGCATCAACGTATTGTGGTATTTGTTGCTAGCCCGATTGAAGAAGAAGTAGACACTCTAGTAAAGTATAATCTAATTAAAATAATGTTAGCCTAGCAAAGAGGTTAAAGAAAAATAATATAGCAATTGATTTAATCAATTTTGGAGAGTAGAATGAAGATCATCTTAAGAAATTGGAAATTTTCTTTGAAAATGTTAAAAAAGGATCAACTTCAAAATTCATTAACATTTATCCAGGAATGAGTGCTACAGAAAAACTCTTTTCATCTTTAGGAAATTCATCAGATTTTTAAGCTGAGCCAGGATAATAATAACAAGAGTAAGTCCCATAATAAGGAACAGGAGTACAATTCTCTGAATATGGAGGAATTGATCCTAATATTGATCCAGAGATGGCAATGATAATGAAAATGAGTCTTGAAGAAGAAGCATAAAGATAATAATAATAATTAGCCTAATAATTATAATAGCCTTAATAATAACAATAACAATAATTATAGCCTTAATAATAACAATTAATATAAGAAGAAAAAGTAGAAAATACTATAGAAGAAGACAATGATGAACTGTTCGAGTAAGCTAGATTATTGAGTATGCATATAGAATAACCACAATAATAAAATTAACCTGCATAAGAGCAATAAAAATAAGACACATAGAAGTAATTTGTTTCTTTCACATAGGCAATTATTCTAAGACTAAAACTTCCTTGAGGAATTGTTAGATGATGTAAATAAGGACGAAGAATAAGAAAGTCTCCTCAAAAAAGATGATGACAAATCCAAAAAAGATTGATATAATGTATAATATAATATTAACAACTATTATTAATAATATAATTTAATGGACTACCACATAGAGACAATTAAACAATTATAGTAAACAATTTAATTAGCTTCTGACGAAAATAAAGAACTGAGTAAAAAATTGTTGTCATTATAATTAAAATATGATCCTGAATCTGATATCTAGATAACAAATTTAGAAAAAACAGTCCTGCTTCAAAAATAGCATTTAGCATAACTTAAACAAGAAAAAATAAAAAATAGTAGGGTTTAATAAATAGATGCTGAAGAAGAAAATTAAATTTAATAATTAAATGAATAGATAAATGAAAAATAGGAAGATTTAAGAAAAATAGAGGATCTGATGTACTAGATTGAATTTCAAACCAGAAATGCAAACCAAGAATTATTAGAATTGAAATTAATCTTTAAAGAGAAATAGAATGAGCATTTATCAATTACTAAGAAAATCGAATAATTGGAAAAGCTGAAACCCAATATTAGTGGACAAGATAGCCTGTCAATGTCATACATTAATGAAATAGGTAGACTAAACGATAAATTGCAACACTTAGAAAAAGTCTCAAATATTTAATCAAGACTAACATACTAGAGTAATTGTAAGAAAAACTGATCTGAAAAATTATTTTATATTATATGATTAATAATGGAATTTTTAGACCAAAGAGATTACCCACAGCAACAAGAAGAGTAAAATTATCATCAAAACCAAGTATAGATTCATTAATGTTTAACAACATTAACAAATAAAGTGTAATTTGCGATTCTCAATTCTTCACAACTTCAAGAAAAACTACTCGACCTTAAACTGCTCTTTAATTACCTTGTAAAGATGCACTATTTGAAATGCCATTATATTCAAATGATGAAGAAATCAAGGAGTCTAAAAATAAAGATGTATATTATCACACAAAGATGAAATTATTTGCAAAAAAGTATTCAACAACTATGCCAACCCACATGAGTACATAATAATCAATAATAAAATCCTAACCACTCATTCAATCTGCGACCAAAAGAACTACAAAAACTAATAATTCAGTTACTAAACTTGTGGCAAAATAATAATCACTAGAAGTTGTAAATTAATAATAAATACTCAAACCTACAACCATGAATATCAATTAGCTTTTCTCTTAAATTTAATAGATAAGACAAGAACCTCAGTTTATGCAATGCAATTTAGATAATGTTAAAACAACTAAAAAAATATTGCAAATCAATCCTGAGGAAGTTAAGGCACTATATGAAGAATTAGCTCATCTAGATGTCAAATTCATGAAAATGACGGCTGACACTGAAGCTTTCATACATAATCTCTATGCTGATAAAAATAAGTTCTTAAAAATTAAGGATAATGTAATAACGGAGCATTAATTAATATTTCTAACTGAGTAACTAAAGATTAAAAGGGAATTGATAGAATAAGGGTAACCTTTTGATAGTATCAATTTTGATGAAATCGACAAAATCGTTTAGAAACTCATTTTTTTTGAAAGATTTACTAAATCGACAAGGATTAACCTTGTTAAATTAGGTTAGTATATAGAAGTCCCTCCTGGAGAATATGTATTTCATTAAGGAGATTTTGGAGATAATTTGTTTGTAATTTTATCTGGAAGTGTTGATGTGAAAATAGAAAAGAAATTTACTCAAGATGGACCGGTAATTGAATAGGTTGTATCATCTCTCTATGATGGCTAACATTTCGGAGAGTTGGCTATGATGGAAACTACATAAAAGGGCTAAGAGGAAGTCCTTGAAGAAAAATTAGAAAATATTAATGTAAGATCCCTTAAAGAAGTTAAGGAGCAACTAATTAAAAAATAACTTCAAGATCTAGGATAGTAGGATGAAGCTTTATAAAAATAAAAGATTAAAGAACTGCAAAGGCAAAACACAAATATCATTAATTTGGTTAAGGAAGATACTGTGAAAGAAAAACATTATATAATGAATTTAGCCAATGATGACGATGAACTAGTTTAGTCTTCTGGCTTGTCAAAATAAAACAATATTTAGTATAAGAAAGTAGATAAAGCATAATAACGAAAAGCATCAATACAAGCCAGCGAAACTTGTCATTTACTGGCAATTAGCAGAGAGAATTTCAAAAATATCCTTATGGTCTTGATGCAAGATGAATTAGAGCAGAAAATCAAAATGCTTAAATCTTTGAGGTTCTTTAAATAAATTCAACCATTTGTATTAATACCTCTAGCAAATTAGTTAATACCCTAAAGATTTCATCTAGATGAAGTTTTAGTTAGGGAAGGAGATCTCCTTGAATATATGTTCATTTTATATAAGGGATCTTGTAATGTTATTAGAACTATAAATACAGAAAGAATTAAAATACCACAACATCTTCAAAGAAGGTAGAACAGAAAATCGTACAGGTATTATTAAGAACATCCAATAACAATTACTCATAATACGCCTGAAGATTATTTGGCTTGTTTAACATAAGATGGAGATGTTACGCATAAGGTTCCAGATTATGCTGTCTGTAATAGCAATAATGGATATATCTAATATAAAAAGAGTTATATTTATAAAAAATTGTTTCCTGGAGATATTATTTTTGGGAGAGTTTTGACAGGATTAAGACTTGAAGGGGATAGAGGTATTGACAGAGCTAGAATGACTATTGTTAGTTCATCTAGCACTACAATTGTCTATAAAATTAGTCTAAAGTTAATATAATTTTGTCCAGAATTTTTAATTGAACACCTTACTAATCAGCTCCTAATTTACAAAGAAGTTGATCTCCTTGAATAGTCAGAATTAAATTAAGAAATCAAATAAATATATTCCAAAAATTAAAAAATTGTTAAGGATTAAGCCTAATTACTTTCAGAAATAGAAGAAAAATAAAGAAAATTAGATTTGCAGGAATATTATAAGAGAAATAAATTAAGAAAGCCTTAAAATGAGAAGAAATAGGACATCCGAAATTCAGAATGGGAATAATTTAAAGAAAAAGTTGTGATTCAACAATTATTGTATAATAAAGTCTCAAACTGATAAACTAATTATATAAATTATGATACTTAAAATATAATATATTTAATATCATATAAGTCTTAAATCTGTTTTTTCAAATAATCTATTAAAATAGTAGCATTTGTAACGAAATTATTAATTGTTATAAAGGTTGATTCATATAAATATACTGATAGCACATTATTTTTACATACTTAGACTAATCCATTTCTTAGATCAACGTAAATTACATTATTATCAAAGTTGAATAAACATTTATGAGTTTATCGAATTAAGTATAAAGTATGGATTGCATTTCTAAGAATATTTAAATACTTTCATGAACTAAATCGCTGTCAAGCGACAGGCAAATCTACATGGATAAGGACATTGGTAACAATTACCAGAAATTTATGAATAAGAGCCAATATATTCATCTGAAGTAACAGTATACTTAAGATATTATTCTAAATCAATTTATTCTCAATTATGCATTTATTTGTATGATTTGAACATTAGGTGATTAAGGCTTGGTCAATAATTAGCTCAAATCATAAAATCCTAAGTTTAATGATTATCAGTATCCTATAGTTTCTAATTTATACTTTTAGAGTATTCTTAAGCGTTCTCAAATTTTCTCATTACAAGAAATGCATAATCCATTTAGATTGTTGTTAAAACATCCAACCTTTCATTATAGAAACATCATCAAATCAAATAAGTTTTAGATACATTATTCATAATTAGGAATCTTATCTTAGTAAGTATTTATTTAATAAATATATTCTCCAAAAGTTTAAATTGTTGAGCAAATCAAATAGTATCTCCATCATAGTCAAAAAATTAACAATTATTATCAACCGTATTTTTTATTCATAAATTAATTTTAAATGAGACAGAATATCCTTGTTAACATAGTGCACATCCAATTATATATTCATCATTAACCTAACCTTCTCTTTATCCATCTTCATTATAAACTCTATTTTTTGATTCTGGACAACTTGAGCATTAATTTTAAGTTGATCCTATTCACGTTTAGCATGAATAATGGCATTTGATATTTCATTATTACAATTATCAACGTCAGTGCAAAAGATCTACCTTATTTACTAAAACCCTCTCTTGATCCACCAAAACATAGTCGATAATATATATTTGAAAATTAATTCACTTCTGAATTATCTATTTGTTCGCCCTACTTTATTAATTAAAGGAAAATTTAAAGTATCTGGATCATAATCAGCTTGAATGAAATGCCATTTGCTTATTAGAGAAAGATTTTGAACAAATATAATATCTTTTTTAAAAATGAATCATTATTATCTGTAAATTAAACTATGATCTAACATTAAAGAATAATATTAGATTCTTACTCATCCATAGTTTTATTCTGAATAATAAAAATAAGTTAGAATAAAGAATTAGACCCTGCAGCTAATTAGTAAACCGGTTAGCAACTATTCTTAAGATATGTATTTTTTAAATAACTTCCGAATCAAATTCATTTTAAATCTTAACCCAAAATGTTACTTTATAATATTATTAATTCTAATTTACAATCTGGTTAAACTTTTTCATGTCTAATTATCCTAATAGCCAAACCGTTTTATCCGAACATTTGATCTCAGAACTGATCCCAAGCGTCTTCCTTATTTCTTACATAAAGACTTATAGCTGCTAAAAATTTACCTGGGAATGTTTTTAAATTTAGCAAATAAGATGTAATTGGATGCACAAACTACAATTGATAATATCAAAGTACTTAATAAGACCCTCCTATAAATTGAAAATTGAATACTTAAATTTTAAAAAAGAATATGATTTTAATGCTTCTTTATTGTTCCTCACCTCACCTCAAAATTTAATGATTTTGAGTTAATATAATAAAACCATAATCCTTCATACTCTCCAAAGTAAAAATAAAACTCGTTCCCTTGCTCTCGACAAAAAGTAGTAAATATCAGTATTAATCGATTCACACTAATAGTAGTTTCCACCTAATGGGCATAATGTTTAAAAAACTAATAATGGGTTGTTCCGTTCGCTATTAACTGAGTATCAAGTCTAATCGTTGATGTAGCTGAAGCTAGAGATGCGTATTTAAAATATATGGAATATAAAAACACAATTATATAAAATAGTAGAATCGTTTAAAAATCAAATAATTATATTTATATTTATAAAGTATTATTTTAATTTAATGATTATATCTTATTTTATCAGAATTACTCATATTTTATATATTTATAAATCCAAGGATATTTAAAAATTTAAATATAAATTTCTTCTAAACTCATGAATAATTAGTAACCATAATCATTGTTTTCTAATTCATGTAATTAGACATAAAACCAAGGACTTTTCTAATAATAATTGTAATCCTTCAACGTAAATTTCGGAATAGGCTAGTAAGGGACAGGAAATATTTTACCAAGTCCTATAATTCCTCATTGTAATACCAATTTATTTGGAAACCAAATCAACAACGCCTAACAATATCCCATGCATCAACAAACTACTTAGTTAACAAACATTAATTTTAAAGATGATGAAAAGATAAAGCCTAAAGAAGAAGCTGCAAAATAAATTACATATAAATATGATTTAAATGAGAAACTTTCCTTCGAAGTTAGATCCTTATACAAAATGGGAAAATTACTCAGCAGTAGGACATAGTACTTACCTGGAATTGTAAGCCTAAAGACATAAGATTAAACTGCCGCTTAGAATAAAGAAAGTTAGCGAGTAGGAGTTGATTTGGTAATTATTATTGAATATTCTTTAGATATGCTTAATTGACATTAGCGGAAGTATGATAGGAGTTAAAATTGAGATGGTTAAGGCATCTTTAATTGTTCTTCTTTAATTTCTTGGAGATAATGATAGACTATAATTAATTACCTTCGATAATGAAGCCCACAGATTAACTCCTTTAAAGACTGTAACGGAACAAAATAAAAGTTATTTTACTTCAATTATCTATTCAATTAAAGCAAATGGAGGTAATCGTATTTCAGAAGCTACTAAGATGGCATTTTACTAATTAAAAAGTAGAGAATATGAAAATAACGTAACATCGATTTTCTTACTTTCAGATGGTGTTGATTTTACTTACCCAGAAGTATAGGAGCAAATAAAGACAGTGAATGAAGTTTTTACTTTGCATACATTTGGTTTTGGATAGGATCATGATGCTAAAATGATGACTTAGATTTGTAATTTAAAGAGTGGAAGTTTTTATTTTGTATAAGATGTAACATTATTGGATGAATTCTTTGCGGATGCTTTGGGAGGATTAATTTCTGTTGTAGGTGAATAATTAGAAATAACACTTTAATCTTAAGCTCCTTCTCCTTATTAAGATATTTAAATATCTAAAACTTATGGAAATATGTGGTAAAAGAAAGGAAATCAATATTATATTACTCAACCTTAACTTGCTTCTGGAACAAGAAAAGATTACGTTTTTGAATTGGCTCTTCCAAAATTTGAAGGGAAAATTGAAGATAATCAAAGAAACGTTAAAGTTATAGAGGCAGTATTAAAAGTGAAAGATCCAGTTAATGGAGTGATTATTACTAAATAAACTAGTCTCACTTTAACATTCTTTAATTAAGATGAATAAATTAATTAAAATGAATCAGATATTGATGTCTATGCATAATATTATAGAGTTAAAGGAACAGAAATAATTGATGATGCAAGAAAAGCTTGTGAATAAAATAAAAATGAAGATGCATAAAAATTAATTGATGGTATGTTGATACAAATTCAAAAGAATCAAAATGTTGCTTCCTAATGTACTGGAATTATTTAAGATTTATAATAAGCAAAATAAGCATCTGCAAGAAATACATATAATTTATTTGGCCAAAAGCAAATGTGTTAAATGGTCAGTAACAACTATCAATAGGGAGGAGTCAATTCTATGTTTTCTTCTGCAGGAATGCAATTATAATAAGTTTAACCATCTGCTTTTTCTAATGTTTAATAATAATAAATGATGTTTTAAGTACAATCAAGTAAATCTAGTAATAAATAACATTGATTCATTATATTATAAATTTATTATTAATTATTGTCAATTAAAATATAACATTCCTTTAAATTACATAATAAAACATCTTATGGGTTAAAATACATTAGAATTTTATTCAGTTTTTAATCGTTTATTAATCAATGTTTATTCTCAAATTTATATTGAGTATCAGTCTCTATTCTTATTATCCTGAAAAAGATTAAAAATGAGGGTATATTTGTGACAGCATGCTTTCAACTTTCTATTAAGCAAATCTTAAACCAAATTTCTTTATTGATTCTTTAGAACATCAATATTTTCTCTTAACAGTTTTTGTATTAAGTTCTTGAACTCTTGGAATGTGCCTAAACGAATGTTTGGCCGAAAGACATCTACCTAAATTCGTTAATGTGAAAGGAAAAACTAGTTTTCGGATTTGCAACTTCAGATATCTCCTAAGAGAGAATATAAATTAGATTCATAAACTTTTAGAATTTCTCGAGGCACCATGCATTCTTGAGGCAAGGGTCCAAGGTAAATTTCTTCTCAAAGCAGGAGTATGAAACTCCCAGAATTCCCATTTATTATTAGACAACTGACACCAATTGCTGTTAGTTAAATACTCACTTTCCTTACCTCTAAGAACGGAACTATAAGCTTATTAGTAGTCATCTCTTCATTAATATCTTTTATTCACCCTTTAGTAAAATTTTTGGTTTGAATTCCTTCTTTAGTCTACATTTCCTACTTAAGACAAATATATAATGTATTAAGTGGATCAAGCAATAAAGCCAAATTTCTAATTTTATTTATCATTACTTACTTTTTCTTATTTTATTCTAAAAATTAACATCTTTAAAATAATTTAATCTAATACGTATAAATATATAGTATGAGAATTTATTTTCCCTTTCTAAAATAAAGAGAGCTAATTTATTACTTTCTCATGTTTACATATATTTTGGAATTTTTCGCAATTTATATTATAAAGATAATCGTGAAATATATGTTTTCACAAAAAAAAGTAAACAATTATTTAGAGCGTCATAATATAAAAGATGAATAATTCTCATTCTCAATAAATACAACTTCTGTACTAGTCAATCTTCTAAATAAATGAATTTTAATCATAGAAAATTTGTTTATTAATGGGTCTTTTGTTATAGTTCCTTAATTTAAATATTTTAGATTAGAGTAAATGTCTGGGGTTATTGGTGATTCGTTTATTTTTGATATAAAACTTAATTGCTTAAGGAGACATCTCCAACTTATTGGTATTCAATAATCATAAATTTAATTTAGGAAAATTCAATAGCTAGAAATCCAAGAATCTTATAATAGCAATAATAATGTACCCAATTTTCAGGATCCAACTTGGAGTAAGGAGATTGATCAAGAATAGATAGTGAAAATAGCTCAATTAGATGGTGATTAAATTTATCAACTTATGTAACTAATGGACGCAAGATTATATTAACTCATCTCAATAAAAATTTAAACAATATCAATCAAATATATATTAATAAGTAAAACATGATGAAAAAAATATCAAAATCACAAAGATAAATTCAAACCGGTTTTTTAAAACTCATAAATAGTTAATCTGATTAGGTCTATATACTATACCTTAAGTTCACTTGGGTTAATGGAGAATTTTCGGATAGTTAAATCATTCAAAATTTTCAAAACCATCTTAAGGAAAGTAAATTAAGATCTTAGGAGATAATATACTTACAAGAAGAAGAATTATTATACTATAGGAGGTGAAACTATATTTAAAAAAGAATGAAAGAATCTTAAAAAACTATAACCAAAAATTTAGTCATCATTTTAATCAACTAATTCCTACAATATGGGAATTCAAAAATAATAAACCTTGGGGATTAGAAGAACGGAGAAAAGCCACAAATCTCAAGAGCATCTACAAGAAATGCTGATGAAAAATAATAATAGAAAAGCATATCAGAAGAAAAAAAGAATTCAAAATCAAATCTATTACTAAAAACAGAAAGAAAAACAAAAGTAGGCTATCTATAAATAACAAGGATTTAATAAATAATTTTCAAAGTCAGACCATTGATGATCCCAAATCAGAATACTATAAATGATCAATGAGATCATGGAGAATAAATAGATAAAAATAAAATTATAAAATGTAATAATTAAAAATTCTGAAGTATAATAGGTGATGAAAATAATTAAAGAATACTAGAAAATAGCCTAATACTTCAAATAAATCAATATTTACAATAATTTACTTTTGGAATTAAGTACTCATCTTACAAAATAAACTCCCATTAAAGATGGACTAAACCTTAGACAAACAGTATTAATCAACTTAGTCCTCGTTCTTAGACACATTTAATTAAAAAGTTAAACCAGTAGAACATTTCATCGTTAAAATCGATGACTTAAGGCACTTTAAAATAAAATTAACTCCATATATGTTGTTTATAAGACTGTCGTTGTAAGAACATCAATTAATCTTACAATTTATAAATAATCCCCAGCTTGATTGGTCTCACTTAACCGCAAGTTCCAACTGAAAGTCGATTTCGCTCATTTATAATATTAAGCCCGCCTATAAATTTCTTGAAGTAGGGTTTCTTGCAAAGTTACAAAAATACATGACATTAGTAATAAAAAGAAAAGGAAAATCGCATATTTTTAGATTTCAGTAAAACATTTAATAGATAAACAAACTTATTGTATTTGAAACTATTGTAAGAACATTATTTAATTATTATCATTCAAATTGATAAGTGTTTTAAAATATGTTTTGATTTTCTATGAACATTATTTTATTTTTATATTTAAACTAATATGCATTAATAAAATATTTGAAGAACTATAATTAATTTGTAATATTTAAACTAATTTATATTTTTTAAATATTCTATGAACATTATTTCATTTTATCATTCAAACTAATAAGTATGTTAAACTATACCTTGAATATTATTTCAGTATATTAAAAAAATTTGTGATTTGAAATTATTCTATGAACATTATTTCATTTTTTTTTTAAAATTGGATTTGTTTATTTGAAAATAATGTAGACATTTAATTTATATCAAAGTTTTTTGAAAATATTGTTTGTACATTTCCTTTTGATAATTTTCATTAACTTGTATCTTGAAAACATTATAGAACTTTATTTCGTTTGTAAAATTCAATCTGATTTGTATTTAGTAAACTATCCTGAAAATTTCTCAATCTATATTTTCATTCAATATAAATCCTATATATCTGTTCAAGAGATAGTGGAAATAAAACCATTTTTTTTCGAAGATTATTTGGGACTTAAGAATTTTAATTTAACAAAAAAGTTTGGATGGATATGATTAATATCCAAAAATAATTCACCCAAAATACCTATAAAAGAATAATTTCGACTTCTAGTATGTCCTCTCTTATACATTGAATAAAATAAGAATAATTTGTTTTCATACAATGGTATAGAACATAACATAACTTAATTTTAATGAAGGATATCATAAAATATTACATAAAAGTAATATCTTTATAGATTTTTCTAGTTGCTATGTACTTATTTTGATTACCAATAAATTAAATCAAATTAATTCATATAGAGAGTGATGTAAAATTATATTTAATATAAAGAAAGAGCTTATAAAAAATAAAAAAAAAATAACACATTTTAAATGCTTAATAACAATATTGATACATTCAGGATGGTTTAATTAAAATTGTTAAAGGTTCATCAATAGATTGCTTGATCTCTTAGTTAGATGAATCTACTGGTTTAACAACTAGACAATTTGATTCATATAAACTATCACAAACTTATTCTAATTAATCTTTTGTTATTTTTCTTCCTAAGGAATGACTTGATTGCAAAACTGATTGTCCAAATTATTATTCAAGAATCAACTAAATTCTAGATATTTCATAAAGTATATTATTCAATCTGCATTTTTCTTTGGCTCCTTTCAGTAAAGTTTAATATTTTTATTACAAAATTTAAGTCGTTATTTAGGATTAATTGATTTCATCATTTATTTAAAATTTATTAATTATATTTGGCTTAAAATTCTTAAATTCTGGATAGTACATAGTAACTATATCATGAAATAATCCATTTTCAAGTAATTTATTATTGTAATAAAATGCAACATACTGCATTAAAAATATGATATCAACTATTGAACCTATTTAAGCCAGAATAGACCCTAATTTTGGCATACTAACTTCTTCAACAATAGATATGTTATCGATTCTAAAAAGAAAAGTACTTGAAATATCAAGAGTAAACGGATTCTAGGACATTGATTCAATAGCATGTGGTATAAATCTATTATCAACTTCTTAATTGATTATTTCATAATTATTTAAAAACTATTAACTCTTTTAATTTGTAAACAAAATACCATCATCAATAATAGTTTCTTGTTATTTTAACATCACTTATGTATAAAGGGGTCTTTTTGGATCAAATGCTTGATAATATGTTTTTTAAAATGTTTCTAATTAATTACTTTAATAATTTAATTGATTCAATCTAATAGTTATATCTATAAATCCATGATAAATAGATGTATATTCTTCAATTGTAGTATCATCAGCACAATAACCATCAGCTTATAAATATTCTTTCGAACATTGAGCAAATACCAATAAATATTCTTACATTTCCTCCGTATGTTCATCCTAATCTCCGTTGTTTAAGATTAAAGTACCGTTACTTATTATTATAGAGTTTGGTTGCAATGAGTCACTAAATAGAGCAATAGGATTTTCTTTAATCATACCATTTCTTAAGGTGTATAACAAAGGAGTTATTATATTATTCTAATTTCGAAAAGGATCAATAGAAGAAGTAAAATCGGATAAAGTAAAGAAAATTAGTGGTTCAGACCATTAAAACTCAGAATACCCCGTTGTTTCTTATTTTGTATTAATATTGGGTGGTATTTTATTTTCAGTCCATAAAACTAATATATATAATGTATATGCAAAGCTTAAGCTACCTAACACAAGTGAAATCAATCCTCCTATTCTACTTTAGAAACTTGATTCTTTATTATTTGTAAGGAGCACAATTTGAACTCCAAAAATATCAACTTTTTCAATAAACTCAAGAAATTTGTTCATAAAAATTAAATGCGGAATTATGCTTATCTTCAAATAAAATGTAAAATGTAGAAAATATAAAATTAGATCAGAAAAAATGATTGAGTAAATGAGAGTAAATTGAAAAAATTGGATTATTTAATTTATAGTTATTGAATACACTTAATCAATTAACTATAAGTAAGAAAGGTGATTGATGATTAAATAAACAAAATCTATTTTATTTTGATAATCAGATCTAAAAGCAATAAAAATGTTGATATTCTTTTGCTAATACATAAAAGAACGTTAGAATTTGATAATTTTGTAAATTAATTTTTTATTTAAATATGTTAATTATTTATAAAAGAGTTTATCATAGATACCTCCTATATATCATAATTCTTAACAAAGTAATCCTAAATGAGTATGATATAGATGTAATGAAGGGTTTTAAACACAAATTAATAAGTACTCTAGATAAATTTTAAATACAATTAAATTTTCAGTTTATTTTTTCCTATTAAATATATAAACAGTAGCATCATCTCATATAATATCAATATTGTATTCAATAGCGTTTTTAAAGTACTTTGAATTTATAATCACAATGTTATTTTCAATTAAATTAAATATTTTTAATTAAAATTATATCTATAAAAATAATTTTGAAATATTTATTCTAAATAGATCTAAGCCTAAAGTTAGTTATATTCATTACGATTCTCATCATTAGGTGCTTCTATAACTACAGAATATGATATTAATATGTTTGTACTAAAAATATGAAATAAATATCGAGTTTTAACAAATTTCCAGACTCCCTTGCTTTGTGTTACACTCCAACAAGACTGGCAGTTTGATGAAAAGATATCCAAAATTTATTAATATCTTGGTGGTATAAATCACCAAGTACTTTTTTAAGATAGATATTAGCCTCCTGCAAATAATAGAATTGTAATATACCCTAGCATTGTAATGAGTCTATTCAGATAAGAGATGATGAGGAACATGTGTGGTACCAATGTCATATGTTAAGCATTTATCCACAAAGGGTAATTTCTACCAATAGTGCATAAATTGCCTAAAAACTTTCAACAATTTATCTTGTAGCCATGTTCAAGCAGATTCATCATAATGAGGAATATCTAAATCATTATGTTGTAGCTAATGAGTATTATATTTAATCAACATTCAATAAAATACATTTGGATTGTACAAGGAGGTAATGATTATCAACCACATATTGACATCAAATAAGGACAAAGCCATCACTTCAACAAATGAGGTTTCTAAATACCATTTTTATAGATTATTATAATGAAGCAGATTCCAAGATCTTAATAGCTGTTTGAATAGCATTTTCTTTTGGTAACAATTTGTTTGGTACAATAAGATGACTAGTGAAGCCTCTTGTTGATACTCCAGAAACTCCAATAAAAAAATAAAGAGGCCATCCCAAAACTGCTATATTGAAGATCTAAATGCAAGTAAAGCTCTCTTCTCCCAAAATATCTTTCATATTTTTCCCATTTTAGAACCAATAATGACAGGAGTATGTGTTTTGCCTTCATATAAATGATTTGTCTTAGCGTGATAAATGGCATGAGAATGTTACAATGAGAAATAAAGTATAATCAATTAAGAATATAGAAAAGAATCTGATATTCCATTAAAAGAAATAAAAAACATAATTCTATATCAATAATATTGAAAACGCCTAAAGTGTTTATTTCTTAAATAAACTCTTCAACTCTATTATTACATTTCCCTCTTATTGAAGACAGTTAATCTTGCAAATTAATCTTTTATATTTGGTAAATATCTCAAGATATATAATTGGGAGCTTTAGTTAAAATTCTAATGTTTATTCTTAATTTCTGTGCAATAAAATATTCTTGACGGATATGAAATACATATCAAGAACTTCATATTTTTTAATTAAAGAACATTTCCAATCATAGCTATTTCTTTTTAAATTACAATGTTGATTAGAAAAAATCTACTTTGGGCATTCTTCTATCTTTTTAAACATACCAAAATGGTTTCTCGTGTTTCCAGAAGAATTTGGAGTAAAATACTTGTATTGATACATCTGCTTGAGTTTTTATCCTTTGTTATTTTATACACTATATTATATCAAACTTTAAAATTAATCAATTTAATAGCAATTTCTTCTTAGCTTTAAATTAAATGTACTAGGATCAAAGACATGAAGCATAATTCATCTATTACCAAAAATCCTCAATGATCTGACATATTTATTATTTAAAAGCAAAATCAAAATATATCCCTCAAGATACATAACAATAACTAGAATAAAACTGTGCTCTTCCTCGGTTTGATTAATTTCCAAGAATAGCAGAGAGAGGATAAGATTTTCTTGGCCAAGTTTTCATTACTAATAAAGGAGCTGGCAATTGATTTCTTCAATCTTAGGTAATTGATTAAATTTATATGAAATTAAGTAGATCTAATCAAAATCATTTTAGGAGGATTTATTAAAACCAAAAATATCATTCAGGAGACCATCAAGAAATCCCATTTGGATAATTGGTTTCTTATAAGACCATATATACATTTAAAAACATATAGAGTCAAGTCCGAAGCTGTACCTGATTTAGGTTTTGGAAGGTATGTACTTTTTGCCTTTTCTAATAAATTCCAGTTCCAACACAATAATTGATTCGTACAATTTCATATCTAATTAATTTTTGTAAATAAACTCTTATAATTGTAAATTCTTTTAATATACTTTATTTTTAAAAACATAATCTTCCTAATTGAAACTTTCCAAGAATTGTTAAATTTTAGGAACTTTTGATAAAACTACAAGCTTTTGATTAAGTTTAATTATAGCTTATATCATAAAGTTGTATATTTGAATTTTAATTACTGCTAATTATTTATTATATAATAGAAGGGGTAAGAGAATATTTAAATGTTAAAGGAAACCAGAAACTAAATTTGCAGAGAATTTTTAATTTTTATCTAATCTAGATTATGGAGTAAAATTAAGGTTTAAAACATATCTATAATCGTATTAGAATAAAAAAAAGATTTTAATTTGTAGGTTGTTTTGTCAAAAAGATTTTTTATTTTAAGATGATTTTCGAAGAATAAGAATTACTGTAACTTTAGGATGTAAATCATAAATACAATCAGAATGATATCTATTTTATTTTACCTATATTAAGGGAGACTTNATAGCTATTTCTTTTTAAATTACAATGTTGATTAGAAAAAATCTACTTTGGGCATTCTTCTATCTTTTTAAACATACCAAAATGGTTTCTCGTGTTTCCAGAAGAATTTGGAGTAAAATACTTGTATTGATACATCTGCTTGAGTTTTTATCCTTTGTTATTTTATACACTATATTATATCAAACTTTAAAATTAATCAATTTAATAGCAATTTCTTCTTAGCTTTAAATTAAATGTACTAGGATCAAAGACATGAAGCATAATTCATCTATTACCAAAAATCCTCAATGATCTGACATATTTATTATTTAAAAGCAAAATCAAAATATATCCCTCAAGATACATAACAATAACTAGAATAAAACTGTGCTCTTCCTCGGTTTGATTAATTTCCAAGAATAGCAGAGAGAGGATAAGATTTTCTTGGCCAAGTTTTCATTACTAATAAAGGAGCTGGCAATTGATTTCTTCAATCTTAGGTAATTGATTAAATTTATATGAAATTAAGTAGATCTAATCAAAATCATTTTAGGAGGATTTATTAAAACCAAAAATATCATTCAGGAGACCATCAAGAAATCCCATTTGGATAATTGGTTTCTTATAAGACCATATATACATTTAAAAACATATAGAGTCAAGTCCGAAGCTGTACCTGATTTAGGTTTTGGAAGGTATGTACTTTTTGCCTTTTCTAATAAATTCCAGTTCCAACACAATAATTGATTCGTACAATTTCATATCTAATTAATTTTTGTAAATAAACTCTTATAATTGTAAATTCTTTTAATATACTTTATTTTTAAAAACATAATCTTCCTAATTGAAACTTTCCAAGAATTGTTAAATTTTAGGAACTTTTGATAAAACTACAAGCTTTTGATTAAGTTTAATTATAGCTTATATCATAAAGTTGTATATTTGAATTTTAATTACTGCTAATTATTTATTATATAATAGAAGGGGTAAGAGAATATTTAAATGTTAAAGGAAACCAGAAACTAAATTTGCAGAGAATTTTTAATTTTTATCTAATCTAGATTATGGAGTAAAATTAAGGTTTAAAACATATCTATAATCGTATTAGAATAAAAAAAAGATTTTAATTTGTAGGTTGTTTTGTCAAAAAGATTTTTTATTTTAAGATGATTTTCGAAGAATAAGAATTACTGTAACTTTAGGATGTAACTCATAAATACAATCAGAATGATATCTATTTTATTTTACCTATATTAAGGGAGACTTGTATTGATTACTAGTTGAGAATTTTTATCTGGGTAATTTATAGATCTTGCAGTAATAAATTAAAGTCAATTTTCACAATAATTAACAGATGAAGAAATATTTAGTTTCTTTAAAATAAAATAATAGTAATATTTAATAGGGCTGGTAACATTGACCATGAATTTTGATGTAAATAGCATCTAAAATTATTTTATCAAACATATCGCTTATACATTTTAAATAATAACCAAAATAAGGTTTTGTTAAGAATTTTAAATATTAAACACATCCTATAAGAAATGAAGCTAAATTAACCTAGAGCTTTAAGAATTAATTTTCTATGTATTTTTAAGAAATGCCAATATGTTTAAGTAAGTTCATAGTTTATTTTTAATGCCTTTGTTGGGCCCATTTATCATTTAATATATTTTACCTTTCGAAGCTTCTTTACTTATGATTATTTGGAATCACAAATCAAAGTAATTTGTTTCAAATTTTGAATGATTGCTTTGATAAAAACAACTTGGCAAAGTATTTGAGATTGAAATAAAAGTAATTTGTATTTTCTTTGGGCTTTAATTACTAAAATATTCTTTCATTAGTACATTCTGAGAAATTTAAAAGTTCTTCCTAAACAGAAGATCCAATCACTTGTTTAATATAATCTAAGTTACTCTAGACCTTCGCCTTATTCGAGCCCTTTTTTTTAAAATCAATTTGTCACAAAAATATTGGTTAAAGTTTGCAGAGTAGTCAAAAAAAATGTACCCTTCTGTAGCTCTGGCTTCGTACAATGGTCTCCTAAGCTTTCTTTCAGTTGAGATGTATAGAGAACAAATTACATGCATCCTGACTGATTTGGTATCTACATTTAATATACATAATTAATTGATTAATTATAAGATTCGATATAAGTGGATATTGATAATGAGTTAGCCCTATTAAAATTGTTTATTAAAATCTAAATTAATTGAACAATTTAGAATTATATTAATTTAATATTTCTATTATGATAGCTCTCAGTATCTATTTATTAAAATTAATATACTTAATTCAATCATTAAGATTACATAACAAATTTCTTGACAAACCCCCATAAGTTTGAATGAAGTACTATTATCATGTTATTTAATGATCATTTTAGAATAAACTATTATTTTTGACTGGTAATTTTCTACATAATCTAATTAGGTATTGATGAATTCTATCAATTGATAATACTGTTTAAATCAAATAAAATATTAAATTCACGAAAATTCTAACTAAAACATACTTTTTTTCTTTATATGGTTATCTGATGTAGAAGATTTAGATTGATATTCTATTATCTATTTGTAATACTCAAAATATTAAATTCATCCATGTGTTCTTTCCCTATTTTAAGAGACATCCAATTTAATCTTAATTTACTGAATGCTATATTCTTCTACTCTTTCAGTCTATTCATAAACCTATTTTTTTGTATTATCTTGGCACACTTTTTACGAGAGAATAAGTATTATTTATACAATAGATTCATTTCTAGTCAATAAACAAATCATAGAATAATTATTCTACTTAATCCCATTATATACTCTCATCAAAACAGAAAACAATATAAAGTAATCTAAATTAATAAGATATAGCCTCTCATTATTCCTTTAAATCTACTTAATATCATTTGCAATCAAAATATATTAATTTAATTGTCATAAATCACTACTCTCTCAACCTTATCCTATTTCTCTGAAGACTCTTTTAATAATTTGGTTCCATCAGCATTTCAGATTCTAATCTCCTTTTATTCATAACTTCCGTTAGCACTTGTATGTGAAGAACTTTGTACCCTTTCTTAAATTCTAATGATGCTCAATTCTTTATCGCTAATAATTGTGTAAATTAAAATGAAAATTTCCTTTATCGTTTGTTTTTCAATTAATTATCATATTTTAAATTTATCATTCTACTTCAAATATTGATAGACTTTAAATCCAAACAAAATTAATACTTAATTCTCAAAAAATATTCCCCACTCATATTTTATCTACCCTTTATTGTATGGGGTATTTAAACGTAGACAAAATCATATCTCTAAATATCTTTTACCAGTTCTAATCTAGTTATAATCAACTTGTATTAATTTTAATAAAATGGATGAATTTGATAAAAATGATAATACTAATATTAAAATGAATCGTGAATTGATTGTTGAAAATTGTAAAATGAAGTAAAGGAATGTCTTCAAGAGAAGTATTAAAGTGTAGATGTAAGATATTAAATTGTTATGCATTCATTAGTCTTCATTCACCAGAATTGATGTGTTTCAAGATTAACTTCCTTTATCTCCAAATCCACTTGTTCCTCACAAAATTACTAATAATACTCCAAAACTTTAATAAATATAATTACCTTTGATTTAAACAATAGCTAATTAAATAAATACAGAAGTTCAACCTGTTTTTAATAAACAAATTTAATAGGAACAAGTAAACTAAGTTTAACTTGAATAACCAAATAAAAAATAAGACGATCATCATTAATCAAATCTCAAACCATTTAAGTATCACTTAATCTAGAATCATTCAATTACATAAACTGAATGTTGTAGAGCAATAGCTTTTAATAAAGATAATTCAATTGTATTAGCTACTTGTGATAAACTTATTAAAGTATTTGAATTTAAATAAGAACTGTTGAGACAAACTCATATTCTAAGCGAACATTAAGATAATGTTACTACATTAAATTTCATGAAGAAATCCAGTTAATTTATATCTGCAAGTCATGATTAATAAATTATAATGTGGTCTATGAATATTAATGATTAATGGATTCCCTCATACAAGTTGAGTGGACATTCTAATTGGATTTTTTGTTTAGTATTGAACAATAATGAAGATCTTATCATATCAGGAAGTAGAGATAATACAATTAAGTTTTGGGTGAAACAGAATGAATGGATATGTTCATAAACTATTACAGATCATAAAAATTAAGTATTGGGATTAAGTTTGAATGAGTAATAGAATTAAGTGATATCTTGTGGATCTGATTAGTTAATATTAATAATAGAATAGTCATCATAAGATTAAAAATGGAATGTGATATAAAAGATATCAATTGAATGCACTGGTAATCAATTATGCTTCATCAATGATAATATATTCATCTTTTAACGATGTTGCAAATTGTTCATGGATGTTTATGAGATGAATAGTAGTGATAAATAGTATGCAAAGACTAAACATATTCCTGTGAAATGTGGTAGGAATGGATGGAATTACTATTTTCCTTAATAATATATAAAATCAAAATGTGTGGTTGTTAATAAGAATGGTTGCAATGTTAATTTGATATGGAAGAACCAAAATGCTGATTTTATAACACATTAATCTATTGAATTTGGAAGTAGTGATCTATAAGGATAAATGAGTGAAGATGGAGAGTATTTGATCACTTGGGATAATCAATCAAAGGAAATTTAAATTAGAAAATATCATGAAGAGTGAATGATTATTCAAATTATTAAATATTTAATCATTTATTTTATTATTATAAAAGAAATTGTTAATTTAACACATTCAAAATTTAAAATTTGGACCATTGATATTATTGCAATTAGTCAAACTAATGGGTTAATCTCTATGTTTTCAATCCCTTTTTAAACCAAAATTAGATTAATTAACATTTATTAAAACTCTTACATCTTTATTCTGACTTCAATTGTTTTTTTACAACACCTTTTGTGCAATTCTACATTTATAATTAAATGATATTTTCATTGAAAGTAATATTTATAATTATATATAAATATGCGAATTTACAAAAGATATTTCTTCTTAAATTGGATAAATTGAAGAAAATTAAAAAACTTAAAATAAACTCAATATATTTATATTAAGAATCGAATATAAAAATATAAATCGGAAAATATATAATTCATTATAAAATTTGTGAACACCCAATTATACGAAAGGCGTTAACGAAGAATATAAGTCATGTTAATAAACTGTTAAGCTATTTCTTTTTCGACTAACATTATGAGTTGTCTCCGAAAATATAATGGTTTATATAATCATAATTAATTAGTTTAGTGCAGGTACTTATTTGTTAAAAATTATGAAGCCTAAATGGAGAAGTTTATATATCCTTAAGTTGCCTACTTGTTGATATAAAACGATTATTGCTATTGTAATTATTTTTATAAACAAAAGCCATAAAATTTAATTCAAAAATTGAAAACTTATATGTAATTAATTTACATTTCTGGGTAATTTTAACCTATTCGACAATTAATGAGAATCTGAGCTGACATAGTCGATTCTAATAAAGTGATCAAATTTCAGATTAAATCGAACTGAAATTAGCATCCTAATTTATGATTTTAGAGCTTTGTCTATTAAAGGACTGAATGCTATTCTTCAACAATACAAAAGTTACATATTCATTTACAAAAATTGTAAATTAATTCAAAAGATTAGACAAATTATTGAGAAAGTGTTATTGTGAATTAGGGATTACTTAAGTCTTTAAGGACTAAGGATGTAGAAAGACCATTTCTTATGTTTTATGACCTTATAACTGCTAGATTAATTTTGCAAGGATAACACAGGTAAATTTGTGTAATTGGTCTCTAACTTTATAGCAGTGGATAATTGGAAGAGAGATGGCTTTAATTTGACCTAAAATTTAATATATCTTATTAAAAATTCTTAATATTGCCAAGAACGAAATTTTACAACTTATAATGATCAAAAGCACTCCTGTAAATTGTATATAGAACTCTTATTCTGATAAGTTTGAAGAGGTCTCACACTTAAATAGTAGAAGCGAATAAGAAGTTTTCTAAGATTTAGGCTAATTTACCAATTTAACTAATAAAATCTATAGTAACAATGTTAACTCTCTGATCTATCTATGCATTCAATACAATTAAAAGAAATATTTTATCGAATAATGATGAAAAAATAAATAATATAAGGAAGCTATAATTCCTAATTTTCAAATCATAAGATAGCTATATGTTGTAGCCTTAATAACATTCAGATATAATTCAAAATTATTAATGAAACTCAATAACTAAAATTAATAAATGTTATTTGAAAAATATTAGTATTTAGCGAATGAAGTAAAGAGATTTTAAAATATTATTTGCATCTAAGAATTGAGTCCTTACTCAAAAAAGAAATAGTAAGTTAACTTAAAAACAACCATTAGGAATTTTAAGGAAAATTCTATCATTCAACATGTTTCCTAGAATCAATATTGTAATGTAGCAACAACAATTGTTGATCGTAATTGTAGTTGAAAAGATGGAATTCATTTAGAATGGCTTTGAGACCAAAAAAGAGTTTCACCATTTTTATATTTTATATCTGATTGAATCTTTGATTTCTATGAACAAAATCTGAAAGATTCACACTTTATTGGTACGCATACTTAAATATCTCTTCAACTTGAAGGGAATAATGCAAGTGAAGCAATTCATGATCCTATCTAATGGAACACCAATCTCTCCACTCAATCCATTAAGTATTTTAAGATATTTCATGAACTATATTTAATCTCTTGAAACATCTCATTTCCATCTGTCATTCTATTATCAACTCTCATTCCAAATTCTTTATATTTTCCAAAGTTTCTTAATCATTTGGTTAGCTTACAAGTTAGAATATTTCTAAAGAAGTCCTAAGGAGGTGATCTTTAAATAAAAAGTAAATTTTTTAAATTGAGTCATTCATATTACTTTTTTCCATCAACGTCCCTATAAATATTTGTTTGCTGTGGAAATCTATTACGACCTTAAGAGATGATGTTGATTCATATTTGTCTTCCTAAGAATTGTTCTTCATTTTGTATGTGTTTTTCTCAACTTGAATAATTGTTTATACTTATTTTAAAGTTACACTAAATATGTAATTGATAAATTTGAGGGAGAGAATATTTTATGAATCAATCAAACTTATTATTATTTAAAAAAAATACGAGTTTTAAAAAAGCCATTGATGAAGTAAAATTTAGGAGAATTAACAATACCATCTTATTAGAATGGTGATTTTGTGTAAGAAAATCATTTAAAAAGTTTGTATTAAGATTAAAACATACAATCCTAAAATGAAAGAGTGTGTTGAATCAATATATAAGAGAGTACAAAATCAATATAAAGACAGGATTGCTAATGCACAGGGATAAGAATGCTTTCAAATATTATAAAGCAGGATTTGGAATAGATTCTTTCAATTAAGATTGATCCTTTTTATTTAACCTGACTTCATCTCTAACCTGAAGACAAATTAAGTAAGAATCATTTCTAACACTTCAAGAAATAAAATAAAGGAAATTCTAACAGCACTTCCCTCCTAGAATCAATTAGGGTTTACCAGGAACATGGAATTCATATCATTAATGAAATGAAATAACAGAGACAGTTTAGTATTGAATTTACACGTTGCAATTTATTGAGTTATATTTAGATTTATTTCTACTTAAAAAATATAATTTTAATTCTAAAAAAACACACAAAGATGATTTGACTGCAGAAATATGAATTGTAGTCATGGCTAAAATATTAGTTGAAAGGATTTAAGAATGTTGGACTCTAAGAAGCAATACTTACTCTTTGGATAATAAAAAAAAATGATTTGTTTCAGTGGATTTCTTTAAAATTTATTTGTACTTCAAAAATAAAGCTCCAGAAAAAGAGAAAGGAGTTCTTTTCACAAATTTAGTCACCTTTCTCTATAAATGCAGAAAACCCTCTCTGCACAGCGCATAAGATATTAGAGTAAAATGGACACAACCCATTTTATTATTGGTGCCATAGATAAATGCCACTTATTAAATATCATAACCCTTTGGCTAGTGAGCAAATAAATAACTATTAAATTATGCCTTTACGAAAAGTTAAATTAAGCAAAATCCATGCTAAAATAATCTTTTGTAATCTTAAATTGAAGTTAGATCTAACTGCTAGAAGCCTATTACTCAGATAACAATTAACAGAAAATTCAATTGGGCAGTTAAGATTGGTCATAGTACATAAGCATGGCTTGTGGTAGAAAGAAATTAATGACACTTCCACAAAGAAGAGCTGTGCTAAGGAGTTAAGTATATATTTAGAGACATGTAAAAAGAAAGAACAAGAGTAAGTCTAGCCCAAGAATGTCAGACTAAGGTTCCTTAAGAAGCCAAGTAATGGTAAGGAAATTAAGGATAGGTCAATATGTATCCTCCACTGTATGGCGAAGCAAAGGGGAAGCCAAGAAGGAACTCGATGAGATTGGAAAGATAGAATCGATATTGAGTTGGGCCTAATTAATACTATGGAAGAACGGCGCATTCATCTAACCTAACTAATAATTCATACAAAATATTGAGATTTTAGTCAAAATTTCTAATTAATCTAATCATAATCTATTAATAAATAAACACAATATAACAGAATGTTTTGTAGTCTGATAAGAATATAATAGCTCTAATCGCCCTTATTTATGTAAGTTGATAATTAGATGACGAGAAAAAACAAGAAATTTCCTTGAAAAATTAAATAAATTGAAAAGAATTAGATGAAGGAGAAATCGAATTGATAAATAGTTAATTCTATTTTAGGCTGGAATAAATTCTTTAAGTTTAGAAGAAGTATGTAATTTCTCAATTTTTGGTTAATAATTATAATTGCCACAAATTTATGATTTGTAAAAATTACTAAAATTTATCAATATCTATTTCAAATTCTTTAAAATCCCTAAAGAATAATATAGATTTATTTAAAAAAAAAAGTAGAATATATTAATAACTGATGCATGTTATTATGCTTGAATTAATTTTCTTGAAAAATAACAATCAAACATTTGAGTAATGATACCAAGCAACAAGCCAAAAAAGTTCTCTATTTCTAAATTTGGCTATGTAGGTAATAAATATAAATATAATGTTGTTAATCGAAACGATCAACTCTTACAGTATATGTACTTTCTGAAGGTTATTCTTTATGCTATTTATGGAATAGAAATAATAACAATTATCGCCACCAAACGGTTGTAATAAAGTGAAAAGATATCATATTATTTTTTTGTATTCTATTGCATAAAAGTTAGTAATAAGAGGATATTAGTAAAGATTTACGGTAATCTTTTGAGTCATGACAACTCTGTAGCTTATCTAGCAGCCAAACTAATCCCTTGATAGTTTACATTTATATCATTTTAAAATATAATAGTAATAATTGTTTTAAGCAGTATTTGATAGTTTTATATATTGCTTTCTCTAGAAATTTAAGTTTTCTTGCTTATATTTGAATGATANTAGTGAGCAAATAAATAACTATTAAATTATGCCTTTACGAAAAGTTAAATTAAGCAAAATCCATGCTAAAATAATCTTTTGTAATCTTAAATTGAAGTTAGATCTAACTGCTAGAAGCCTATTACTCAGATAACAATTAACAGAAAATTCAATTGGGCAGTTAAGATTGGTCATAGTACATAAGCATGGCTTGTGGTAGAAAGAAATTAATGACACTTCCACAAAGAAGAGCTGTGCTAAGGAGTTAAGTATATATTTAGAGACATGTAAAAAGAAAGAACAAGAGTAAGTCTAGCCCAAGAATGTCAGACTAAGGTTCCTTAAGAAGCCAAGTAATGGTAAGGAAATTAAGGATAGGTCAATATGTATCCTCCACTGTATGGCGAAGCAAAGGGGAAGCCAAGAAGGAACTCGATGAGATTGGAAAGATAGAATCGATATTGAGTTGGGCCTAATTAATACTATGGAAGAACGGCGCATTCATCTAACCTAACTAATAATTCATACAAAATATTGAGATTTTAGTCAAAATTTCTAATTAATCTAATCATAATCTATTAATAAATAAACACAATATAACAGAATGTTTTGTAGTCTGATAAGAATATAATAGCTCTAATCGCCCTTATTTATGTAAGTTGATAATTAGATGACGAGAAAAAACAAGAAATTTCCTTGAAAAATTAAATAAATTGAAAAGAATTAGATGAAGGAGAAATCGAATTGATAAATAGTTAATTCTATTTTAGGCTGGAATAAATTCTTTAAGTTTAGAAGAAGTATGTAATTTCTCAATTTTTGGTTAATAATTATAATTGCCACAAATTTATGATTTGTAAAAATTACTAAAATTTATCAATATCTATTTCAAATTCTTTAAAATCCCTAAAGAATAATATAGATTTATTTAAAAAAAAAAGTAGAATATATTAATAACTGATGCATGTTATTATGCTTGAATTAATTTTCTTGAAAAATAACAATCAAACATTTGAGTAATGATACCAAGCAACAAGCCAAAAAAGTTCTCTATTTCTAAATTTGGCTATGTAGGTAATAAATATAAATATAATGTTGTTAATCGAAACGATCAACTCTTACAGTATATGTACTTTCTGAAGGTTATTCTTTATGCTATTTATGGAATAGAAATAATAACAATTATCGCCACCAAACGGTTGTAATAAAGTGAAAAGATATCATATTATTTTTTTGTATTCTATTGCATAAAAGTTAGTAATAAGAGGATATTAGTAAAGATTTACGGTAATCTTTTGAGTCATGACAACTCTGTAGCTTATCTAGCAGCCAAACTAATCCCTTGATAGTTTACATTTATATCATTTTAAAATATAATAGTAATAATTGTTTTAAGCAGTATTTGATAGTTTTATATATTGCTTTCTCTAGAAATTTAAGTTTTCTTGCTTATATTTGAATGATACATGAGCACTGCTTAATTATTTATTCGAAAATAAAACACTTTTACTAAGTTCCTGTGTATTTTCAATTTTAATTCTTCCCTTGATAAATCAAAGGGAGATCCTTGAAATAGGACTGTGTAATCTCCTGGAGTTGTTTGCTTTAAATCACAAAATCTATCTAATTTAATTTAATTATGTAAAATAGATTAAGTTGATCATACTCAAAGCATAAAACAGTTAAACTTAATATCTTTTACTATTATTGCAATCGATCTTCAGTTTAAGAAAATTCAAACAAGGTTCCAATTATGAATGATTAATTAACAATTATCAACTATAATACGTTAGATAGCAAATATGTTTAAATGTGATTTAATTAAGTTAAAATATTAAGGATAACTTCTGCATAAGAATCCCAATTGATCACTCATATTCCAAGATTAAAGCTTTCTTCCTTTGGAAAATGTTTATACAATTTGCAAACCAAGTTCTTCATTTATAATTTGGTAGACCTTCTAGCTTATCTTTGATAAAGCACATAAAACTATGCTCATCAAATACAGACTACTAATGTTCGCTAAAAAAGATTGATTATTTACTGAGGCATCTGCCATATTTTATTCTAAAAATATTTATTTTAACAAATATTCTACTTTTACCTCAGATTAAAAAATCATCAAAAATTTCGATAATAAGATAAAGATCCTATGTTTAGATTTAAGTTATTCGCCTGAAAGCACCATTCTAAGCTAAAAATAGGTTGAGACATTAGTTAACTAGAAATTTTATACTCCATACCATTTCAGATTCTAAATTTTTGTATTCAAAAATATTTTCCAAATAAACACTTTGAATCAAAGTAGTTCATTCTTCTTAACAATAAATATGATTAATATGATACATAAATCTCTCATATTGACAATATAAAAGTGCATATTATTCATTACAACACTTAACAATTTATTCAAACTATTTTCTTCCCTCAATTACGTAATATGTTTTTATATGTTATTCAATTCTTCAAACAAACTCTTACTTTTTTAATTTTTCTTTAGCTTATCTACAATTAATACTAGCTTGTCTACAACTACTAGCGATATTTGAAAGATTTCGGTTTTTCTTATACGTATTTATGCTAATCCTTAATTTTTAGAATCAATTTTAATCTAGCTCCTAATAAACCTTATAGATGATGTTAATTCTCCTTATATCTGTTCTACCATTCAATTATCATTACATTAGGAGTCTAATCTTTGGTTAATTTGGTTATGCTGGGCAATTTTGACTATTCATTCTATTCAATATATATCAATCTGTGCTTATCTTTTCTTGTTTCTCTAATAATATTCTCGGATTTTTGAATCTTACTAATCTTCTCCCTAATTATTTTGCTCTTAATTTTTTTCAGCTTCTGCAAGAGTATTATTTAATCGCTTAATCAAATTATTTAATTCCGAGATATCTGCCTTATGTCTTCTTACCTGTTTCGCTAATTCTATGAGCTTTTTGACTTAAGTTAAGCTATTTAGCCCTGACAAATCCTAATTATGTATAATTTATCATGTTTAACATTTTATGTCTCTTGTTCAAGATTAGATACTGTTATTAAACTATTCTATTTACAATTACAATTAACAAAAAAATATTCTTCAAGAATTTATGAGAATCTTAATTTTTATAAATGCTTCTTATACTTATGAATGTATATTTCTATTAATTATATCTAAAATAATGCTTTTGTTACTTAATGATATGATAAATGTATAGAATGTAATTGTAATATGATTTAGAATTTATATTGGTTCATTTTAAACTTCTTCGAATATGTGGATACCTATGTTTACTGTTATGAAATTTCTTCTGATATTTTTGAACCTGTCCTCAATTCAAAGGAAAATATTAGATGTTAATATTCCCATTCCAAATTATTTTGATAATTAATTTGCATCCAATCTGCCAAAAAATATTCATTCTCCTTATAGATTAGGAAATATCATTACTTAGTATTTTAATTGGATTGTAAATCCAAAAAAATAACTTCAAAATATATTATAGATTGTATTATGGCAAGCTAATCCTAATTCATGATCGACTTCGAAATCCATTGGTAAGCTTTATCATTAGTTTTATTTTAAACAATTTTGCATTAAAGACTACAATTCTTGCAAATTTTTATTATAAATTTTAGTTTCTTATAATTATAAAATAATTGAGATGCATATGTAATTATTGGGAATTTTAACCAGTTGTAAATTTGATTTTTTGAACATACTATGCTTTTTACAAAGTCAAAAATACTGAAATCTGCTGTGCTTTTTTCTTGTAAAAATTATTATGAAGAAAATTAATTTTTTTTATAAGTTATCATTTTGATAATGAATCAATTTTAAGATATAAAGTATGAAAATTATACCAAATTCTAAAAGCCTTAAATAACTCAACCAATCGAAAACAATTTATGTATGTTAATTTTCTGATCATTTTAAATAGAAATTTATAGAATTTTCAAAGGAAAAATTACAATAAATCCAGTAAATTAATTGCTATAAAAAAGAATGTAAACTTTATTAGCTTTTAACTTAAATGAATTCTTTAGTTCAGGGCATTTTGATTCAACATATTATGATCAAAGGTTCTTATGGCTAGGCCAACCATTTTGAAAAACTAAAAGCATCCTTAGTTGATCGCCCGCATATTAAAACACCGAATTTAAGAGGATTTAATTATTTCTTACAATGCTGTAAAATTACAAGCCATCTCAAAATTGATATATAAAATAGGCAATATATATGAATGGTTCATAATTTAGATTGTATTATGTTAATGAAATCATTTTGTTTTCTAAGCAGAACCAAAATCAAACTTAATTATTTAGACTCAGTCAAATTCAGGAATATTTCTTTAACCCAATTTTTGAAGTTAAAGAATAAAATTATTTTGTTAGTCGAATTTCATTAGAAATTGTAACCCTCAAAATAAATTTTAATCCATATAAATGGGTAGTTGAAGAGCCTAAACAGTTCATTAAATATCATAGTAACTACTTAAATATAAGCGCCAAAACAATTAAGGTTATGAATTTTAAGATAAATTACATTTTTTAAATTTTAAGTGATGATGGATATTCAATAGGGATAAGTTAATACAGAGATTTAAGTAAGGATATATTAAGAAATGCTGTAAAAATTTTTTTCTTCTTGCAGAAAGATAGTAGAAGAGAAATAATAAATGATTGAGTTAATTCCATAGAGTTATTTTAAATGATAAATGTAATTTTTTAGATATTCATTCTTAAGCAAGGAAAAATTACAAATTCATCTTTAAAGGAGAATTACCTATTTTTTGAATATTGATTATCAAAATACATCTGTTAATTGATGCAGGTCTTCTTACAATTGCTTTCTATTATTTTTGAGTTATCTATGTTTAATTAAAGGAATGATATTTTTGCCCTAAGTTAGTGTAAATTGTGATTTTATATTACACACTAATAATGTCTTGATTAAGCGAATTAGTTGTGTAAATATCAAAGCAGATATATACTGCTTTTATATGAAAAAATAAAACAAATTAAATAATTCAATTGATACGATAAAATAGTTTTAGTTGAAATCTTTTGTCTAATATATCTATATTTGTTTAGGATTTAATCATCAAAATTACAAATTACAATATCATTTATATTCATTATGTTTTGAAGAATTGAAATATTGAAATAATTTTAATTATCAAAAAAAAAATCTAAGAACGAGAAGTTTATCAAAATGATTATTTTTTTTTGAATATTTCAAAAAATTAAATCAATTTCAGTTTTTTTTATTTGAGAAATATTTTATTCACACTTTATTGCTTCTTAATTATTAGCATATAAGAGAATTTCTTTTTAATTTGCTAATAGAATATTTTTTCGCAATTATGATTATATGCGATTTGAAGTTATCATAAAATAAATTAATGTTATTGACGACGACTAGTCAAAGAAATGAAATTCAAACATAACCGTAAAACTCCTATAAGTAAATTTAACAATCTGGTGATTAATCTAACGTCTAGATCTAGATCCTACCAACTTATTAAAATTATCATATTTTTAAAAAATCAAAGTAAAAATAAAAAGAAAATTAGACCGTGTGATATTTTATATCCCTGCAAAAAAAATTATTTCGAAAAAAAGTTGAGCGATAAAGAAAGAGATAATTCCGAGTAAGAGTGGACTATAATGGAAGAATCAAATTATTTTTATAACTATTGCTGTTCTTAATATCGATCATTCAAGCTGTGTGCTAAATACGGTTCAGTAGAGTAATACGTAGGAAGGAGTAAAAATAAATTCTATTTAGGATCTAAAAATGTATTTTGTTAGGATATATTGATGGAAATAACTAAGTAAGGAGAACAGGAAAAAATTGGAGAAATTTAAGCTATTTCACCGGAATTCAAAACGGAATGTAAGAAATCATTTATATACACAAAACCTTTGATAAAAATTGTTTATTTTGTTAACAATGTGGAGGCTTAAGTCCTTGTTATAACTTTGGCTAAAACAACATTCCATAATTATTACTTAAGATAATGTTGCCTGCCNTTTTTGCCCTAAGTTAGTGTAAATTGTGATTTTATATTACACACTAATAATGTCTTGATTAAGCGAATTAGTTGTGTAAATATCAAAGCAGATATATACTGCTTTTATATGAAAAAATAAAACAAATTAAATAATTCAATTGATACGATAAAATAGTTTTAGTTGAAATCTTTTGTCTAATATATCTATATTTGTTTAGGATTTAATCATCAAAATTACAAATTACAATATCATTTATATTCATTATGTTTTGAAGAATTGAAATATTGAAATAATTTTAATTATCAAAAAAAAAATCTAAGAACGAGAAGTTTATCAAAATGATTATTTTTTTTTGAATATTTCAAAAAATTAAATCAATTTCAGTTTTTTTTATTTGAGAAATATTTTATTCACACTTTATTGCTTCTTAATTATTAGCATATAAGAGAATTTCTTTTTAATTTGCTAATAGAATATTTTTTCGCAATTATGATTATATGCGATTTGAAGTTATCATAAAATAAATTAATGTTATTGACGACGACTAGTCAAAGAAATGAAATTCAAACATAACCGTAAAACTCCTATAAGTAAATTTAACAATCTGGTGATTAATCTAACGTCTAGATCTAGATCCTACCAACTTATTAAAATTATCATATTTTTAAAAAATCAAAGTAAAAATAAAAAGAAAATTAGACCGTGTGATATTTTATATCCCTGCAAAAAAAATTATTTCGAAAAAAAGTTGAGCGATAAAGAAAGAGATAATTCCGAGTAAGAGTGGACTATAATGGAAGAATCAAATTATTTTTATAACTATTGCTGTTCTTAATATCGATCATTCAAGCTGTGTGCTAAATACGGTTCAGTAGAGTAATACGTAGGAAGGAGTAAAAATAAATTCTATTTAGGATCTAAAAATGTATTTTGTTAGGATATATTGATGGAAATAACTAAGTAAGGAGAACAGGAAAAAATTGGAGAAATTTAAGCTATTTCACCGGAATTCAAAACGGAATGTAAGAAATCATTTATATACACAAAACCTTTGATAAAAATTGTTTATTTTGTTAACAATGTGGAGGCTTAAGTCCTTGTTATAACTTTGGCTAAAACAACATTCCATAATTATTACTTAAGATAATGTTGCCTGCCTTATTCTGAAATAATATATAACATATATGAAAAAAATAAAGAATAAGCATCTCCTCAAATTGGGGATATTACAAATAAATTTTAAGGTTGCTCCAAAGAATATTGTACTAGAGGAGATTAATTCTAAATAGATATGACTAAAAAAATTGAAAACAAAGATATAGAGGCCTTAATAATGTTTGGTTGCTTGCAACTAACATATCAAGAATATGAGTAAATGATAAAATTGCCTTGAAAAATTAACATTTATGAATTTTAAGGATTGAGAATTTATTGTTTCAACTATTCTTTAGTGAATATCTTATCTTGTTTTTTTTATTTTCATTTGTAATTCCTTTTAGAAAGGAAAATGTAAAATCAATAATTTTTATCTTATTCGATCTACATTTAAGCCACCCATAAGAGATATTTTATTTATAATGTTTAATGGTAATAAAAATAAGATTGAGTTCAAAATTTAGAATAAATTGAAAACAACCTTACTAAATTAACTCTTTTGTTTAAGTTGATGATTTCTAGTTGATGAAACAATTATTGAATTATTTATAATTGGAGAGGAGATGTGATTCCTTTGATCCAGCAGATTATTTAATTTTTATTAAACCGAAATAGAAAAGGAGAATAAGGAAATAAAAAAATATTTCTTTCTAATTAATAAAAGGAGAAGTATTGCTTAAAATAAGTAATGTACTTTTTACAATTTTGTAAAAGTCTAAATTTTATTCCAATTTAGGCAATATTTAAATAGGATAAAATCAACACGGAAACAATGAAGTGTTAGGAGTAGAGAGATTTGGTTGATTAGAATAAATTTTGGTATTTATTCAAAAACAAACAAAATTTCAAATCATTTTATTGATTATTTCATAATTCATAACAAATAATTAGTAAAGACATTCAGATCTTATCATCTAAACTGATTATTAAAAACCAGAAAAAAACTATAAATAAATTAACATAATAAGAAGCCTATTTATTAAGAAAAACTTTTGTCCAAATTATTCCTCTCTTTTAGAAATTAACTTAAATGTCATATTCTTCGCATTTTCTATTTTATATACTATTTTTATATTCAACATAATAAGTAGCCTCTGATAATTGACTAAATTCTTCCCACAAACCACTCCATTTTCCATCCTTCAGTCCTTATAAATAATATTCTCACCCACCACTATTTAATTAATATTTATTCTATGCAATCACTTAATCTTCATGTATAATCTTTCAAGACCTTATCGCAATTTGTTTACATATCTATCCGCTTCATAAACATTCACCATACTACTTAAATCTAAATAAAAAATTATCCTCAATTATTTTAAACTATATCTATCCATAAACTTTCTTTTTTAACACTCTCATTGTACAACCCGCCAACATTCTAGATATTCTCTCCAAAATTTCCAATCGACTTTTAGTATTGTATTTATTCAAAATTTCATAAAATTTCAAGCTGTTATGACTTAACTATTGCTTTATCCCTTTATATCCAACTCTCATATATAAATATTTTTTGTTTTTGTTAAGGATATTTTGAAATTAGTTCTTATTTTCTTGGTGGATTTTAAATTTAACCCCAAATAATTCCATAATCTTCCAATCTCAAACAAAATTACTTTGTAAATTACCTTAATTATTACTATAATTTAAACTATATTACTTTAAATCGATGTTTTATTATCTTAAGTAGGATGTAAATAAAGGGAAATGAATTATTAGAATTAAACAGAATAAGTCTATCTCGCTCCACCCAAAGCGGAATTAAAATTATCTGCTGAAATGCAACTACACTTTTATATGGATTTAAACCAGAAATGCAATTCAATACATTTAAAAGTTAGTTCGATTAGTAGAAATAAGAGGTGTGTTGGAAATTTTTATGTACAATTTGATTATGAGATATAAACTATTACATAAGAGGATAAAAACATTATTCCTTCAATATTTGCATTTAATATTTGGAAAAAAAATAGAAATAAAAATGTATTTTACAAATATGAGAAATTTATTTCAATAGCGATTACAAATTTTCTCTTTTGAATAGTGTTAATTTATTTCAAAGAGCTCATAAAAATAACTTATAAAGCAAAGCAAGAATCAATAGATATTACCAACAAAAATTAGACAAAAATCCAACTAGAACTAGTTGTTCAAGAAATGAACTTAAAAAAAGTATGCGTATTTTATTGAAAATAATAAAAAAACTAAAATATCTTTTTTGAGTTTCTGAATTTGTTCAACTTAGTTATTATTTGTTCATTATAAAATTTACAAAAGAAATGTATTCAAAGATCCGAGATTAAAATAAATAATTAACAAATTATAATAGTAATTTACAGATGGTATTCCAAAAGTATTCTCTTTTTTGATTTCAAACCTATCAGTGACATTATTTCTTTGGAAGCAAAGTAGTAATTTAGTCTCAACATCTCTGCGATAAACAAGATTAGAGTAAGATGTTATTTATTATTTTTTTGATGGTATTTTAGATGTGAACACATATTTATCATACAATTAAATAGATTAAATATTTGTAAAAATTTTCCAAAAAATATTATTATTACTTTCTTTCGAATTACATTCATTTTTTTTAATGATTTTATTAACTGGGACATATATTAAATTTAAATTTCCTCATTAGTTCATATGATTCATTTCGCACGACATGAAATAATCGTTGCCAAAAAATGATGCATACCTAAGAAATTATTACAATAAGCAATTAACAATAATTGTGCTATTCTTAGAACTATAATAAAAGTAATACATTATTAGTATCACAAAATTACTAATTCATTTAATGTTATCAATTTAACAAGGAAAAACTTAAAATAATTGTTGTAATTACACTCTGGTCTCAACCTTGAAATTTCTTAATCATTTCCTAAGTTTATTGTCTCCATTTGTATCAAGATTCACCAAAGTTCTTGTTCTAAAAATACTTAAAAATGACAAAAAATGTATTTTTATTTGATTATTATTTCATAAGTTTGAGACATTTAGTGAATAACCCAAGGATTATTTATTTCGATTCAACAATCATCACCGCAATTTTGACTTGCTCTTTTTGATTCACCACCTTGTGCATTTAGTGTAGTTCCTGCAAAAAAGAATGTATCTTTTCACTCAAACAGATCTCTGCCTACTGAATACACATTAGGCTATATAAAACCTTTTTATAATTTGTAAGACTGAACCATAATTATATTGTAATAGCTGATAAGAAATGCTTGTAATATGAGGTTGATTGTAATTGGCTCCAGCTACTCATCTTGTAATACTAATATTTGATATGCAATACTTATACTACAGAATTTTTGCAAGCATTGTATTCTGGAATTTTAAGGTAAAACATTTAAAATGGTATAAGTTAGTGTTTTAAATATTTTTCATTTACAAAAATATTAAATTTTAACATTTCATTGCATTTAAAAATTCATGGAGTAATCAGGATAACTTTTAGAATCCTTAGAAATGCTTCAAAATCTCAGAGGACAGAAGTTATTTAGTAAAATGAGAGTTTTCACCATTTTTAGTTTAAGGAAACCACTGAGAAAACTTGCTCTTTAGGTGAGTTTATAAAACTAGATTAGAACAATCTTTAAAGTGCAAATCAATTCAGCATTCTTATTTTTAATATGATGTATTAATAACCATTTCACCACGTTTCATTGAGTCCAAAAATATTAATAATTTTCTTTTTTCTCATGTTTCTCTTGAGTAAATCAGATTGCAATTTATAAAATTTTTTTTTTTTTAATTACCATTTTAATAATAAATAATAATTAATTGTAATCCAATTTTGCAAGTACTAAGCTCACAAATAAAAAAAAAATTTATACCTTACGATAATGTCCTATTGATAATTAAATTATTTTTGTTTTTTCATAATTTACTAAGCTTATTATTATTAAGGTGATCACTTTTTTGATTCCCAATACATCTCAAAGATGTATATTAAAAGTTCAATAATTAGCTTTTTAATTAAATGGAATTATAAAATGAATAATACATAAATAATTACAGATAGAAAGGTAGACTTAAATGATAACGCAATATTAAATTTATCTGAAGTTGTTTTGTGAGTTATTTTTCACACAATTATGTAAGAAAAAAATATTGTCCAAATGGAATATTAAGATATTAATATATTATGAAAAATATTGAAATGGTTTTATAAAATGTGATTCTACTCAATTTTGCTACCATTGTACTTCGATTTAGGTTTATAAAAAACAACCTCCTCTTTCTTTAAATAAATATTGTAAGTCAAGTCCAAAATAATTAGTAAATTTTCCTTGAAAAATGAGAGCTCCTAAGGCTTATAACTGCGGATATGAAGCGATAAGAAGTGTAGTTACAATTGGGTTTTCTATAAATATATAGAATAATGAAAACCTTATAAAAATTAATCATATAAAAGGGGTTTGTTAAATTAGGAAAGAAGTTCATTTTAACTTTTATCAGAAGGAGAAATTTTAGTTCCTGTCCAAACTTCCCATAAACGGATAGATGAATCCCTACTACCAGATGCTAATGTAGTACCATCAGGAGAGAAGCATATTGAATTGATACATCCTGAATGACCAACTAATCTGGCTTTTTATTAACCTGTCTTAATATCCCATAAACGGATAGACCTATCTCCACTACCAGATGCTAATGTAGTACCATCAGGGGAGAAGCAGACAGCGTTGATATCATTTGAATGGCCTTCAAATTTGGCTTTTTATTATCCTGTCTTAACATCCCATAAACGGATAGAGTTATCATAACTACCAGATGCTAATGTAGTACCATCAGGAGAAAAACAGATTGATGAAATTCCCATTGACTATCGATCTAACTTTGCCTTTTCTTCCCCAGTCTTAACATCCCAAAAACGGATAGACTTATCATCACTTCTAGATGCTAATGTAGTACCATCAGGAGAGAAACAGACTGATGAAATTCCATAGGAATTTGAAGGACCATCTAATTTAGCTTTTTATTATCGTGTCTTAACATCCCATAAACGGATTGAGTTATCTAAACTTCCAGATGCTAACGTAGTACCATCAGGAGAGAAACAGACTGTTTTGACTTCATTTGAATGACCATCTAATTTGGCTATTTATTATCCTGCCTTAACATCCCATAAACGGATAGAGTTATCTAAACTTCCAGATGCTAGTGTAGTACCGTCAGGAGAGAAACAGACTGTGCTGACATCATTTGAATGACGATCTAATTTTGCTTTTTATTATCCTGTCTTAACATCCCATAAACGAATAGACTTATCATCACTACTAGATACTAATATAGCACCATCGGGAGAGAAACAAACTGTGTTGACTTCATTTGAATGACCATCTAATTTGGTTTTTTATTGTCCCAACTTAGCATCCCATAAACGGATAGACTTATCATCGCTACCAGATATTAATGTAGAACCATCAGAAGAGAAACACACTGATCTAACCCAATTTGAATGGCCTTCAAATTTGGCTTTTTATTATCCTGTCTTAACATCCCATAAACGGATAGAGTTATCTCTACTACCATAAGCCAACAAAGTACCATCAGGAGAGAAGCAGAGTGAATTAATAAAGCTTGTGTGACCACATAACTTGGCTTTTTATTATCCTGTCTTTACATCCCATAAACGGATACATTTATCATAGCTACCAGATGCTAATGTAGCACCATCAGGAGAGAAACAAACTGCGTTTACATCATTTGAATGACAATCTAATTTGACTATTTATTATCCTGTCTTGATATCCCATAAACGAATAGACTTATCATCACTGCCAGATGCTAATGTAGCACCATCCGGAGAGAAACAGATTGAATTAACATTACTCAAATGACCATCTAATTTGGCTTTTTATTATCCTGTCTTAATATCCCATAAACGGATAGATTAATCATTACTACATGAAACTAACTTAGTCCCATTAGGAGAGAAACATACTGTACTTATATCATTCGTATGACCAATTAATTTTGATATTTTTTTTTCTGTTCTCAGATTCCATAAATACACAATTGCACCACTACATGAAGCTAAAGCAGTATCATTTAGAGAGAAACATACTGAATTTACCTATCTCTCTCCTTTTAAAACAAACTTTATTTTTCCTGATTTTGCATTCCACAACCTAATCAAATTATCATCACTACAAGAAGCTAAAGACTTACAATCTGGAGAACAAGAAACTTACTTGATATATCCACTATGTCCATTTAACTGGTTTAATTCATTTATTCTTAAGTTATTCCACTTGCAATTAAATAATTTCGCTTAATTCAAATTTATTCCACTAATGGTGACATCATCAAATTCAGATCCACTTAGGTTACAACTTACCAAATTAGCTCCTATTAAGGAAGTATTTCTAATTCTTATATTCTCAAAACATTATTTCTTCAAATCAGCCTTCATTTATACTAATAAATGAAGAGAATTCGACCCACAAAATATATATTTATCATCTAAGGCAGTAAGATGAACTAAAAATTTGAGAAATTCTATAATTTTCTTATCCATTGATATTTATATGATAAGATCCTTTTTAATTTCTTCATAATCATCTATCGAGTAATTCTGTTTATTAAATTCATGATCCCTAATTTTTTTGAGAATATTCTTTATTCTCTAAATGCTCATCTCTGCATTGAGAGTCTATTTTTTATCAAGCAAAGATAAATCTTCTACCTTTTATCTTTCTATTTCTACAAGGATTAGATTTTGATTTTATGATAGAAATTCTAGGCAGTGTTAAACTTTCTCTCTTTTTAATATTTTAATTAGGATAGGGAAGATCACTTCATCAACATCTTTTGATAAAGCCAAGACCGCATACAAATCTTAAAATTACTCTTTTTAGCAATTCATTATCCTTTTTTTAAAAAATAAATATTGATTTTATATTACTTTTTTTGGGATTTGCACTATAAACCCAAAAGTATCTTGCATGTAATTTCTGAAAGAATAGCAAACAATTAAAGACTTGGAGTTGATGTAATATTAAAAATGACAACGCAAAAGCGATTTTTATAGTTTGATTATGATGAATATAGAATAAAACTAAAAAAAAATTATAAACAAATTCCCCACAAAACTAACAAGATTTTTTGGTAAACCATAATCAATGAACTTCTAACAAAAAATATATCTAATCAAAAGCAATGCACTTCATAATACTTGTATTTAATGATAACCAATTTATTGCGATCAAAGTGAATATTGTAAAGATATATTCTCATACAATAATCGTATTATAAAAGGGTAGTTTTGAAGTAGAAAGTTCTGCTATCATATTTTTGTTCTTATTTTATCAGTTCCCTTGCATTTAAATGCTAAGAATAGTTAATCTTCTGAAGCTGTGGACTAAGGCAAACACTTAAATTGCATTTATCTCTAATACAATTTAATACACATTTGTCTAAATCATCTATTATTATCTAATAATTCAACTAAATGATACTTATTAGTAAAAATTTAATACATTAGTTTAATTCTTGTATGGTTATGGATGAATTTCTAATAAATCACTTTATGCTTGTACCTTATTTAACATCACTAATTGCGATTAAAATCAAACCTGATATTTTCTTCTTAAGTTGTTTCATTACAACGTATATATGAAAATAGTGCAATTTGCTTTAATTATAATCGTGAAGATTTATCTGATGTATTAAGAGTTGTGCATTTATTCTTAGTTATCGCTGGAAATTTTAAGTATTGTGTAGCTGGTTATCATCTTGATAATGGAAGCTTTAAACCATTTCAGGACTATAACTATCTTTGCTAAGAAAAATTAACAACTATACAAAGGCTATCAAGGACACATGTTGAGATAGCTGCTTAATTATTTTGATCCTAACTTTACTTAACTAGATGTTTAACTGCATGATAAAACAGTCCTTTGAAGCAAATAATGTAAATATTATTATTTACCTTTATCACAACCTATCGCTTCACAAATTTATGCACATCTTACAATTAGTGTTGATAAATTGTAATAATTAGAATAAGTGCAACTGACTTTTCATCTTTAAAGGCTTCCTGCTTGCTGTATAATTTCTTTGTACTTCAGTATTTCAAAATTGTGCTTCTTGTAATCTACTCAGATGATTTCTCAACAAATTGTGACATATCTATTATTTCTCGTGAAAGCCAAACAATTATCTATCTATGCGTGAAGAGTAGCGATAAGTCATCCACAAAATGTTCTTTGTCAAGTTTTTTTAGTTTGTATTAGACTTTATTGGAATGCTGTTATTATATACCCAAGTTTTTTCAGTACAATAATTATGCATCATGGCGACTCGACTTTAAAATCATCAGAAACCTTAACTAAAGAATTAAAGGAGTATTATTAGAAGTAATTTACATGTTTTTAATACTCATTTCAAACAGTTCATTTTAATTTAATATCTTAATCTTATTATTGAAACCAATCTTGTCAACCCTGTATGACTGTATGTTATAATATATACTTTACAATTCACAGCTATTATCATTCTTTATAACTTCAGGGTCTTGGTTTTGCGAAAGAACATGATTTTCCTAGGTGTGTTGTGTTTTTTTCTCGTTAATTTTAACGGCAATTACCCAAAATACCAAGGTTAGACTACTATAATTGAGCTATTCCTTATTGCTAATTCTTGTCAAAAAATTTCAAGATTATATGATTTAAAACTTAAAATGCAGTAGTGTAAAAATGCAATTGTAAATGTTTTTTGAAATATTGACAGTCAATGAATGGTTGGCACATAATGATTTAGCCCATTTAAATAAACTGNACTAAATGATACTTATTAGTAAAAATTTAATACATTAGTTTAATTCTTGTATGGTTATGGATGAATTTCTAATAAATCACTTTATGCTTGTACCTTATTTAACATCACTAATTGCGATTAAAATCAAACCTGATATTTTCTTCTTAAGTTGTTTCATTACAACGTATATATGAAAATAGTGCAATTTGCTTTAATTATAATCGTGAAGATTTATCTGATGTATTAAGAGTTGTGCATTTATTCTTAGTTATCGCTGGAAATTTTAAGTATTGTGTAGCTGGTTATCATCTTGATAATGGAAGCTTTAAACCATTTCAGGACTATAACTATCTTTGCTAAGAAAAATTAACAACTATACAAAGGCTATCAAGGACACATGTTGAGATAGCTGCTTAATTATTTTGATCCTAACTTTACTTAACTAGATGTTTAACTGCATGATAAAACAGTCCTTTGAAGCAAATAATGTAAATATTATTATTTACCTTTATCACAACCTATCGCTTCACAAATTTATGCACATCTTACAATTAGTGTTGATAAATTGTAATAATTAGAATAAGTGCAACTGACTTTTCATCTTTAAAGGCTTCCTGCTTGCTGTATAATTTCTTTGTACTTCAGTATTTCAAAATTGTGCTTCTTGTAATCTACTCAGATGATTTCTCAACAAATTGTGACATATCTATTATTTCTCGTGAAAGCCAAACAATTATCTATCTATGCGTGAAGAGTAGCGATAAGTCATCCACAAAATGTTCTTTGTCAAGTTTTTTTAGTTTGTATTAGACTTTATTGGAATGCTGTTATTATATACCCAAGTTTTTTCAGTACAATAATTATGCATCATGGCGACTCGACTTTAAAATCATCAGAAACCTTAACTAAAGAATTAAAGGAGTATTATTAGAAGTAATTTACATGTTTTTAATACTCATTTCAAACAGTTCATTTTAATTTAATATCTTAATCTTATTATTGAAACCAATCTTGTCAACCCTGTATGACTGTATGTTATAATATATACTTTACAATTCACAGCTATTATCATTCTTTATAACTTCAGGGTCTTGGTTTTGCGAAAGAACATGATTTTCCTAGGTGTGTTGTGTTTTTTTCTCGTTAATTTTAACGGCAATTACCCAAAATACCAAGGTTAGACTACTATAATTGAGCTATTCCTTATTGCTAATTCTTGTCAAAAAATTTCAAGATTATATGATTTAAAACTTAAAATGCAGTAGTGTAAAAATGCAATTGTAAATGTTTTTTGAAATATTGACAGTCAATGAATGGTTGGCACATAATGATTTAGCCCATTTAAATAAACTGTATTGTGTTTAGGTTTAGGAGAATGAAAGAAAAGAGATGAATTGGAAAGATAGGAAAGGAAAATTTATGAAATGTTAGAAGGGATGATTACGAGAGATGACTGATTATTCGATGCAGATTTAGCCTAGATAATTTTTGTTGGAAATGAAAAAGGAACTTAGGATTAAAAAAAGTGGATGATGATAATTGGTCAAGCATAATCTATCGAAAGCTTTTATTGTTAATAACTAGAAAATTCATGCGACGAAGTGGGGACAGAGTAAATATTTTTTGGATCTTTGAAATAAAGCTTTTATAAACCTTTAGAAAAATCAGAATGAGCAATCAGATTTAAAATAGTGTCAATACAATATACTCTAATAAAAAGCAATGAAGACCACCTAAAGTATACGATAGTGATTCAAAGATGAGATGAATTACCAAGCATAAGACAATTTCTAGTAAACTAGATGAAAGAATGGAGAAGTGATCAAATATATCATGTTATGATTGGGCTAAGATGATCTACTACACCATTTGTTGCTGAAAGAATAAAATATAGGAATCCTGAATAGAATTTATAAGGAAGGAGATGAGGGAAGATATTAGTAAGAAGCCATTAGAAAAAGTATATTGAAAATAAAAGAGGAGAATTAAAAGAAAGATAGCTGGATCTTAGAAGAGGTAATAATTTAATCATCTCAAAACTAATCTGTTTTCTTTATGAAGGACTAGATTGGTAAGAATTTAGAAATTTGAGGGTCTTATTAATGAAATACATCAATAATAATTATTATAGAAAGTGAAGGCTTAAGGTTTAAGCATGGGTGATGTATGATCACATTATAGGATTTAGATAATTTAAGAATTTGCCAAATTTATCCCAACAATAGAGTCAATGGCTAGATAGTGTCTAATCGGGGATATGGAATAAAAATTGTCTTTTGTTTTAAAAATTTTTCTTCGATAACAAATACATGTGCCATATAAGTGAAGAGGATGTTGGAGAAAAACTTCTGAAAATATTATAATATATATTAAAATAAATATCAATTTTTTTTGAAAATTAATCATATGAAAGTTAAACTTTCATATTTAATTGAATATTCCTTTTTAACTTGTCTTCCTTAGAAAAGAAAAGGTGCTAAAATTTTTTCTTTATGATTGTTTAAATCACTAATTTTTTATAACTAGCAATTAGTAAATTTTATCATATATTTGAAATTGAAGCCTATTTTCATTAGAACTCTAAGCCACTTGATAGGCTAATAATAACTTAGAGATCTACTTAGATTATGGAAGGAGTGAATATTCTTTAAAATACAATTCAATAATTGTCAGTAGGATCGTCAGATATAATAAAAAGGTACATGGATATCTATTTGAAAAAGCGTTTAAGCTTAAGTAAAATTATTATCAGTTTTTGGTTTATGCTATTTGATAACTTCTTAAATTTAATCTGAATTGAGTGCTTAATTTAAATCAAACAGAGCATTAAAATTCAAGGAACTTTGAATCAATTAGGAAAACTTCTTTATTTGTGACTACAATATTTAGAACAAATTCCTTGATTTTCTTTTTCAATTTAGATTACTCTCTTCTATAGATTTTTTGATGGAACATTTTCAATTTAAGTCTTTATACTATTAAAACGAAGAATTGCTACTTTTAAATTAATAGATTTATTCTTAATTAGGTTTATAAGAATAAATAAAGATTTTTTAAACTAAATTTGTATACCTGACAACTTAAATTGATTCAAATATAAATCAAATA